GGGGGGGGGCGTGATGCAGGGGGGAGTGGAATCTGCGAGCCAACGACGCTGCTAAGTGCTGCGCGTGGGAGACGGGCCAGTGATGATTGGATGGGTGGGATGGGGGAATGGTGGTGATGGTGATGGTGATGGTGATGGAGGAGGGGGAGAAGAAGAAGGAGGGTGCACAGCATTCAGCCCCGATTCTTGCCTGCGAGCGGAAGACGCACGTTCAAGGCATCAACGAAGCCATGCAAGCGCTTGATCAGCTCTTGCTGTCCTGTCCTGTCCTGTCTCTGCCCCCGCAAGCGTCCATCCATCCATTCATCCATCCTCGTTTCCTGCAACAAGCACAGCAGCAGCAGAAGCAGCTATAGAGCAGGCGCAGGCGCAGGCGTGTCACGCGCGATTCGGCATGACACGTGACACTCCATGAATCACGGGTGGGACGCGCAACGAGATGCCATTTTTGATTCAACATTGTGATTCACGATTCGTGATTCAAATCCACGATTCGAGATTCGAGATTCTGATTGTGATTACTGATTGAGTGATCGGAAGAATCACAGCGTGGCACAGACCACCATGATGCGTGCGCACGTCTGCAGGGAATGGAAAAGAGAGAACAAGTTCACACGCAATCACAAACATCACAATTGAAGCGCTTTCGATCAAATGCGACTCCACTTGCGGATGCGTTGAATGATAATGATCTTCCTCCATTCGCACTCACATTCGCACTCGCACTCGCACTCGCACTCCACCCTGCAGCTCCATCCTCGCGTTGCTCATGACAGACTCACGACTGTGACGGCAAGGCAATTCAAGCATGTCGTCGGCTAGCGATACACGGAGAGCAGCCGCTCAGAGCCAGAGCCAGAGCCAGGGTCAAAGCCAAGCATCAGCGCTGAAGAGCATGGATCAAGTCAACAAGTCCATACGTCGTCCCTTGTCCAAGCGGCCACTGGACATGATATGGATGACATTCTTCATCGTCCATCTGGCAGCCAGCCTACTCGTCGACTGTGAGTGTGTCACCCGTTGGTTGGCTGATTGGCTGGCTGGCTGGCTGGCTGCCTGGCTGGCTGCCTGGCTGCATGGCCGGCCATCCCCACATCGCCGTCGCCTCGGTTGACATCCCGCTCACACTCCACTCCACGCACGCACCCACGCACCCACGCTCCCACGCTCCCTTTCCCGCACGCGCACGCGCACGCCTCTCGGTCCAGCTCAAACGCTCATGCCCGACAATGTGATCCCAGCATCGCAATCCAATCTGCTCCACGCCTACCTCAAAGACTCTTCCGATCCTCTCATCTCCGCCCTCACAAGTCCCGCACCTCTGGGTCATCTGTTCCACGCATCTACGCGCACGAGCACGAGCACGAGCACGAGCAAGGCGCTGCCCCACAATTATGCCTGGTTCGCCACCAGCATGATTCTGGAATTTGCGGTTCAGGTGCCGGTATTTGTCTTGGGCACTATTGCGCTTTGGAGAGGTGAGTTGGCATGCAGCGTGAGCGAGGGGGAAAGGCGTGCGCGCAGGACAGTCACGAGTCACGAGTCACGAGTCACGAGTCTGATCCGATCAGTCGGCCCCCTCATCATCGTGCGTGGATGCTCGACGCGCGTACCCATCCATCCAGATGACGCTCGCATCTATCCCGTGCTCATCTTCTACTCTTCCCTCGGTGAGCGTATGCCTGCACGGCGCTTTCATCAATCCGGGGAGCCCTTCTGCTCACACATCCGGTCCCCAATCTCCTTTTCCTTTGGATCTCTTTGCGCGTCCGCCCCAACCAAGCGACCTTCACAACGCTGCAATGTCTCGTCACCGTCTTGTACGGTCCTGAATCCCTCTCCTTGAGCCGCTCCAACAAACAGGTATTGCTGAGCGGCTACATTCCATTCGTCATTGTCCCGCTAGCGCTGGGTTGCGACATGCTCAGACGATGCAGGGCGTTGATCGAGAGAGCGAAAAGGACAGAAGCTTGGCTCAAGAAGAGGTAAGCGCGCCATGCATCCCCTCGCTCTTCGCTTCGTGCAACGGGGCAAGGCTACTTACTCTGAGGGCGCGATACCGAACATCATGAAATGCCATTTCTGCTCCGACCATGATGAGTTGCGCACCGCCCTTGCCGATGATGCCGCCTAGCCTTCACGGCCGCTTGTCAAATCATGATCCATCTTCTTCCTCATTGCCGTGGTGGCGATCGGAATCCCCTTCTTCTTCCTGTGTCTTTACTGGCATGTCGCACACTTGGATTTATTCAAAGAGAAGATGGCTTTGCTGATATTGAGCTTGCATCTTCACTACTGCATGTCGTACAGTCGGAATTGCTCAGAGACGATAGTTCTCATGAGAATGAAGCTTGCGTCTTTACTATATGTTGTACGTTCTTGAGTTCTTTGGAGATGGTAGTAGTGCGCAGAGAGAACATTTGTGCGCGGAGAATAAAGGTGTCAGGCAATCAGCTTGAAGTTTGTGCCCTTCCAGAAGAGAGAATGCTTCAGGTTTGCTCACCTGGTCACGCCAAATGCTGTCCCTCAGTCTTGCGCTCCAAGTCATCTTGTGCAGGTTCAACGTCTACCACTACAATGCTTGCAGAGCACAGTCGGGGATCTTTCGGAGAACAGTAGGCTTCATGGCTGCTGCAAAGATGCGCAGAGGGTTCTGCGCGCTCACGATCAAGCTTGTTGTCAGCATGAAAGTTTGTACGCTTCAAGAACAACCTCAACATTGCTGCATGACTCCTTGCTCTCCAATGCAAGGTAGCTCACTTGATCACTCCAGACGCTGTCTCTCAGCCTTGGGCTAGAGTCATCTTGAGCAGTAAGGTCTTTGACTACAAAGCCGGGCCAGGTGAGCCTCAGCTCTGTCTAGCTTTGGATTTGCTTGATCACAAAGAGCCTTTGGAATTGGGGACCAGGGGGCAAGGCATGTAGCTCCTTGATCTCCCCCCATATGCTGCTTGTACTGCCTTCTGGGCTTTTCGATGTTTTGAAGCTTTGCTAACACCATTGTTTGATGTTGGTCTTGAAGTCATCCAGCATCTCTATGGTCTTCTGGGCGCCTTTTAACACTCGCAGAGCTTCCTGGTTGGCCTTGGCGTAGTGGTACATACATCCTACATCTGTGAGGCTGTTCCAAGCCTGCTTGACGTTCTTTACAAAGTCAAGCGAGGCTCAGCTGGCGTCCCCCCGTCTGCATTGTTCGCGCTCTGCAATATGGGCTGTGTCGGAGCAAGCAATGGTTGTTCCAGGTCTGCACGGCTTGTGGTGATGGATATAGAGGTGCTGCGGCTGCCCTGCTGTACGCAAGCCTTTTGTGACGGAGAGCGGACGCTGCAAAATTCATATTCCTGATCGGCATAGCCAATGTAGCACTTTGAAGTAAGCAAGCTCGAGACGCTCGATGAGCAGCTACTCCCCCCTCGCGCGAAAGGGAGCAGGCGAGGCAAACGGCGCAGACGAGATTCAGAACCCTAGTGACTTCTTTGTATTGTACATGTATTCGACGAGCAAGCTCGTCGTGGTGTACCGGGATACATCGTAGAGGTTCTCATCACACTCAGCTAGCGCATCGTGCGCCAGCTCGAATAGCTCGAATATCCCCTCTAATTCATCCCCTCCTCCGCACAAATCGCGCGCCAAGCGGTCTCCACCTCCTTTCCCAAGACATTTGCGATCCTTTGCAGCTTCCAGTCCAGCGACGTCCCCACCACCTCCTCCTCTTTTTCGACGCGCAGCAGCAGCAGCAGCAGCAACTCCTTTGCGAGCTTGCACGCAGGAGCTTCCCGATCCGCCAAGATTGCCGGGGCAAAGATTGTCCTGATGAGCAGATCAGAAGTCGATATTGCAGCCTTGGCATTATCGCCGTGCGCATCCGCTGCCCACGCGGCAAGCGCCACGTGGTGCGTAGCGATGCGATGCAAAGTCGGCGTACGAGTTTTGGTGACATCTCCCCTCATCAGAGCTGCGGCAAATGCCCTCAGGACATCCGGATCCCGCTCAGCAGGATAGAGGTAGCTTTGCAAGCCGTGCAGGGTCTCTAGGGGCGCATCTCGCAGTTGCAGGGTAAATGTGGACAAGAGGTGAGCATGGTCGATCCACAGCAAGCGTCGATAGTCCGACGCGTACAGCATCGATTGACCAGCCAAGATGATGCGTTGAAACGCTTCGTCGCCGAGCGAGAGGCCGTCGTACAGACCTAGTAGATCCGTATAGATTTGGTAAAAGGGCACAGCGATCGTCTCTTTGCATGCGGCTTCTTCCATCGTCTTGCTCCTGGTACGTGTACCATCGAACGGCGCTACCTCGTCCGACATTTGGACATTTGTGTCAGCATGCGAAGCGACGAGCTGCGGCAGCATTTCAAACAGCTGCACGAGCGCGCCGGAAATCTCCTTGTCCCTGAACAAATTTCTGCCAGTAATGTCGCCCGTGGACTGCGGAGTCGGCGCATCGTCCCTCTCCAGCAGGAACACCTTGCACATTGCCAGCAAGAGTTCAGAGGCCGTCATCGAGCAGTCGTGCCTCTTCGTATCGAGGGTGGCCTGCAGCGCCATTCTAGTCAAATGCAGCGCATCCCTGACCAGTTGTGCCTCTGTATAATCCCAAGAAGCGGGCAAGACGTCTTTTCGGTTCAGAGCGGCGCACGTGCCGGAGTGTAGCAGATCGTCCAGAGCTTGCAAGGTCCAATCCGATCGTAAAGGTAGACCGCTCTGGCTGCTCTTGTACAGCAGAGCCCCTGTCAAAGGGTCCAGATCTTCCGGGTCCGCTTCCGCTTGCTCTTCCGCACCGGGCTGGACGATCTGCTCATCGCCTCGTGCTTGCAAAGTCGACCACAGCGTCGCTGCGCCTCTCAATGTGCCATTGCCCTGCATCACGGCTGCAGAAGATTTGACGCGCAAAGATTCGTTCATAAAGGGTGCCAGCGACGTCGTGCGAGTGTTCCGTTGGATGACGTGCACGAGCTGCTGGGCTAATTCCTCTTGTCCTTTATCCAACGAGTGCACCAGCTCGACAATTTCCGCAAGGTCCACCTTTTCCTCATCCGCCCCGTGCAAGCTCTCGAGGATGCGTCCTTGAAGTTCTGCAGCGACATGTCGGGCGACCCGATATCCGGCAATCCAAGCGTCTTGTTCATCGAACCTTGTCCAGAGCCGACCATCTCGCATGAGATCTCGTGACGCTTTGTGCATGCCCTGCAAGGCCGACACAGCTTCGCACCGCTCAAACAGAGCAACAACATCTTTGCAAGCCTCTAGCATCTCGACAAACTCCTCTACCGTCTGCCTTTGCAATGTGTCGAGGCGAGCGATTCTGCTCGCAGCGGCAAGCATGGCCGACTCTGCGCTCTGGGCCAGACGGGCGATTGCATCCGCGTCATCCTTCAGCCGAGCTGCGAGCGGCTTGGCAGCATCTGCAGTGCGCGCATTGCTGCAGGCCAAGTCGATCCAAACGTCCAGCAATCCAGCGGCGCATCCCTGCAAAACGAATGCCTGCTCCTCTTCATCCGGCGTCGCGAGCTCCGCTCGTACGTTGCAGACAACGCTCAAAGCCAGCTCGGCCCATTCTCCAATGTGCGGCCAGCCAAGAGCGTGTTGAGGCTTGGTACGATGTGGATGCCTGGCGCAGATGATCCAAGCCTTCATCAGGCGCAACATTTTCCCCGCGGCGCGCGATTCCTCCTTGTCCATGCTCGTGCGACCTTCGAGCCTGTACTGCACATGCGCCGTCAGCTGTTCGAAAACGGCCCACGAGTGCACGACGTGTTCCAAACCTACTCCGAATTGAGCGTAGATGCTGAAAATGACCAGGGTGGATACGAACGCGCAATGAGCTTGCAAGTCTTGCGCGCGTCCTGCAGAAGTCCAACAAGGCAGAGCAACAAGACGCAGTAGATGCGCGCTGGTGGCGTTGGCTAGCGCCGCGGCGGCTTGTCGATCGACTGAGCTGAGCAGTTGCAAGAGCTGCAGCACTTTCAAGGAAGGAGGCGAAGCTCTGAGCGCATGCGACGAATTGATCAGATCCATAATGCCTGCTGATTGAAGAACGGCACGAGCAGCATCCAACGATGCTTCTGCGAGAGCGCACAAGCAGTCCAGCACATCCTCCACAATCTCCATTCCAGACTCTGTATCCTGTCCATACATTTCCACGAGCAGCGTGGGCGCTGCGAGGTTCAAAAGTCCCCGAGTCATATCCCGTTTGATCGTCTCTTCGTACATCTCGATTTTCTTGGAGGACGAGGCAGAAACGAGAGGAGGCTGGACGCAGAGCATCGCTTCCCCGCCCCTTTTCGTCGTTCTCAAAGCGCACCTCAACGCAAACAGTGCCATTCTCCTCACTCCCATTTGTCTGTCGCGCAACAACCAAGTCGAGATGAGCGCTGTCCTGTTGCGAATGTGGTGATGTTCGAGATGTTTCGCTGCTGCTGTATTTCGCGATGCGACCGGGTGCAGCTCCAATATGCGACCCAGTGTGGTCAGCGCTATAAGCCGCTGAGAAGGCACGGTGCTTCGCGCAAGATGAAGCAGCTCTTCGGCCGTGTAGCCAGCCCTGTCCGATTCATCAGCATGATGATGCAAGCCCTCGCCGATCCTCTCTTCGTGCGGCGCAATGACGCGCCCATCGAAGCCGAAGCGCAGTTGATGATCAGCGCTGGGTTCAACTTTGCTGAAAGGTGAATCGCCCCTCATCCATTCCAGCTCGGGTCGATGCGCATCTTCTTCAGGAAAGTAGGTCTGTCGAATCGAATCTAGCGTCCCATCATCTTTTGGAGCTTCATCCGGATCAGCCTGCGCAAAGGCTACCTTCTTCTTTGTGCTGCGGCTGAGGTCAGGATGCAGGGCAGACTCCTCCCGCGCGTGCTCGCTGCGTGGGTCATGGCGAGGTTCGCTTTGCACCTGACTCGTCGTCGCTCCGCTCTTTCGCTTGCTCAAGAGTTCCAGCACTCCTTGGCCAAAGTGTTGCCTCAGACTGTCCAGTTCGCGCTTGACGTCCTCTTCCGACATTCCCTTGACCACCTTTTCATTCTCTTCGTCCACCTCTTTCAAGATGCGAGATGTGGCTGCCTCGTTGTGCAAATCGACGCCATCGTCTGCGCCTGCAAGACTTGGAGCATGCGACGACGCGCGCTGACGACCAGTCGAGGATGAGCCTTGAACATTCTGCGCGCGTCGGGGTGGGCCCAACCCGGCTGACAAGAGGATATTTCTTCTAAACATGGACATTGGTCTGCCATCCTCTTCCAACCAATCATGATCTGATGTGTCCTGAGGAGCAGAAGAAGGTGCTGCTGCTGCTGCTGCTGCTGCTGCTGCACTTGCGCTCGCCATGGATTGGACATGTTGTGCGGCGGAGTGCTGGAGGTCCACACTCGAATGCCTTTTGGCAGCATGGCTCCTCGCGTCCGCACCCGCACCCGCATGCAGCTCCCTATCCAGCTGCCTTCGTGCCGCAAATCTGCTCATGCCCTGCTTAGGCGCAGTGTGATGCGCCGTGCTCGACGCCCTCAGCGGTCTTCTCTCGCGTACACCTCCAATAAGAGGTGGACCAGGCTGGATATCTGCTGCCAAAGCGTCTTCAGATCGTTCGTCCCCATCGACGACGACGTCGGGGTCAAGCGCTTGACCCCGCTGCTGCTGCTGCTGCTGCTGTTCCTGCCCAACAGAATGTGCGGCAGACATTGCCGATTGCGCTGAGCGGGGGCAATCATAGCGGATGCGATCGTGAGGCGTGCAGTGAGCCGATCCCTCGTTCCTCAGCGTCTGCATCAACATCATCGCCCCTCCACTGCACTCCCACTGCACTGCACTCCCACTCCCACTCCCACTCCCACTCCCACTCACCACGACTCGCGACGCTCTGTCTCTGCCCCTTGCTGTCCGCCTTGCGTCCAATGACTGGCGGCGTGCTCTTGATGACATTAGCAGCAGCAGGCCACTCGATCCCCTCTCCACTCTCTCCCTCTGCAACTCGGTCATCTGCCTCTGCCTCATCGAATTCGGTGTAATCCATCACACGCGGTCTGAGGGATTGTTTTCGCATCTCTCTGAACCTGGCTTCGGACATGCTGTGCACCGTAGCCGTAGCCGTGGCCGGACTGCCCGATGGGCTGCTCCAAGTGCCACTTGCGCTTGCACTTTGACTTGGACGCTGCATGTTGCGAGTCGAGCATTACCTGTGCATGCGATCGTCGAGTCGAGTCGAGTCGAGCCTCATGCAGCCATCGTGGATTGGTGTGTTGCGAAGCTGCTGTTGCGAGCGCAAGCGTAGCAGGTAGGTGTGTGTGTGTGTGTGCGCGCGGGTGCGTGTGCGTGTGCGTGCGTGCGTGTGTGTGTGTGTGTGTGTGTGCGCGGGTGCGTGTGAGGCAATGCTTGCTCGCTCGCTCGCTTGCTTATACCTTCACTCTTTGCCGCCGCCGCCCCCAAAACTTGTTCGCAAGTCCAAAAGTCGCACTCCAGACGAAGAGCGAGCGGTGAGGCGAGGCGAGGTGCTGATGGTCAAGGTCAAAGCGTCAAATCAAATGCCATCGAATGAGTCATGCATGACCCTCAATTGAATCCTCCATCGGCGGGCACACGATGCATGCATGTAGCCCCCGCACCCAATCAAAATCAAAATCAATGACCGGATACACAATCACCAATCAAGAATTTATCAGTTCACCAATCACGTGATCGTCCGACGATCGGGTGCGGGTGCGGGTGCGGGTGCGATGCGGTGATGCGTTTGTTTGCATGCACACTCAACGACTTCGACTTGACTTTTGATTCATGGGATTGCGCGCGCATTCAAATAGAATCACGAATATCTCAATCGCGAATTTCACGAATTTTGGGAGTGCGTCGTTCGTTTGATGCTGCCTGCATTCACATTGGCCCAGCGCAACGCTGCGCTCATCCCCCCTCCTCCCATCCACCGCCACCTCCAAACAAGCAAGCAAGCAAGCAAGCAGGACGGCATCGAGATGGCGCAGGCTCAGCAAGCATCCCTCCAGCACCGCCAACCTGGCTCTGGCTCTGGGTCGGGCGGAGAAGCGCAGCTGTGTAGCAGCGCGCTGAGGATCTGTCAAGATGCTCTGCAACAACGCGACAGGGACGAGGAGGTGGATGGGCGCGGGAGTCAGGATGAGGGCCAAGCGATCCTGTTCATAGTCATGGTGAGCCAAGCTTTGCTTTCCTGGTCATGCAATGCGCACGCTCGGCGTTTTCAACTTGCGCTTACACAGCACGCCCCCTGCATCTTCCCCCTCTTCCCTCGCACGTTCAACATGGTCCCCTCATCCTGCTTCCCCTTGGCGCACGCTCCCAACGCGCTCACAGGGCGTATCAGGTAGCGGCAAGTCCACATTGGGTCAACATCTCGCCTGCGCTCTGCAATGCGCCTTTCTAGATGCAGACGATCTACACTCTCCTCGCAACGTGGCCAAAATGTCGCGTGGAGAGGCGCTGGAGGATGGGGATAGGTGGGACTGGCTGAAAAGCGTCAGAGAGGAGGGTGTGCGCGTAGCGAGGAGGGGCTTGCAGGGTGCTGGGCATGCCATTTCTCAGAAAAGGGTGGCAGAGGCAGACGGAGAGAAGGGGGAGGAAATGGAAATGGATATGGACATGGAGGTGACGAAAAGGAGGGAATTGGCGGAAGTTAGAGAGACGGCGGGGTTGAGGCAAGAGCAACATCCTCATCCTCATCCTCATTCTCATCCGCAAGTCGAACACCACGACGCTTCATCTTCACCTCACGATTCGCTCCATACTCTCGCAGCAAGCAAGATTTCGGCATACAGCAGTCTCGCACCTCGCAGTTCGTCCAACGAACGGCGGGCAAATTGCGCAGTGATAGCCTGTTCAGCGCTCAAGCGCATCTACAGGGACATTCTCCGCGGCGGCGCGTCCAACAAAAGCGCAAACGTTCGGACCTATCACCTCTACCTTCGCGTAGCCCCCTCGGAGCTTCACAGACGCCTCACTCATCGCAGGGGACATTTCATGAAGGATGTTTTGCTGAATAGTCAGCTCGATACGCTTCAAGAACCAACGCATCAAGATGAAGCGGATTGTTTCGTGTTGGGTGCGGATGAGCACGCGACGAGCGGGGCTTCTTCGCAGTTGCGCAAAGAGCAGCGCGAGCAGCGCGATTTGAAGGCAAAGGTGGAGCTGATGCTGGATCGAGATATCCTTGCGCAGCTTGGGCGCGCATCAAGCACCTCTTCTCCTCCCACTGCCACCGCTTCGGGCACAACAAGCACCAACAGCAACTGCAAATCCAGCAGCACAACTCAGCAGCAGCCCAAAGCCCAAGCCAAACTTTTGCACGCTCAAAATCTCTCCCTTCCCCTCTCCGTCTCTTCTTTCCCCACATCCAGCACGTCGGCGAACAGATCGACAGATACGTCGGCTCTAGAAAGTCTTTCTCGTGCGCTCGAAGAGCTTCAGACTGACCTGAATGCCCGGTTGACGGAGGTGAAAGAGATGCTTGAAGGGGCAGGTGGAGAGAAGTCCACCCATTCGGGGTTTTTTGGAAAGGGAGCAGCAGAAGAAGAAGAAGAGGATGAAGAGGATGAAGAAGGGGACATGAAAGAGTAAAGGGGAAACAACGTCCTTGTCTTCCCCCTTCCCCTGATCCATCCGGACACGAGAAGCGGGCTCAGGGGTTATCCCCCCCTCCTCCTCCTCCTCGCGTCGATCTTTCGCCGGTCGTACGCAGAGCTCTGGGAATATGCCAGGCCTGCCCCCCGTGCAAATGCAAACCAGCAAGGCCGACGACGTTCGTCCATCAGGATGCCGAGCAGGTAATTGCAGAACCTCGATCGACTCGATTGCTTCTAGCATCGCGTAACAGCATCCCATCCGAGGGCCATCCATACCCGCTTTGCATGCCCCCCCCTCCCCCCCCACCCCCAAGCATGTCGGATGGACTTTCGTCTTGCTCCTGTCCCTATTTAGCTCGGGGCCCCCAACCCTGCCGGTGCCCGCACGGACATACACGGTCGTAGAGATGTCCGCAAGAGCCCGCATCGACAAGCATGTTTCCAGACGCTCGATGATGGGCGCTGCTTCATCATCGCGCCCTAGCACGAGCACGAAACCCAAGGGTGCAAAGAGTAAAAAGCTACGTCTTCACGTCTTTGGAGCACACGCCTTTGTGCCCTCAATCCAATCCAGTCGCGTCGCACCAATCCTGGCCCTTCCCGCGTCTCCGCGTCGCTGTGCAGCACGCAACAATGGCCTGCTCAAACACACACACACACACACATACATACATAAAAGAATCTCTCAAACCGCCCCGCGGGGGCGCAGTCTGAGTGGAGCCGAATGCCTATGCATTGTGCTCATCGCGGCTCGAGCGCGCTTCACGTGCGTGCGCGTCTAGAACATGCGCCTGTTGAAAAAGACGAGGGACCGTCCAAGATCGAAAGATACGGTGTAGAGAAGTGTGCGCGGTGGGGGGGCCATGGTACAAGTGTCCTTGTGATACTTGGTTACAAAGGAAGGCCAAATTCTGGTTGGTTGTAATGAGGCGAAAAAGATGTTGAGAGAAGAGATGAAGAAAGATTGAAAGATGGTGCGGGGGGTGGAGAGTCGAGGTAGAGTATTATTAGCGTCGACGCGACGGGAAGATCTGGTAAAGTACGCGTAAAGAATGGGTGCAAAGGAGGTGAGTTGAGGAAAACGCATCATTGCGCATCTCGCGAGAAGCGTCTCGTCATCAGTAGCCACCAAAGGCGCGAGCGCGCTCGACGAGCTGATGCACTTTCAGACCAGCTTTGCTGCCCTTGAGAAAGACGGAATTCTTGCGCACCGTGCGAATGATGCGGTCCCTCTGCTCGTGTCCGACCGAGGTGAGGAGCGTATGCATGATCTGTGTGCCTTGAGGAGCCGAGGCAATGTCGACGAGAACCGAGCGCCGACTGCCAGTGTAGTTGGAGGAAGCGCCGACATTGTACCTAGCGCTGCTCGCTCCGCCTTCCCCTGCGCTCTCGCGATCACAGATAATGTCCAGATAGGCGTTGATGAAGTCTGCATCGTGACACTTGAGCGCTGTCATGATGGCTTTTTGACCATACTGTGAGAGCGTAAGATGGACTGCTTCCTCGAGCAGCTTGTTGAAGGCAGTTCGACGGTCTTGTGTTTCGCCATGCTCCAAGATATGCTGCACCACCCACACGCCCCACTGATTTGTAGCGCACAAACAGAGCTGCTCCAGGATCTCCGAGATGCATTCGCGCTTCTCCTCTCTATCAGCGCTTTCAAATATGTTTTGACAGACGATGCTGCCCGTCTCTTGACGTGCTGTTTGTGCCCACTTTCCTCGCATGACGTTGTTGATCGCGTCAAACATCCTCTGACGCACCTCGGCGCTGCTCCAATTGATCTCCAACACCTTTTGCCAAACGTGGATAGAATTGCGCGACGTGAGCGTCTCCATCAGCCTGTCATTCAGAAGCTCTTCCACCACTTCTTGCTTGATCTCTTCCCCTTCGTCCAGCACGCGCTGTATGACATGGCAGCCAAATTGCGAAAGAGCCAGGTGAACAAAGTGGCCCCGCAATTGCCAGCATACAGTTGCGTCCACGGATATAGCGCGCTGGACCAAAAAATTGCCGTGCTTGTCCTCCGAAAGCTTAAGGGCAAACGGCTTGACGCAAGAAATGATGGCCGCCTTGCGCTCAGCCGAGGCGGATTTGAGTTGTTGCTGTAGCTGTATGCTAGCTTCTTGAGGACGGTCATTCGACAGCGCTCGGCTGACCAGACGCTCAGGGGTCTGCGAACCGGCATCGGATCGTTGGGGTGCATTTGTACCGCCGGACATTTTGGACATCGGGGACATTGAGGGGAAATGCGCAATGCTGCTTGGTAATCCTGGTGTAGGAAAGCGGCTTGGACCGGTCGGTGAGGAAGCTTGATTGTGCAGCGGCGACGTAGGATATCCTAGGTGATGCGGAGTCGATGGATCGCTGCTGCTCAGAAACGCCGAGGGAGCGTCACTGCCGCCTGCAACACCGTATCTTGCCCAGTCTGGCAGAGCACCGAGGGGTGATGCGTTCTTTGACGTTGCAGCTGCAGGAGTGAGCAAGTGTTCCAGCTGGCCAAGATTGGTGAAACGTCCTGGGCTTGGCAGTGCGGGTGGGCCGCCCGACAAGAAGGAGGCGGACGGGCTCGTTGGCGTTTGCGGCGTTTGCGGCGTCGCCAAAAGATCCTGACGTGCCTGCGGCTCGAGCATGGCGAGTTGTTGAGGCGCGGAGAATGCCTGAGCTGGTGTATCTAGAAAGGCTCCTGAATGACTCGAGTCGCCGCGTGAATGCTGTTGGAACGCATGGGCCCCCAGACCGACCTCTCCCGCATCGTTCTGGCGAGACTTTGAAAGCTGGCGCATATGCGCACCGAACAGTCCCTGGTCAGGCTGATGCGCGGAATGCTGAGACGTCTGGAATGGGCTGAAGGGGTCTGGTGTTACGCTTTGAGAGATGCTGCGTGGCAGCATCTCGGCACGAGGGTCGCCGTATGATGTGTGCAGGAGTGAGTTGGCACGAGGATTGAAGGCGACCGGCGTCGACGCGTTGCTCATGCTTTGCTGGCCCGAAAGCGGCTCGGCGCTCCTGATGCCTAGCTTGGCCTCCAAGAATGCCACGCGGCGAGAGAGCGCGATGTTTACGACTTCCTTTTCTGCGAGCTGACCGCGAACCTGCAGACTAGAAGCAATTAGATGACAAGCTGCGATACTGTCAAAAAAAGTCATCGACACTCACTTGCTCAAGCTCCGCCAGAAGCGCTGCATTGACATCTTGCAGCTCGTCAAGTCTGAGAGGCGTCACGCTAGATGTCGTCAGCGATCGCAGCCCTCGTCGAGCTGTTGCCTTGTCCAGGGTGGGCTGGTATTGGCTGTCCTGCTCAAGAGATGCCTCCAGGGCGCCATTCTACGAATGTATGCGCTTGTCAGTCTACCAGAAAGTGTGACCGCGTCCAGTTTCACTCACCGCCAAGCTCCAATCATGGAGGTCTCGGCTGTCCACTGTGCTGGGCTGTGTACGAGCACGATGATGTTCAAAGATGGGTGCAGCTGCTAATAATCCATGAGAAGTACCAGGAGCCGAAGCTTGACGACCCGTCGGACCAAGCATATCGTCGTTCTGGAAAGCGTGGTTGCTGTTGTATGCTACTTCAGGTCTAGTGGTAGGCAGGCTAATTCCCTTGCCGGTTTTCCAGGGACGTGCAGCTTTCTCTTTGGCGAAGGCAACTGCAAAGTCTTCCTCGTTGAGATTTTCGGCACGCTCGTATGAGTCCTGTGGTGTGAGGGGCCCAGTGGCGTGCCCAGATACCTCGAATGCGCTGCGCTCGGGGGACCATACAGCGTTGGAAGGATTGTTGAGTGTCTTTAGGGGTCTGGTGCTGTTGGCAAGAGCACCTCCACTTGGAGACGGAGTCAAGCTTGACGCTCGGGACCAGCTGGATTGCGGAGTGGGCTGTTCCTGTTGACCCTCCGAGTCATGTGAGAGGTCTAGAGAGGTGTCTTCGATGCTTCCAAGCAGGTCAGGCCGGTCTCCAGTCAGCCACCAAGCGCTGGTAGCCGAGCGCAGCGAAGCATCGCGCTCCTCGTCTGCCTCTGGCGGGGTAGTGGATGCAGGCTTTTGCATCTCGGTCTTTGCTGGTCGAGTCAAAGTGAGTATCGAAATGCTGACCACCCGCGCCGAAGTACCTGCCGTAAAAAGGCTCGGTCGAGTGAGAGGGTGGGCAAAGAAGATGCTAGAAGAGCTCGCTTGGGTCTGTGGGTCTATGACACTGACGAAGGTGAATGCTCTAGCTACTTACGCCGAATGCCGTCGCGGTGTGACATTCAAGATTGATCGGCCGAGAATGGGCTCGATGTTCTATATATGGCAGAGGCAAAAGTTAGCTGCGCAGCAAGGTGAGCGCAGATATCGCGATCCGCCTGCAGTAGTCAAACATCAGGCAAGATGAGAGGCCGAGGCTGTTGCGGTGATTATGCTCGCATCTGCTTATTGTTGTATTCGGGAGCCCTGCGGTGGGCCTTCACCGCCGCACCCGAACTAGCAAGGTAATGCACAGTTGATGATTGGCCTATAGCAGCGCTTTGAGCAAGCTAGCGCAAGATTGCAGAACGAGGATATTGTCCCCTGCTTTGGATTCGATGCGCCTTCTGTAACCAAGAAGACGTTCAATTCGGCGAGAAAAGCTGTGGAGATGCAGGCTGACCATCCGTCGACGAGCTGCTCTGACCGACGCGCGGATGGGCGCAGAGGGTGATTTGTGGATGAATGGGTTCATGCTGCTGCTGCTGCTGCTGCTGGCAGGAAGTCCGGCGCTGAAACAAAGTGAGACGCTTGTTCCTTTTAGGAGCACCGGCAGCACAGCTCGATTCATTCTTGATTCTGCCAAGGGCTGCTGTATGGAAAGACCTGGGCAGTGGAACAGATGATGCTTTCCTGCGCTGCTGGGTGCTGACTATACATAAAGACGTCCCGAGTCTTGCTCTTGCGCAATTGCGCCCGACCACCTCACCGCGGCTCAAGGCGCACAGGCGCTGCTGCTGCTGATGGCGATGACTGATGCATGCCATGGTGAATTGCGCTCCACCCTAGCTTGATGTGTTGCTATTCTGTAGATCGCCGTGCACTTGCCCTCGCCGTCCGACGCATCTTGTTCCCTATACCCTTTGGCTGCTTATTTGGCTCTGGATGTGGATGCAGCGCCAGTCACGAGTCGGAGGTGCAAGTGTCGTGGTCGCGTGTTGAGCATGAATGAGCTTGACCGAGACATAGGGTCACTGTTGAAACTCTCTCTTATTCGACCATTCACCATTCTCATCAGGCTAAAGCTGACTCGGACCCGACGCGTCTCGCCCTGCCGAAGAGGCGCTGCCGGCGCCGCGCTCATTCGCTCGATGCGCCTGCATGGGTGAACCGGTCCACGATACGAAGCACGAACATGAATCAGAAGATGAACACGCCTTGCTGCTGCTGCTGCTATGTATAGCAGGTAAGTACACAGCAGCGTGGTATGAATTACGAGCTCAAAAGTCACGAGTCTTGGACTCACCATTCAGCGCTTCTCAAAGTGGACAAGCGTGGGCTTCAAGAGCCGGTAAACGATTTTCATCAGCACGGGTTCGCTAATTGCAACCCAAGATTCGCGATTGATTGCTGTTCCGTGCATGGCTCACCCAAACCCGCGACCGATTGATCGGTAAGAAAACGTGTGTTCCCTGAATGTCGACAAGGGGTCTTGATTCTACTAGCAGCTTCTCGCACGGATGATGATGATAACGAGTCGCTGAGCTGCGTAACGCGAGGGCGCGAGACTCACGACTGGCAGACGTACGAAAACAAAGGCCCAAAGGGAAGCCGCTCGGTGCGAAAGCGCTTCTTCATACCCCATGCCGCTCGTACCGCTGACTGGTGATCGACAGCGTCTAGGCAGGCGACTTTCACATTCGTGATTGCCTGCTTGCTTGCTGAGCATCAATCAGCAGTTCGAGCGCAAAAAGATCCGTCTACCCCGCCCCTCCTTAACCCAAATCTACTCCGACCGGTCATGCTTACATCTCATGCATTTGACTCTGCCTCGATCACATCAACTCATTTTTTGGATGAAAAAGATGAACTTTGACTAATCAGAACGCTCAAGTCATTCTCCTCCGGGCTTCTCTGGCATGCTAAAGGAAATGCAAACACGCGATCGCACCCTCGGCCTTTTGCGGATCCATGAATGCGCGACTAGATTCTACAACACAAGATGCGAGACGGGTCAGGAGTTCGTGTGAGGCGCGTGTAAGAAGTCTTCCAAAGAAAAAAGGCAAGAGAGAGAGTGTGTGTGTGTATAGAGAAAAGTGACGCGCGCCATTGTGGGGGGGGAACTCTGATCTGAAACGGATGGGCAGCGCGCAATGGTCGCCCCTCTCCGTCCGGGCGGAAGTAGGTCGATGCAATGTACATTTCGAGTAATCCTAGGAGGAGCGCGCGCGCGGGTCGGAGCAAAAGGCAGCATTTTCAAAAGGCGGTAAAGAGGTGCGCCAAAGGATCCTTGGCAAGGTCGGCCTTATCGGCTTCCTTGCCTCGAAGGCCCGGCATAGAGTCCGGATTGGGCGGCGGGTACTTGCTGAAATTTTCCGTAGACCCCACCTTGCTCCTCCTAGGTATGATGGGAGCTTGCAGCTGGCCCGCCTCGAGCGCACTCCAGTCCACTCCGTGGAACCAAAAGTGGTTCTTGACATCCTCTGCGCCTCCTCGCAGATTCCCCAGCCGCTTCGATACATCCCGATTCAGCAATTGCCGAATCAGATCGCGAGACACCGCATCGATGTGCGAGGGAAAGACGAGCGGCGCTTTCAGAATCTTTTCGTACGTCCCAAACGGATGATTATCGAAAAAGGGCGGGAATCCGGCTAGCATCTCGTACATGAGAATGCCCAGAGCCCACCAGTCCACAGCTGCGCTGTGCCCTTTGCTCTCGATAATCTCTGGAGCAAGGTACTCGGGCGTGCCGCACAGCGTCCATGTCCTCCCATCGACGCGCTTCGCAAAGCCAAAGTCGGTGATCTTGGTGTATCCGCGCGAGTCCAGCAACAAATTTTCCGGTTTAAGATCGCGGTAGATGATCTTTTGTTGGTGAAGATGATCGATGGCGAGCACGAGCGTAGCAATGTAGAATCTAGTCACGTCGGGAGAGAATTTGCCAGCTCTTCGCAAGTGCGAAAAGATTTCGCCACCAATGACGTACTCCATGAGCATGTAGCAATTCTTCGAATCTTGAAAGGTGCAGAACAAGTTGACCACGAACGGATGGTCCACTTGGCTCAGGATGGCTCGTTCCGAGATGATGTGCTCCACCTGCTTCAACCGCACCACTTCCGTCTTGGCCAGCACTTTCATGGCAAAGTAGGCTTCAGGTCGGCTAGGATGAGCGTGTCGAAGCCGAACGAGCATGACGCGCCCAAAGGTGCCCGTTCCGAGCGTCTCGAGCATCTCGAAATCCTCCAACGAGTACTGGGGTCGCTGTTGAAAAACGGGAGAAAAGGGCGTCTGGGAGTGGGACGGTGAAGTCGGTGCAATGGGTGGAGGCGGAGCTGGTCGGCTAGCGACCGGCCAGCGGTGCTGCTGCTGCTGCTGATGATGCGCGACTGCATGCGGCCGCGTCTGCTGTGCGTGTTGTTGCTGTTGGGGATGCTTGGATGCTTGATTGGCATTCTGGCAAGCCTTTCGAATGTACTCGCCCTCGATCGCAACGCTATCGTTGCTAGAGTCTGTGGCGAAGGATCTCATAGATGCCTCGCGCTCCATGTCCTGGGCGTGCTGAAGCAAAGGTGCTGGGCTGACTAAAGCTGCGTGACCTTCTTCGGGCTGAGCGCGACCAGCCTGTGCGTGAGCCGAGCTGCCGGCAGCGCAAGCAGCAGCGCTGGCTCCAAGATTGCGTAGAGGCGGCAAAGTGTTGAGATGACTGTGGCTATCGCTTCGCGCGTGCAATCTCCAGTCCGCATCATCCACACTCATGCTTGTGCGCGGCGTCTCTTCCAAGATGGTTTCATTGTGGTGCGCACCCATCGCTTGACCTTCATGAGACGCAGAATGTCCAGCTGCTGCTGCTTCGTAAACAGCTTGCTCGGCCGCTCTCTGAGCCATGAGACTTTGCAAGGGAGACCATCCATCGTCGTCCTTGAGCGGCGTCGCAGCCCATGCTTGCATACCATTCTCCACTCCACCGACGTGCCATCCCGGTGAGACGCCAGCTGGAGCCTTGTGGACATCTTCTTGGTGGTACAACGCAGCAGCCTTTTGATGCGGTTGAAGCGGCGGTGCGAGGCCAAGCTGATGTGCATTTTCGTTGGAAATGACGCTTGACGGTCCAGACGCGCTCGTACTTGGCGATGAAGCTGCTGAGGAAGCTGCGCCTGACACGTTGGAAGATAAGATGGATGTCTGAGATGATGGATGGGCAGACGCGGAACCGAAGCGAGGTTGACTCATCGCCAGTCCACCGACAAAAGTCTGCAGACCATGAACGAATCGACTAGCTTTGGAGAATCGAGTGGTGGAGTTGGGCGAGGTGGAAGAGGTGGAGGAGGCGGACCGAGAATGACTGACATCGGATGTTCTGCTCTGCCTGTGGTGAGCAGCGTGAGCATCCTCGATGCAAGTCACATTAGGCTGATAGATCATCGTTGAGCTTCCGCCCGACAGCGTGGATGCCATCGTGGCAGCGGGTGGGATGTTGGAAGTGCTGGTGCTCGTCGCAGGTCTTCTGGATAAGAAGGAGTGGGAGCGCGAAGTGGAAGAGGAGGAGGCCGCACTGTCCGTAGTTCGAGGGCGCTTCGGCATGTTGTCAAGGAGGCAATCACGCAAGTCTGCGTGAGCGTAGGGATCACAGCACGGGGACTCGCGCTCGCGCTCGCGTTTGCGTTTGCGTTTGCGTCAGTGGAGGATGAGGATCAAGATCGAAGTTGAGGCGAGTTGTGAGTGTTCTGGCAGAAAGCGACGACGACGTTCGTCTGCTGGGTGCCGAAGTCGCGCAGGAACGGCAACGACGACGTCGAAGCGAGGGAGGCGGGGGAGCTGCTGGCGCGCGATGGCGTACTGCTGCTGCTGCTGCTGCTGCTGCTGCTGCTGCTGCTGCTGCTGCTGCTGCTGCTGCTGCTGCTGCTGCTGTGGCTTGCCGTGCGGCGCGAGCCGATGAAGGACCAGAGGGAAGCAAAGACGGGGCGCGGGCGGATATATGCGCGTTGAACAGGTGGTGTGCAGGGGTCGAGCTGATCACGCGCCGATGGGAGCGCGCGGCAATCGTGAATTCAATTCAACAGCAATCGTGAATCAAGTCAAAGTGCAAGAGATACTTTGCAAAGCTCAATACGGAAGAAGGTGGGCAGGGCAGGGCAGGGCAAGGAAGGCGATCAAGGCGATCGATCGATCGCGATGCCGCAGAGCAGAGGTCGGTCAATTAAGAGAGCACAATCAAACTTGAAAGCCAGTCACAGTGTGTCACATTCACGATTGATGAGGCGCCTTATTTCCAACTCGACTCGTGACTCTCAGGCTGAAACACGCGCGTTGTTGAGTCACGAGTTGAGTCACGATCGATCGAGTGGTGAGCAATTTTCTCGATCCAGCGCGCCGTCTCTCTCGCAGTCGTGAGTGTTCAGAGAATCCACGCGCCACGCGCCATGCGCCACGGGTTCGTTCGAAATCTGCACAGCAGCATGGGTGGGTCGTGTGTGCTGTGCTCCTCGTCGGCGCACCTCCTCCGATGCGGGTGATGAGATGAGGTGCGTGCATGGATGGCACGGGGCTGTTCAGATTCGGCAAGCCAGGGATGTGCGCGCCATCAAGCAAGATGTGTGGCATCATGTCTTGCAGCAGCATACATATACCTACAGTCGTGAGTACCGTACACGCGTACAGTATAGCAAGCCAAATCCCATCCTCGCGCGCGCACAGCGTCGTGCGTGCGTGCGTGCTCCCCATCCCAAATCGCAGCTATACACCGCTGGTAGACGCGGTAAGTCCCTGCCTGCACTTTGCATGAGCGGCACCATGGCGCCTCTCACAGATTTCAGGCACAGGCCGAGCGGACGCGTACTTGTAGACTCTGACTGGTCGACGAAGGCAACCGAGCTGAAGCATCCATCGATCCAGGCGAGGTGCTTGCAGCCCAGCCCAGCCCAGCACTCCGGCCATCAGGGCGCTATCGCTGCTGATGCATGCAAGCAGAGGACCCGCTGCTCTTTCCGCGGAGTTATCGCGTGCGTGCGTGCGGGCACTGCGCCCGCGCGTCGCTGTCTGCCTGCGCGCGCCTTGATGCGCGTGGTGCGCGACGCCAAGCACCGCGGCCTAGCGGTCAACCCATCATCATTGTGATTCAGCCATGCATCATTTCTCCATTTTCCGCCACAAAGACGCCGACTTTGAGACAGCTAGCTAGCAGCGGGCGTTGCATGGCGCCTGTCCTTCTACCGCGTGCTCCGCGAGCGCGATCCATCTCGATCTCGATCTTGGCCGCATGCAAGGACTTGGCACATTGCATCTATACATAGCTACAGTCTAGTAGCTATACAGTGTAGCCAATCGTGCACAGCAGAAGAACATGCGGATATAGCCGACGGCACCTTTTGCGTTATCGTGGACACACGAGGGGCAAGACAGAGCAATTGACCAAGTCACACATGTACGCGTGCCTAGCTATTCCGATTTGGGGCGTCTGGGATGTGCAGCTAGGCGTGACATGTGTTCGTCTTGAATCGACGTACAAGGGGAGGCAAATTCTGGTTGTCGATTGAACAGACTGCTGCGATTCATCCGTGCACCACCATCACCTCCAACACCGCACACCGCACACCGCACACCGCACACCGCACACCGCACACCGCACACCGCACACCACCACCACGAGAACTCGCTGGCTGGCTCATCACAGTGGATCTCTCGTCTCGATCGATCTGCCTTCACAGTTAGTCACGAGTGAAGTAAAGTAAATCGCGAACTGCGCAAAAACGATGTTTGCCCGTCCCTCTTCTTTCCTGCGCGCCTTGCAGCACACTATATGGACCGAGCGACGCGCCGCCCTCCCCAATAGCGGGCAAGGGAGAAGTGCGCGAGGAGCGGATGGGCGGGCGGATGGGCGGATGGGCGCGCGGGTGGAAAGGCAAAATCCATGATTCGCCATGCAGTCACGAGTCCAGCAGAGTGAGAAGAGTCGTGTGCTGGGATGTGTGCTGCACAATGCAGGATACTGTATATACATATATGCGTCGAGAAGATTTTGTGGCTTGAAAAGCATTTGATTCGCGATTTGTGATGTGCCTGTGTTCCAGCGTGGCTGCATGAGCGTGCGTGCGTCTCTCCACTCTCTCGGTCGGTCAGTCATGCAGGAACTCAGACTGTAAGACTGGGTGGACGCTTCCCTGCGTGCGATTGAGCCACTCAGCGCTGCGACTCGCGATCGGAGAGGATACTCGAGACTCTTGTGAGCCCTCGTCAGGCGTTTTCAACATTGCACGGCAGATCTGGAGGAGTTGAGCGCGTTGGAGGAAAGGGGACAATTTTTCGTCCGATGAGTCCGAGTCCATCAAAATGCTTGCTGCCCTGCTCTAACCTGCCGGCCCTGCCCTGGCCAACGCCACCGCGAGCTAAGGGTCCCGCGGCCACGTGCGCCGTGAGTCGCACAAGTCGGGCGGTACCGTCCGACACGCAACCCGCTCAGACTCTCGGCATGGCATGAGTAGTAGGGACTTGGACTTCCCAAGGCCCAAAATGGCGAGTCTAGCTGCATGGTGAATGATATCGCTTATCAACCCACACTGTGACGGCACTGCTCGACATCCCTGTGCCACCTGATTATTCACGATGCCATTTGATTGTTTGCTGACCGCGTAGACATGTCCCGCTCCCGTCTGCATGCATGCATGCATGCTTGCTGCACAGGATCCGCTACACTGCGCTGTGCTGCGCAAAATGCCCACCGAAAAGGCGAGCGCGGGGTGGGTGGGTTTCATCTCCAGGCTCGTCCGCCAGAGCTGGCTTGCTCAGATGTGAATGCGAATCAAGAATGGAGCTGTTTGACGTTTTTACCGATCCCTGAACCGCAGGCTGGCTGGCTGGCTGAACGAATGACCGTCCCGCGGGCAGCAGGGCAAAACCTCGTCGAAAGTTGAGGGCCGCGAGTGCGGCGGACACCTCATCGGTCTCCGAGTCTGACAGTCTGAGTCGTGGGTCACGCTCCGACGAATGCGTGGCCTGTCGTTATAGTAAGGATCCTTCTCGAGCATGCATATGACTCATGACTTGCTGCTTGCAGGCAAAGAGCTTTCTCTCCTTTCGGTCACGTGTGCGCCCCTCCCGTCTAACCTCCGGCTCCAGATCTGCAACGTGCATGCATGCATGTTGACGCAGCTTTGCGGATTTCCACAGCTTCGGCGGGCGCCCTCTCCACATCGTGCGCTCACCCGTATATGGCACACTGTGACTCCTGACTCAGACTGACTGCCTGCTCGCTCAGCATGCAGAGGCTCCTGAGGAGGCGAGGCCCGGTCGAGTGGTGGATCTGAAGATGATGAGCCGGCGGGAGGGAGGAGGATGCATGGATTAAGATTCAAGATCCAGGAGATGAGATCTTGTGGGGATGCTATGCTATACCACCTTCTACTCGTGACTCGTGAACACTCACACTCACACTGCAAGTCTGGAATGCAGGTAAAGGATGTTGTGGCTTGCTTCAACACCATTCCCGACTTTTTCCCCCTCATTGTAAAGCCCAGGCGATCAGAGAGGACAAGATGACAATCGTGGATGTGGCCGCGGCTCTGGAAGCGGGTTGCGTGCCTACCAACGCGCAAGCCGAACGTCTACTGCAATCCGCACTCTCTTCCAAGGCCTTGCAAACGCAGTTGCTGAGTCCCTCTGGCTCCACACTGGTCGCGGATTGCAGGCAATTCATCGAGACGCTGGGAAACATTTTGAGAGATCGGAATGGCAAGGAAGAGCTGCAAGAATTTTGGTGGAAGAGCAGGGGCGCCTTCATGCATCAAGCTGGAGGAGGAGGAGAGGATGGCAAAGTGGAGGTGGGAGAAGGTCAGGGTGCGCTTGCTGAGACGTGCAAGGACACCAAAGGTAGAAGAAGCAAGGAGGAGAAAAAGCAGAGAAAGAAGCAAGAGAAGCCGAAAGTGTCACGGAGAGTCAAGAGCGAATCTGAGCAGGGTGAGCCCCAGCTGCGAGGGAAATTCGTCAGCATCGCTGGCCTCCTTTCGCGCCGCTCGCGGTTGACCACTCCTCTTCCTCTGCCCCCAACACACGACGTGCAGCTTTCAAGCACTTGCGCACGCTGGCACGACTCTTGCTCGTCCAGCCAGAGCTACGTCACATCATCTCGGACGGAGCCCTGCTGCTGGCCGAAGTGCTTCAAAGGACTACCGGCACATCTCTAGAAGAGGCCAGGGCAACCATGGGTCAAGTCAAATCGGCGACGGGCACATTTCAGAATGTGGCCTTTAGAGCTCTGGCCCAGGCGAAAGTGGGCAAAGCTGCTGCTGCTGCAGCAGCAGATACGGCTGATCAGGCGAGGGAGGAGACAAGGGCATTGAAGAGCGGACTGCTTGGACGAGTAACGGATGCTGCGGGTAAAAAGGTAGATGCTTCGGGCGTTCCGGCCTTGCAGGCTTTGCGTGAGCAGCTGAAAGAGTACAGAGGAGCTCAAAAGATGACGAGCGTGGCGGATATCAGAGGGGAGCTGTCCAATGCCGAGTCGGTTCCTTCGTTGGACGCTTTGCAAGCTAGCCTGTTGCGCGTGGCTGCAGAGGTAGCCAGTACGCCCGCACAGCTCGAATCGATGAAGCAAGACGTATCGAATGGCAAGATTCCTACGGATCTGCAGAAAGCTTTGCTGGGTAGTCCGGGCGAGCAAGGATCGATCGACCCTACGGACCTGGTCGATGCTGCTCAGCTCATCGCTGTCGCCAGCCGCAAAGCTCGTTTGACCGACAGACAGAAAGTGGAGGAGATGATCAAGGGCACGGGAATCGCTGCGAAACAGAATCTCCAAGCTGCGTGGACGCCAGAGAGGAAGGAAAGGCTGGTCAGGCGCCTGAGAAAGGTGCGTCGTGCATCATCAGACGACTCGACGCGCCTGCAGCGTAGCTGACGTAGAGGGCGCATCCCACTCGCCAGCTCGTCGTCGACTGCCAATCTAACCAAGATTACAAGGACGCTCTGATCTGGTTCATTGAGAGAGCAGAGACGCTCGTCAGAGCTACGCAGCAAAATTTCGAAAGACCGAGCTCAACTTTGGACGATGCGCTCGCAGACGCTACCCGACCGCTCATCCAATTGCTTGAGAATGTGAGCGAAGATTGCTACATTGTCGCGAGGTCTTTCAACGCAAACTAACACCGCTCCCACTTTTTGACCCAGTTTGCCGGCGGGCGCTCGCTACGTGACATTCTTTCCCTAGCTCGCAAGTTGAGCTTAGGGGCGAAGGATGATCCCGCAATTCGCCAAGTGTGGCGGGACGCCGATAAGTTGCTGAAGCGATCTTTGCTGCAAGAAGGCTATGCTCTCGAGCCTGCATGCGAAGAGGCGTGGCGCGCTTTGGCTGCGCGCTTCGACAAGCTGAATCAGCAGTACAAGGAGGAACTTGCCAGGCTAGTAGGCCAAGTTGCTGATTTCGCGGCAGCTTTGGCCTCCGACGAGCTCCTGCACCAGCTCAGCGTGCATCTCAAGAACATCGTCAAGGATGTAAGCTTCGGGAGGGATGGTAGCATGCTGCCCAGCAAAGCGCTTTGGCAAGATCTCCGATTGACCATCTTGCCGGCCATCTTTGACAAGATCGGAGTGTTGCCCGTGCCGCGCGTCAAGTACACCCATCCAGACTTTGATCTGGTCATCGAGAACATTGCGCTGGAGTTGAAGAATTTGTTGCCTTCCATGCTGGGCATTCGAATGCTCAACGACGTCCAATTCGACTTTGAGAAGCTCAAGTCCTCCTCGCACTCGCACTCTGTCAAGATCAAGATCAAGGGTATGAGCATACGCGTGCACAAGTTGGCCTTTGCACTGGAACTCCACAAGGGCTTACCCTTTCACGACAAGGGCATTGCGGATCTCTTGGTGGGAGACTTTGGAGTGTCTATCTACATTGACGTGCCAAAGGATCCCGGACCGCACTACTTCAAGGTCAAGAAGGTCAAGGCAAAGTTGAAGACTTTGCGCATCAAGGTGCACCAAAGCAATCACAGGATCCTGCACGCATTTGCAGATTCCATCGTCAACTCGTATCTGACGAAGCGCATCCTGCGACATTTCATCGGCATGGGCATCACGATCGGACTGAAGCAGCTGGACGTGGCGCTGATGGCGCTCAGGTTGGAGAGGGAGGAAGAGGCGGGTAGGATGGATCTTGCGGAAGTTCGCAAACGTATCGCTGAGCTGCGAGATCTGCTTCGAAAGTACAATGAACAGGCGGGTCATTTGGAGATTGATTTCAAGAGAGAGGAGGATCCGAACGATGAAAAGAGGTGGCAGGAGGCGCATGCTGTCAAGTGGATCAAGCAACAGGTGGACACGACTGGAAAGAGAAACGTGGTGACGAACGAGTGGAGATCCTCTGCTTTCGATAGACTTGGAGAGGAGACTGTGCAGCCGGCAGTATCGAAGCAGGCCATTTTGGCGGTGGAGAATGCTGCAGAGGGTTCGATCTCTCAAGCAGGCCAGGTCGAGGAGACAGAGGAGGAAGCCACTGTGGCGCAGAAGCCCGAGGGTGCCACAACAAAAGGGACGGTGGAGAAGGCGCAAGAAGAGCTGGAGAGTGTAAGGATGGAGGAGCGGCAAGCGAGAAGAGAGGCGAATGATCCCGAATCGATGAGCAGCAGAGCTGGAGCGCAAGCTGTCAAGACTCAAAGCAAGACATCGGACCAGGTGCAGCAGCTCGAAAAGACGGTGGAGCAGCACGATGCGCTTTAGAATCGCTTTCATTCACCATTGCAGCTTGATCAATGTCTCAGCTTTGCTCTCGCGATATCGATTGGACACGAATAGCTTTGCCGTCAAGTGATGTAGATACCCTCACCAATCCTCTCTTTTGATATCCCGCGCCCCCTCCCACAGCGAAGCGTGGTTGGTGCGCCTGCACTGCGACTGGGTCTGAATGCTTGGGGTTGAGCACATGCAGGCGCTGCGAATGGATGCGTCCATGAAACGCAAGGATGATCGCATAGGAGTTTGACTGATTGATTCGCCTGCGATGGTAGAATACACAAGCAGTCGTGATCGATGCTCCTTGCTCAAGACTGCTGGTCATCTGAACGTGATTCTCCCCTTAAGCTAACTAGCAGTCTGATGAGAATCTCGAGCAAATGTACAACAGAAGAATCGTAGGGATGCGCAGCCACGCTCCCCCTCTACTCACCACACAATGACTGCGCGGCCTCGACACGATCGGCAAAACGGCGGGCGGGCCTTGTCGGCGTCTTCTTTCTGCTGATGAGTCATGACCGCGCTCGGGCTTTATGCACGCTGCAATTAACGCGCGCATTATGCATCTTTGGATGCTGCGTGAGTCGATCGTGCGGCATGTGAGTCAGAGTCATGAGTCATGGAGGGGCACTCGTTCGTGATCCTTTTGCTGACTCGTCCGACACGCATGCTTTCCTTCCAGTCAACATTCGGCGCCGTCGCTCCCACAGCCGACTGCTACATCACATCAAGTTGGCCTCAGATCCAGACGCAGGTCGTTTCGTTGCTCATCAAATCGCCACGTAGACTCACGACTAGACGCGTGTGATTTCGCTCGTGCGAAGTCGAGTGCTGCTACGTCTCCTTTAGACGTGTTGGAATCGAACGCATAGAGGCTGCTGCGCACCCAAATAGTGGCCACTTGGCCGCCTACATGTTGCTTTTGAACTACCACCACCACCACCTCCTTCACCACAACCGCTCTCCTCGCCACGCTCTCTCGCATCAGCGCATTCATTCGCATACTTTAGCAAGCGCGAGCACGTCCAAGAAAGCACGCTTCCTTCACTCTGTCGCCGAACACACGTTTCCACGTTCACTCTGAGCCTTCTCCTCCTGCAAGCATCATGGCCCTTGCCGCTGATCCGTCTCCCTCACGTCCACCTTCCACCTCCAATCTCAACGCTGCATCGCACAACTTGGAGCACAGTACGCATTCGGAAACGCGTCAAAGTCGGGCAGGCGCTCGGCCACGGAAAGGGCGCGGTGGGGCGGCATCTGCTCCGAGCGACGTCGAAGGCGCTCCGCTAGGACATGCTGCTGATCGGGGCGCGCCTAGTGGGTCACGCGGACGGGGTAGAGGCCGAGGTCGAGGCAGAGGTCGTGGCGGAGGAGCGGCAGCAGCAGCAGCAGCAACAGCAGCAGCTGGAGGTGGACGAGGTCGTGAAGGGGCAGGCGTGTCTAATGTTGCTGAGCATGCTCGAGGCGGTAGTGTCGCAGCACCGACAAAGAGCGCAGGACGAAGAGAAAGGTTCGGTGGCAAGATTTCTGGAGCGGAAGGAGCTGCTGTCAAGGGCGCTAGGAGTGCGCAAGAAGCTCGGGAAGATGCTAAGCCTGCTGCGCCTATCGAGTATGTCGACTTGCGCTCGAGACTCGTTGCAGAGCTGGGATCTGGTCAGTACGACTGTAGCGTGTGCTACAGCTCCATCACGCGAAGGGTGGCCGTGTGGGGCTGCGACAAGTGCTTTGCCGTTCTGCACCTCTCTTGTGCCCGACAATGGGCTGAGGCTAGCGTTCAGAAAGCCGAAGAGCAGAATGCCATGCAGGAAGATCCGAGCATCAGAAACAGAAAAGGAACGTGGAGATGTCCGGGGTGTCAGTATTCCAGGGAGCAGGTACCTACCGTGTACAAATGCTGGGATGGACAGGTGGTGGAGCCGAATGGCGGCAAAGGAGCACCTGCGCATTCATGTGGCAGGCCGTGTGCGCGAGGGAAATGCCAGCACGGCTGCTCTGCTGGACCGTGTCATCCAGGTAAGTGCAAGAAGGATGACCTTGGGTCTGATGTGTCATTTCAGTAGAGCTAATCGTCCCTTCGCATCACAGGTCCTTGCCCACCCTGCCCCGTCACCTTGACGCGAAAATGCTTCTGCGGCTCGCAAGAGATTGCAGCTCGGTGCTCGCAGATCAGCAATTCAAGCCGCGCAGGTGCGACATCGGTCCCAGGTTCCTCAGCCGCCCAAGGAGTCTCTTGCGGATCCACTTGCGACAAGGTCCTCACCTGCGGCGTTCATCGCTGTGAGCAGGCATGCCATCCTGGACCCTGCGAAGCGTGCGACAAGCGCACCCAGGCTCCTTGCTACTGCGGAAGGGAAAGTCAAGATATGCTCTGTGGCGGAGGCGAGCCTCGCAGCAGCGCTGAGGCAGATGGAAAGGAATGGACAGGCAGATGGAGCTGTCAAAGTCAGTGCAAGAAGCGATTCGATGTGAGTACTTGTCAAAGGTTTGCGTTGTGTCTGCGAGCGCGTACTAATGCGCCGCAACTCATAAAGTGTGGGAAGCACGCTTGCGAACAGTCTTGCCACCCCGTTACAGCGCGTCCGACTCGCTGTCCTCTGGCCCCGGACCTCGTCAAGACGTGCCCTTGTGGAGCAGAGAAGCTGACACAAGTGAGGGCGGCCTGCACGGACGCCGTTCCTACGTGCACGCGGAGCTGCTCCAAGGTGCTGCCGTGCGGCCACGAATGCGTGGCCAAGTGTCACCACGGAGCTTGTCCTCCCTGCGCCGTCTCTACAACTACACCGTGTCGTTGCGGGGAGAGCAAGGCGACGCTACCTTGCCACGAACGCCAAAAGCAGATGCTGAGCAGTCAAGCGGAGGATGTGCTCTGCGGACGATCGTGCCCTGCGCTACGCCACTGCGGGCGTCATCAATGCTCCCGCCGATGCTGCCCCCTCGCCTTTCAAGCAAGGTCAAAACCGCGGAAACGCATGACTGCAGCTGATCTGGAAGAACAGGATCCGGCCGGGTTGCACGCTTGCGACTTGCCGTGCGGAAAACCGCTGTCTTGCGGACATGCTTGCCCGCTCAAGTGCCATCGGGGATCATGTCCACCTTGTCTCAGAGCAAGCTTCGAAGAGCTCATCTGCCACTGTGGAAGGACGGTGATAGACCCGCCCATCGCTTGCGGCACGCAGGTGCGCTGCAATTTTCCCTGCATTCGAGGAGGACCTCCATGTGGACATCCCAAACAACCGCACAATTGCCACGAGAACGAGGATGGATGCCCGCCCTGCGTATACTTGGTAGAGAGAGCTTGCAGGTGCGCCAAGGCCAATACGGTTCCAAACGTGCCTTGCTCGAGGTCCATCGATGTGGTTTCGTGCGGCGTTGTTTGCGGAGCGACGCTCAGCTGCGGGTATCACAAGGATGCGGCCCTGTGTCACTCGGGCAAGTGCGCACCTTGCAATCAAACGTGCGGCAAACCTCGACCGATCTGCGGACACGCGTGTCAGAAGTCTTGCCACGCTCCATCGGCATGCCCAGAGTCGGAAGCTTGCACAGCCAACATCACTTTGGAATGTCCGTGCGGCAATCTCCAACAGAGAGCACGATGCGGCGCGTCCATCCACTCCAAACCGGCGACGGATAGGAAGCTGAAATGCACCGACGCTTGTTCCATAGCTGCGCGGAATGCAAAGCTTGCCGAAGCTCTCGGGCTCAATCCGATGGAAAAAGGCGCCAAAGCGGAGTATCCCCTCCCACTCGTCGACCACTTCTTGACGAACCGCAGGGCTTGTGAAGAGACGGAAAGGGCGTTTGCGGATTTTATCCACTCTCCCAGACACGGCATGGTGCTGCCGAGTGCGGGCAAGCAGCAAAGAGATTTTGAACTGGCTCTTGCGCCCCATTACAATCTCATCGCGGAAAGCTTGGACGGCCGTTCGACGTCTCTTAGAAGACAGCAGACGAGCAAGATTCCCAGTCCGACCTTGTCTCAAGCGGCGGGCGTCGTTGCTTCGCAAAGAGCGTCGGGTCTGGCAGCGGGGCCCTCAAGGCCCACAGCACTTGGTCAATTGAAGCGTCCCGAGTCTTTGACGACATCAATTGGACCTCGCGCACCTCTGAACGCCATCCTGCTCGAAAAGGTGTTTGGTCATGATGCGACATCGCTCGAGGCTCTGTTGCACAGTCGCGCGCTCAAAGGTTTGGCTATACAGCTCAGATGGATAGGTGACGAAGATGTCGTTGTCACGAGCGATACGGTACCTGCTGCACGATTGTTGGCCGTGCCCACACTAGCAGCTCTTCGACAACACGCCAAGACGGAGCACTTTGCAGCGAGCGTCGTCGCTGTAGCATTCGACGGTCTGTCGAAGCGCGTCATAAGGAAAGACGACGGGGAGAACAAGACGGGCTCGACGAGCGCATCTGCATCTGCCTGGACTGTCAACATGTCCAGGACCGGCTCGGCATCAGGTTCGGGCACTGTTACGCCTACTCACTCGGCACCTAGGACCGGCGGCTGGGCAGCCGTAGCATCCGGTGCGCTAGCCAACAAGAACAATGCCTCTCGTGAGACCGCCAATGGGCGGTCAACGAGCGCATGGGAAAGTTTAAGCGGTGCTGGTATGCCTCGCCCTAGCGATGTCATGCCTGCGACTGCGCGAACGGGCGGCTCGGTGACGTTGAATACTTCCGCACCTCCACTTCCTGCTGCTGCATCTACCGACCTTGTCGTCGACTCGTGGGATGCGGATGATGGATGAACATGAGGTTGCAGAATTTTGCCCATGCGCGTGCAAATGTGAAAGACGTCTTGCTATACATTGCAACGTTGCAAATGTGCGATACAACTGGGCTTGGCGCGTGGTGTGAAGTTTTGAGGCTCGTGATTGTTTTCACTGCAAGCGCCCCTCGCTTCGAAGGATGATGCGCCGTTTCTTGGTCCGAAATGATCTCAAGACTTGGCGGACTGCTTTAGGGCACACTGAGCCTGACTTGTAGCATTCATTGCTGTAGAAATGAAGTCCCTTCTCTCGGCTGTCCGGGCACACAGACACCATCTTGATCACCTGCAAAGTAAGGGTGCAAAGGTGAGTAGATGCCACATACTTCAGGCACGTTCAGCCCACAACCACTTTCCTGGCCCAAGTACGCTTTTCGAATACTGTATAAATTCCACTTTCGCCCAAAGTCGACAACCAGCCCCAGATCCCTCAAGTTCTGGCTGCCCAATGCTCGAGCACGCACATTCCGGGGTTACACGTTCAAAAGGCAAGCTTGGTAGCGCTGAGGAAGTATCGCATAGCAGACCTCGAGCGCAGTCAGAAGAAGTGTGGGGCCCAAAGGCGGGTTGATGGACATTGGGCTGTCTCTGCCTTGCCAACAGTCACGGCCGCCAAGAGCCCCCTGGCTAGGTACGGGCCACTTGAAGCTGATTGGCTTGGCATTGCCCGTAGTGCTGCAAACTGTGAACATCCTGCGCTTGTGATTGACATGCACGTTGATAAGACAGGCTTTGGCGTCGCGCTATCATTGGCCAAGCCTGTATGGGCCAAGTGCTCGCCATTTTCCATGTTGACATCTGTCCAGCTCATGTGAGCTTGGAACATGCAGGAAGCGCAGTGTCGGCAAGATGAGATCACTGTCCAGCACAAGAATCAAAATGTCTCCAACAGATGGACACCACCATTGCCAAGACAAGCTGTACAAGGTGGAGCGCAACCTTGCCAGGGCTGATCCTGAAATCACCCATCAAAGAAAGCAATACAATGGCAAGATGGAGCCTTGTCAACCGTCATTCTGTGCGTTGGCGGCCTGGCCTATAAGCGCTTTGTCAACCTTCTGCAAGCATGCGGAGGCTCCGTCTTTGCACAGCAGATGCAGCCCATCTGGCAGACATTCATCTTGGCTCAATCCAGCAAATGTTTGTTGCCGCAGCATACCTCTCTGCTGGCATGGCTTCACCTTGCTTGCGCAACCTTGTCAGCAGCATCCAGGAGGGTGGAGACATGTTTCAAGTCACCTCTGATGAACACCCCCACATTACCCTTCCTGCTCGAGGTGGTTGCGCTTTTTCGCTTTATTGCGATCCTACGTTTTCCAATCAGTTGGGGGGGGGGGGGGGGGCAATCTGCTCGTCTGTTATTCAAGATTGGCACGCCAAGGCTCAAGGATGCGCAAGCAAGTGCTCAGATTGCCTTTGAGGACGCCAGCACCGTCGACTCCAACTCGCTCAAAGACGTCTTTGTTGTGGCGCGCTCCGCAAGCAGGATCATTGCTTATGAGCGCCTGCTGGAGACCACCAACAGTGGCCTCAGCAAACCCATCTTTCACCTTTGGAGACTGGGCATGATCGGCAATGCTGCTCTTCTTTGCCTTGAGCATTTTCAGGCACTGCAAACAACGCTCATGTCTTCCTTGCTTTTGGACCCCACGCGACGCACAATCATACACTTTGGCATGATCAGGCTCTCTGCCTCACAGGCCTACTTTGTTCTTCCGCGGACTACAGCAGCAGTCTTGGCCATTGCAGAAGGCATCTACGAAGCCGACTTTGCAGCAGAGAACCTGATCAATGATTGACCTGCACAAGTCTGCCAGACCGCTTACCGGCAGACCAACAAGTTTTCAAGCATTTTTGGTCGTAGTCAGCAATTGCCCTCAATTCTCTGGCATTGTGTGCCACAGATTTATAAGCAGAAGAGTCCAGTGGATGCGCCCCTCAACTGCTTTTTTGACAATCGCGTGGGCTCATGCAAGCCAATTTGGACAAGTTCAACCACAACCTTGCCCAGATTGAGTCCCAGATCACCCATCAGAGGAACGAACCAAAGGGGACATCAAGTACCTGAAGCGAGCTGCGCAAGAAGGAGGAACTTGTGGACGCGCTCGAAGACACTCTCTGGGGTCTCAAATTCCAGATCGCGACCTTCGTGCAAAGGTTCTGCACGAAGATCACCCATCATCTTTGGCCAGCGAGAGACAAAATGTCAGACCGTTTCAAAGGTGAGAGTGGCACCTTGGATCGACTCTGAGAAACATCAATTCACTGACATTCTTGTGTTGCCAGCGCTTGCGTAGAGCCTCCCCACAGTCTATATAACGCTGTCCCGGCAGCACGTACTCCACATCAATCTTCCATGCCTTCCACGTCTGCCACTGCAGGCCCCAAACTTGGTGCTGATGCGTCTCTTCAAGATCTCATCTCCAACAGGAGGTGCGCGGGCCAAGCGGAGTCCCTGTGGAAATTTCCTTGAGTGGCTTTGCCAGAGATCCAGCAAACACTGAAGAGTCTCAAATCTCAACACAAGCTTGGGCGTCTGACCATGAAAGCGATGATGGGAAGGTTCTCCTCCCCATCTGCGCCTTACCACGGCACTTGACTTGACAGATGAGGACATGCAAGAGATCTGCAAGAGGTCGGCATCGCCCACAAATTTGGACATCTTGGTGGCGCTTCTCAGTGCTCCTGGCAACACCAAGGATGACCTGTAACTTGATCCAAGTGTTGGCTCTTCCACTGCTGATCTTAAAGCAGCTTTTGACCATTCCAAAGTGATTTGCAAACATTCGCCAAGCCAGCGCAATGTCCTTGTTGCTGATATGGATGTTACTTGGTTCTTGTCAGAATACTGTCAATGTCTGGGCAAAGATGGAGCCTTCTAGCAAGGCTCTGTGCCCTACAAACTCCTCAAGAGCTGCCAAGCTATCAGCTTGGCTGCTGAAGAGCTGGCAGCTGCCATGGATCTGATGGTCTTCATGGCCAAGCATGTACATGACGTGGCCACTTTCTGCACCTGCACAAAGGGCCGCAAATGAGTTCATCGCTGCTCCTTCTTGTGCTTGCTGTTGTAAAAGACAAAGTAGAGGTTGCCTTCTGTGTGCTGGCTTGCAGTTGCTGTGATTGCAGGTGCGGCAGCTGCAGGGGAAGAGGAGCAATCCACATACTTGCCTCAATTGCTTGTGCTGAGCAGGTCGATGTCCATGGGGTCCACATTGAATGCTTGCTCAGCAATGCTGGACAGCGCAAACATGCCACTGGGGTCGCAAAAAGTCCCATCCTTCCAGACTTTGAGCATTAAAAATACGCTGTCCAGCTTTGCATCTTCGCCTTCAACATCCAACGGCAAGGGGCACGGGTTCCTGCAGCGCCCATAGAACATTGCGCACCTGCCCAGCCCTTCTGCCTCTTCCACACTCACCTTGATCACACCATCCCCTGCTGGGTGTGTTCCTGTGCCGCAGAGGTAGCTGGTTGCTAGCTTCTGGCACTGTTCCTGCCTCTGTGCCTCCAAGCCCTGCATTGCAGAGAGCAATGCTGCGGCCCTGATGCAGGTCAGGACAATACAGGCGCGCGCAGAAGGATGTTCGTGCTTTGCCATGACCAAGCGGAGCGTGGTGATGAGCGGCGTTCTTGAGCTGCCAGTCTTGATGCTCAGCACATTTGGCACCACGTTGATGGGGTGCAAGCGCGGCTCAGATGGGTTTGGGCAAGAAAAGGTGCGCCCGAGCGTGTCGAAGTGCGGGTGCACAATCACCTTGGCATGCTGACACTCTAGCCTGTACGACAGCATATGATATGCACCGTCACCAATAGCAACAATGGAAGTGCGTGGATTAGCCAGCCACTCTTGCAGTGTCTCTGCCCCAATGACGTAGGGTGATCTGACCACCACCTTGCATGCAGCCAATTTGCATTGCAATCTTGCCTCTGTCTCCGTCTGAATTGTCTCTCCCACCGCACCTTCCCACAGCACCACAACGCGTGGGCGCAAGAGGGGTGGGGAAAAGACAAGGCAGCGCCATTCCTTTTGCAGAGTGTGGTTGTTTGCGCCCACAAACTTGATCAAGCTGACCTGTTTGCCCATTGGAGCCTCTGCCAGTCTGCTTGATTTGGAATTTTGCTTTGGTGCCCTGTGGCCTTTTTGCATGTTGGCAAGGTGGTACACACCGCAAACACTAATGCAAAAGGCTTCAAAAGCGTACAGCTCTGGCAGTCCAAAGCCTGAGTTCAGCTCCTGGACTGCCACCAAGACTGCAAGTTTGACCCTCTCTACGGAAATGCCTAGCATCTTCATGGCATATGCAAGAAGGGAAGCACCCCTTCTATGCGCTCAGCCATGTCCGCATCACCCTGCAAAATGCTTGTAGCCATGCCGCTGGATGTCTGCCCAGGATAAGACACTGCACGCAGTATTGTGGCATTGCGTGCCTCCAGCTCTTTCCACAGCTGGTCCTGCTCTCTTGAGGTGGCTGTGCTCTCTGTCACGGCCGACAACGGCACTGGCCGGGGAGGCTGGGGCTACGCTTGTGTAGTCTGGGAACGTCGAGTTTGGCTTTGGGAAGCTCAGGTTTGGCTTTGGGAAGCTCAGGAAAGACTCTGGGTGATCAGGCAAGTATGCTATACTATTGCTAGAGGGTTTGTACGCTTCGGTGACTATGGCACAGAAGCGAGGCAAATCCTAAGATAGCAGTGAATGGACAATAATTGCGACAGGGTGGGAAGGAAAGGTAAGGGGCGCCCGCCGGTGAAGACGTTGGTCACTGCCGTCGGGCGGCTCATCGGGCGCGGTCACGTGGGTCGGTGTGGTGTATCTCGGGCACGCGTCTAACACTCTCTTCCTGCCGTGGCTGCAAGTCACATTGGCCTTTGATTCCTGCAGCTGTAAAAGACATAGTGAAAGTCCAATTCTGTGGGAGCATTGTGCTGCTGGATAGCATTTACAGATGGGGGAAAAGATAAGCCTTTGGTACTTGCCACCGTCGCAGGTAGGGCTGCAGGTGCTGCTGGAAGTTTGTGTCAGCAGCCGTGCCGTTGTCTCGTTACTGCTCTGTAGCTTGGTCCGCCACATCTGACCTTGAAATGGTACTTGACAGGTGATCGAAAAAGACTTTGAGTGCGAGACAAATGCTATCCAGCTGGTGATCCAGCTCCTCTACATGCAGGGGCATTGGAGACACGTGTCTACTGCGCATCTACAGTATGGTGCACCTGCTACCCTCTTCACCTTCTCCATGCTCAACGTCCATGCTAACTTATTGCACACCACCGGGTCTTCACCTCATTTGCTCAAGCGGTGAACGAAGGATTCCACCTTCTGCAAGCATTCGCCCGACGCAGCCGCTCGGGTCCGCTGTTATAGTTCGTTTTGCACGAGCTATGCCGATACCTGCCGACTCCATCGCAGCTTCTCCCTTTTCCTTCGCGACCCCACCCGACGTGCTGAACCAAGCGCCAGCCCATTTTGCGACGTAGCGTGCAGCTCAGGCAGCAGAGCATGGGAGGGTCAATATCACCGCCTCTTGGCAAGGCGTGCTTACTGGGAAGCCCCATGACCCCACGACTGGATTGCGATCTCGAAAGGGCAAGCATCAGCATTGACCGCTATCAAAAGACTTCGCAAGAGGAGCCGCTTACATCCAGGTCGAGCGTCCGAGCCTTTGATTCGACGCATCGCGATTTACATCAAAGGAATGTACGAGGCTGCAGTAACAAGAAATTCTATTTACACTGAAGGTCAAGCGGCGGCAAGGAGTCTCTCGAGCGCTCTATCCACCTTGTAGTTGCTCTTTTCCAGCGCTTGAATCACTTTTTCCCTCGAGAAGCCCATCGCGCACAACTGTCTGACTGGTCCAGCATCATCGGCGGCAGCAGGAGAGGGGGCTGGACTGACACCACCTCCTCGGCCAGGCAGCGACGGAGGCGCTGCAGAAGAGGGCGCTAGACCTGACGCAGGAGGTGGACCTGGTGGTGGGAGATAAGGTCCACCTGTGCTCGGCGCGGCCGTGGCGGGAGTAGGGTTGAATTCATCCGCAAATGAGAATCCGCTGCTCGTGTTGCTGTTCTGCTCAGCTCCATTGGCGCCGGAGCTTGCGTTGAATGATGCAGCAAAGTCATCGAATCCGAACCCGCCAGGAACGGCATCCGAGCTGGGGGCCGCCTGAGCAGTCTGTGGAAATGCACTGCCAAAAGCGTCGTTTGCTGGCTGAATCGATCCACGCGCAGTGGTCGGCGCAGCAGCATTCGGTGCCGTCTGCCCGTTAGAGGTGCTGAAGGACGGAACGAAGTCGAATCCATCTGCGTCCCCGAATGCGTCGTCGAAACTAGGCAAGGGAGGCGCACCAGCACTAGTGGAAGTAGCCGTATTGGTAGCAGGAGCAGCCGGACCCAAGTCTTCGAAGGCCGAGTCAAAGTCGTCGAAAGAAGTCGCCGTAGAAGGACCCCTTGTGGCTTGCGCGCCTGTAGTTGCTGCAATACCGGACTCGTCCACCGCCGCTGGCAATGCAACAGTCTCCTGGAAAGGACTGCTGGCGTCCGCACTCGCTGCAGTATTGCGCACGGGCTTCGGAGGGGGTGCGCGTCGATTCTTGGTTGCGGCAGGGCTCAAGGAGCGCTCACTGGCGTTCGAGGGCTGCGCTATACCTGCACTGGAGGCGAGAGCCGGCTCTGCAGCCGTGGTGAAGCGCTCGTGCCCAAAGTCTTCTGAAGGAGCACCGATAGATGAGGCAGTATTAGTCACGCCTGACGCATTCGCCCACTGCGATGCTCCAAAGCCGCTAGCCGTGTTGGGCGTTTCGGACGGGGCATCCACAAACGTATCGTCTCCAGTCGTCTGAGCGGTGAGAGGGGCTGTCGTAGGACCTGAAGCGGCTTCAAGCGAAGACGAGACGGGTACGACATCGTCCTCATCTAATTCAGGGAAGCGCTCAGCCGCTTGCGTCGTGGTATTCGCGGGTGGCAGGGACGCCAAAGGTGCCTGTGGAGTCTTGCCCGAACCTACCTCTTCAGGCGAGGTAACGCGCTCAATGTCTTCAGGCCCCTCATCATCGTCCGAGCTGTCGGCATCCTCTTCCTCTCTCCGTGGCTCTTTGCCCTTGGACTCTGAGACGCCGAGTGCTGGCTGAGCTCTGGGCGGATGATCTGCGAGGATGGAGTGCGCGGCGAACCCCTCGTCGCCAAGGATTTCGCGCTCTTCCGCGGCAGGTGACGCAGCAGTGGGCGGTATCTTAGCAGCACCCTCGTTGATCGCGCTGATGGCACCGGGAGGCGCAAAGCTGTCTTCAAAGTCTTGAAACGCGTCAGCGGGAGCCGTGACACTCTCAGCGGCGGCCTTCACTGGAACAGCAGTGTGTTCCGCGATGGGTTGCACGTCCGCCGTCTCGGCGATCGTAGTAGAAGGGAGAGCGACCGAGTCGCCCTCAAGATCAGCGAACGCTTCGTCGAAGGCTGATCCACCGGTCGTTTTGCGCTCCAGCGAAGGTGCGGCAATGACCTGCTTGGGTGCTTCGCTGTCCAATTCAGCCTGCCCAAAATCATCATCGAAGGCAGCGCTGCTCTCTTGCGGCGGCGTGGGACCGAGACCTGGCTTGGGTACACCGAATGGATCCACATCGTTGGCTGCTGCAGGCGGCGGTGTTGGCGTGGCATCCGCATCTGCGCCTGCCTGTGCCCCTGCGTGCGTCACACCTGCGCCTGCGAGACCCAGATCCGCACCCGCTGCAGCACCGCCAGCTGCCAAAGAAGCTGTGCGTGCATGAGGAGTGCCTGGAGCGGACTCCGCGTTGGCAGCGTGGAAACGATCGAACGGATTTGTGCTGCGGACGCTGCCTGCTGGACTGAGCACGGGAGAAGTCACGCTTGCAGGCGTTTGACCAGCCCCTGTGGTCGGGTCATTACCGCTCTCGAGCACTTCTCCGCTCTCGACAGCAGAAATATCAGAGCGGAGCTTATCGCCTTCGCTCTCTGCAGATGATAATTGCTTCCTCGAGATTGCAGTCAATCCCTTCTGCTGACGAGCTTCCTTTCGAAGCTTCTCGAGCGCAGTACGAAGTGTGTTGTTCTCGGCCTGCAGCTCTGCCATACGCTTCTTCATATCGCGCACGTCCTCGCGATCGCGGAGCACGGTCTGCTCTATCTCGTCCTTTTCAGCTCGCAGAGCTGAAAGGTCGCTTTCCGCCCGAATCGTCTCTTCGCGGAGCGTCTTGAGCTCAGCTGCCTGCGACGTCGCCCTCTCTTGGAGTGTCTTCACTGCGGCAGACTCCTTGTCATGAGTTGCTCGCACGACGGTCAGACGCGATTCGAGCTCAGCGATATCTGTAGAGTTCGTGCTTACGGTCTGCTCGAGTTCGGCTCGTTTACTTTGCAGCCCGGTGAGCGCTTTGTTTGTGCTGTCCAGAGCCAGTCTCTTGTTGCCCACCTCGGCCGAAGCGTCGGTAACCGGCGGCACAGGTGACGCTGCAGCTCGGATTGCCGAATTGTTGCCGGTGACGGCAGGAGACAGAGCGCTTGGGGTAGCTGCAGCTGCCACAGGCCCGCTGAAGAAGTCGTCGTCGAAAGGACCGGTGCCCTTCGGTGCGGGAGGTGGCGGAACAGCAGATACCGAAGATGTTGGCTTGACAAAGGCACTGGCAGGATTCACTGGAAGTGCGGTGGGTTCGTCGTCGTCCATAAGACTGAACAGATCTTTTTGGGTGTCAGACTCTTGAGGATTGACGGCAGCCGGAAGATCTCGCCCCCGTAGACTGGGCGGAATCAAGCCAGCAGGAAGCTCTTGAGGCAGTTGCGATCCGGTCAAAGCCCCATTGATGAGGTGCATTGCCACAGCAAATTCGTCCCGGCTCAGATTACCAGACTGAGTAATGTCGGACAGATCCCTGCCAGAAGGAACGACTCTCGTCAGTGTCACATGCGATCTGAGGTAGACGCTACCTCGATCGAACTCACCAGACGTGGGCAAGAGTTGCTTCTGGAAGGCCGCTCTGCATGAAGAAAGGCACAGCAGCTTGACCTTCCAGCGTACCTTTACGCTCGGTATCCAGCCCGTCGAAGAAACGATCAGCCTTCGCCTTATCTGCGGGACTAACGAGCCAGTCGCCTGCCAGCGTGGGCACTGCAGCAGGAGCGCCCGTCTGCTGCGGACTCAAGAAACCAGAGGGTCTTGCTCCTAATGGCTGGCGGATGGTAGAAGCGGGTGGAGAGGTAGGCGCTTGGGAGAAACCCTGCCCAGTGAGCTGCCGCGGAATACCACCGGGAATACTGCCGCCAGTGTGCTGCGCTGTCAAGCCACGAGAGGGACTGCCGGGAGGGACAGCAGCGCCTCCGGCGGCCTGCTCGTATAGACCCGGTGGTAGGGTCGCCGGAAGCCCAGCGCTACCAAGGGAGCCATTCATCGAAGCTTGCAGGAAGTGCATGGCGATGATGAAATCCGTCAAGTCCAGAGCACCGCGAGAACGTGTATCCGCGAGTCCCCAGATTTGACCAAGCTGGTCGAAAGGGAGCTTCGATCGGACCAGAATGCCCTTTGCTTTCTCGCCTGAGGAGCGAGAGTCAGGTATCGACGTCAGCCTTGAGACATGATACCCTCTCCATGCAGCCTGACTCACCGTCTAGTAGACCGTTGACAGGTCCAGAGCTGGCAAAGATGCGAGTATATCGCGCTCGATCTGCCGGCGACACTTGTGGCACTTGAGCAACAGAGCTCGCCCGAGTCGGCGTAGCCTGAGCGCCCGGGAGCGTGACACCTTCAAAGCTAGGCGGCGGTCCAGGCTGGGAGAGCATACCTTCCAATTGGTCCGCCGCGGTACCACGCTGGGCGTGCCCGAGCAGACGCATTGCGACGGCCCATTCCGCTTTGCCCAGGAAACCATTATTTGCGCGATCTGCGAGGCTCCAGATAGCGCCCAGAACGGTGCCATCCAGCGCGGGTCTGGACTTGGAAAAGAATTGAACGGCCGAGGATCCGGTGATGATGCCACTCGAGGCGGGATCGGCGGCTGCGAACAGTGCAGCAAAGGCTGGTCGCTCTAGCGGGGTGAGCTGAAGAGGGGCCACAGGCCCTGACCCAGCCGGAGTAGTCATGCTTGTCAAGCCTCACGAGCTGAGTGTGTGCCGATGATTGGAAGCTGTTGTAGTGTAGGCCGTCAAGGCTTAATGCGGTCTCGACTCGTGTACCGGGTGCATGTGGGTTGGGTGTAGGATGGTGATCGGTGAAGGCACGGACATCGCCTTGGAAGGTGTGTTGGCGGGAGTCGTCAGCATGCGCAGTCGCCCGCCCCACTTTCGGCGCTGAGGCCCGGCGATCGAGCCACCCTAGCTGGGCTGCACCAGCAAGGCGCGATCATCTCCACACATGCAACCGCAAGATCTCAGAGGGAAGCGATGCGCCTGCATGTGTATTTGCACAGCACGCTGATTGCGCTCGCGGCGGGTGAACGAACGGTTGAGGGATTTCGAATCTCAAAGTCATGAAGTCTTCAGAGTTCAAAGGCATAGTCTAATCAAGACGTAGGCACGAGCTTGGGTGCTAATGCCCCACGTGATGTACAATTGAACAATTACGAATCAGGACCCTATTTTGATTTCGTACGTGCAGGTAAGCCGGCTCCCCAGCAGGGCTGCGCAATCGTGATCCACACTTTTGACTTATCAGCAAGACGACGTGCGTGCACTTCTTGAGGCTGCTTCGCCAGCTTTATCACTTTGACACCCTCACGCCTCCATCTCATCATCGATGGCCGAGCTGCCCATCAGCATCGAGGACCCATATAAACACCACGCATCGCACTAGGCTCGCGAGTCTGTCCTCCGGTCACGGCTGTGCGGCTCTAGGCACGAGTCGTGAGATCCTAGCATGAGCGTACTGGGATAAGGTCCAGGGGCGCTTCGTGCGCGACGAGCCCTGAATCTCAGTTTGATGTATTTCAAAGCCAGTGCCTACAGCGCATGCATCAGCCATTATGTGGTCAGGTATTCCTGCTCTACTAGGGGAAGCCCTCGCCAGCTTGCCCGGATTACCGATTGCGGGCGCCTGGAGCATTTCCTCTGCCCTTCAACGCCGTCTACTCTCCTACTTGGTACGGCGCACGCTTGGTCACCTCCTTAAGCCTGGTTCATTGGATGGCGCGCAGATTGATGCTGGTATTGGGTCCGGAAAGTTAGAGATAGCTCACCTTGAGCTGGACAAGCATGTGAGTCATTCCCCATGCGTAGTGACAGCGGAGGAGACGGCGAAGCACGCGCTGACCTTGAATGTGGTCCCAACCTCAGGCTGTAAACGAGCTGCTTGAGCCGCTGCCAGTGCGTCTGGCGTCTGCCACTTTGGGGCTCGTGGCGCTTCAGCTTCCGGCTCTGAGCAATTTGTGGGCCGGCGAGGTGTTGCTAAAGGTGGCAGATGTAAATCTCCAGCTGGATCTTTTTCCCAGGCAAGATGCATATGCGCCAGCTTCTGCCCCTTCAATGTCAGAGAACGGCCATTCAGAACTGGATGCGGGTGGTCTCGAAGCCTCGATATTGAGCGCTGCTGAATCGATGCTTTCGGTCGATCCGGAAGGAGAGCAGCTGCAGCGGGACCTGGCAAACTCTGTTCTGGAGGACAGTGCCGGTCCATCACCTCCGGAGCCTGCAGTGTCTGCCGTCGCCGGCTCGGTGTCCTCCTCCATGGTAGAGAATCTGCTATCGCGACTCAAGATACAAGTCGCTTCCGTGCGCATAGGGGTCCAAAATCAACCTGAGGGGCAAGACGAGCTCAAGGAGCGAATATGCCTTGAAGCACGCGTAGACGCGATTGCCTTCAGCTCTAGTGCTGGTCCGCTGAGAGCAGCGGGTACCAAAGTGGAGGATCCGATGGCATTTGTCCAAGACCTGACCCGATCTGCAGCGTTCGAGGGAGTTACCATCTGGCTGGATGCTAAATCAACCTCAAGCAATTCTGCAAGAAAATCATCCCCGCGCAACAGCTCCGCCTCATCGGACTCGTCGAACGACGCACGCTCCGAAGACGGCTTCATGGAGATGAGCCAGGCAACGCACGATGTTAGACACAGCATGGGGTCATCGACCGCAAGTGTTGGCGCTAGTATGTACGCAAGCGCTCACGAGCAGCACGAAGTCTCCGTAGACAAAGCGCACTCTGCATCGCCGATGGGAACCTCCTCTACATCAAGCCGGATGAAGAGGACCAGAACGTTGTCCGTGGAGCTTCCTGGCCCACAAATGATCATGAAGCTCGACGATCCGCACATCGCGGTAGAGTTTGTGTCTCCTAGATGCGCACAGATCGACCGAGCGGCGGCTGCGAGGGCTGGACTGCTTCCGCCATCTGACCGCAACACCGAGGTTCTTGGAAACACGGAGCGCCTTGGTAGTCAGTCATCTTCGCTCAGCTTGCGTTTCGGCACACTAGCCGCATACACAAGCCCCCTGCAGCTTGCCTCTCTGTTGGTCCTGTGCAGCCAGCTGAGGGCAGCCTTCGCTGCTACACGTTCCCAAGCACAGCAGCGGCCGCCGACCAAGCCATCAAACAGTCAAGGGCTTCAAGTGTCTGTAAAAGTACCGCACGTGCAGTGGGTTTGCGCTTACGAGTCTCCAGATGGGTTGGGCGCTGCAGATCGCCAAGAATTTGCCTCGACGCTGGACAGCTATTGGCAGAGACCTAACCGCGCACACCCGTTCATTGGGCATGTCCGCCTTCACATGTCCGACGTTGCCGTTTCTCTCGCCCCCAACAATGACGAGGCGGAGATTGCTGTTGGGGACTTGATGGCAAGCGAGCATCTTTCTCCATCTTTATGGAGGGCTGCGCAGACTCGGGGACACAACCCTGCTTCTATCATTCCTTTATTACTGGTAGACCTTGCCCTTCAGCACCAATATGAGGTGCCCTTAGGCAGCACAGCAGGAGGAGACGTTTCTGAGTCTGCGCCAAGCACGATGTGGCACAACTTCTCGATTGACACGCTCGATTGGCGCAGCTCAGAAAGTCGTCATGAAGAGCCGAAACATCGCAATCCATACTGGCGCACGAGCTGGGGCGACCGAGCTTGGAAGTTGCGACCTGGTCGACGGAACACGCAGAGTCAAGTGACATTTGCTAACCAGAGGATCTCATCGGAGACTCGACCTGCTTCTGTGCCTGCTATACAGGCAAAGCTGTCCGGCTTAGACGTCAGGGTCATTCTCGCACCGGTACACCTCTTTGCGGATTTGTCACTTGCGAGTAGACTTGGGCATCTCTTCCGCACAGTTGCCGTACACACCCAAGCCTCGAAAGGCTCGGATGACACTACGCAAGAAGACCTTGGACTTAGCATCGCTACTTTGCAGCCCCTAAGTCCCAGCAGCGACCGCATTCCAGACGTATCGAGCGACCAAAGACAACCCCATTTCGGTCTGAATTGCCAAATTTTACGCGTGAGCTTACGAGTCCCATCGGGAAACGCGGAACCGCTCGACGCTGGCATACCGCTCCGAGCGGGCCTACTCACCTTGGACATCCATGACATCAAAGCGCAAGCACCAGCGAAGCACGCAGCGAAGCACGCAGCGAGTGATGCTGCCTTTGCGCAGAAACATGCACAGCCGAGGGACCAGCCGGAACGAGATTCGGGAATGAGAACGGAGTATCACGACTTGGCGCAATGCACCATCGGCCACCTCGTGACGTTCGTCATGGCCCCGTCCGAGGCACAAGCCACGATGCTCCTGAGCGTTGGCAGACTGGGCGACGACTGCGCCCGTGCTCAGGGATCGACAAAGCCGGACATTTCACAGCCAATGCAAATCAGTGTACAGCAGCCCAGTGCCTCAAACTCTTCCGTCATCGACGTCGTTCTCCCGAGCATCGAGGGTTACTTGAGCAAAGCTGTATTTGACAGCTTGGTCCTTCTCCTGGACGATCTGAGCCAATGGTCCTCAAGTCTTGGCGAAAGCACTCAGTGGGACGGTCCCGATGGCTCAAGCGCAGATGCGCTTCGAATTTTAGGTTCCCGCTTCTTTGGCGCTGCAGTGGGCCAGTCTGGTGCTTCTGGAAGCTCTGAATCAGGCACGACTGCAAATCAGCTAAGAGCACGCTCGAAAGGCTCCAAAAAGTTCGAGCTCAAAGTGGCTCAGACATCTCTCGTCCTCAATCTACCCGCTGAAACAGAAACAGGAAGTGCCAGGCAGCAAGCCTTGAAAGCACGCGTCTTGGACCTCTATCTCAGTGTAGATCCTTCCCATGGAGCCCTCTCGACACTCTCGAATTTGAGGGTCTCATCGGTGGCAGTCGACCGCTTTGACGGCATAAGTAGAAGAGCGGTACTTGCTCGCACCTTACCAGCAGAGCTCACCAATTCGGCGACTTCCATGATCTCCGTCCACGTGCTATCTCTCGCAGAGGAGGGTACTAGCTACCGAGAGTCCAAGGTAGATGTTGTACTCCGGGATTTTACGCTGGTCGCGTGCCCACCTACCGATCTTGTCTTCTTGGCAGACCTTCAAAGGTTTGCGCGCTCTCCTGAGGGTGCTTTTGAGCACGTGGAGCCCAATGAAATGACGCGGCTTTCTGTGCGCGTGCAGGGCGCTTCCATCCTCATCTTGACGCAAGCTGCGCTCTCTGAGCGGCCTGAGGCGGTGGAGATCTCCAAGACACCATCAGCTCATCAAGTGCCTGCAGAAGCAGCGCTCGTCCTCGGTGACGTCGTGGTCAAGACGAAGCTTTCGCCCTACGCTCCTCGGACCAACATCAAGTATGCCCTCGGCGACGTCAGAGCTTTGATCACTGAAAAAAGCCTTGAGCGCCCCGGAGGAACCCTCAGACCTCAGACCCCGACCGAGCATTGGCGCTCGCGAGGTTTTGCCAGCTTGGCCAATCTACGTGAGCTGCGTGGGTCGGTCACACTGAGCTCTCTGACTAGACCTGAGGTTGACGTGAAGGCCGAAGTCGTGCGCTTGGACGTCACAATGTGCGCAGACACGCTCAGTATTGTGACGTGCATGGTCGAAGCGCTGCACATTGCGTCTACCGAGCCAGTGAACAAAGAAACATCACCAGTTCATCATGAAGCTCAAGTTCTACGCGGGATGGCGCGCCCATCCGGCTCAACCACACCCGGAAGCGCTGGATCCGATAGCAACGACTCGCAGGATCTTCTTGCAAGCCTCGATGAGGACGCTTTTCAGCGCCGCGAGCAAGGGCCTTTCGTCGACTCTGCTGCAGATCTCGTGGATGATGATGTGCCGCGAAATGCTGGTTTCTTGGGCGTTCGTGCGCGCTCACCAGAATATGTCGCTACCGCCTTGCAAGACGACGACTTCTTGCTGAGCGAGGCGTCTCTCGAGACTGTTGAGAGGGTGATGTCTCCGACATCAGGCGATACCTCAATACTCTTCCAGAACGAATCTGTCACTGCACGTGCACTCGATGCTCGAGGTATTAGACCGGTGCTTGATTATTTCAATGACCCGAATCTGAGCCCCGAACAAGGCATGCCACTCTTGTGAGTCACGCCGATGTGCTCAAGACGCTTCTCAAAGTCTTGTATTGTGTCACCTTGAAAGCATGCTAACGCATCTCCCTCACGTGTACAGAGCTTTTGCAAGCTCTGTGCGCGTCCGCGTCGACAATTGCGACGTAACCTTGCGTCTCTACTCTGGATACGATCGACCGTCGAGCGAGGCGGCCATTGAAGCAGAAGTCAGACGCGTCCGCAAGCGACTACAAAAGATCAAGCAGATGCTCGATGAAGGCCAGACTCCTGACGATAGCGTTGAGGATGCAGCTGGAAGCTTGTTCGATTCGATCTTGCTAGCACCTCCCGCGCCGCTGCATGAGCTTGATGCTGACGCCGCCATGCAGACATTGGACGACCAAGTCGACCATCGCCTTGAGACGTCTACCGACACAAGTGCTTGGGAAGCTTTCCCAGCTGCCAAGGGAGCTGATGGCGCCAGATTTGGCAACAGCGCGAAGCCGCGCGGCAAGTTGAAGCGTTCTCGTCATTCCATGATCGACATTGAGGTGCGGGGCGTTGAGGCTGAATATGATGCGTACGGGCATCGATCGCCTCTGGCTTCTCGCCTTGCCGTCAATGCACGCATGCTGCAGATCTTGGATAACATCAAAACTTCTACCTGGAACACCTTTCTCACTAAGATGCGGATCAAGACTGAGGCGCATCGAGAGCACGCAGACTCTCGTATGCTCCGATTGGAAGTGCGCAATGTGAGGTCCCTGGAAGGGGGCTTCAAAGCGCCAGAACAAGAAGCGCCAAGGTCCACCAAGGAAGAGGCTAGGGTGCGAGCGAAGCTTGCTCCCTTGAGATTACACGTGGACCAAGACGCTCTAGATTTCTTCAAAAAGTTTTTCGCCTGGAAACCGATTGGAGCTGAAGCAGCCCCTGCTAATGAATCGACTGCGTCCAGCGAGCCCTTCATTCGTGAGTCTTGTTGCACCAGCAGGACATCAGGTGCTGCTCTCCTGATCTATCATTCTCTCCTTGTCAGAGCATGCCGAGATCTATCCGATTCGTCTGAAGCTGGATTATAAGCCGAAGCGCGTAGACTACGGTCTTCTGCGTGCGGGCAAGACAATCGAGATGATGAATTTCTTCCACTTTGATGGAGCAGAGATGACCCTGCGTCATGTCACTTTACGAGGTATTACCGGCTGGCCTCGCTTCTTCGACACGTTGAACGACATATGGACGCCCGACGTCAAAGCCAATCAGTTGGCGGACGTCTTGTCTGGAATCGCACCGGTCCGGAGCGTCGTCAATTTAGGAGCGGGTGTTGCAGATCTGATCCTATTGCCCATTGAGCAGTATCAGCGCGATGGGCGTCTCGCGCGCGGATTGCAAAAAGGTGCTGCGAGCTTTGCCAAAACGACTGCTCTGGAAGCGCTCAAGCTAGGTTCCAAGCTCGCCACTGGAACGCAGGTCATTCTCGAGCGGGCAGAACAGATGCTTGGAGGTTCAACGGCGCTTCCCGAGACGGTATTCCGAACAACGACAGTGAATCAAGCAAAAGTGGCCCCTGCTGACAGCTTCGAGGAGGGAGAGGACGCGACAGATGCGCTCTCCAGCTCGGTCATCACTCTCAGTCCACCTGAAGACAAATCGACGCCGATCAGTCGATACGCCGAAGCTCCCGAAGATCTGCGGCAAGCGCTATCGGAAGCATACGGTGGTCTCTCGAAAGGCTTTTCTTCTGCAGCGAAAACCATCCTGGCAATTCCTATGGAGGTGCACGAGCGCGAAAGCGGATCGTCAGGCTCTAGCAAGCCAGTCATACGAGCCGTTCCAATTGCTATTTTGAAAGGAGCAGCTGGCACTTCTGAAGCCCTCGGCAAGACTTTGATGGGTTTGCAAAGAGAGGTCGAGGGCGATTTGCATGTTGCGGAGGAAAAGTACAAATCGTCGAGCGCGAGAAAGGGGAAGGAGAAAAAGAGATGAGACTATATGGCTGGACTCGAACTCGGCTTGCAAAGTCGATGCTGAGATTGTCCCACATTGCTTCTTCTCGCCCTTGCTGATTCGGGCCAACGGCGCCAGAAGAAGACCGACCCGCGGCGTGTCGCGCCACAAACGCCGAATGCGCACAATGTTAGCATGTCTATTGCATTGTACACTCGATTCCGACCGAAGCGCAAATTCTCATCCATCTGTTTGTCAGGTCAGACTTCAAATCAAGTGACCAGATCCCTTCAAATGTACTTTAGAACTCGCCTCGAGCAATGTGATCCACTCTTCGGCAATGTGGCTCACACCTCCAGCAGCTCGTCCATCAATCACACGCGTCATGTCCCGTCCAGGTCCTTATTTCTGGCTTGCAAGCTTTGCTTCCTCCAATCCGAATGAGCCGCTAAGCGACCGGTGAGCTAAAGCTTCGCAAGATTCGACCTTCTGCTCGAGAGCAGGAACCAGGAAATCGATGACGCAGGCATGGCATCTAGCTTCCATCACCGTTGCTTCTGAACAACATCATCACGTTACGCGCGCAAGCTCTGACCCAAAGCATGATCCAAGTCTACAGTCCAATCGCAATCAACATTGCCAGTGTGAGAATAGTGCACTTCAATCACCGCAAAGCATTGCGTATCGTATCTGGGGGACATGTCACCTCCAAACGGTCCATTGAGCCACTGTCCACATGATCCAAGTCAACGCGAACGCAAGTCCCACGATTCTGTGAGTTTTTGTTCCTGCCAAGATGAGCAGGGCGAGGGAAGAGAGGCTAGCAAAGAGCAAGAGAGCCAAAGAGGACAGGGAGAGCAGGAGGAGGTCTTGCGCTTCGAGAGGCCCCGAGGTGGGCGCGAGGCTGCTCGACAGGGTTGCATACTGATCGTTGGGTACCGACAGGTCTAGCAGGAGAGTAGCAGGATCCGACGACAAGCTGGAAGAGTGGGAAGGGGAAACGTCGTGCGTCACTCCTGCCAACAGCGAAAGACCCACTCCGAAAGTGAGCAGAAAGATGTTTTTGCTGGAAATCTCGACCAACAATCCGTCCAGATTTGGTTGTTGCTCATTGATCACGTTCCATATTCTACTCGGAAGACTGACGAGCGCCGGGAGCAATGTGAGCGCCAAGAGGGGTAGACGCATGTCGATATTGCGGGCGAGATGGATGGCCGAGTGAGGGATTAGCACTCCACCTGCAATCATCAGTGCCAAGCTGGCGATGAGAACAAAGAAGTGAAAGGATAACGCGGATCGAGGTTGATTTCGAAGACGAGAAAGGAGCGGAGTGGTGATTGTAGTGTGAGCGCCCGAAGCTTGCGCTAAAAGTCCAGCAGGTACAAAGGAAGCTGCAGATCTTTCAGAGTGAGCAGAGCGCGTCTCTTCCACTTCGCCGGACTCTGAATCTGCGTCAGAGGAAGATGCGGAAGAAGCATCGTCGTCTGAATCTGGATCTTCGGGATGTTGCAAATGTCCTTTGTACAGGGCGAGCGCTGTGAAAGCTAGGTATGCCACAAAGACGACGACAAGTAGAATTCCGTTGATGTGCGCCGCTCTCTTCATGTACCTCGACCATCGCGATTTGAACAAGGGAGGATAAACGTCGAATGTAACCCCGAGAAGGATGGCGATGGGAATGCAAAAAATGCTTTGCAGAAGAGTGTAATTGATCGATGAGGTGCTGAAAGAGCGCAGGGAGCGACGAGGAAGAAGGACAAGATGTACACCGAAGAGCAGGGTGTTGTTGAGTAAACACGTGCCCACAGAGATGCTGAGGATGAGATCAGGTCTGTGTTGAAGGAGGGAAAAGATGATGATGACCAGCTGGCGATCACGGCGCGTGTGTGACAGTGGTGGATGAGCAGGGTGTATGCTATGCTGCCGGCACTGACATCGACCTTGCACTCACCTGCTCCCACGCAATGCCGCTCAAAAGAAGCGCAACGATCGTCTCGTGCACTTTTGCCCTCCTAGCGATCACGCAAGCAGCGTCTAAAGTCCATTTCGTCGCTAGAATCAGCGTCAATGTGGAGCTGATCAGCGTCGCTATCGTGTATGACGCCGAGGCTGGCAACGACATGTTCTCGCGCGCGATTTGAGACGCCGAAGCGGGCATGAGCTGCGAGAAGGCAGGCATGGCCGGTCGATGATTTGGTTAAAAAGGATAGCAGGACCAGGTATTGGGAGCTGAACAATGTGAGTGTGGGATGGTAAGGAAACTTCCGATAGCGCAACAGTGCGACTGTGAAGCGAAACGTGCGTGAACCCGCAACGAGGAAAGGGACCGGACCGCTTTACAGCATTCGATCCGTCCAATGAACAGACTGAGTCTCGAAGCGAATGGTGACACCGTGCAAGGCTACTTGGGATGATGGGGTTTGGAGATCAAAGCGTTCGCCCCTCACTCACAGGGGAGACTCGATGGAGCTTTCCACTCTTGACTTCGTCTTTAGCGTGCTGAACACGTGCTCGGGCCCTCCCCTGGCTGCAAAGCGGCAAGCACGAACCTATTCACATTATTTGTACAGCGTGAGTCTGTCAAAAGCTGCTTTGACGCGCGCATCAGCTATTATACACGCGCAGACAAAATAAGCGCGTTCAATCAGAATCGCGTGCAGCACGAGTCCCTGTAGATAATCGTGAATCTGCAGGCAGGCATGGCAAAAGCTTGTTCCGCCTAAACGATTGCGCAACCCCGCGGATCTCCGCCAGAGAGAAGTCGCACGTGATGCGGAATCGCGCCTCCCAAATCGTGGACAGATGCTGACGCGCCAGACGCGCCTGCATATGCGTGCAGAAAGTGATTGATTGAGGCTCAATTTGAATCAACACACGCACACGCCCATGTTATACGCGCGAGCTAGGCGGGCGTGCATGGCAGCAGGCAGCAGGCAGCAGCGTTGGGTACGCCGGACTGACAATCAATCCACTCACGCCCTATACTTCTGTTTTGTTCAAGTTTCCAGCTCGTGCTTGAGGAACACCAAGATCGACATCTGTTCGCACAACAGTAAGTATCTCAAGACCGTGACAGTGCGAACCGCTCATCCATGCATCTACGCATCACTCAAGCCCGAAGTTGGACTGTCAGAGCGCGGCCCAGCTCTGCATGAACCTACCTCTCCTTCTCGCTCCTCGATACCACTCGACATCCATCCCTACACGCGCATCTTTGCTCCTACGAGCCAAAGCTGACTTACTAGACACAGCTCTCAAAACCTTTCTGCGCGTGCAAGACCATCGAGCTTTGGGCACCCTCGCCTCCCCTCTGCCTGCCCGCCCGTGCGTGCTGTCTCGTTGCAGCCAGCGGCAATCCACAACAGCCCCACGAACAAGACTGTTTGTACCAACTCTCAGTCATCTGTCCACTCAACATCTCAAGCATCACCTCTCGCCCTCATCGATCTCGCGAAGCTTTGCAAGCATGTCAGACTCGGAGGACGTGTACATGATGTCGGCAGACGAAGATTCTTTCGTCGTTCCGAGCAAATCTGGCAAGTCCAATGGGACGAGCAAGGCCAAACCTGCCGCCAAGCCCAAATCTTCCACCTCTGCGTCGGTATCTGCTCCAAAGGCCAAATTTGCAGCAGGCGCAGCAGCTGGGACGAAAAAGACGAGCACTGCGACGGCGACAAAGAAAGCGGCACCTTTGAAAAAGAGGAACTCGAACGAGGTTCAAGGTGAGGAGTTCGATCCCGAGGGAGATGAGAGCATCTTTGAGAGACCTAGACAAGTCGCTTCTGCCGGCACTGGGAAGAGCGCCTCGGAGCAGTACCAAAAGGTGAGATGCGCTGTGTGTTCCACTTCCACATGGTACATCCGTCGAAGAGGCGAAGGCGCATGACTTGACGCTCCGCGCGCCCTTACCACCGCACAGCTGTCGCAATTGGAACATGTCCTCAAAAGGCCCGACACGTACATTGGTAGCGTCGAGAAGCATGAGGATGATCTATGGGTGTACGATGGAACTACCGAGGGCATGGCTTACAGGTGAGCTACGCTAGGCCTACGCTTGTATGCGCATCGAAGGTGCACGCGCTGACGCTGCGCGTAACGCGAGCAGGAAGATCGCATACGTCCCTGGCTTCTACAAGATCTTTGATGAGATCCTCGTCAATGCTGCCGACAACAAGGTCAGTGTGGAGTTGGTCGCATGACTAGCACGAGCCTGCCTTGACTGAGTGTGTCCCTCTCCAACTCCCAGGTTCGCGACCCTACCATGGACACGATCAAAGTGACGATCGACCGAGAAGAGGGGTCGATCACAGTGTGGAACAATGGTCACGGTATCCCCATCGAAGTCCACGACAAGGAAGGAGTGTACATTCCTCAACTCATCTTTGGCGAGCTCTTGACCTCCTCCAATTACGACGACAACGAGGACAAGGTGACGGGAGGCCGTAACGGATACGGTGCAAAGCTTGCCAACATCTACTCCAAAGAGTTCGTCGTGGAGACTGCGGACAAGGAGAGGGAGCTCAAGTACAAGCAGGTGTTCACAGACAATATGAGCAAGGCGGGCAAGCCGAAGATCACCAAAAATAGCGGAGGCAAGCAGGAGTACACCAGCATTACTTTCAAGCCTGACTTTGAGAGGTTCAAAATGTCGGGCATCGATGCGGATACGGAGAGCTTGCTGAGAAAGCGCGTGTACGACATGGCGGGAACGGTCAAGGACTGCAAAGTGTTTCTGAATGGGGAAAGACTCAAGGTCAAGTCGTTCAAACAGTACGTCGAGATGTACGTCAAGGCTATCAATGAGCTTAGTGGAGAGCCCAAAGTGGACGAGAATGGAGACGAGATTGCGAATGCTCCGGCCAAGCAGACGATCATCTACGATCAACAAGAGGACAAGGGTAGGCTTTGGGAAGTCGCTTTTGCAGTGTCAGACGGTCAATTCAGGCACGTGAGTGGGCGGATGAAGCTTTCACATTGCACATGAACCGAACCGATCTGATGGGCCGTGTGCCCTTGTCTGCCATCCAGTGCTCCTTCGTCAATCACATCGCGACGATCAAGGGAGGCAGACACGTGGACATGGTAGCGTCTCAGGTGGAATCCAAGATCATGGAAGCACTCAAGAAGAACAAGAAGAACGGACCGGTAAAGAGCCAGCAGGTTCGACAGCAACTTTGGATCTTTGTCAATTGCGAAATCGTCAATCCTACCTTTGATGGACAGACCAAGGAGACTTTGACGCTGAAACCTAGCGCCTTTGGATCAAAGTACACCGTCTCGGATGAGCTGGTCAAGAAGAGTGAGTGCGCCGTTCACTGAGGCGTGCAACGAGCTGTGGGTAGAACGACGCTAATTCGCGTGGTTCGTGATGCCACGGATTCTGCACAGTCATGAAAGCTGGCGTAGCGGAAAACGTCCTTTCGTTTGCCAAATTCCAGCAAGAGAAGCAGCTGAAGAAGACCGATGGCGCGAAGCGATCACGGTGCGTCGACCGAACCGACCAGAGACCTGAGCGCTCTCATTGATGCTCCATTTCTCTTTATCCTCAGGATCACGGGTATCCTCAAGCTCGAGGATGCCAACAATGCCGGTGGACGAAAGGCGCGTGACTGCACCCTCATTCTCACTGAAGGAGACTCAGCCAAAGCGCTTGCCGTGTCCGGTCTAAGTGAAGTGGGCCGCGATAACTACGGAGTATTCCCATTGCGTGGTAAGCTGCTCAACGTGCGCGACGCGAGCCACGACATGATTATGAAGAATACCGAGATCAGTCACATCAAGACGATTCTGGGCCTGCAACACAATAAGGTCTACAATAGCGTCGACTCGCTACGATATGGAAAGCTGATGATCATGACGGATCAAGATCACGACGGTTCGCACATCAAGGGTCTCATCATCAACTTTTTGGACCACTTTTATCCCTCGTTGTTAAAGCAAGCTGGATTCCTCATCGAGTTCATCACGCCCATCGTCAAGTGCACGAAGGGGAAGCAGGAGAAATCCTTCTTCACCATTCCAGAGTACGAGAGATGGAAAGAGGAGAATGCGGACGGCAAGGGATGGGTCATCAAGTACTACAAGGGTCTGGGTACCAGTTCGTCCCAGGATGCCAAGAAGTACTTCAGAGCTATGGACAAGCACATGCTACCCTTCGATGCCATGCAGGATAGCGACCGGGCGCTTATCGACCTCGCATTCAATAAAAAGAAGGCAGACGATCGTAAAGAGTGGCTGAGGCAGTTCAGACCTGGAACTTATCTGGACCACAACATCGACAGCGTACCCTTGGCGGACTTCGTCAACAAGGAGCTCATCTTGTTCTCCATGGCAGACAATGTCAGATCCATTCCTTCTTTGGTGGACGGACTAAAGCCAGGTCAACGGAAAGTCATGTTTGGGTGCTTCAAGCGCAAGCTCAAGGGAGAGATCAAGGTAGCGCAGCTAGGTGGTTATGTTTCTGAGCACTCTGCTTACCATCACGGAGAGCAGAGCATGTACATGACCATTGTTGGTCTAGCCCAAGACTTCTGCGGCAGCAACAACATCAACCTCTTGTCGCCCAACGGTCAATTCGGTACGAGATTGATGGGAGGTAAAGATGCGGCCTCGGCTCGTTATATTTTCACTAGCTTGCCTAGCATCACGAGACAGATCTTCCATCCTACCGACGACAATCTCCTCAACTACCTCAATGATGATGGACAGAGCATCGAGCCGGAGTGGTACATGCCTGCCGTTCCTCTTGTGCTCATCAATGGCGGCGAAGGCATCGGAACGGGATGGAGCTCATCGTTGCCTAATTACAATCCCAAGGACATAGTCGCCAACCTTCGCCGAAGGATGGCCGGTGAAGAGTACGTGCCCATGCTGCCTTGGTACAGAGGTTTCATCGGACCCATCCACCAAGTGGGACCTGACCGTTTCAAATGCTCCGGTATCATCGAGCCGCACGACGATGGAAAGACGTGGGAGATCAAAGAATTGCCCATTCGCACTTGGACGTCGAGCTACAAGGAGTGGCTCGAAGAAAGAGTGGTGGGCACGGAAAAGAGCCCGGCTACGATCAAAGAGTACAAGGAATATCATACGGACACGACTGTGCACTTTGTCATTGAGCTCAATACGCGCGGACAACAAGAAGTCAAGGATCAAGAGAGCGCAGAGACTTACTTCAAGATGCACACGCTCATCGCCACGTCGAACATGGTGCTCTTTGATCAATATGGCAAGATCAAAAAGTACGCTACGCCAGAAGAGATTCTGGAAGACTTTTATCTGCTCAGGCTTCAGTACTACCACAAGCGCAAAGAATATCTGGTCGAGGAGCTCAAGAACGCGTTTGAGAGGCTATCGAATCAGGCGAGGTTCGTGCAGATGATCATCAAGGGAGAATTGAAGGTGTCCAATCGCAAGAGGAACGACATTGTGTCCGATTTGAGAAGACACGATTTCAGACCTTTTCCAAAGAATGCCAAGGGCGCAGTCGCGGCCGAAGTGGACGACGGCACGCCGGAAGACGAGATGGAGAATACGGGCGCAGAATCAGACTATGATTACTTGCTCGGTATGGCCATCTACACTTTGACCAGGGAAAAAGTGGAGCGCCTTTTGGCTCAGCGCGAAGAGAAGGAAAAGGAACTGGCAACTTTGCTGGGCCGGTCGCCAGAGAATCTCTGGGATGAGGATCTGAGCAAGTTTTCGGAAGAGTGGCAATCATTGTTGGACGAGGATGAGAGGAGGTTGAAGGATGTGGGATCGAAAAAGGGTAAAGGCGCCGGAGCTAAAAGGATAAAAGGTGGAGGGGCTTCTGCTCGTAAAGTCTTCAAGGACGAAGATCGCAGCGCTGTTGATTCGGAGGACGATTACAAGCCCAAAGTGGCTGCGCCCAAGAAGAGAATCGCGTCTGGATCCGGAGGACCTGCAAAATCTGCTAGCGGTGCTGCTGCTGCCGTCGTCAAGAGGGCTACCAGTACCCTGGACGATGATGATCTGAATGCTCTGACGAAAGCTTCTGCATCTGCCAGCAATGGCATCAAGAAAGCAAAGGTTGGAAACGGCAATGTTCCTAGCGCTTTCAAAGCTGCTGCTGCTCCGTCGGACGTCGACGACAGTTTGGAAGCGGACGTGATCCCTACGAAGGCTTCGAAGTCCAAAACAACTTCTAGCGCTAAAGCGCGCACAGCTTCGACGAGCGCGAAAAATGCTCCGGCGACAAATTCTAAAAAGATCTTTACTTCGGACGAGGAAGAGTCGGTCGTCTTGACCAAGGCTCCACCTGCACCCGCTCGGAACACCAATGCTAGAGCTAGAAAAGCTCCCGTCAAGTACACCATTTCGGATAGCGAGGCGGAAGAAGGCGTTTCGGAGTACGACGAGGACTGAGAGACGTCGCTTCGCCCTACTCGTTTTGACTCTTGCATCCGCGCCTCTCGCCTTGCGGCGGCGGCCCTAGACTCCCCACTCTGACATCGCTACATCTCTCCGGATGTCCCCCAACTCCGCTTTTACATGTCCTCAGCTTGCTTGCGTTTCGTAAATCTGTAATGATCCGACTGGACCGGGTCCCCAGCCCGCGACGCTCCTGTGACGAATGTTCTACCCTTCTTGTAAGAGACTCCTTGACTTGCTCGTGATGAATCCGAATCAGATCCGCAAGTCTCGTGACGCGCGAAGCGTGCTTCACTCTGCAAATTGCCCGCGCTTGATGATTTTCACACTCAAGCGACTCGATCACCTATGCTTGATCGACGATGACTTTGCGATCGTCGAGCCGAGCTTTACAAATGTGCAGGAAAGGATAAAAGTGGAGAGGGCCGGCAGCAAAGAGCGTGTGCTGACCAGTCAAGCATTCCGAAGCAGCGCCTCGTCGTGCACGACGCGCGTACGCGATCATATCTCTTCTGCCAATTCCGCTCGAGTCTCGGACTCATCCACTAATCGTACGCAACACTTTGCTCAGCAGCAGGTGCAAGAGCAGTCAACCTGTACTTGATCGACAGCGATAGTCTCTGCATATCATCTTTGACCCTGCTCCTTGCAAGGTGTCCACCCCGACCGTCCGATATGCGCCCGCCGGCATCCTTGATGTGATCCGCGATCATGCTGAGCTGTTTGTAGCGCGCCGTAGAGGGCTCAAAGCGAAGAGAGGCCGGGACAGTCGTGCTGGAGTGTCCGCTCGCTGCCGTGTGATAAGATGCAGAGATCGACGTCGACGTTGGAGGCGGAGCAGATGCGGACATTGGCACGTTGTCTTGCTCGCTCCGCGCAATCTCGCGATCCCGCGTGATGCATTGCAGTGCTTCGTTAGCCAAGGCCACTGCTTCGTCCATAGCAGCAGACCAGATACGTCTCTTGGACTTGTCGGCGTCTCTGAAGATGGGAAATTGCGTTGCACCAATCAGGGTCTCTACGGACCTCTGTGAGGAGGTGCCACTGCCATTGGCCCGCACGATCGAGTCGATGGTCGGGTTGGTAGGAGTGGAGAAGGAACTGGCTTCGTCTGTCTCACCAGTTTCGACATGATCACAAAGCTGCAGAGGCAGATCCGAGAGAATGATGCTGAGCAACCTGACTCGGCATCCGAGCTCTTCGTAATCCAAGTCGTCCGGATAAGGAGACGTATTCGTCGGCCTTCGTCGGACGTGGAGAGGATTATCATCACTTGAATTCAGGCGGTTTGCCAGCGATTCCAAAGGCAACGCTTTCTTCATCTCGTTCTGCAAATCGAAGTGTCAAGATAAGTCGATCGGCGGCGCGATCGATCCACGATACAATATGTGCTCACACTGTCAGCTTGCGAGGATCTCAATAGCCGAATGTACGCGGTGCGACTCCGCGCAACGGCGCCTTGCAAATCCAGCGAAGGCATAGCTAAGATGATTCTCACAGTCGCCGCTTCGTCGCATTGGATGGCACCAATCGCTGCAAGTAGGCGAGCTGAGCATTTCCAGGAGTGATCGAGCAAAGCCTCGGGGCGCGCAGGTTTTTGCACGCCTTGAAACTTGGCAATGAGCTCAGCGTGCTGTGTTGTGCAATAACTGCGCGAGGGACGCCCATTCGCACCGTCCAAATGGAAGAGAAATAGCAGTAGCACTGCTGTGTTGTTGCAAGCTAAGACGGCTTGTGAGTCAAGCGTCAGTGTAGCGATCAGGCTGTTGAGTAGGTTGCAAAATGCAATAAGTCACAACGCGCCTCCATGACCGGACGCATATATGGATCCACTTACTCCGCAATGACGCCCAACACATTGAGCAGACGCTCCAAAGCGTCCTCTCGACCTGTGGACCATGCGCTAGATCCTTTGTGCGAGGCGCGCCCGACCACAAGTTGTTGTGGCACTTGTTGAGACAATGGTGCTTCTGTGGCGATGTCTGAAACATCACAGTCATACATCGCCGCCAGCACCTGGTGTGATGCCCCAAGATCGGCCAGCGCAGCCGGCAGGGCGGTCAAGACCGCAACGAGGGCATCATTCAGGATTGCGCTCGCTGCAGAGAGGGCTGTCTTGGCCAATTTGAGGCCGAGTAGTAGCTTGCGCAAGCCCACGAAAGCAGAGGCAGAGAGCGCAGGCGAGTCGACTTGGAGAATCAATTTGGTCAGCCACTCGGCGAGCGACGGCGCGTTGCTCTCTGAGGTAGTGGATGACAGCGGACTGCTTGCGCGCCTTTCCTCTTCGTCCAGCATCCTCTTCGATGCACTTTCCTCCAGTGCCAGGAAAGATGCGAACAGCTCAGAGCGCAGCAAAGCCGCCAGCGTTTCTTGCCCTACGATCATGCCGAAATGTGAGCGTGTTGAGCTATGAGCTATCTTTGCGCCATCCTGGACACCGAGAACACGTACCACTCGCATACGACAAAGCATCTGCTAGAGCTTCGGTCAGCGGGTTGGGATTATCCCCGGGAGGCAAACGTGGAAGATGGAACGGCTGGGGCAGGTCGAGATTTGTGATGGCTGACTTGATCAGCCAAGGCGCCTTTGGATGTAGAAAGACGACCGACAGCTCACTACTGGTACAGAAGTCCAAAACATCTGCTTGTGTTTGAATCTGAGCTTATGATGCGCGCCACGCATCTTTCCAGGTGACCTGTCCTTGTGAAGTATGGCAAGAACATCTTCAGCCTCGTTTGCCTCCGGGCTCTCGGAGCCGTGCTCTGCTTTTCGCTTCTTCCTTGTTCCTCGTGATCTAATGGCATTGTCGACCCTCTTGATCTCGTTCGCGGGACTCTTCGCTTCTGAGTCAGAAAGGGCGATGTGCTTCCGCGAGGCATTAGCCACGTTTGTCTGAGCTGTCCTACCACCAAGAGCGTCGTTGCCCGAAGAGCTAGCGTCGCTCTGCTCATCTAGATGCTGTCCGTCGTCGTCCTCGTCGTCCGTACTCGTCTGTCCTCTCGATGCCATCTGCTGCGTAAAGGTGAGCATGAAGCGGTCCGCCTCTTCCATTCCCGCCAAGTCAGTGCCCATCTGCTTCATCTTTTTGCGTTGCGCAAACAACTTGGTCAGCTCCTTGTCCGTAGATGTTTTCAATGGAGAAGTAATTCCAGCTTTCACAGCCGCTGACTCCTTTGCCTTTGCAGCATCCTGGCGCCTTTGAGAAGGAGCGAATTTCGGAGCGCGCATCTTGTACGCGTCCGTCTTTGCCGTGGATCTTTTCGGCCTGGCACCCGTCAATGTTTCCAAGTCGAGATCTGGCAGATCTTCATCGTCCGCAATACCTGCGATGTCAAGCGCGGGCGGCAAGTTGAGGTCATCGTCGCTATCGCCTTCCTTGGTCGACTGGGCTAAAGCTCGAGCCCTGAACTGATCTGCGAGCGTCTGACCTATGGAGGGTCTAGCAGGTTCGGAATTCGACGACTCGGCTTCGGACAGCGAAGAAGCATTTTCGACATCCGGAGATCTGGTCATAGAGATTGAGCGCCTTGTGCTGGGAGATCGAGATGGTCGAGCGGATGTCGTTCCCTCTCGAGAGACCGGTCTGTCGCCCCTCTTACCCTTTGTATGCGCCATGCTTGCCGATGGGGGGTGGGCTCGCGGAAGGCGACAGAGCGGTGGTTTGCCCGCGAGGTGAAAGAGCTACAGCTGGCCTAATGCGTTGGCATACCCAGGCCTTCGTCGCAGGAATCTGGGAGCGACTTCGATCGGCGTTTAAATCATCTCCGTCTGCGCGCGGGGATCTGCTGCACGCCCGCGAAAGTCACGAGTCTCAGACTTTCAAGCAGAGATCGCAGGAGTCGAGCAAGGGCCAGTTCGCAAGACTGAGAGATGTGCACAAAGTCGACAAGTGTTCAGAATGTGAATGGGGCGGTAATGTTGTGACAAGGAAATACGAAGGATTGCAGCTTCACGTCGACGACACTCTTGACTGTGACTCACAACTCGCAACTCTGATGAGTGACTTGTTCACCTTCACGCTCGTAAATTGGTCAGAAGAACGCGTCGCGCGTGAGGCAGCCGCGGGCGAGCAACACTCCGACTAAAAAGATCCCGTACGATAGCAGCCAGAGTGCAATGACCTACTCGTGATTTACCAGCTGTAGAAAGCACACCAGAGCAAAGTATCGAGCCAAGGAAGAGGGAAGGTCACGCTCAAGACTCATCGTCGAGCTGCTCCAGCAGCTGACAAGACAATTGATGAACGGAGCTCTAGCGACGCTGCTTGCAGAAGCCTTTTGAGACTGGACAAGATGATTCGAAGTCTCGTTCAAGCCAGGCCTCGAGTGCGAATCAGCGCATGCGAATGTGCTTGCGCTTGCGCTGGCGCTGCGAGCGGTGGTCGACTTCCAACCAACGCCAATCGCAGCATCACAAGTCAATATCCGTCTGCTTCGGCTTTTAGAGTGCAGCTCTTGCCTCATATTTCGGGATCGGCCGCGAAAAGGCGTGCAGTCAATCGCCCCTTTACTTCATCTACTACCACTCTATCTGAAAGCGACTCGCATGCACAGCTCTCGCCAGAGATAGAGGAGGAAGTTCACTCCGCTCTGCGCTTCATAGTGCCTCAACTTTTGGGGACTCAGTCCGGGACCGCTTTGGCAAGGACGGATGGTGCGGAAGGAGATGAGGCGGCATCAGCGGCAGCGATAGCTGCAGTGGAGGCCAAACTCGCCGAGAGGAGGACTGAGCTAGGAGTCGGCAATGTGGAAGAGATCAGAGCAGTATGGCAAGAATGGCAAGATGCTGAGAATGTTAGTCCTTACAAATTACCACTTCAAGTTGGGAGAATGTGCTGACTATTAGCTGAGCCGCTCGCAGCAACGTGTAGCTCTTCAAGGGATGCAGGCAGACGATAGTATGGCGGAACTGGTAGCGGAGGAAGAGCAAGCGATTGATGCTGCTCAAAAGTCTGCCTTGGACCGACTTTACGGTCTCATACTTCCACCCGAAGGCTCCAAGACGGAGGGTGCCATCATGGAAATACGGCCTGGTGTAGGAGGTGCAGAAGCGACGCTGTTCACAGGAGATTTGTTGCGCATGTACAGGACGTATGCCAGTGCATACACTTCTTCGACAGGCTCGGTTTGGAAAGTCGAGCTTCTCCGAGTGGTCGAGGCAGACTCCTTCGGCTTTGAAGCGTACAAAGAAGTGACACTTCGAGTAGAGGGCAAAGATGCATACAGGCACCTCAAAAACGAAGCCGGCGTACATCGCGTACAGAGAATCCCAAAGACTCAGAATTTGGGCAAGATTCAAACCAGCACTGCTGCGGTTATTGTTCTTCCTCAGATACCGGACGATGCGTCGGAAGTCAAGGATATTGTAGATGTTGCGGATGTGAAGGAGGAAGTGATGCGCAGTCGGGGCGCTGGAGGACAGGTGAGTGCGGCAAGCGAGCGATCAAGTGTCGATTGTTTGCGTCTGGATTCAGCACTGATGCGCTCTATCACACCTGTCGCGGCGCTTTGCAGCACGTCAACAAGACAGAATCGGCAATCAGATTGACGCACGAGCCGACAGGAATCAGTGTATCGATGCAAGATTCTCGTTCGCAGCACCAAGTGAGTCTGCGCAGCGAGGACATCGAGAAGCTTGACAGAGTGCAGTGCTCGTGCCATTCCTCATCCACGCAATCGCGCTTGCTCGGTCCGCTCAGAATCGCGCAAAAGCTTGGCAGATCCTCAGAGCTCGATTGTTGGATCGAAAGATTCAAGCTGAGGAGGAAAGTAAACGATCGGCAAGGCGAAGCCAGGTGGGAAGCATGCATCGAGTAGATAGGATCAGAACGTACAATTATCAGCAGGTGAGCGCGGCCAGTCTGGGCACGAAGTGAGAAGAGACGCGGAGGTCGATGCGGTTGTGTGACCTGCTGTGGTCGCCTAGAGCGAAGGTGAAGCAGGGCGCTCGGTTTTGGAACGTCTTCACTGACAACTTTCCACACCACCGGCACGTCCAGGATCGAATAACGGATCACCGAATCTCCCTCTCTTTACCTTTAGACCGCGTCATGTCCGGAGATGCTTCTTTTGGTCTGGGACACATTTTGACGTCGCTCGAGGAGCATTCCGATTTGTTGAGACTTAGAGGGATGAAAGAGGACCTGCAGAGAGATTTGGAGCAAGAAGGGAGTGGTGAAGATGAGAAGGAGAGGGGAAAGGGTAGGAATAACACCAAGAAATAAGATGCAAACAACTCGATAGTGCGCTCGTGAAGGACCCGAGGTGTTGAGGGCGCCGTATAGCGCCGTATGAGGCTTGTTCGTGTCCTGGTGTGCTGATTGGAGGATGCCGGAGGCGCTCGCATGGATGCTCTCACACGACCATGTCACTCAGACGGGAGTCCGGGGGGGGGAGGATTGCTTCGATTAGAGCGACGAGGTAGCCAGAGAGCCTTGGAGGCAACAGGAGGAGCAAACAAGAGATTGTGGTATGATGCGACAACATTTGTGCAAGTGGACGGGCTACCGTTGGTCCTGCTAAGCGGAGGCGACGCACATCGGTGGAGTGATAGAGCGATTCAGCACACATTCCGACTCAACTGCGACATGCTTTGGAAGCAGGCCTCCTCATGACACGCACGTGTCACTCCAGCATGCGCGAATTCGTCTTTCCTTCTGCTGTCCAGCGCATACACCAGAACTCTCTTACTCACCTCTCCAGCCCATCCCTTCGTAGGTTGCAACTGTTGAAATCTAGCTTCTCTTTCCCTGTTCAGTACCAAGTCCAATGCCCTCGCTTCTCTTTGTCTCGTCTTTTCCTCTTCCGAGCTCGATGATGCTAGCGATGGTGCGCCGGGTGTGGAGCCTGTTGATGTGGAAGACGATGATGCGGAAGCTGCTGCTTCTCGCTCTCTCTGCAGCGCTCGCTCTGCTAATCGCGCCGTATCTCTCTCGACGCCTTTGTGCATGTTCTGAGCCCAAGAGGGAGGTGAAGAGCCGAAGTGACGTCTCAGCTCGTAGCTTCGAAGCATCCCGAACGCCGAGAAAGGTACGCTGTGTGCCTCCATGCCGTCTTCGAGAAAATCTATCCATCCGGCGTTTCACCCAGTGATATCTCGGTGTCCATCGCAATTCCCAACTGTGCTGCCTTGGCAGGCTCGCGCAAAGAATCTCCTTGACTCACCCGAGCTTCTCGAACCTGCATATAATGTACTCCCCAGACAGTCAAACCCGATACAACGATCGAACCTAGCAAAGTAGCTTTAGCAGCTCGAGACATTGTCGCTCCGTCCCTCGTCGAGTCGAGTCGAATGGATTTGGTTCTGATTCGAGCCGCTTACTCGAATGTCCGCACGCGACACACGAGACCGTCCCTCTGACTTGCTTTGCATTTGATGTGAGCGAGAGCGAGAGCCTGCGTGAGATCTTGAATCTTGGGTCGGTGTGAGGGGCAGATACATTCGCACCTTTGATTGACTCTGTGATCAAGAAAGTACAGACTCAAAGTTAGAAGGTACGTCCAAAGCTGTGCGCACTCAATCAGAAGAGAGTTGAATGTATTCTCATGATTCTGATTCCATTCACATTCGCCATTCACAATCACGAATGAAATCATCATTTTGGTTTCAAGCGCGAACGCATGAGTCAGGAAAACGATCTCGTACGAAAAAAACAAAAGAAAGTCATCGGCAACACGCGCTATAAGCCGCGGCTAAACTCCGTAACGTCCAGCTCGATCGGCCCACTCCGCGAGCTCTGCCACTCACGAGTGCGTGAGGCTCACACTCGTGACCATCCACGAGCACACGAACGACTCGCAGATGCAGATGGGCTATGCACGCACGCATTCAATTGGTGATTGTGATTGTTTATGCAGCACCAGCTAGGGCGGGGGATCCTTATCTGCTGCTGCATGGCCTACGTGACTGTACCGGTCAGGTCAGTAGACGGTACCTACCATCGCGCATCTTCTCCACTTTGACTCTTGCTGCAGGAACTCTTGCAGGCGTGTGAGTTTTTTAAAGGCTTGCCGGCGGGGTAGAACACGTAAGTATGCGAATAGTAGTAGTAGTAGACTGCACAGTCAGAAAGTCTGATGAGTTACGAGTATAGATAAACCAAGAGGAAGAAGATACCGAGCAGAGGCGGCAAACACGGAGTCTCCTCTTGATTGTGCATGATTCGTGATTGTTGACTGCAGCTATGGGGACGTGGATGGCGCGGCTTGCGATTTGCATTCACATTTGCATTTGCATTTGCGTGGGCTCGTGATTTGTGACTCAAAGCGGTGGAGCATGTGCTTATCCTCTGCTTCTGCTCTTCCATCCAACTCACCTTGCATGCTCACAACCTCCAACAGGGAGCAGGAGGAACGCGTTTGTGTAAACTGCCGCGCAAGAGCAAACGTGCGGCGTAGAATTGCGGATAGCAGTTCACGAGCAGTGGATGGCATCTGTAAGATAGCTGGCCGAGCAAGGATTCAGGACCCGGCGTGCCCAAGACTCGTCACTGCTGTCTGCTAGCCGAGTCAGACAGTGTCAGGGTCAAAGGGAGCTTTGCAATCAAGACGAGAACAGACGGTCCGTCGGTCGGGTCCGGTCAGCTACAAGCCAAACCTTTACCTCTGATTTTCAACGGGCCCTCTTGCAAGACTCTCCCCCACCACGTTGAGCCTCTCGCCAGTTGCCCTCTCTCGTAACCGCATCCCCTACACCGTCATGGACGCCACGCCTACTGCAGCGCAAGCTGCTGATCGGACGGACACTATGTCGCCCAAAGATGCACAACTTTCCCAGCACGATCACCAGCAAAGGTTCGGATTGCTGAGTATTGTGGGATTAGCATTTGCCGTGCTCAACAGTCCTACCGGTGAGTTTGGCTCGGTTGTATGAGGGCGGTAGGACAAGACAAGATGAAGTTAGTGATACACGACACCTTTGGTGGTCTCGGCTCGCTCTCTAGAAGCCGCGACCTCCATCGCTCAAGCTGCCTTCTTTCACCGTCACCCCTGCATCTTCACTTTTGCATCGTATACGACCCCCGCAGCCATGTCCGCCTCCCTCTCCGTCGTGCTACCTTCCGGTGGACCCGTCTCTGTGATCTGGGGTCTGTTTCTATCCTTTCTCGGCGTCTTTTCCGTTGCGCTCTCGCTAGCCGAGTTGTGTTCTGCCGCTCCGACTCCCGGAGGCCCGTATCACTGGGTCTGGTTACTTTCGCGCATCAACGACTCGAGGGAAGATGGTGCGGCAGCTGAAAGAGGGAGGAAGGCATCGTTGAGATTGACTTATGCGACGGGATGGATCGCTACGGCGGGATGGATCTGTCTGGCTGCTACCACCTCTTCCCTAGCCGGCACTTTGATTGTGGGAGCTATCGCCTTGAACAATGCCAACTATCAAGAGCAGAGTTGGCACATCTTTCGTGAGTCGGGCGAGTCAACGTAATCGCTGAGTGCTAGCGATGCAAGCACCGAGTTGGGCATCGAGAACGCGACTCATGCTCCTTGCGATTCTTGCCACACACCTCGTTGCACCTTCTACTCTGTCTGGCTTGTCCTCTGCATGCCTCACCTGATCGCCTTGCAGTCATCTACGTCGCTTTTGCTATCGGAGCTTGGTTCGTGAATGTCTTTGGAGCGAAAATTTTGGATCCGATCAACCGTGCGGCCCTGATCGTGAGTCGGGGAATGGCCGCATTGGGTGCAACACGTGGTGGCCTCGCACCTCGATTATTGACCGTGATTCCTCTTGTCCATCAAGTGGTCCCTACTAGGCGTCTTTTTGATCTTGGTCACGACGCTCTCCGTCTCCTCTCCCGTATATCAGCCCGCCTCGTTCGTGTTTGGAAATTTTGCGAATAGGACGGGATGGCCCGACGGCGCAGCTTGGATCTTGGGATTGTTGCAGAGCACGTTCGGACTGGTCGGGGTGGATGGCGTTAGTCACTTGGTGGAAGAATTGCCTAGACCTCATAGGAACGCGCCGCTGGCCATGATTCTTGGTGAGCAGTAGCCTGTGGTGGAGCGACGCATGGCGAGAAGGGCCTCCTTTTGCGCACACTTGCGACGGCGTGATATGCTAATGCTTGCTTGCTTGCTTGCTTTTCGCTCGTCCTCATCCTCGATGCAGCACCCATCATTGGATTCCTGAGCGCCTTGGCCATCCTCATGACCTTTTTGTTCGTCCTTCGAGACTTTGATGCCGTGGTGGACTCATCAGCGGGTCCCTTGCTGGAGATCATCTACCAAGCATTAGGCGGACGAGATGTGGCCAATCCCTCTCGGGCCATATTAGCAGGCAGTACAGCACTCTACGTCTTGCCCATCATTTCGATGGCGTTTGCGGCCATTGCTATCCTGTGCGCTTCGTCGCGACAGACGCAATCGTTCGCGAAAGATCGAGGATTCCCGAGATTGCTGTCCGACTACTTGGCGAAAGAGAATGAGAGGACAGGTACGCCCATTTGGAGCATCACCTTTTCTACAGCTTGGGTCATCATTTTTGGATGCATCTTTTTGGGAAGCGAGACGGCGCTCAATTCCATATTGAGCGCTAGTGTAGTCTTGCTGCAGATCAGCTACATTTTGCCAATCGCGTTGGTGTTGACCAAAGGTAGGAATTGTATGGATGGGATACAGCAACGTGTGCTCTTGCCACAGAGCATCGCGCGATCGATCAGTGAGGTATCGCAGGAGCAGGAGAGCCATAACTTCCAGCACAAGAAAGAGCGAGTAGGGAGTCTTACCACAGCTGGTCGAGGGTCACTTCACTTGTCATATCGAGGCGCTCGACGCTTTAACCTCGACAATGTCAGAATCTCATCCCTCTTCAGCAGGACAACGGCTGGAAAGGTTGCAAAAGGACAAGAGACACGTTGGCTGGCCATCATCATCAACGTCTGGTCCATCATCTTTAGCTCCGTCACCACCGTCTTCTTCTTCTTCCCTAGCGAATTACCAGTGAGCGGGTCGAACATGAACTACGTCGGTAAGCATCGCTCTCCTTTCCATTCTTCTCTTTCTCGCTCGCACGCACGCGCACAAGAATGATGATGCCGACCATCATCTCTTACCCTCTACGATGCCTTCATCAGTGGTCGTGACTTCCATCGTCGTTCTCCTCTCCCTCTCCAGCTGGCTCATGGATGGACGCAGACATTACGACGGACCTCTATCCGCCGATTTGCTCTCGCTCTCGCTCTCGCGCCAACAACTCTCTCAAGATGCTGATCGGCAAGACGTGCGCACGAGCGACAATCGCGATAGCCCGAAAGAAGAGACGAAGCCGAAAGGCGGCGGCGGCGGCGGCGGCGATGGCGGGCCGACTTTGAATGGCGCAGAGCCGCAGATCAGGGATTCAAATTACGAGTAGCGGAGCGGGTAAGGGTCCGTCTGCATCAACGAGTACTGCAATGAATGAGCTGGGCTGTTGTTCTTTCCCCCTTCTCTCTTTCTCTTTTTGTTGCGCCTGCTTCCGTGCTTCCAAGACAAGGAGGGGGGGGGGGGGAAGGCGCAAGTGGGCGAGCAAGACAAAGTGGTGAAAGTGGTGCGCTTGTCAAGAATGGCTAGGCAACTTCGCCTCCCGAACGACTGGGCTTGACATTGGAGAGAGCGCAGCAAGATTTGGCCCAAGTTTTGCGCTCCCATTTCGATTGATTTGCGTGGAGCTATGCGCAGTTGCAGCGGTAACGTGACACGTCGAAGCTTACGCACGGCCACCAACTGTTCCCGAGCAATGAGAGTGTACTCTGTAGCGTGCAAAGGTGGATGGAGCAAGAGCCCTACATCGACGCAAGTCAAGCATCGACCCAACCTCGCACTACTTTGACTGATCTAGCAAAGGTCTAGCGACGTCTCTAGGGCCCGCTTGATTGGTGGGGAAGATGAGGGACTCTGCAATCTGTACATGCGCCGGTCTATTCGCCGCCCAAACGATTTCTTCCGCCACATCCTCGCTACTCAGCGGCTGCAATCCACTGTAGACCTGATCCGCTTTTTGTTGATCTCCCCTGAACCTGGTGAGGGAGAAACCTTCGGAAGCTACGAGTCCCGGCTGAATTTCCGTGATTCGAATCTTCGTGTCGACGACTTCTTTGCGCAGGGCAGAAGTAAAGGCTCGTACGGCGTACTTTGTTGCGCAGTAGATGGATCCGCCCGGATAAGCTTCTACGCCGGCTACGCTACCGATCTGAATGATGTGACCTGATCCTCGCTGTTTGAACTGATTGATGAAGAGCTGCGTCATGCCTATCAAGCCCTTGACATTCGTATCGATCATCACATTCACCTCTTCCTCCTCAATCTCTCCCACCTTTTCGACTCCCAAAACCAATCCCGCATTGTTGACCAATATGTCCACCTTGTCCTTGGCCCAACTTGGTAGACGAGAGGCGAGGTGGGAAATGTCGTTGGATTTGGAAACGTCGAGCGTTAGACTTTGGAATAGTCCACCGCATTCGAGACCGGACGAGTTGTGCGCTTCGACGCAGCGCGATTGGATCGTTGATAGTGCGGAAGCTCGACGGGCTGTAAGAATCACATTTGCACCTGCACGAGCTGGAACGGTTGGCAGGAAGTATGTCGGGCACAAGTGTGGCGCCCCAAAGATGCAAGCAGAGTCACGAGTTCAGGATGGTTGGTTGCGCAACGCCCACATCGACTCTTGTACCCCCGCTCTTTCAACGCTCACCGAACAAGATGGCTGTGGCTGCTCCGATACCTCCGCTAGCTCCAGTGATGAGCACCACCTTATCCTGCAATCTAGAAGGCCCAAATAGAGAAGACATGATGATCAATATCTCTTCGCTGTTGCGGCTGCTCGATCCTCAAAGATTCCCGTTCGTCGGCTCGCTTGGTATTGGAAAGGAGGCTCGCGCGTATGAGAGTGCAGCTTGGCGAGAGTGAAGATGCCGTCAAGAGGTGAGGTGAGGTGAGGTGATTGCGAGTTCGCGAGTGTCGATAGTCGCCGACAAAGATGGCAAATCCTACGATCTACAAATTCCCACGAATCGTACGGTTGTTGTGTGAATGTGAATGTGATGATGTGAGTGTGAAGTGTGAAGTGTGAAGGGTGAAGTGTGAAGTGTGAATGTGCACGACGGCAGGCAAGCCTCTTAATTGGCTGTGTGTTCGCTGTCCCTGCACGCATTCAAGCGCATGCACATTGATTACCCAGTCAGGCCTCACGTGATTCGCAACGCAACGCAGCGCCCAATTCTGATTCTCATCTGTTGATGTGGAGGCTCAGGCTTTTGTACGCGCGCGGTGTGTAAGAGCTGCTGCTAAAGCCGTGATTCTTGATCTCTCTCGTCAATTTGGCATTCACATTCGTGCTTCACGAGTGGCTTTGTGCCTGCTGCTGGGCGGTGCTTGATGCAACACGTACACGGCAGCACTCGCGACTCTGTTGACCTATGCAACCAGCATACAACGTCACTCTGCAACATCATCTCCCTCACCAAAAGTCACACCAATCAAGCCGAGCACGCACAGCACAGCACAGCGCAACCTTTGGAGGGTTGGTGCCTCGATGCACCCGGAGTGGAGTCCCCATCGCATCCACGTTTATGCATGCAGCTGCGCACAAAGTTGAAAGTATACAGGGGCGTTTGCAAAGGTACCAGCAGAGGAGCAAGTGCAAGTGCAAGTGCAAGTGCAAGTGCAAGTGCAAGTCAAAAGTTGCAGCTTGTGTGATCGAGCACAGCCAACTTGTAATCCTTGCACACGACGCACGCTCCATAGATCAGTCACAACAGTGTAGGAGTATGTCTGCTTCCTCTGCCGCTTCTACAGCAGCTGCTGTTCGAGATCCAGAACATCGGCGACACGAGCAAGAGCCAGAGCAGGACGCAAGCTTTACCTCCAACCTCAGCTTCAGCCCAATGTCTCATCTTTCGGTCCTTTTGCAAAAGTTGACTCCACCGCGTATCCTGCTCGGACCTCATCCCAGTCTGAGATGCGCCGTCGCCTCCGGCTTGCCTCGACCGCCGCGGTTCAGAGGAGATTTGGACCAGCAGCAGCAACAGCAGGCTTGTCGAGTGAATGCAGGTCAGCCCGACACGATCGCAGATGCAGCCGAGGCCTCAAACTTGCCGTCTCCACTGTTATCAAGCATGACGACATTGTCATCAGCATCATCGTGGGCAGACTATGCGCTCGCAGTCGACCCGTCACGCCTGATCAACTCCTTTTCGCATCTGCTCAACACCTCAAACTCCGAGCAGAACACCTCGCACACGTCCAAGACGAGCTGCAATGTGAAGGATGAAGACGCGAGTATGCCCCGAGTGGTGTGGTTCGGCGAACAACACCATCAGCCTGGCGTGTTAAAGGCACAAATGCAATTGTTGGATGCGCTTTCTCATGTGCCCTCCGACACTCCTGATTCGTTCGACAATCCTCAAAGCTCCCTCGACTCGCGCGAGAAGCTCCTGTCGCGAGCGTCCGATCAAAGCTCGCTCAGCACCAATATCACCACCACCACGACCAGCACCAACCCCTCTCGATCCAAACTTTCCCTCGTCCTCGAAGCTTTCTCCCTCAAAGATCAGCCCTTATTAGACCTTTTCCAATCCTCTCACCTGTCCATCTCGGACCTGACCCATTTCTATTCCCACTATTCCAAAGAAAATTTCGACCTCTTGCATTTTGCGCCCCTGTTGACCTTGGCCAAGGAAAGAGGAGTCAGAATTTGGGCCGGCTTTCCTCCCCGCGATTGGGCGGGATACGTGATGAAGAGGGATGGAGAAGGGGCGATCGGAGCGTTGGGACGTTGGGAGCAAGAGAGGTATGGACGCATGTTGCGGGGATTATCATCTGCATCTTCTCTTCGAGAGCTTTGCAGCAGCGACGACGTGGTCAGCGATGCGTCGTCGACGACCTTGCATGCTCAACATGCAGAGCAAGATCCATCGCCCACTTTACCAGCGGAAATTTGGCAGACGTATAGCTCGTTGCGAGCTGAAGATCGACAAATCGTTCGGCCCATCGTTCCCTTTCAGCCCGATAAGAGGGAGAAAGAGGAGGACGGGGCAACTTTATCGACCATCATCTATCAGATTTACAAGGTCTCTCGCGCTCACCAGACATTTCTCAGTAGTCTTTTTCAACCTGATAAACCTCCCTCGTGGCCTTCCGACTACGTGCTGTCCAGATCGCGTGCGGAGGAACAAATCTCTCGGTTGGGCATGGAGGAGCAAGAAGCGTATCGATTGCGTCTGCATCGAAGTCGAGAAGAAGAAGAGCAGCAACAAATGTTGGATGTGACGTTGTTGGAGCCGATGCTGCACAGGGCTTCCAAAGGATTCGGCCCTGCTCAAGCGGTCAAGGATACATTCTTGGCTGGCGTGGTGGATCAAATCTTAGGTCCTGTTGTCCTGCCTCGCTCTGCGTTGAGAAAGACGGATACGGATGAAGCTCGCGCTAGCTGCACGAACATGAGCGAAAGGGTTTTAGTCATAGCAGGTTCGGGCCATCTAGAGTATTCGTTGGGCGCTCCGGAAAGACTTAGAGATCTGAGACGCGCCAGGTATACGATTCAACAATCAGCAGCAGCAAAGGAGAAGCGAGCCAAAGATGCGAAGGCGATCCTCGAGGAGCGATTGTGGCTGGAGAACAAGGCGGAGAAGAACTTGCTGATCCTTAGCAAACCCAAAGATTCGGGCGTTTGGGGTGTCGAGGTGGAAGCGATGGATGAGCAGGCGAGGGAGCGCGAGATGCGCTCATCGCATGTGATGGGACACGCCGAGACCGCGAGCGCCGATGGAGAGAGGCGAGACCCGAGATTGCTCAGAAGCGCGAGCTTGACTGGCTGGGAATCGTTGGACGGATGGGAAAGACCTTTGGCTGATGCTATTGTGCTGTACGATTGGGTCGAAGCTGAATAGAGAGGAGAGGGTGCTGGAAGAATGAAGTTTCAAGTCTGGGGTGCTAGTGGAGTGAGACTGTGTTCGCATAGTAATAGCTCCATGCTCGAGCTTTGTTGTCTCCATACTTGAGGCGTGCGGAGTCGTATGTCCCGTCGAGATCCGTCTCTGCGGAAGCTGTGGGTTGGGGGCGTCGACACCGAGAGAGATGGTCCAAGAACTGGTGATATGAGTGCGCGCGAGTTCGTCTCAGACTGTCGTCATGGGGTCGGTAACTTTAGGTCGACCCGTGCGATTGACTGACGACCTCCGTTTCGAAATTGAGAGCTTTCGCAGCCAAAAGCTTCTGAATGATTGCGAGACGGCCGCTTGGAATGTGCGCACGGCGAGGATGACAGAGAAGAGCATCGGCGCAGCGCTTTGAGCGTTTTCAGATTTTGAGATCCTTGATGCGACTCTCCCACTTTTGGCAGCGCAGCAGCTAGCAAGAGCACACGAGGACCGCATGGACCCAGAAGAGACGATCGACGAGCGAGGCGCCGGGCGCGCGTCTTGCGCGGGCATGCTACTGGACCCATCGTGATTGTCCTTGAAGCAGCTGGGTCTGCGTATCAAGATCTGATAGCTTGAATCTCTCTCTTAGCTTCCTGCAGCATGTCGAATCCTTCGGCAGTCAAGTCATCTTGTTCGGTCACGGGTGCGCGTGTCGTGCTTCGTTCCGTCTGCTGAGGTTGCAGCAAGTTCACACTTCCCGTGTCCTCCTCCTCTTCTTGCTCTCCGAAGCTTCTCAATCTAACATCCATCTCTCTCCTCTTTGCCCTCTGTCTAGCACTCTCCTTCGCAATCTCCCTCTTGGAAATCCTAATGGCCTCCATTTGAACCTTTTGGATCGTTCCCGCGCACCTCTTTACACAAATCTTTGTCTTCCTTCCCTCGATCTGCGCGATCAGACAAGCCGAAGCGCAAATCGTTTCGCTACCCAATCTTGCGCACCTCACAATGGCTATGCCAGTTCTGGGATTGAAATACCGGCAGGCTAGCGAACCGCCTAGCGTGCTCGAACTTAGGGAACCGAAGTTATCCTCGAGCGATCGACGCAGTGAACGGATTAGACTGCCCCCGTCCAGAGAAGAGGCACTGCTGCTGCTGCTGCCTTCTTCCAACGAGACGGAAAGCAGAAGCCAGCGATTTTTGAAGCGCACCATCCCTGCCTCTGCTGAGATCGGCGCCGGTGGCTTGTGTTGATCCTGATAGTCGACAAGAAAGGCGAGCAGGAAAGGAGCGGGAAAGCGTTGCTCGTCTTGAAGATGATGAAGGAAAGACTCATCAGCCTCATCAGCGACTACAGTACCCATCATTCACGATTCTGATCCAAATTCTTACTCGCGATTACCGTTGGTGATTCAAGATTAGTTTGGCAGGATTAAGAATTTTGAGCTTTCATCCTCGTTGGTCACGTGTGCTGCGTTGCCGCCTCGGGGCGCAACTAGCGCACGGACACTCAATCACGAATCAATTAAAGCTAGACGACTAAAATGTGACTCAGACTGCACGGGTCCATCATGCAGGATGACTTTTGATCCTTCCTGCTGCTGTGCGCGGGCGGGGTCTTTGCAGGGGCTGGCTGCACGCTCGCTCTCCTCGCACTCACAGACCAGACTGCTGACTCTGCGCTTCGCTCCAAAGGCATTCATTCTCATCCTTCAGCATACACTCATCACTCGTAACAGCAAGCAGTGGCAGACATCACAGGCGCATTGACGAGGGCCTCATTGGCAGATCGGTGAGGGCCAGTCATGCCTGCCAAATCAGCATCAAAGGTAGCAGCAGATGCGCAATCTGCTTCCGTCTCCCAACGGACTCGATCCGCAGGCTCATCGTCCTCGCTCAACTTTCTTCTCCTATCTCTCATATTTCACCTCATCTACTCTGCTTCCATCTTTGACATCTACTTTACCTCTCCCGTCATTCATCCAGATCGACGGTACTCTTTAGCAGACACGTACATCGACGAGCAAGGCGCGTCTTTAGAGCCTTTGCATGCTGCTCAGCTAGCTCGGCAAGAGACGGCAAACCACACCGCCAAGAGGTTGGTGCTCATTGTGGGCGATGGATTGCGAGCAGACACTGCTTTTGCCAGGCAATCTCTCGATCTGGCTCCTCTGTGGAAAAGACGAGATGCGCTGGACCTCGAGCGGGAGAAGATTTCGCAAGAAGAAGCGGCGAGGTCGTATGGCTTGGAGTTGAGGCATGAATCGGCGCAAGGAAAAGAAGCAGAATTCTATGCTGCTCCATATCTGCGCAAAATGGCCCTGGAAAAAGGCTCGTTTGGTGTGAGCCATACCAGAGTACCTACCGAGAGCAGGCCGGGACACGTCGCGCTGATCGCAGGCATGTACGAGGATGTCAGCGCTGTCACAAAGGGTCAGTCGAGCCGGCCATTTGTCCATCTCGCGACGGTCACGCTTCATAGTTGGTTGTTCTCGCTAAAATCGATACATCAACCTCTCCGCATCAGGCTGGGCGCAGAACCCGTTGCCCTTCGACTCGCTCTTCAATGCGTCTGCTCGCACTTATTCCTTCGGGTCACCGGACATCTTGCCCATGTTCGCCAAGGGTGCAGTACCTGGTCGCGTGCTGACAGAGTCTTACGACGAGAGCGATGAAGATTTCACGCGTGGTGCGTTCGCGTCGCTATCTTCTTCTTGTGTCGGCTCGTGCAGCGAAAACTCAAATAGCGCTCGGCAATCCTTACAGATGCAACGCACCTTGATATTTGGGTTCTGGATAGGCTCAAGGCGCTGCTCGATCGGGCACGCACCGACAGCACGCTCGATATCGAGCTCCGTCAGCCAGGCGTGGTATTCTTTTTGCACCTGCTAGGCCCCGATACGACGGGTCATACGTATCGTCCTCAATCGCGCGAATACGTCGGCAACGCGGCAGTGGTAGATGCAGTCACCAAGGCCGCTGAGCAGCTACTGTCGGACTTCTTCAATGACGATCAACAGACTGCATTCATCTTCACTGCAGATCACGGCATGAGCAGAAAGGGGAATCATGGGGATGGAGAGCCGGACAATACTAGGACGCCCCTCATTGCGTGGGGCAAAGGCATCAATCGTCCACGCCCTCTCAGTGTTGAGCATGTAGAACATCGACAACATTTGGAGTGGCGTCATGAACAACGGATCAAAGATACTTATTACCAGAAGTGGGGAGCCATGGATCAGATATGGCGTCAAGATGTAGAGCAGGCCGATATCACCCCTCTGATGGTGAGTCAAACTCACACCTGGTCGTACCGAGCCCCTCGATCTGAAGAGCAGCAGCAATCTGGTCACCCTCCTTTAGGCTTCCCTGTTGGGGCTTCCGATGCCTGCAAATTCCGAGGGCCGATTGCCGCTCTCTTACTTGAATTTCTCTCCAGAGCACGCTGCGCGTGCAGCGTTAGCCAACGCGCAGGGAGTGCTCGAGATGTACAAGGTCAAGCACTGTGAGCTCAGCTGATACAGTCCTCGGCTCCGTGGTTTGTCATCAAGCTGATTCCCGACCCCTATTCTTCCCTACCCAAGCTCAAAGAGCAGCGCGGATGCTCAATTACATGCCGTTTCACAAGTTGTTGCCCGAGGCTGACCTTCCTCCAGGAACGAAGAGGGTTGATCAGATCAGACTGCAAATTCAGGCTGGACGATACGAGCAAGCGATCGAAGACTCTGCAAAACTACTTGAAGATGCGCTTGAAGGAGCTCGATACCTTCAGACCTACGACTGGCTAATTCTATGCGCCATCATCAGTGCGGGCTACCTGGGCAGCATAGCTCACGGTCTAGCATTCCTGCTCCGCACCTACGTTTTTCGCAACGATCAGTTGCAACGCACCAGAGGAGGCAGGGGAGGATTAGGGTTCTGGGTGGCTCTACCAGTGCTCATAGCGCTCTGGTCCAAGTTTGCTCTCGAGCGATCTCCTCCCACGTATTTCTTATATGCCATCTTTCCAGCCCTCTTTTGGGGTAGAGCACTGGACGATCGACACTTGTTCCTCGCCGCTTGGCGCGCACTCCACGTTCGATACGCCGCATCCTCTCATCCCACTCTGAGCCTGCTGCGCGGCACGCTTGGAAGAGCATCTTTGGCCATCATTGCGCTTGCGGTCATGGCGCTAGGATACCTCGTCAGACCTGTTTGGAGCGTCGGCTTTTTGGTCATAGGTTTCTTTTGGCCTGCTCTGGCCATCGATACGAATACGAGGGCTAGACATGAAGGTCTACTATTACTTTGGCCACTGCTTTGCACCGTTTGTGCACTCTTCACCCTTGGAGGCTTGGACAAGGAAGAGAGCGTACCTTTTCTGTGAGTCGCGACGCTAAACGCGGGTTCGATGTGAACAGCACTCTTTGCGGCCTTGCTCATCACGCTTTGCTTCGTCATGTGTAGCGTCGGTAGCGGTGCGCTTTTCTTCCTGCTCGGTCTCGCGGCGCTCGGCCTCAAGGGACTCTACGGTGTTGGTGCCCCCCACTCGACTTGCGAAAATAGCGGCGGTCCAAAAGTGGGCTCATGCGCAAACGTGCCGAACACTGGTGACGCGCACGAAGCTCGCTTTTCGCGCGTGATGAGGGTGCAGCTGATCGTGCTGGTCGTCGCAACGGCAGTGACGGCTTCCTCGTCTTACAGTCTTCAAAGGAAGCAAGGTCTACCACTACCCAACCAAATCATCGCGTGGCTCGTTTTGGTCTTCTCCATCACTTTTCCCCTCACGTACGGCTTTCGAAGCTCGTCCGGTACGACCGCCACGACCGCCATAGAGGCGCAGTCGAGAGGACAGAGTGATCGAGGCAGACAACCAGCGGCGCATCGTTTGCTCATGATCGTCTTTGCCTTTGCCCCCGTCTTCATCTTGCTCTCCATCCGCGACGAGGCCCTCTTTTTCGCCATTTACGTCGCCACTTTGCTCGTTTGGGCGCGCATCGAAGGCGCGCTGCAGGAAGAACGCTTCCTGTTGCAAAGGTGCAAAGATGACCTCGCTGCCGCTGATCAGGAGACTACGTCGCAGTCGTCTACATCAGACACACATTGCAGCATCGCTACGGACGAGCCGAGAGCCTTGGCCCTCGAAGATCTGCGCATCGTCATCACCTTCATCTTTTTCCTACACGTTGGCTTCTTTGGCACCGGTGAGTGATGAGGCAAATGCATACAGGAGGGCGGTGCACGTGCTGCAGTCATGCTGACCTCGGAGGTGTTGCCGTATCGCAATGCAGGAAACATTGCATCCATCTCATCCTTTTATCTATCACCGGTCTACCGGCTCGTGCCCATCTTCAGTCCCTTCCTGATGGCAGCATTGCTCTTGCTCAAGATTCTCGTTCCCTTCGTCCTCTTGGCTGCCATCTTTCACGTCCTGTGTGTCACGCCTCGCTCTGCCGTCTTGGCGCAGGAGCCCATCTCCACAAAGGGCAAGTTGGTGGAGCCCTCGACGATTCTAGGTCCTCGCTCACCAGGTGGCTTGAACCTTGCCGATCCATACGCCCTCGTACTGGCCGCTTCTTGCGCATTCGAAGTTTTGGCCATCACCTTCCTCTTTGCGGTGCGCACAGAAGGCTCTTGGTTAGAGATAGGAAGGAGCATCACCCACTTTGTCATGGCCAATCTGCTGCAAGTCTTTGTGCTGGCCCTAGCCGGCCTAGCTGGCGTCGTTGTGGGCGGTCAAACAAGCGACGGTACGAGCAACTCCTACAAATCTTGACGCCTTTGTCGCGTGCCAGTAATAAATATGGAGTGCCTTCCAGATGATCAGCACTCGAGGCCGGTGGTGATCGGGAGCTAGCCGCGCGCTTCTCGCGCCTCTAAAGCAGAGCTCTCTTGGCAAAGGCGTGCTCGATGCGGTTCTGTGCTGCGACTACCTGCCCGATCAGAGCTCGGCAGGCTTCGAACAATGCACTAGCCTCGATGCCTACACCCGAGCAGGTGGCCGATGCAGAGACGATGAAGGGCGCAAAGGTCGGAGCCGGAGGCGTGCGAAGATGAGCTTTCAAATGCCTAATTGATAAATCAGGACAGCAAAAGAGCGGAAATTTGGCAGTTTGATAAGAGCTCTTTCTAATATCTTCCAACCAAGGATCGATGAACCTCGGCCAACTCACGAGACTGCCAATTTCGAGCGACGTTGCACCTCCCCAAGAACTGCGGAAAGCTCTTGCAGAGCTTTGGCACACTTTCCAAGCTGCTCTCGCACCTTTGCATCGCTGCCTTCCCTGCCCAGCCTTCTCGTCTCCTTGAGTTGTGTTCTGCACTCAGCTTCAAGCTCGTCGAGTCCCCTAGCCGCACGCCTAACACCATCTATACTTTGAAACGCCTTTGATTTCTCGTGCTGTGCTTTCGATTTGTAGATGGTCCTGTAGAGAACGTTCAATTCGCCGCTCAGCTTGTCGAACGACGGCAAATGAGCGAGATTGGTGAGATCGGAACGCGATTGCCCTGGAGCTGATAGAGCTTGCAAAGCGGCCTGAGCTTCTGCATCTCCATCTGCCGCAGCTGCCGTAGCCTGCAACCATCTTGAAATGTACTCGGTCCAACCGTCACTGTCAAGCAGGACGACATGGTGAGTCGTTCGTAGCATAACGTAGCACGCGCTCCCCGTGCAGACTTACGCAGTTGAGTTCTCTGGGACGCGTAGCGTCTCGGTAGAAGCGAATCTGCTCATGATCCATTCGCTGGCTTTTGAGCCGATACCGCTGGGTATCCAGACTTTCCCAGGCTCTCTCTCCTTGATGATACCGAATTTGAAAGGGCCTTGAGTGGCCGCATAACCAGCTGGGAGAGTCTCTTTGGCACCAGGCTCCCGCATTGGGTCCTCAGACGTGTCGTAGCCTCCCATGCGAGGGAGTCGCTTTGAGTGACCAGGCAATTGAGGGAAAAAGGATGGATAGTGTTTGCTCCCTTGTACTGGATAAGTCAAGAGGGACTGCACGAGGTACACTAGCCGCCAGAAGCAAGTTTCCCTCATATCAGCGCTCAGTTCCACCGAAATCTCACCTACCCACAAGGACACTCACAGACGTCAAATCCAGTATTGGTGCCTACAAACCCATCGAACTAGAGATCCATCGAGGTGCGCAGCTTGGGAGCCTTTAGCATTTCTTGTGGTCGAGCGAAGCGACTTGCGCTCGTAACTCACTGGACCATGCTCGCGCATATAGTCGCCTACTAGTGAGAGGGTAGCGTCAAGACCAGCCGTGAGCTCCGAGCCACCTTCGCATCTCGGGGCAAATTGAAAGCTCCAGCATCTCTCGCAACTTTTGCCCGACTTTCTTCCCACAAGCGATTCGACTTCGTCTATGCCTCCTGATTCGTAAGCTTGCTCGATGGCTCCAGATACCGTTGAAAGATCCGATGTGCCGAGTTCCTGAGAGGCAGCCTTGGAGCGAAGGTGATTGGGTGAGAGCGTGCGGATCAAAGAGTGCAGACCTGCTGCTCGAGCCCAGACATCGGAGGAGGAGGAGCTTGCAGAACGATCGACCAAGGCTACATGAGGCGCATCAAGAAAGTGAAACTGCCAATTGCCAGGCAAAGAACTTGTGATCTGTCCGAGTTGAGCTCGGAAAGAGGCCGCGGACTGGATCGAACGACATGCTCAAGGCGATCAGTCTGGATATGATGGGCAAGCATGATTTGCCATTCGAGACTCACTTGTTCAACACCATGCAAGCACAGCACTTTGATCCAACGACCGCTCGATGGCGCTGCCCAGTCTGACATGGCGGGGAAGAAGCTCGAAGCCGTTTCGCTTTCGGCTTGATCTCGACCGAGCCCTTTGGAGAGGACGGTGGGTGTCAGGGCGACGAGAGTCAGAGGCTGCTTCTCGTTCGCAGTGTCGGGTCTGACAGCTATTCCACTGCTGCCACTCTGGAGTAGAGAGAGCTAGGTCAATGTGGACATGAGCCGCTATGGGGACTTTGACTGGTAATCGAGTCCAGCCCCTTCTTCGATTCGGCAAATTCAGGTCCAGGTCCATGTGGGGAAAAGATATGTTCATCTCAGAACACGTGACTGTTGAGCACACTCACGTGCCCCAATAGCTCGGCCTCCACTTTCTTCAATCATACATACGCGCTGTGGACAGCGTACACTGACGCAGCGCCTAGCCCTGCCTGACAGCCCAGTCGCGCCTCATCACCGCGCTCATATTCGGGCTGCGCGTGTGCTCTTCCAAAACTTGAAATTCATCAGCAGCAGCGGCATATATGCAAGATCACGAATTTTGAGGGCGTGTGGCTTGTTTGCGTCCGACCTGAAACCGGCTTCTGCCAGCCGAGACGCGGCCAAGGCGGGGGCGGTCTCACGTTGGGAAGGAGGGACGACGGACCCCTTACCCCTTGCCACTTACTTACCTCTTTCTCTAAATCTGGCCTTCATTTACGATCGAGCTGGGTTCACGCATGCTGGAGAGGGCCAGCAAGTGAGGTCGAGAGCTGGAGCCCTAATGTGCTGCGTGATCGGATCGGTGTGACTTTCCTGACTTTTGGCCGTCGCTGGTGCAAACTTCCACACCGCTCACAGACGCACAACTCACATACAGGCGACGCACACACATGTTTGAGCAGCGCATCGAGTGGTTTCCCTGCTTGGTCATGCAATTCTGAGCGCCAGGGCTGGCTCTCCGCTTTTCGTCCTACTACCATTCCTGCTGACCCCCTCTACCGAGCACGTAACTACGTTACCACTTCCCACCCCTCACGTCGACATCGTTCAACCGCACTCGCACTCCAAAAGTATCTCTCAAGATGTCGCCAGTGCCGGTACCCGTTCCAGACCCGGAAGCTCAGGCGACAGCCAGTGCTGCTCAAACCGCGGCTGCGACCGACGGCAATGCTGCAGAGGCCATCACCGGTCAAGCTGCTGGTGGTGATCAGACACCTGCTAATGCTGCTCCTGCTACCGCCGGACTACCATCTTCCACATTGGACTTTGCTGCGAAGGTGAGTGGACACGAGCTCCGGTCTGGATGGTGGGCCCAAGACGATGGATCGGCATCGCGTTCTGCGGCAGTTGATCTAGCAGCACGACTGCGCAAGCCCTCTGCAAAGCATTCATCCGCTTCCTTCCGTCTTTGGAAAAAGCCAAGGGGCCCGATGCTTGGAGTTCAGCTCTCACACCATTTTGCAACCCCCTTTCTTGATCTTTCCCTTCCGCACCGCTACGTGACACCCAGTCTCGATTTCAGTCGGACCTTTCGCTGATCGCCCCACCTCGCGCGACTTTGCCCGCCTCTGCCGTGCTCAGATGTTCACCCTGGCGCGCGAGGGCAACACGGATCTCCTGGCCTACATCGATGCCGGTCTTCCCAGCAACCTGACCAACAATCGAGGGGACACGTTGCTCATGCTAGCCTCTTATCATGGTCATCCATCCCTCGTCGAGCAACTTTTGCAAAGGAGCGCGGATCCTAATCAGCTCAACGGAAAGGGCCAGAGCTGCGTAGCGGGTGCCGTCTTCAAAGGTCACGATCAGGTCATCAAGATCCTTGTGGAAGGTGGAGCCGATCCCCTCGCTGGTGCGCCCACTGCCGATGATACTGCCAAAATGTTTCACAAGTGGGAAGGCGAAGAGGGATATCAAACACTGTTCGAGGGAGCTAGCGGTAGGGGCAAGGGCGCGCGGGAGGCAGCGCCCCCAGTCGAGGATCGTGAAGAGGCTCAAAGGATACCGGGCAGCGGTGTAGCAGCGTAATTAACGCACGTCACCTGTTATTCGTCTCTTTTGACGCTCAATGTTTCGGATCCGTAAAGACGCAATCATCGGGCCTCTCGACGTTTGGGGCCAAGCATGGCTGTGACCGCATCTATTTGCACTGCCGACACAGCACTATACTGTCATCTCCCCTCCGGCGCAGATTCCACGTTCTCGGCGTAGGGAGGCGCGGACACGATCTCTCCAGGACTTCCGGCTTTCCATTGTTGCATCCACAATTGCAGATCCGCTTTCAGCTCTTTCATCTTGAGGGGCTTCGTGTACCCTAGATTGATTCAGATTTTAGAATGCAAAAGCATGGATTAGTCCATCGGTCGTGACTCGGTCCTGGCGTCTCTTGCTCCAACTTACAGGCGTCCATTCCGCATTCCTCCAATCCGCGTTGCTTTGAGTACTCGTCGCCGAGCGCAGTCACTGCCACAATTCTCCTCTTGTGCAGCCTGAGGTCTGGATCGTTCGCTTCCATATCCCTCATTTTCTTTGCCGCTTCCCAGCCGTCCATGCGGGGCATGTTGATATCCAGCAAAGTGACCGCGGGCGCATGCTCTCGGAATTGCTCGACAGCTTCCATCCCATCTGCAGCGGTGCAGAATCGAATATGGGCTTGGCGGAGCATCTGTGTCAAGATGCGCAGATTGAGCGGATTGTCTTCCGCGACCAGACACATGAAAGGCTGCGCGGTGGATGTCGAAAGAATGGATCCCCTATCTGACCTGGCTACGCCCGTGTCGTTGGGTGAGGTGGATGCAATCGACTTGCTGTCACCCGGCGCTGCTCGAGGCGCAAGCATAGCGGGAACAGGCACCGGCGCCCTGAGCACTTCGTCCACCGTCTCGGGCGAGAAAATCAGATCCTTGGTGCGGGAGATTGTTGAACTGGTATTGATCGCAGGCCTGCTCGATTCGCCTTGGTCTGACACCAACGTCGTGGCAGTAGGAGCCGCTATCTCGGAGATGCTGCGTTCGAGAGCAGCCTGTCTCCGGCCCAAATCCTCATTGGACAACCGACCTTCGCCGTGGGCCCTAATATGATCCTGCGAGATTGATCTCACTGCTCTGGCTAATTCCAAATTCGGCTTGCTTTCCACAAGGTCAAGCAGTCTTGAAAAGCTGGAAGGTCCGAAAGGTTTCCGGGTCACAAATGTGGGCAGGATGCCCGACTTTTTGAGACACGCAAACTCGATTCCCGCCGATTCGTGCGCTTGCAGCACTCCGATTCTGACTCCGGGCTTTGCGTGGGAAAGAATCGCATCGATGCCTCCTTCCGTGTCGTAGCAGACCTCTTCGGATCGAAATTTCATCATTCAGCTCAGAGTCCCAAGTCTACACTTGTCTCGCAGCACTCACCCTCAGGCAAGAGCAAATAGTCGCACTCTTCCAGCTGCGTTGAAGTGTACAGATTACCAAATGCTTTGAGAGAAGTGGCAGAGTCAAGCATCAGCTAGTCGATTTGATGAAGCTACCGACGCGTCTCGTGCACTCACTTGCAAGTTGACCCGATATCGCACCCGCAAGCCTCGTCAATCCCACTCCTTCGAAGCCATGGAGGTAGACGAGCTGTGAAGGACTCGAGGAAAGCCCTCGATTGGCCATCGGCAAGGGAAGATCCTCGACAGGGATAATGACCGCAATCACTGTGCCTCTGCCCTTATCACTAGATACCTGCATACTGCCACCCTTTGGGTCGCAGGGATTACACTCGGGCGGTCAGCCTGATGCTCATGGCAGCTCGCGGATATCTAGCACGTACCAGACGTCTGACGATTGAGGAGCATAAAGCCATGCTGAGCCCCGCTCCGCTCTTAAATACATCAGCCTTGGCGAAGGGTTGGAACAGAGATTCTGAGATAAAGTCTGAGCACGAAGCAGACGTGAGCACGAAGAGACCGCGACTTTCGTTGAGTCTACGCAACTCACCTTCCGTCATACCATCACCATTATCCTCTACCGATATCTGAATAAACTTTTGCCCGTCCGGTCCTTCCGCAGGGTATGATGACAGACTGACTTCGACAAAACCATCGCGTCGAGTGAATCGGAGGCCATTCTGTGAAAGCGATTTCAAAAATCAGACTTCTTGGGGCCTATTGCTTTGAAGGCCTGTATACTCACAGAGATGAGCTTTGCGCACACACGCTTGAGCGCTGAAGGCGACACTAGCGACTTCCACCCGCGCAGATTAGTATCAATCTCTGCAGCCTCAAAGATTCGTGCCGGTCAGAGCCGTGATTGCTGGAGTCAGAGTACATGCTCAACTTACGCAGAATCAGCTCCGGTGGAGGAGGCAACCTAGCATCCACACCTTGTTCTGTCCTGATCTCGTTCACCTGCGCATTCCACATATCCGTAGCCACATCATCCAACAGCTGACCCAGGTCTACCGGCTCGTCCGCCTGTGCTAAGCAAAGAATCTCGGACGTGCGCGCTGCCATTGTCTCGGTAGCGAAGTCTGCAAAATCGTCCAGGATGCCCACCACTCGTCTATGCAGGGTTGTGACCGAGTCGAATTTTGGGCCTAGCAAGCTTGCGCTGCTTGTATCCGGGACCGGACTGGCAGACGCCTCAACATCTGCTCGTATGGATTCGATCAGCGCAAGCTGTTAAAAGTTGCGGGAGCACGGAGGCAGATTTGATGATGAGCCCGGGGATTTGTCCACAAAGGAGCGGCGAGAGACGCTGCTCACCATGCCTGTGCGGAGAAGCATGGGCTTACAGGAGTGAGCTTCCACATGTATGTCGCCTTCTGGCTCGAACGCATTGATGCTCACCATGGAGTGGAGTCCTCAACTCGTGCTGCACTGTTTGTATCTGGAGGAGAACAAGATTCTCAATCAATCTTGCTTGTATCGGAGGTGTTCAGAGAGCCGTGCAGTAGCGTGTGGCTGACGTACCAATTCGATGAGAGCCTTGTCGACGCCTTCCTTGGGTGTATGCGGATTCGACTGCCTGCCACTTCCATCCGAATCCATGCCTAGGCTCGATAAAGGCGGCCCATCGGCCATGGATGGTGGCCTTGAGCGATTGTGAATCTGGTCACCATCGACGTGGTATACTGGTTCTAACCTGTCAAGAGCCTCGCTAGAGGGTCCAGGAAGGTCTTTCATCTCCTCTCCAGCTTGGGCCATCGCATCCGAAGCCAAGCGCTCTGCTAGATTGGGCCGGTCAGGTAGGACGAGGTCGGCATTGCTGGAGTTGGGTATGGCACAGCATGACCGAGGAGCGGACGGACCTGCATCGTCTAGCCGACTGGTGCTCGCTAGAGCGAGTTCGGCTTTTGTGCTCATTGTTGAGTTGTATCCGTATGTGAGATGCAAAAGGGTTGGCAGTTGGCTCAATCGACAAACAAACCCACAAGAAAGGCCGTTAGGCTCGCTCCTGCATACGCCTCAGCTCCGTCTGACCGGGATCCTTCTGATCAGCTGGCAACAGTCACGGGCAAAGGTACGCGGGCCATACCTGCTTGTGCGCTCTCTCGTCTTGAGCAAAGGCAGCAACCGCAAATGAAGATTGGTCGGGACTGGTATTCACGCTTCAAGATACAGCTCCAACAAATGCCCTCCTCCCTGCAGGGACCGGTGCTTGATTCGCGTATCTTTTTCGAAAGTCGCCGGAGGACTCGTGACTGTCGAAGCAGCCCAAAGAGGCTGTGGTGCAGTAGACCGAATGAGGGCCTCGAATGAGGGCCTAGAATTTAGGCAGTCGGGCCTAGCGTTGGCGTCTGCGTATGCGTTACCACCGGCATCTAAACCTGCAGGCACAGGGAAGAAGTGCCCTCCCGACTCGGTCAGCTCAAAGTCCGAACGGAATTCGAGAGACAAAATCAAGAATGGCCGCATTGATTTTAGCGTGTTTTGTCGCGTCAAGTCAGAGTGCTGCTGTTGAGACCGAGCAAGCAGCCTTTGATCGATCATAGATTCATGGCTTCGCAGATCGGGCTATAGTGTGAGTGGAACGGTACACGCTCACAACCTGACTCTTGACTGCACGCCCAGCTGACTCGTATCGAAGATGGCGCGGGCTACCCTCAAAGTTACTTGGACTCCAAGTCTTGACTGTGAGATGATGATAAGTGAGCATGACTCAAAGTGATCTCCCGCCGCTGGACTCGTGTGATGCAATTGCGGCGCTGCATCAGTCGCAAGAGCGACGCGTCGTCTCACCGTATGGAAGGTATGGAAGGGGGCTGGGTCTTCGCGCCCTTTGTTCGAGAGCGGTGTTTACAAACACTCACACTTACCACGGTGAAAGCCATGCTGCAAACATAGAAGTGAATTTGACTTCTGCGCATTCATGCCTAGATACCACAACCTTTGCCGGTCCCATAGCTGACTCGAAAACTCCAATTCGGCTGTCCATGGATCAGTGAGTCCTGAGCGGGCGAAGCCAAGCAATTTGTCAGGCTCACCATGTACGGACAGTGACGTGCACAGCATTCAAGTGAATTCCAACAAGTGCGCACTTCCGTCTCTGCTGTACTTGATCGGCGCTCTGAGACGCTCTTATCGCGCATGGCTCGTTTTCCCCACATTCACAATCGTCGCAGCCGCTGGCCATCGCGTGGGAAAAGGCGAACTTCTCTTGTGAAGCCCCCCTCAATCGCGAATCTTGGACATAACCACCCAAAACGACGCGCATTCCGGAATTCAAGATTGACGTGATTCACGATTTCAGATCCGTAACACTCTTCTGACTCTTTGACTAACCTGCTACTTGATTGAATGACGAATCTTGTCTGATCGTTTGAAACCAGATTCCGAATCTTTGATCACTTCACGCGAATCTTATAAATTTGAATCTGAGGCCTGAAATCAAGGTTTCCAGATTGATGTTCCTGATGAGCACGTGATCCAGTGCTGGCCAGGCTGCTCCTGTATAGCGCACACATGCGTTGGCACCTATGCACAGCAGCGCGGCCGCAATGATGCTGCAAGCGGCATCTACAGCACACCACGCATTCAGCACACATCAGCAGCAGGCAGTTACAGCTGCTGCATGGGCTTGACTTTTGACTGCATGTAGGCCTGCTGCTATCGCGCTGCCCGTGCGCTCACACTTTCGCCTGCAGCAGACACGCCATAACGAAAGTCGCCGCGGCGCCAACACGATGGCGCGCAGGCCATCCAGCACCGCGCATACACGCGCCAAGTCGTGAGTGCAGGTGCGTGACTATATAGCTGAGTGTGACTGCTAATGATCACAATAGTAAAGGCGCTTGCATTCGCAATTCATGCGTGTTTGCGCCCTGTACGCGGTGTACCCATCCTGTGTCGCATTCGTATTCAGTCTTGAGTTAGATGTGCCATCTCAGTGAAACGCCTCCATACCGGTTGAAGCTGTGTCATAGACATCTACCCAGCGTCTGCACGCAACTCCACCAAAGGCGCCAATTCATCTGACAGACTGCTCTCACATATCTCTGCGGGCTTCGTACCACCCAGCTTTCCACCCTTGCAGCCGTCGTTCAAGTCCCAACTGTCGCCGATATAGGCAAGAGCGGAGTTGCGTATTCACCACATTCTCTGTGATTCGTCGCTCATCTCACCCGGCGCGAATTCTTGCTGAATCGTCAAGGGCTCATTTACAGCTCCACTTGCGGACGCAGGCTATCCATCGTGATGTCCATCAACCATGCCTCGACATCTGGTCGATCGATGTCCGCAGAAGCTAGCAGCTCAGATGGAAGCCCACGAATTGCGCGAGCGTCCCTATCAGAACGCTTGGGTGCTGTTTCGTCAAGGGACAAAAAGGCATCAACTCGAGCAGCTTCGAACGCCGCTCGACTCAAGTCGTTCGTAGAGCTTCTGGACCCTTCAGATTTGCTGCCAGGCCACGCAGTAGCAGACTCGTACAGCCTGCGACACTTGTGCCTGCAACCGGGGGGTATACCTACATCTTCTACTCACAGATCAAGCTCTTCGCGTCGCTTTGGAGAGTCCGCCTCGCCTCAGTCAGCCGGACTAGGTTGGCTACGCTCTTGCGCGTGGAGTGTTCTCTTGGGGCTGCTGCCGCCCGAAAAGTCGCAATGGAGGTCGACGTTGAATCAACGCCGGTCTGAGTACTACGTGAGTGTGCATGTCTAGAGCTCGCGCCGCCGTCTATGCGCTGAAGCAATATCCATCTTTCAATGCTCCACATTGCGTCTTAAAGTCGTTCGTGTCGACCCTAGCGTGTCCAGAGGCTTCCCCGGGCTCGGGCCCTTCACCTCACCGCGACGCGCTGTTAGATCAGATCTACCGGGATCTCTCTCGCTCCCGCCGCAACGTGTTCGCGTTCTATCGCGCACCAGTCGCTGCTTCGCGCGGCTGTCCACTTGCCCCGCTTCCATCAGAGGAGTTGAATAAGCACACCGAGCCACGCGCAAGACGTAAGAGAGCCACTCCTAGAGTCGAGAATAGACACGCCCTCCTCTTCAGACTGGCTCACATCAACTCAGACTTTGCCGATTACTTGCACGAGGAGAGGGATGAGGGGACACCAGCGACCTCGCCTCTCGCGGCGGCGCGGAGCAGTGATCGACACAGGCAAGGCAGCTTGACGGAGTCTGCATCGCTTCACGCGGACGGCTTGGCACCGGACTCGACGGCAAATAGAAGCCCGCCGATTGTATTACTACCCCCGTCTCCTGAAACCCGGCGGGGTCATACGCCTGAAGCCGACAGCAGTGACGCGATGCTTCCAAGCGATGTTGCCCAGGACTTTGCAAAGCAAGACGATCAGCATTCTGCCGGTGCAAGTCCGCAGCAGCTTACGAATGGGTCCGCTCGCTCTCTTCAGGACCGGCGTTGGCATTCCTTACTCCGCATCCTCTTTGTCTATGCGCTTCTGAACCCATCCACGGGCTACGTGCAAGGAATGGGCGAGATTGCCTTTGTGCTGGCATACGTCATGGGAACGTCCGAAGCATGGCCCTTTTCGCCCTCGCATCATGAAGACGAGGAGCAGAACGGCGAAGCAGAGGACGTTGATGAAGCCTACGTGGACCGTGATGACGATCCGCCAGGCGCGCACGCAGAGGCAGATGCCTTTTGGCTGTTCTCCAGGCTTGTGGGAGAGCTGCGCGAGCTTTACGAGTTCGACGGCATCGATCACCACGCAGCAAGCCTGCATGTCAGAAATGGCTCGGGACGAGCACTTCCGTCTTTGCCAAAGCAGGAGTCGCAGCAAGGCGGCATGGCTAAGGCTCTGGAACGCACAAGCGTGCGCCTCCGCTGGCTCGATGACGGTCTTTGGGCGGCTCTAGTGAGTAAATGCATGTATGGCACGCTGCTTCAACCAACGCAAGGCTGATCTTTGCGCTTTCGTTTCAAGGCGCAGCAAGGCCTGGATCCGCAGCTGCCGTACTACTCGTTCCGCTGGCTAGCGTGTCTGTTGAGCACTGAGCTGGCCTTGCCGTCAGTGCTGCAGCTCTGGGATCTCATTCTGGCAGAATCGGGAAGCGCCACGCAAGATTCGCATGCATTAGGGCCAAAGGTCGAGATACTTATCGACATGTGCTGCGCGCTGCTCATCAGCCTACGGGGACCACTCCTCGGCGCCGCTGAGCCGCATGAGGGGGACGGGGACGATTCAGACGCTTTCAGTCGATGCATGAGTATATTGCAGGATTTGGAACACGTCGACATTGGACCCGTCGCCGAGCTCGCATGCGTGTTCAGGCAGCGCAGACTTGCGGCGCCTCTGACTGGGGATGGGCCTCCCGACTGTCATCAAGAAGCAACGCTTCCTTCGACTCCGGCCTCGGTGCGAGACAGAGCAACACAGGCTCTGCGAGGTTGGACCGGTCCCGGCGGGCCGAAATGGCTCTCACCAGCAACTGCGCGCTCCGTTTCCGGCGGGTCGACCTTCTCAACACCTAATCGAGCCGACGAGACATCAGTTGAAGCATCCTCGACGAACAGTCCCAGGGCTACATTTGCAAAGTACGCAGAAGCATTCCAAAGCAGCGATGCTGCTGCGAGCCTCTCGAAAGCCAGCACGAACTGGACCGCAAGAGCTATGGCGTCCTGGGGTGCAAATGGCTCACAGAGTCGCAGCCGCGAATCTTCGCCGCTGTTACCAGCGGATGGATCTCCCCGTCCAGGTTCGGCAGCCAAGTTATCCCTAGCGGGCCTTTTCAGTCGTCAGCGTTCCGATAGCAGCGGCACTGCTGCATCTGGACCTTCCGATTCAACCCATCCGGCGCTGCGGTGGTCGCGAGAGATGCCAAATCTGCCGCTGCCAAATGTGCTGGACAGTCCGCCGGAAAGGCAGGAGTACGGGTGGGCTTCTCGCCCTCAGCTGCCAGCGTCTTTGGCGAGCCCAAACCTGAACGAAAGCCCAAATACGGCCTCCACTACTGGACGCTTCTCGCCCATAAGTACCCAGTCGCCCGGCAGCGTGCGAGGAGGCAGCTCGGTACGAGGGGCTGGGCCCAAGCCTCTACTGCTCACTGGCTCTGCCAGACCTCCGCGGGAGAGCAGCGGCTCCCACCACGATCATATTGCAGAGCCTAGCCGCAAAATTTCCAGCGGTCCCATGGCCGCCAGGAATGGCTCTGAGCGTGGCAGTGTACGTGGCTTGCCCGCAGGCAGCAGGCGCGACAGTAGCATTGCGAGCTCCATCGCAGGAAGCTCTGGGTGGAGCTCACGTCCACAGTCCGAATTTGGTGATCCACCCCAATCTGGCCATAGTTCGGCCACCCCTGGGACTGGCAACACCCCGACTTTGCCAAGTATGGCGGTAGCCACGCGTCTAGCAGAGAAGCTGCCGCCCATCGGCACCACACCTGGCCCGGCTCTTGGCCTTGCCGGATCGGCGAACGGCAAGCTGACGGCGGCCGCTTTCAATAGGACTAGACGAGGCTCGACGGGAGATGGCAGCGATCGGACGAGCGCGTATAGTGCTGAAGGTACGGCTGTCGGCACGGATGACCTTCCGCCGGCATCCTCTACTGGCTTCATCGCCGAAGAGCATCATGCAAGCCCGGCGCCTATTGCGAGCAGCTCAGAGACACCGCTGGTCGCAGCATCGTCTCTCACGAGGCCACGCGGAACTGGCGGTGCGAAGGCGAGGGGCAGCAATGGGTCCGTCTCTTCCTTCGGGCCCAGTCACGTATCAAGCGACAGCATGGAGCAATTCAGCAGACGCGAGTCAAGTCGGAGCAGCACGTCCACGACGAGCCCACAGCGCCGCTCGCTAGCCTTGACGGAGTCCGGAGCATCTCGCCCAGATTCTCAAGGCGCATTGTCAAAGGCTTCCTCGGACTCTTCGTCGCGCGACTCTCTGGCACAACGACGCGGCAGCGCGTTTAGCGCCGACCGCGTCACCAGCGGGCAAACAAGCGAGTCTTTGCCCGAAGAGCAATCGTTGGAAGACCCAAAATTGGAACAGGATCGTATCGGACTGCAAAGATTCGAGCTGACGGATGAGCCAATACGCTTGTCCGAGCTGCAACGCGAGGGTAGCGAACGTAGCATCAATCGCTCGAACGGTATTCAAAGATCCACTGTTCGATCAAAGCGAGCTTACTCGTCTGTCAAGAAGCGCCAGAGCGAAGCAGATGATGCAGAAGGCGGAGTGAACGGCGAGTCCCGCAAGCCTACTGCAGGACTCAGGCGCAGCTCGGCAGCTCGTTCTTCCAAGCTCCAAATTGCGCCTGCTGAGGGTGATACCGTGATAAGAGCGCCTTCTCCAGGTCCGAGCGCCGGTCAAACGATGGACATTGACGAGCTCGTGATGGAGCTCTCGGGGGAGAATGATGCCACACTTCAAGGAGACGAATGGTCGGTGCGTGGGGATCGAGAGGCGAGCCGAGCACCGGGACTACAGACGGGCGCCACAAGGGGCATAGGAATCGACATGGGAGAAAGCATCGGCCACGATTTGGCTACTCCCCGCTTTGACGGCTTGCGACGACTTGCTCCCGACGATATGCCGCAAGACGAGTACGAGGAAGATTGGGAGACTTATGACGCTGCGGGAGCCGGGTTCGAAAGCGCGGGCGCGGCCCAGGGTGATTTGATGGCATCGATTGGAAACGCCATGCTAGCCCCTGCTGCCACCTCTCAAGCGATCTGATGTATCCTACCATCATTGCTCACTCATCTGTCACTGCACTGCATGTAGCGAATAAGTCATCCATATCGACTGCAAGACTGCGAGCGCCGAAGTCCGTTGTTGAAAGAGGCTCGACATGTTGAAAAGCCGCGCCAATTGGGCGTTGTGGATAAAGATCATGTGGGAATGCCTAATACGCACTAGGGATACTAGGACTGTGGTGAGACAAGGCACGAAAAGTGAGGTATGGGAAGATGATGTGAGGAGGCAGCGCGGCAAGTCGTGGATGAGGAGGAAAAGGTGTGGCCGCGGATACTGGAGAGAGAGGTCAAACATGCGGAGAAGTGCTCGAGGTGCGTGCTTTGGCAAGCAACGAGGCAATGGCTACCTGTGCGGGGGTAGGGCTGGGCAAAGCGGGCTCCAACACCGAAGCTGGCTCTCTGCAAGGTGTAGCTTGGGCAGAGTCCCAGCCATAGTCGGAAAGGTTTGGCGTGGTAGCAGTCGTTGCTAGAGATCGCCATGGATCGGCACTGCTTTCCGACGAGTTCAAAGCCGTAGCAGCAGTCTGTGCGCGTTCCGCATTGCTGCCAAGTCTTTTGTGCAAATTTTGAAAAAAGCCAGTGCTGGCTTGCGTGGTGCGCGATGCGCTTGTGGTTGCGCTGTTGGTCATACGTTTGGCGTGATCCAAGACTGAAAGCATCATGTTCTGGCCAGAGCCGCTCGCGGGTCGTCCGTACTGCTTTGGTCTCACGAGGGAAGGCCGCTTGTCAGACGGGGCCAGCGCGGGCATCAGCGTCGAAGACTGCTGTTCGTCCTCAGCAGGTACGCTGTTCATCTTGCGACGCAAAGTCTCAGCGGTTGCGCCTTCGGCACTGCGGACGACTCCGAAGATATTCGCTGACTTGATGCGCATATGACTTCGCGCGGTGTGCACGCGCGACGGAGAGCGCGGATCTTCGCCTGAGGAGCGGGTCTGGGCTGTGAAAAAGCTGCTTGCAGAAGAGTTGCGTTGGCTGAGAATCAATACGGGTCGCGGCGGCGTAGAGGATTGTGGAACGCTCTCGCATCGACTCTGAGCGTCGCTTGTTGGCGACCCTATTACATCTGCCGGCCAATAGTCGAGGACTGTTTTGCCGCCCAGCTGAGACAGGAAGGTGCCGTTGCACTGGGAGCTAGCATTTTGGGGTGCCGCTGCCTCTGAGATACCATTGCCACTGCTCTGAAAGGAGAGAGTCCCATCCGCCTCGTGTCTTGCGCGCTCTCTCACATGGCTTGATGCTTCGCGATGATGCTCCTGGGGCGACCGCATCGTTCCTAGCAGCCGTCTGTCCACTCTTTCGGGAGGAACACGTCCACTCCAATCTTGCGTTACCTCCGCTTCGTGGCCAAATGGAGCCAAGGCGTCCAAAGAAGTCACGAATGCTTGAAGAGGAACATGGCGAGTACAATCGCTCTCGGAAATATCTCTTGAGCCAGTGATTCCGCCCGCAACGCATTTGGAAGGTCGGGTTTCAGATACGGTGTGACGCCTGAGTTGAGAGCTTCGCTGAGAATAAGAATCGACATTGAGAGCCTCATTGAGATGTAGACCTAATCCAATTGCGCTCGTCTCGTCGCGCTCGGACTGATGACTCTTCTGATGCCAGGTCTGTTGGTACCCGAGCTCTGGTGACTGTGGTTCCGAGCTCATGAGCGCTGGCGACTGTTGTGTCGACGGCGAAGGAAGGCCGTAGTCAGGGGCCAAGTAAACGTCGAGATTAGGGCTCCCGAACTCGTTTCTCGCAGCAGCCCTACACCCATCAGTTGGCGTATGCTGACCGTCGAACAGATTGCCACTACCGCCCCAAACAGCGCCAAACACCGCCCCGTAATGTGCTCCGAAGCTCGTGGCGGTCGAAGTTGGCAAGCTTGCTTGAGACATGGGGACCAGTATGAGCTCCAGCGAGCCTTGCGTCCTAGGCGCTCTACGAAGCGCTGGCCCTTTTGGTGCTGCTCCTTGACGAGCTGTACCGTACAGCGAGAAGGACTCATCGCATCGGTCTTGTGACGAGGCAGAGGACCACGAATACTGATGCTTTGCGCGGGACCGCGTCTCGGTCGAGCCAGATGCTTGGCCAAGGGTGGGAGGAGGAGGTCGCAGAGACCTGCTTGGCCGAGGCGGAAGAAAGGAGAACCGTGCCGGTGTAGACTGCACAGCCGAGGTACAGAAAGCGCTAGACGTGGGCCTGTCAGCGACGACCGCTCCATCCATGGACGAGCTATGGACTGCTGGCTCAGACACTGCGCTGTAAGCATCAGAAGCAGCGCCACTGGCGTCGTCCGAGTGATTTGACTCGGAATGCGCAGACATTGGTCTGTCGCCGAGTTGCTGACGGGAAGACCGTGGCAATCCCGCCGAGCTCCGGCAGGACGCACTTGCTTGGGTAGCAAGAGGAGGCCACGGGGATGTGCGGTGTTTGCGGTAATTCTCCGCGGCATTCAGGGCCAATTCGTCGTCCCCAAGCAAGCTTGGCCAAGGCAAGGCGTTTTGATCGGGCGTAAGAGGCAACCCAACGGTGACAGTTGATGTGGAGCTGCTTCCTTCGTTACTGGAGAAGCAGTTTGGTCTCTCGGATAGCATTCGCGGCATGTGCTGAAGACGCTCCGGACGCGAAGTTATTTGCGAGGGTCTCGGCGAGTCGGTTCGCTGGACGGCCGGGCCCAGTGATTGACTCATGGTACTGACGCTCGTCAGGCTTGGGTCCACAGTGACGAGAGTGTCGCCTACGTTGTCCCAACGATACCACGAAGGCGTCTGGCTGGCAGGTCCGGCAGTAGCTGTCGTGGGGACCATCCTGCCTCCTCCGATCGATGCGTGGGATGTGCGTGGCCAAGTAGGAGACGCTTGGGCAGACGCATTGATGTGCGGACTTCGCTCGAGGTCTGATGGATGTGCGTAAATCCTGCGCAAGCAATTATGTCGCCGGTAACGTCTCAAAGAAGAGTTGATCGACCTGACAGATGAGCTGCCGTCGTAAAATTCACCGGCCGATGATTGCTCGGGCTCGGAATCTCGGGAACAGTACTCGTCCGCATCTGAATCACCAGGTGCAGATGGACCCCACCGGCGCACGTGAATGATGGAGCTCGACCTTTCACGACCGGCACTAGAACGGCCTCGTTCTCTCGGTGGCGCTGAAGTCTTGCAAGGTTGTTCCGAGGGGTGCTTGAGCCGGATGAAGTCTTCGAAAAGCCTCTGTGGCAGACTGAACAGAGACGACGGGTACCATTGGTCAGCTGTCTTCCAAAGCACTGTGGACTTAAGCACGCTTTACCCACGCTGCAAAATGGTTACCGAACTCTTGAGCTAAGCTACGGACATCGACCGCAACGCTGCAGGAACAGATCAAGGGTCAGCATCGATGTGGCCGGCGCACAAAATGAGAGCAACTCACCAACCCTCGAGAGTTGCAAAGAGCTGGGACGGAGGCACGGCAACTCTTTCGCTTGATCTGTGGAGTAGCATATGATCAAGTTCAGGCTTGAACCTCGATTGCATACGGGATGTAGGCGTGCTCAGACACCAGTGTCGAGCTGCCAACTCCATGAAGTCCTCTTCTCTGCGCTCTCCGTCCGTGGCATCTGGTATGACAGAAGCCCGGTCGGCGCTTCCCTCCAGCTCCAACAAGACCCAGAGAACAGCATCGTAGGTCGCCTGATGGATCAAGTGATGCACATCAAGGTATATGTTCGAGGGATACCTCAAAAGCAGCTGTGACCAGGTCATGGAAAGGCGCTGCTTGTCGGACGGTATCGTTCGCAGTGGGCTTGAGGTGTTGAGGACGTCGGGCGAGGCTTGGCTCCGATAGAATTCGTCCTCGCCAAGCGAAGACCCTAGTCCAAGGGTGAAGTCTGTCATCTTGGCAACGTCGCGCAACTCTCCGAGATGACGCCTCGTATCTTTGACAGGTAGATCGCTCGCCGACAGAATCTAGAGGCGATGTGCAGCAGGCTTTGGTAGATCGTCGTTGGTCAGGCAACGAGACAGGGCTGGACGACTTGACTCCTTAGCTTGGCTTGATCAGTGCTCAAGCCGACGAACTGTGTGAGCGACACGAGATTGACTTGATGTATGATGATGGGTCCTTGGGCTGCCTGGCACGACGATGCCGTCGAAATTGAAGACTAATTGAGAGGCGGGATGTTGAAATTTCTCCCTCGTTGGAAGTGTGGTGGCCACAAATCAGAAAATCGATCGAGCCAGGCAGATTGATGGTGTCCTGCGCCAGACCCTGACCCTAGCAACGAGTGCAAAGAGGTGGTGGAAGAACGGAGGCGTGACTGCTTGAACATCAGGCCACTGTTGCTAAGCCAGCCTGAGCCAATACTAGTCGTAGTCGCGAGTGTCGGATTCGTGACAGGGAATCGAAGGCGGTGGACGCTGTCAGACAGGCATCCTGTGATTCAAGGCCTAGCAAAATCAGCAGAGCAACGTTACGCATGCCTATGTGGTCTCACTCGACCCAGCAATGTTCGCTAGTGTCGACTACAATCCTTGCAAGTTGATGATTGTGTGTTTTGTATATAGCGGCGAACCAGTCGGAAGAGCAAGAATCGAGCGAGCTGGTACTCGTTGAACGCCGCATGTGGCAACATTAGTGCTCAGATCCGCATACAGTCACCCTGTTGCTGAGATTTAGCTGGATCGGATCACCTCTGATACCTTCACGATTTCTGAGCTTCGTGACCTTGACAATGCTACTCTGACGAAGGCAAAGGACGAGGCGCGCTTGGCCAAACGACGAACGCGATCCCGATCGGGCCTCATCGTTGACAGCTCCGACGACCATTTGCATTTCGATTCAAAGGATGAAGCCCAGGCCAAAGGTTGACTCAGCAAGGTTTTGGCGCAGCTGACTTCGAGAGCAAGCGTCGATGATGGGCCGTCAGTCGACTACGCCATTTCGCCCATTGTTGCTCTTCTGCAGGGCGTCATGTACGCGCTAGCCGCAGGGCCGTTGACCGTTCAACGGTCCGTAAGGGGCTCGTCATGCCACATCCTTGAGTGGTACATCTTCGTCGCCGGAAGCGGATAGAAGCTCCGCTAGCTGTTGATAAGGATTGCATTGACCTATTGTTATCGCTTTCATCAACGCTTCGAGCGGTCCAAATAAAGGAGCGATGCCGCGTCGCTGATGGATGAACCGAAGGAGAGAGCGTTCGGAGCAGCGCGGTCGCGGTACGGCACCCCCGTCAGGTGCCTGCACGAGGATCTGTCGAGCTCGTCGTGATCAATGCGCGGCCCGTCCAGTAGCCACAGTCTGATGCCAAAGCAGTGACTTGAAGGCCAGCTGGTCGGAGACAGACTGAAGGCAAGTCATGAGCAAAGAAGATGAGTCACGCAGGCGAATGGCGATGCTCGCCTTAGACCAATTCACTCACGACTTGACTGACTCATTGACTCTAGCGTGGGATGCGTGGTTCCGATCGGCGGGATTCGCCGCATGCGTCGCGTCCCTGCTGGTCAAGGCGTCGGACGCGCAAATCACCGACAAATCTCAACATAGCACGTGACTTGTGCCGAGAACTTTCTGACAGGAGCAGCTGAGTTGACGGCTACCACACGCCGAGGGGCTCGCGGAGGTGCACCGCGCGCGCGCGCGTGAGTACGCTCGCGTACGATGGCAGCGCCTCAGGTTGCCTTGTATCGGCGCGGCGCATATACCTCCAAGCAGCTTGTGTTGTCCACACTCACCACTCTGCACGGCTTTACCACCTCGCAACTGGAACTGTGCTTCTCACAGCAACCAGACGCCAAAGAGGGACCGCCAAACATTCATCTACGCACGTAGCTCCCGCCCATTGGACCTGCCGAACGCGACGGGTAAGCGATCCGGATCTTAAACACCCCGACCAGGTCAGCTGTGGTCCTCTGGCAAGGAGAACGCAATGTTCCGTAATCGTAACAAGGGAAGAGGGAATGGAGAGAGACCAGGTCCGGCCGCGAACGATGCCAATAGCGATGCCGGTACGACGAAGGAGAAGAAACCTTTTGCTCAGAGGAAACCTGCCAGTAAGTACGATTGGCGGTAGTCCGATACAGGGTGGTTCGGGAAGGATGTATTGCGCTAGGAGTAGAGGACACCACAAGGCCACTGCAGCGCAAATGGCCACTCTGCCAACTTGTTACCAAGCAGGATGGGGGCCGGGTGGTGCATTTCGCACTTTGCCTTTTCTCTGGTGATCTTGGTGGGTTCAGAGGCGGCGTTCTCGGCGGCGGGCAAAACGCACTGAGAACGCACACCCAGCTTGGAGGCAGATGATGCAAGCGAGAGCATGCAGTGCCATGCTCTTTCGCCACCTCTGCGGCTCCTCCAGCGAATGTGGAATGGACTCCGTGTTTGAATGGTCGAGAGCCGGCCTGCTTGCTGCCTTTGGTTTGTGCAGAATTCTTTTACCACGCAACCGTCTGACTACTCTACATACACATCCTTCTCTACTACAGACACCGCTTTCAGACAACAGCGTCTCAAAGCTTGGCAGCCCATTCTGACACCAAAGACGGTGCTGCCTACCTTCTTCCTCGTTGGCTTGATCTTCGCGCCTATCGGCGCTGTGCTGTACTACTATGCCAATAAGGTATGCTCAAGTCACGGTTTGCCACTGCGGTCTTCACAGGCTCACACGGCTGAGAAATTGTTGCACAACAGGTCAGCGAGTTCACAATTGACTACACAAACTGCCAAAACGCTGGTGCAGACTGGGTCGAGATTCCAACAGACAAGTATGACTATCAGCTGGCGGTGCGTGTCGAGGCGCAAGATCTGAGCAGACATATGATGGGGTGCTGATGCTTCTCGATTTGCAGGGCAAGAACAGCTCAAATTGGTCCAACCCTCAATGGCGTTTTGCACCTGCGCCCACCGCGCCGAACGGCAGTCACTGCGAAATTCAATTTTCGGTGCCAGAGGATCTGCAGCCTTCAGTCTTCTTGTACTACAAGCTGACCAACTACTACCAGAACCATCGTCGGTATGTCAAGAGCATCGATACGGAGCAACTTCTGGGCGATGTCCGATCGCCAAGTGATCTTTCCAGCGGCAATTGCAAACCTTTGGGCGCAGAAGGTGGTCAGGGTATCTATCCCTGTGGACTCATCGCGAACAGCGTCTTCAATGGTTCGTATGCCAAATCGCCACGGAAGCTCGTGCGCATGCTAATTTGCTCTTCCGCACTCATCTTTGCAGACACATTCAGCCAGCCACAGCTGCTCAACCCAGGAGGAACAGACAGCAACTCGACATATGCAATGACCGATCGGGGCATCGTTTGGCCTGGGGAGAAAAACAAGTACAAGCGCACTAAGAACGATCCCAGCACACTCCTGCCGCCCCCGTTCTGGCGAGGCACTTTCAACAACTCACAAGGCCTTGCGTACAATTATCCGAATGGATACACGGCCGAGAATCTCTTTGACCCTAGCGAGGACGAGCATTTCATGGTAAGTGGTGTGTGGGAAGAGCATCGACACGCGAGGCTTTTTCTTAGCTCGACAGCATTGATTTTGCACCTTGTAGGTCTGGATGCGCACTGCTGGTCTGCCGACGTTCCGCAAGCTATACTACAGGAACGACAATGATGTGATGCTCTCGGGTCGTTACTTGATCACCGTCAACGACAGTGAGTGCAGCGTGCTGGATCTCATCGTCCTTGGTGCGAATGAGCTCACCTCTTTCGCCCTCGACAGACTACCCTGTTGCCATGTTCCACGGCACCAAGTCTATCGTTTTCAGTACCGTCACATGGGTGGGAGGACGTAATCTCTTCCTTGGAGCAGCTTATATCGCCGTCGCGGCCCTCTGCGTCCTGCTCGGACTCATCTTTACAGCAAGGCACCTCATCCGCCCCAGAAAGCTCGGAGATCTCAGTCTGCTCAGCTGGAACGACAATTGACTTGGCTAGCATCCTGCTCTGGTAAGCTATCTGGACGTGTCTGGTAGACCGCCCCTTCTATGACGATTGTGCTCTCGTTGCGTTCCTCAGCGCTCGCGCATCGCGGAATCACTGGAACCGTGTATTTCCTTTCTTGTGTTTACTTTTCTCCCGACCTTGCTCGATCACACGTTTGACTGGCCCCCCGCGCTTGTGTGTTCGGTTCGTCATTGCCGATCTTCCTCTCTTGAGCCAAGTAATACGAATGTACTCTGCACGAAATATAGGCGACTAGATCGATCATGCTTTAGCGCTTTGGACGAAACACAATCGTGAATGCGCGGTGCGCGTGGGCTTTAGTAGGTGGCTAAATTTACCTTTTGGGTGTGCGCAATGCGATGAGGAGCAGAGTCGCGCGGGTGCTTTTCGTGGGTGCGTCGAGGCGTATAGTTCGATTATCCACAAGCCTCTTGAAAAGAAGGGTTTGAGCTATAGCGTGGAGGATGAGCAAGTCGAGATGCGAGTCTTGAGTTGCGGACCTTCGAGAGCGAGGCAAGCGAAGCGTGACGGGCGGAGTGTCAAGCAAAAAAAAAAAAAAAAAAAAAAAAAAAAAAAAAAAAAAAATAGGGCCCGAAGTTGCGCGCTGAAGTCATCCTCGGCTCTTTCCCTTTCAACAATTGTGCGTCGTGTGCAGCAGACGTGAATCAGAATGGTGGTTGTGAGCACGAGCAGCAGTGAACTCACGATTCTACCGACTCGAAATGTGTCGATCCGTGATTGGTGAGTGAAGAGTGCTGCATGCCTGCCTGCCCGCCTGCCTGCCTGCTGGCCATCGTGATGGCTGCATGCTGCATGCTGCCCCTGGCTGCGTTCCTCATTGATCTGGTCGGTCCGGTCCGATCACGCGTCGCAGCTATCGCTGCATCATGTGTGTGCGGTCCAGCGGCTGCCGGCCGGACGAATCGATGCCCGAAATCTCGTTTCACGATGGGTGCGTGGAGCAAAGTTCCGAACAAGATGCGGGGTCGATGCGGAGGTGGAAGCGGATCTCGTAAGACGCAGGAGAACCCTGCGTTTGTTTGCAGTCCAGCACCAAGCGAAAGGCTTCTTGATTGGAAGTTTGAGACCTAAATCTAGCTTCTCATCCATCACACACGTCCACGCCTAGGCCGATTACCTCTATCTTGGCCCCATCAGGTTCAGACCTCGTCGAAAGCGACCTCGTGCCTCTTCAGAGCATTCCAAACACGTCAACATGTCGGCAGCTCAACAAGTTCGAGCCAACATTACGATGTACTACGACATTGTATCTCCTTGGAGCGTCATAGCCTTCAAAGTGTTGCAGAGGTACCATCAAAAGTGGGATTTCGAGTTGCGCTTTCAGCCCATCAGCTTGGGAAAGGTGATGCAGGTGAGCAGCATTTGAAAACGAACGATATACGATGTTCACTTTGAATGCAGCTGTGGCAGAAGGATTGATGCATCGCTTCTGATGCGGTTTTGTGAGAGCAGATCTCTGGGAACAAGCCTCCTATCACGGTCAACAACAAGGGCAAATGGATGTTTCAAGAGATTGAAAGGGTTCCAGCTTTCTACGGCGGTGAGTATACGGTCCTTGACAGCGACAGCGCTGCAAGAACCGCGCGCATCGCGACCATGCACAGACCGAAGATTGAAAGAATCGTGAACCAAAACCCTCTTTGGGTGCAACTTCCCTCCTTTCCCCCCAAGTGAACCTGAACACGCCCCATGGATTTCCAATGAACACGCAATTGGCCCAATCTTTCCTGCGCGAGCTGCGCGATCGTTCTTCTGCCGATCACGATGCGTACGCCTGGACATTGATGGACGCATCGTGGATTTCCAGCAAGCCCGTGGTCCAAGCAGAGGATATTCTAGAAGCTGTCAAACACGTCGGTCTCATTCCCCAGACGGAATTAGAGGAGATTTTGAAAAAGGCGCAAACGAGAGAGGCAAAGGACAAGTTGAACGAGGAGAGCAAACGATTGGTGGAGGATAAGGGCGCTTTTGGAATGCCGTGAGTGGACACTGCGAAGGATCAGAAGAGCCCAAACAGCCCTTGAAGGAAACACATCGATTTGTAGCTGATCCCAATCTTTCTCCAGGTGGTTCATCGTCAAGCGGGCGTCGGACGGAAAGACGGCGAGTTTCTTCGGTAGTGATAGGTTCGAACAGATCGCAGCGTTCATGGGCGAAGTGAGTCTTTTTCAAAAGTGAACAAGCTCTTTTGAGTTGGTGCGCGTTGCTGAATGTAGTAAAATTCCTCTTTGAAGGAGTACAAAGGTCCATTTGCAGATGGCAGACGGGCACGCCTTTGATGCATGGCTGTTCAAGCACGTGTATATGCTACATTTGACAGAGGAGGCTACTGTCCTTGCATGCAATAAAAATCACAAAGATAAGGTGCGGGCTTGGCTCCATCAGACGGAATGTGTGTCCTGGTGGGAAAGGGCTGTCGATTGATCGATAAAGGGATCATTGCAGCATTCGGATGTCCGCGCTGCTAACTTTCCCATCCGTGACCAGTTCCTGAACGACCTTTCCAGTGCCAACTGGGATGCGCATGGTGGTCATTGCACGAATCAGCATTCTCGTTGCATGCAGGCTTTCAATCGCAGACTTACCGCCCAGCGTGATGCCCCAGCAGGAATGGCCCGCCGCAATGTAGATGCCGCTCTTGGCATCACCAGTGATGACGGGTGATCCAGTCCCTTCACTGATTGGCAAGTAACAAGCTTGCTCGGCTTTGACTTTGGCGCCCTTGTCGACGTTGAGAACGTCTGGCGAGAGGACGGCTGCTTGTTCGATCAACTTCGCCGTCGCTTTGAGATCGGGAACGATGTCTGATTCGTTCTCTGGCAAAATCACTTCGTCTGAACCTGCAGAATATCAGAACAAAAGCGTCAGCGTGATGCAGGCGACGGCAGGTGATGGAAGACATTCACGCACCGCCGCATATGTACACCGTCCCATCCTCGCGCGCATACACCTCCGGCGCAGCCGCTTTATTACCGTACCGCATGTCGGTAAAAAGGCAGTGAGCGGTCGTGGGCCTCGAACCTTGAATGACCACGCTGTGTGCTCGACTGCCACCAATCTTCTTTGCTTTTCTGAGCAAAGACGGCAAGCCAGCTTCAGAATTGGAGAATAGCGATGACGCTAGTGCGCCTGTCCAAGGTCTGTGTGGTCGTGTCAAGCCGCCAGAATTGCTCAGCGCTGAGCTCTCGCAGCCTCTTTGTCAGAGTGACACTCACCCAGCCGCGATGATCAAATCTGTGCTCTCGACATCCTCTTCGCTTCCGTGCGCATTTCGCACCTTGATCTGCTTAACCCTTCCACTGGCAGCATCAAGCTCTGCTGCAACAACTCGAGTCGCCTTGTGTATGCTTACGCCAGACACCTTCAGGGCTTCGCTGGCCAAATGTCGTACCAAAGGTCTGGGAGTCACTTGAGCTGTCGTGCCATTGCCACCCATCGTCGAGGAAGAAGAGACATGCTTTCCGTCTACCCAGTCCAGGCTAGCTGGGCCCTTTGACCGCGACCTGTTCGAATCGAATTTCACAGAGAGAGTCTAGCGAGTAGCACGCAGCATGGGGTTAGATGCGTAGAAAAGATGCGGCAGACGAGCATCGAGAAAGACTCACCTCAACCTCTCGATAGCCCCATTTTTCTCTTCCGCTAAATTCGTCGGCAAGCTCTTTATGCAGCCTGAAACTGAGCTCTGCTAGGTCGGCAGTTGCGGTACCATGCCAATCTAAAGCCAAAAAGCCTCCACTCTTGCCGCTCGCTGCAGGTGCTACATCTTGACCTGCTTCGTACAGATTCAAGGTACTGCCTGCTGGCAGGCGAGACAAAGCGCGCGAGAGATAGTAGAGCGAAGAGACACCAATGATGCCTCCCCCTACAATGCTGATGTGACGTGCCGGAGCTGTCATGATGTCGAGATGTGGATGAGGAAGGTATATGGTTGGTAGAATTGTGCGTGGATTGGGCGATGATGCTGTGATCCTGACTGATGCAAGCCATATGTACGCTCTTCTGGTCGCTCCGCACACCCTCCACCTATGTTCGTCTAGCTACCCAGCCAGAGTCGAATCACGTGAGTTTACGCCGTACGTGCTTCCGAAGAGGTCAGCACGTTGATCAGATGGCTCAGACGAGGGCAGCGATGAGCGCCAAGATATGTCCATGCAACGCCCTGCGGACCATGTTGCCCGCTTCACTCTAGCTTCTCTGTGCAGATAGGGTGCATGTTGATTTGACCTTTTGATTCTGACGTCTGTAGCGCCGGCACTTACCGATGTGATCCGCTGCATGCTCTAGCTTGCATAAAGGGCGAAAAGGGAGTTTGAGTCTCTGTGTGTGCGGGTCGTGCAACTTCCTAGCGGTGTTTGTCGCGCGCGCGCAGCACAATCTTGAATGCCGAGTGAGAGGGACGACAAGGTCCAGCAAAGATAGATCTTGGCCAAGACGGAAAGACCCAGGATGATATGACGAATCGGGTTTATGAGTGAAGAGGACTCTGATCGATTGTCAATTTGTGATCGAGGCGTAGGGCGAGATGAAGACAGCAGTAAAGGTCGTTAAGAGGCGCGATATTCGGCAGGATTTTCTGAGCCAATTAAATTTGCACGGCTAGAGAGCCCAATAGCAAATCTTTCAATTTCGGTCAAACTAACCCTTGAGTCTGATTCAGATGATGATTGTAATTCGAAAAGTGGCGCACGCAAGCGCGTTTGCCTAGCTGCTGCCTGCGGTCGGCCGGGTCGGATGCATGGCCGAGGACAAAGCCTCGTGACTTTTTTCGCAGCTGCTACCCTTGACTCTGCCGTGCTTTGGCTCTCTAAGCTTGCACCTAACGGCTCTGCTCTGGTCAATATCCATCACAAAACCTAGCCTCATTCGTGATTCGTGATTGGAGTGCCGGTGTCCGGTATCCTGACGCCGGCGTAGACTCGATCGCAGACCCCTTACACACAATCACTGGCCTCCCAGCAGTCACGGCTACGCGCACATCCCTTTCTCGGCTGCGTCTGCGCCAACCCTCCTTTTATGCTTGACGCGACTCAGCAGCGCTTCTCGCCTGAATATACAGGCCACCACGCAGCTCTTCATCCACCTCACAATTCCCTGATCGCAGCTTCGATTGGCGCCACCTGTCTCTGTCGAGATCTTCACGCAGCGACGCGGCAGCATCATGGATGAGCGATCTGAGGTTGAGGGCGCAGAGCACTTGTCCGAAGGCTCGACGCAGGGGCTGGCTGACGCGGCTGGTGCGGGCCAGAGCTTGTCGGAAGCAATCGAGGGTCGCAGTGAAGACCAGGTTGGCAAGGAGAGCGACAAATATAGCGCAGACAATGAGCAGCAGGAGCACGACGTTGCTCCGTCTCGCTCCACTTCGACAGCAGCACCAGCAAGGCTCTCGAGACCGGTCTCGCTGATTTACCCGTCCCCCACCTTTGCATACGGGACCAACTCCTCCTCCCACGACTCAGTGCCCCACTCCACCTCACCAAACGGAAATGCTCACAGTCCTGGTGGCAGCTCGAGACCTTCCAAGCATCATCACGCTCGCTCCAAGTCCGTCAGTCTGAGTCCTGTCATTGGGCCAGCTGTGTTTGGACTGGGACCTACTGGCCATTACGGAGGTAGTTCAGGAAACAACATGGTCCGCGAAGGCAACCTTTCACCCAACGGATTTGGCGCAAGCGCGAGTATGAGGAGGACGCCCTCTCCACTATCTGGAAGTGCGAGCCAAAGTGCCAGAGCCTCGGGCGAGTCAAAGAGATCACCAGTGTGGGGATCGCAGCCTAGTCAAGTCGCAGAGTCGCCTTCGGCTTCAGCTTCCGATTTTTCGAGGGGCAGCAACTCGGCCAGTACATCAAATGCGGAGCGTGGGTTGAGGATGTATCTAGGCGAGGCAGATAAGCCTGCGAAACACACCGCTGGCGAAGGAGTATCTACGGTAGGGCGGGGTCAGGCTCAAAGCCTGGCTCACGGAAGATCACAGTCACCAGCGAGTGGATCGTCAACAATGTCTCCCCGTCTGCAGCCTATGGGCACAGCTGTCGATGGTAGAGCCCAAGTATCGGCATCGACCGCTGGGGCCAGCGCTGATGCCGTTCTGAGCAAAAAGGGCTCTCTCGAGGATTTGAGAAGCAGTCCGGTGCTCCAAAATCTGCGCTCTACGACGCCGATCCCTCGCGCGGCTTCACCGCGTCTCGGCGCTCCACCAGGATCTGCTCCCGCCGCAGCTTCGCCAATTCTCGCCGCTCGATCCTCGAATGCGTTGTCCGATCCCTCAGCGGTGGATGCACACGCTTTCGACTCGGTGTGGCCAAGTTCTTCGAGAACCCAGGCAGACCCTGCGCTAAGCGCCGCGATAGATGGAATACCGATCCCCGGAATGGAGCCTAAATCTAGAAGTCGTCGTATTAGTGGCTCGACGAGCTCTTTGCGGCAGAGCAGCTCCGGTCCAGCGTCGAGTCCCGCAGTCAGCCCTACCCAACCTGCTTCACCGCTGCGGAGCCGCATGTCACGCTCCCCGTCTGGAAGACACGAGCTTCGAGGTTCAGCGTCTTCGCCGCTTCTGGGACCATCGAGGCGATCTCCATCGCCAGCTCTCGCTGCGTCTCCTGGTTCCTCCACGGGCGCCCATGATATCAACCATCAAGGGCTCGCGCATCCACCTACGCTCTCCTTTGGCAGGCACATCAGGTCCAATTCGGGATCCTCGGGCGGTCACCTCGCATTAGCGTCGAGCCCAACACAAGCGTCCAGCTTTCCTGCAGATGGCCGTGTACATCGAAGTAGCTCGAGTCCCAGCTTTGGATCGACACCTCCAGTGCCTTTCGCATTGAATGGCTTAGCTACTCCTCCTAGTCCGCCACCTCCACTCACCTCATCTAGACCTGGTCAAAGAACCGCACTAGAAGCGCTTGCGAGTCATGCGCACTTAAGGAGATCCAGCTCCGGGTCTTCAAAGGGCGCTGCAGATGGCCTAGGAGACAGCAGCGATGGGCGCTCACACACGGCAACAGACCGGCTCGCCATGCTGCGATCGGCGAGTGCGGATGAAGCATCCGCAAATGCCGCATCCGTGCCAGGCGAAACGAGACATCGCTCTGCCTCTCCCGCCGGCATTTTGGGCCGAAGCAATGGGACGACCGCTGGTGACGAGGGGGGCGCCCCGATGTTGAGGAGATTTTCTTCAGATCAACTTCACGGGTTCAACAGTCAAACGAGTGGGGCAGGCTTGACCTCGCCCTTCGTACCTCACGCCCCCTTGCCGCTTCGCGCAAGATCTCCTGGGATCAGTCTCGGTATGCCCTCCGGACATCACAGCCCCTTCACGCCATCTTCCCCTCTCTCATCACCTTTCCATGCGCCATTGCCCTCCCGGACACCACCTCCGCACCTCGATGCAGGTCTGAGCGAGAGCCCGCCAAAGGTGCGGTCCTTCATTGGTATGCCACCTCGATCGGGCTACGATCTTTCCGACGATCCCGACGACGTTGGATCGGAGGATGGAAGTACGGGCAGCAGCAGAGCCGGGAGCATACACGAGGCAGACAATGATAATGAGAGCGAAGGAGAGGGCGAAGGTGAGGGGGATGGCGACACAGGGAGTGAGCAGGGCACCGACAGACGCGGAGCAGATCAGGATCTCAACGACGCTGAAGAACGTGACGTAATTGGAGACTCGCAGAACGGTGGCTCTGATGGTGTTTCAGGGGCTGATGCACCGCCTCTGGGCAGTGCAGCTCGACCTCATTTGCCCAAACGTCCGAGCTTGACAAGGGCTGCAATTGTTCCGCCAATTGCTGCGCATGCAGGACTTGCGGCGCACCATCAATTTCCGATGGAAGACACCCATACGTCCGCTGCTGCAAACGGCTTTCCGGCCGATGGACCAGCCGGGGCACTCGGATTTTTCAACGATGACGACACTGGCAAGATGCCCGGCAATCACTCACACTTGGGTCTCCAATGGTCACCGGGTCCTGTACTTGCTGGTCAATCAGCAGGCTCTGGCGGAGGATCAATGCCCCCACCTTTTGGTCCGACAGCGCTTGGACCCGAAGGACCAGGCGGAATCATCGATGCCGTGGATCCCAGCCTCATCGTGGGTGGTTCGTCGCAACAGTTGGGCAACGAATCTCAAGACCAGGATGTGGACATGGGTACGAGCGGATCAAATGCGAACCCAGAACAGAATATCATAGAAGAGAGTCTGAGCACCCTCGAGCGTCTGTTCTTGTTTGCTAAGAGCGAAATGACCTTTCACCGGTAAGTCGGCTGGTTCGTTGCTAGAGCGCACTACACCTGTGGAGCTCAAGTTGACTCATCCGCATCTTTTCCCGGCCAACAGAGTGCTCGTTGCCCGATCGCTCGCAGACTGGATTTTTGAGATCGATCTCAGCGATGCGGTCGAGTATGTCATCCCTCTACTGAACGGCCTTGGCACCGACGGTGAGTGACACGTGGATGTTCACCGTAGCGCACATCCTGCTCTCTTGCTCAGTGCCCTGTTCGTGGATTTTTTGACATTCTCATCCTCAGAGCTCGAGGTGTGCACTGTGTTCACTCCAGAGCTGCACCGATTGATGTGGTTCTTCTTTCGAAACTGCCCCCTCGTGCAGAACGCCAAGGCGGACGCTGAGCAGAAAGACCAAGTGCCGGGTGCGGCCACAGATGCAGACAACGACGAGGAAATAGCCGATAGACCAAAGCTCTCTGTGGAAGCTTTCACACCGCTGCTGTGTGCCCTATTGCTCAATTCCAACACCTCAGTAGCCGGAGCCGCGCAGCTTTCCTTGGTGCAGCTCTTTGCGCGCCTCGATCACGTCGCGTTGCGAGGTCCTGCAGGCGACACGATGGAGAACCTCTCCGTTTCGAATGAGTGGAGCCAGGACTCTGCACTTGTGCCCGACGCATCGGGGCGCGAAGGCGAAAGAGTGCCTCTGCGCGCGTACGATTTCGACTCGCAAGCGCGGCAGATGGTGAAAGCGGAATTGCTGGAGAATGTCGCCTTTGCAATTGGCAAGCTCAATGCACAGGACTCGACGCTGAGGACTGGCGACCAATCGACACATGCGCAAGGCGTCAGCCCCTCTGAAAAGTCTAGCACTCCCAAAATGAGCGACTCTAAACCATTGAACGGCGAGTACGTCGATCATGAGAAGACGCTTTCGGTTGGTGATGCCGACTCGCGAGTCTCGGACCAACCAGCACCAGAGGTCCCTTCATTTGAGATGGATTGTGAAGCCGATGAGGATTTGCAGGACAGCACGTCTGGCGATGGGTCGCGCGGCAACACTGATGAAACGACTTTCCAGCGGAGCTCGCCAGCCTTGAGCGCTTCCGATAATCCCGATAGAGAGGAAGAAGCCGCTGTTGGGCGAATGGCGTCTGTCAGCCTACTGGCTGCACTTTCTGCGGAAGGACTATTGGACGTCGAAACGCTCGAAACTCGCGTCGTGCCCGAGGTCGTTCGACTACAAAGTGATGGAGCTTTCTTTGTCAGGAAGGAAGTCGCAATCGCTGTTGGTTCCTTGGCGAAGCACGTGAATTCTTCAGTGGTGGTCAAAAGTCTACTGCCAGCATTTGAGCGATTTGTTCAAGACGACATTTGGCACGTTCGACAAGCAGTATGTTTGTCGATCCCAGCCATCTTCACCCATTTGGACGCAGAGACCAAACGTAGTCGCCTTCTGAACGCGCTCGGGATCTTCACGCAGGACGTCTCGCGGAACGTGCGCTCTGTAGCATTTGAGATCATTGGTGAAGCCATCTACCTGTTCCACAAGGATCCGCTTGGCGTGCCTGAGCCTCTTATCAGGCACTTTCTGGGCGAACCTTTCGAGGAAGCGCAAAGTGCGGACGATCATCCCAGCGATCCATTCAGCATGGAGATGGATCAATCCGGATATCCCTCGTCCGATTTGGGCAAAGTGCAGGCGGAAGAAACGCAGCAAGACAACTGGTCGGATGATGACATGATGAACGGCTATAGCTCCGAACGCTGGCTGGAGGAGATGATTGGAGGTCCCAGCGGAGCCGCAAAAGCCGTTGATGCCGCGAGACAACACGTCATGGCCTACAACTTTCCTGCTGTCGTCTTGACACTGGGACAAGAGCGTTGGCCAAAGCTACGCGCTGCTCATCGAGATCTGTTCTTGGCATCCGGTACTAGCCAAGCGCAGTGTAGCCTCGCTGCATCCTTGCACGAGATTGCCAAAGTGATTGGACCCGAAGCAGCCAGCGAGGATCTGGTCGAACTTTTTGAGTACTCCATGTGGACTACAGAAGCCGATGTTGAGCTCAAGAGCGCCGCAGTAGAGCATATGGACGAGTTTCTGCAGGCTTTGCCAACAGATGCTGCCCAAAAGCAGCTGACCATGCTGACCGCACTCTGGTCCTCGCATTTCGAACGCGATTGGAGGCTCAGGGAAAGGCTGGCGCAGCATATCTCAGCTCTGGCTAGGCACCATCTGCTAGACGACGAAAGCGGCGACCTGGTCACGCTCATGCAGCTAGCACTCAGTGATCCCGTCAGCGCAGTACGAGACGCTGCAGTCCTATCCGTGAGTGACTCGCAATGCCCGTCGTAGAGCCGGCGCAAGTACTGAGTTTTGCTGTTTCTTCCAGGTTCCGACACTGTATACCACTTTTGCGGAGCATGATCAAACAGTCGCGGATGGCTTCTTGGCCATTGTCGCAGATATGGGCATGGCCGACCGGTATCGCAAGAGGTTGGCATGCGTCCTCGCCATGCACGCGCTCTTCGGCGCTGGCATCGAGAGGTCGTCCGTCGAGCTCTCGCTCATCGAACGAATGGTCGAGCTGGCTCGTGACACTGTGGTGGATGTGCGAATTGCACTTTCTAGAGCAGTCGCTCTTGCATGCAAGCGAGGTGGGTCCAAAGCTCGCGTCGTTGTTCTAAGTGCTCGACTGATTGCCCATCTGCTTTTGCCCATCTGCTTCTACCAGATGAGCTGTACGCCTCGCCACAGTCACGATCGCCGGCCGTCAATGAAGTCTTAGCACTCTTATATCGAGACGCAAGCGCCGAAGTGCGAGAACCGATGCACGACTTGCTGGATGAAGAGCAGGCGCAAGTATTGCCAGAAGTCCAACCCGTTCAGGTCCATGCTCGGCGAGATCTGACATTGGGTCCTGCCGACGGAGGTCCGCATCGTCCGCCGAGATACACAAGCTGGGAGAGCAGCTCGCCAGATGCCCTCGCTTCCCAACCGTCGCCCCAGCAAGGAATAGCGATCGCAGATTTTCCCATGATCGACGCTGCCAGAGATCCTGACGACAGTGCTGATCCGGATGTCAGCATGTTCGACGATGGTGCAGACGACGACAATGATGAAGAGGAGCAGAGCACGTCCGCGATCAGTCGGGGCGAAAGCGTTCACGACTTGTTGGACGCTCCTCACCATCTTCTCAACGTGTCTGGACCCGATTCGCCCGAGCGACGGCGCATTCAGCTGAAAGACGACGGACCTCAAGAAGAAGACGTGCAGCGGCATGGGCAACGGGACGGCTGGCTGACTTCGCCTGAGCGAATGCAGCCAAACGGAGGCACAGCGACTCAGGGCGGCGGCATTCAGAGCGCTGACCCTTTTCTATCATACGTAGCCGACCGTCACCAAGGTGGTACGCACGAGGAGGACGCCAGACGAGACGACGACACTCAGGGAGGCAGCGCGTCGGAGCAGCGCGACGAGGACGCTTCTGTGTCCGGCACCAGCTAATCAGACCCAGATGGCAACGGACGCAGGATGCTTGACGTGCGAATCGTACTGCTTTCTTTGAGCAATATATTGACCTTGCAATACACCAAGAAGCTGGGCTCCATCGCGATGGCACCTCGTAGAAGACCGAGGCGTGGAACCGCAGATGTGCCTTCCACCCAACGCCCTCTCTGTGCTCATCGTTGCCCTGTCGACCGGCTTTCATTTCTCTGTCGGTATGGTACAATAGTTTACGAGCATATCAGCTGCACAGACCACGCCGACGAATCGGCTAGTCGACCTACGTGGGCGCGAGGCCATCGCGAGCCGGTCGCTGAGCTGTAGGGTCTCCACATTCGCCGTTGTACCTTAGCATTCACCTCTGCCTGATTCCTGCATTCACCGATCCGCATGCACGCAATCTACCTGTAGTAACATTCCACGCACGCTCTTTGTGGTGCTTTGCGCGCTGACTTGCATCGCTCTCACTTCATCATCATCATCATCACGACGGGCGCGTCAGATGGGCAAGGTGGGTGACGAATGAATTTCGGATACAGATGATGAGCTCGAAATGTCGGTAAAGGGAGGGCGCAGCCAGAGTCGTCGCCGTGTCCGCGAACCGGTGATGGCAAGGCAAACGCTTTTGAGGGAGGTGAATGGTGACTGTACATGATCATGAAGGCAAGGCGACGAGGCTTTGCAATACAGAATAGATTTGCGCACGAATTGCGCCACTCTACTGTTTTCGTCTAACAAACGTCTTTGCAATCGTACCGTCCCCAAGCGTGATCTCCGTGCTGACCAATTCGTAACGCCCCAGCTTTGGGAAGAGGACGGCCCAGGCGAACCAGTAGATTGCGCCTCCTGCAAAGATGCCCAGACTGACAGCGGGTGCAAGGGCGTACCAAGTGTGTTCGTAGACTGCATCCTCGGGCCTCTTGGGAGGGAGCCAGGGCACGACGACCAAAAAGGTGCTGATGAGGAAGAAGAACAAGGTGATGGGCAGCGTGGCCTTGTAAGGCGAAGTCCAATCTTGAGCCCACACAGGCTTGTATTGACGAGGGATGGGCAGGTAGGTGACGAGCAGTGCTAGACCCACTGCCGCGTTGACCACGTTGAGCGGGTAGGAGGAGAGGTTGAGCACAAAATTGTACGCATCTCCTGCCGGTGGAGCGAGCAAGATGACGAGCGTGACGATACCGTGCCACGTCAGACCTGCAAGAGGAGCCTTGAAGGGCCAATTGGTCGCAAAGACGCGAGCAAATGGAATGATGCCCTCTCTTCCCACAGCTTGGTTCAAACGGCCTTGTGCGAAGATGACTGCGGGTTTACGCAGTCAAAGGGTGGGCGCGCGAAGCGTTGTGAGCGCACGAACAAAGCAACGTCAACTGATCTCATACATCGACTCACCTGAGTAGACATTCGCGGTAGCACTGAGAGCGACAAAGACGGAGAGCGCTCTAGCTGAGCGCTCACCAAAGACGTTTCTGAAGAAGAGCGCAGCGACAATTTGCTCTGACTCGAGCACGTCTTGCTTGGGGACGGCTGCGTAGTAGGCGACCTGAACGAGAACATACAACACGGTGATGACACCGATGGCCAAGGGTCCGGCAATTTTGAGGGTTCTCGCTGGATTCTTGATTTCTCCTGCCGCATACATCGCATTGGAATACCCGACGTAGCTCCACAGAGCATTGTAGAGGGCAGAAGAAATGCCGAAAACGTCGTTTCGAGTACCTTCAAAAGCGTTGGCAAAATTGTTCTCCACTGGCACTTTGGTATGACCGGCCAATGCTGCGAATCCAGCAAAGGCGATGACGAGCAAAATGATGAGCTTGAAGCTTCCGATGGCGTTTTGGAATCGCAAGCCCCACTTGATGCTGGTGCCGTGAAGCAAGACGGCAGTGACGATGACGGCGACTCCGATACCACGAGCATCGTAGCCGTTCGAGGTGCTGCCTCCAGCGCGTAGAAAGTATCGACCTGCCGTCAGGGCATTGCCGGCTGCTTGACCCAACAAGAGCGCCTGAGCGCTATACATGGTAAGAATCAGGTACTTGGGCTTGCGGTACGCGTGTTGCAGGTAGTTCAATTCTCCTCCATTCTTTGGCAGAGCGGTTGCCCACTCAGCATAGACTGCGAAACCTGCGGCAGCTACAATGGCTCCGATCACCCAGTACCTGGTGGACAGAGGGAGTTGCGAATCAGTCTCGGGCAATGTTAGGCCGTCACGTGCTCTCGCTGGCACTCACAGCAGACTCATACCGACACTGCCGCTCTGTGCGAGCAGCGTGCTCGTAGTGGCAAAGACACCAGTGCCGACGATGCGGTTGACGATCAAGAAGACGGCGCTGATGAGGCCCAATTGTCTGCCCTGCGGCAGATCAGTGTCCACCGAGCTGGTCTCGGCATCTTCGGGATCCGCATGACTCCTTTTAAACTTGTGCGTCAAAAAGTCCAGAGGTCCATGAGAGACTTCGACAGAGTCGTGCACGTGGGTAATGCCTGGGCCTGAAATATCCTTATCGTCCGACTTGGAGGAATGGGAGGCGATGGATGCGCGCGAGGCATCGTTGCCGTAAGCCGTTGCAGCCATTTTGGGTGGTGGGATGCGGCCAGCTGATGGGAGATGGCAATGAGAGGGAAGAGGTGGAAGAGGATTTCTGCTACTGGTGTACTAGAAAGAATCCATCCGCTCCAAGATCGGGCAAACGCGCTCATTTTGTATTTGAAGCGGATCTCTGACATCCACGCAAGCAGCGCCAAGGTTGAGCGTGCACACATACTCGCGACTGCGCTGCTGCTGCTGCGTGACTGAACATGCTGCCGCTATACTGCGTATATCGGTCCGCCATTCCCCACCTCGTTTCCCTTCCTGCCATCAACTTTTACTATTGCACAATGACTGCTGCTGCTCTGAGCACGCAAGATGATTCGTAATTGCTCATTACGACGCGCGAAGGCGTTGATGCGATTCGCGTCGTCGTGATCATTCACGATTGTTCCTGTGGCGTGCGACCAAGAGCTCTCGGTGCCCGGCTCGCTCACTCGGACTGTTCGCCGAAATCTGTTCACATGCTTGCTGGTCGGTTTAGGAACAGCTGCAGCAGCTATAGCTATGCACATCCAGCTGCGCGCTTTCGCTGAGCCCTCGAATTGCGCCGCCTCACAGCAGCAAGCACCCGTCGCAAGTATGGCCGAATAGGTAGGGTCGCTTAATTGCGCCATCTCAAGCCACGCTTGACAGAGGTGTTTGCCCCATGAAAGAGCACGAAGAACGTCAGCTCTGATTTCCTTCGTGACCGAAGCAGATGCCACGGCAAGCCAGGACATTGAACAATGACAATCCTGCAACTGCGGCCGCGGAAGCTTTTCAGCGTAAGGCGAAAAGGGTCGGTCGAGGAGTATATAGGAATTAAGCCTTGCAAAGTTTGATCCAGGCGGGCCAAGCACCGCGCGGGGCGCGGATTCACACCAAATCACGCATTTGCTTTTGAGTGGATGGATCACGAATGGAAGAGCACTCTCCAGCCAAGAGCAGTCGAATTTGGTGTGAGCACGTCATTCGGCCAAGAAGAACGTGATAGGGTCTTGCATTCATGCAGCTGCGCAGCTATATATACCTATACGGTATAGCTATTCACGATTAATTGCTGCATGTATTGTAGGGCGTTCAAATCGCCCCCACCGCGTTTGCCCGGCATCAGGCGGGGCCGCGGACACCGCGCCGATCAAGCGCCGCGGCGCTCAGAACAGCTATAATTGAATAATATAGCTTCAGCACCGCAGCTATATAGCATATCACGCACGAATCGGAAATATCTCGTCCTGCGCAGAAGGACATCACCCGCGCTATCATGCCATCCTACAGCCACGAGTAAGGGCTTTCTCTTCGGCAATATTGTGATTCGTTTGTATTTGCAGTAGCATCAGCATCGTAATTTGCTTTCATACCTCTCGACATTCTGATTGCGAGCAAGCGTATCCGCGTGTATACGGTCAATAAGCTCGACTTGATCGCCAGTGGTGGGGGGGGGGGGGGGGGGGGGGGGGGAAGGGTGGCGGGCCGCACAAAAGCAACGTCAAGAGTGGCTGGTTACGCCATTTGCGTGCTTCGCATTCTGATCCTGATTGCTGGCTTCACTGTACATTCGCTCCTGCTTTGCTTGGCGTCTACGATGCCTCAACCGGCGCTCCTTGGCATCCGCGCCTCTCGTCTAGCCTTCAACCATAGACACTAGGCGGGAGGCCGACTTTCGTCAGCAGGACCAAGGCTCCCCGTGCAGGCGCTGCTTCCCTGCAACGACGAGGCAGCGTCGTTCAGTGCTCCAATGCTCGCATGTGGCCTCCATACCCTTGACCTTACAGGAAAAAGTCACACTAGTCAGAGTGTAAATCACGAAGCCGCACACGAGCGCTGAGGAGATATCAATGTATTGCGCAGTGATGCAGGACATGTCGAGTCCAGCTCAACTCTTGCTCAGGGCCGGTCGACCAGCTCGTAAAGTACATGGTGGATCAAACAGGCTCTTCTGCTCAACGGAGCATGGATTCCCTGCGACGTTCAGCGAAGCAAGGGCAAGTGTTTTTGGTGCCCTTTGCTGATGAGCTGGATGAAGGCGTGTCATCGTCGTCGGAAGGTGTGGCAAGAACAAGACGTTGCGTAGCATCGCTAGTCGAAGCGGCGACGTCGTCACCTACGGCACTAGCAGCCTCGGAGCTGGTAGCATCCTCTCCGTCGACGACAGAGGCAGGGTCAGACTGTGCAGTCGCACTGTCTACGGCGTCAGCGTTCCCTTCGACATCGTTGTCAATGTCGCTGTTGGGAGATTCGCCCATGCTGGCAGCGCGGTCGTTGCCAGTAGCAGCGTCAGCCACGCTGTCCGCATCGGTGTCGGTAGGAGTCGATGCAGCAGGGAGGTCGTCTTGCTGGGCATCGGTCACACCCTCAGGCAGATCATCGGCATCGTCCGCGTCCGTGACATCGGCAGATCCATCCTGAGCAACTGGGCTCTTGTTGTTGGGCTTTGCAGCAAGCTTCTTCGCCTCTGCACCAGCGGGCACGAAGGTCAGGCTGACCTTTGCGGGTCCATTGCTGGGCTTGGTTCCGTTGGTGGGTGCAGTCTTGGACGTGGGCATCGCGGGGGGGACAGAGCTCGAGTCCGGAGCGCTAGCAGCTGGAGTTGCGGGAGCTGATGCATTGGCGGTGCTAGTGGCGATCGGTGCTTCGTCGTTGTCACGTTCAGCAGCGAGGATGCGGAAAAAGGATGAGGGCGACCTTTTTGCGGCAGATGCGGTGGGCGCAGGTGCTGCGCTGGACGAGGCGACCGATATGCTGCTGCTCACGATGGATGCCGATTGCGTGCTGCTCGAAGAGGTGCTGAGCGGCGCAGCGGACGTCGACATCGATTCGGTGAAGTTGTTGGGCGTTGCGGCGTAGATGGGCGTCAGCGCGCCGGTTGAAGCTGTGTAGGAAAAGCCTGCAAGGGGAAATGTTTCGATCAGCGATCATGATCCGCACGGTCACGACAAAATTGTGGGTGATGACTCACGTTGGCTAGAGTCGCTCTGGCTGGCGGCCGGATTCTTCTCCGAAGGATCTTCTCCACAAGGAGTGAGCTCGAGAGAAGATGGAGGCTTCTTGGCGAAGGTAGCACAGTACAGAACGGGCTCGCCTTGATCATCGACGATAGGCAGCGCAACGCGAACGACAGTGGTGTCGTTCTCGAATCCGCTTGGCTTCGTGGCGGGTTGAGAACCGGGCGCATCTCGAGCAGAGACGGTAGCGTTGGCAGCAGGAGTGGATGCAGTTGAGTTGACGTCGGCAGCCATCAACCAAACTTGCGTCCTTTCATTCTTGGATGCCATCAGGCTATAGTTGTACAGAGAATTTGCTTTGCCGTCCTGGACCATGCGTTGAGCGCCATTGGCAGCAGCGGGCTCGGCGTGGAGGACGAGGCCCCCAAGCTTCTTCAAGACGCCATCGTTGCCAAACAAAAGCTGGGCCGATAGGAAAGCAACGCGGTCAGGCTAAGGTTTCCAGATGATCAGAAAGGTAGTATGGACTCACATCAGAGATGGTGACAAAGCCAGGGATCGCGTTGAGCGGAGCAAGCAGAGGCTTGACGAGGTCGCCGACCAGGCCACGCTCAGCGACATCCTCTTCAAGAGCACGAGGATGGTAACGGAACGGTCGGTTGGTGCGACTCGAGGGCGAACGAGCCTGGAGGTTCACCTTGCCGAGGGGCTTGAGAGTGCCCTTGACGGAGAGAAGGTCGCGGTCAGGTGAGAATCCAGCTTTCGTGGGCCTCTTCGCCTTGTCGTTGCTAGCGCTTCTCTTGTGCTCGTGGATGTGCTCATGAACGTGGCTGTGACCGTGAGAGTGCTCGTGACCGTGAAAATGCTCGTGATCGTGATCGTGATCGTGATCACGGCGTTTGTGCTCGTGAACGTGCTCATGGATGTGCTCATGATCGTGACTGTGACCGTGGTAGTGACCATGATCGTGGTCGTACCCGTGGTGATCATAGTAGTGCTCCGAGTGACGAGCTTGCAGGCCATTGGCAGAGCTCGATGGAAGTGCCACTTCACCATCCCGACCTATGAGGACACGAATGAGATCGCCGTCGTGCTCGTGCATTTGACCATGTTGGTAGCCGCCTACTTGAAGAAGAGGACCATTGCGAGCAAAGAGGTCATCTTCCGCTTCACGTCGCGCCAGTCCATGGTGGATCGCCCAGTGCTGAATGGCGATGGAGTAGCCAGCGTCAGTTCCCTAAAGTCTAGGATGTAGCCCACAAACTTGAGCGCACCTTGGAGTGGTGAGCCTTTTCATCAGCATCTCGGTCGTGGCGATGGCCGTGGTGGTGCTGTGGAGGAACAGCAGGTGTCGGTGCTTAGCAAGGGCTGCAAAGACCTCTCTAGACAAGACAATTACTTACACCGTGTCCGTGCTCGTGCTGAGGTACGACCAGCAAGTTCGATGGGACGAAAGGGGCACGTAAGCGAGCGCACATGGATCAGGAAAGACTGATGACGAAGGACGTACGATGTGCTCGTGAATCTGTGGATGTGGTAGACAGCAACGAATGAGCTTCGTGGGGACAAAGCGCGCATGACAATACTTACGTGAGTGTGCTCATGACCTGGACTTCTCTTGCTTCCGGCGGAAGCTCGCTTCTCAACCCTGCCATTCGCTCTGATGAACAGCCTGGGTTTAGTGGCCTGTCTCTTCTCAACTTGAGAGTCTCGAGACTTGACCTTCTCTGGCAAAGGAGGCGAGGTGGAGCGGAGGACGACGCGCTCCATGCGAGCGTTGCGAGAGGCGAATGGAGAGGCTTGGGGAGCGCGAGCTTGAGGAGCGGAGCCAGCTGGTGCTGCTTCGACGACGCCGGTAAGAGTAGCCAGAGCGACGGAGCCGGCAATGAGGAGAGGCTGGTTGATGAGCACCATGTTGTGTACGGGAGAGGAGCAAGGACTTTGTTGGTGAGCGAGGGACCTGCCCGAGATGTGCGATTGGGGCTTGATTACAAAGAGTGTGAAGTAGAACGGCGAGAGCGTGTATGGATAGAGTCACGAGTCAAGATCTCGAAAGAAGAGTGCAAAGGAGTACGGCAAGTGAAGTCACCAGGACTTGACGGCTATACGGGAAGAAGATGAAAGGTGAAGCAAAAGGATTTGACCGAGGTGAGGGAGAGGGAAGAAGGGGAAGAGATGTGGAAAGCGCTGTATTTGAATGCATCCGAGGTGGGAGCTCAGCTCAAAGATAGAGCAGGCTTGACGGGGCCGCCGTCGCATGGTCGATCGCTGAACAGCCAGCGCGCCAGGCCATCCCAGACGGGCAGTCTGCCTGTCAAGCCGCAACGGCTCCTGCCATCCTAGTAGACTTTCAGTGAAGCATCGACCTTGCGCTGCACGATCTGTTCAAATGCCACACAGCCTTGTGGATGAAGGGGTAGCCGTCTCTGGTGCATCTACGCATCTCTACATGCTCCAACGGCTCCTGCTTGCTTGGGGCGCCTTCGCGCGCGTAGTCAGAAGGCACGTCCACTACTGCGACAGCTCGAGCAGCGTGGCATCATTGTGAATCTCCCACGAGAAAGGACCAGTGTGCTGTTTCACATTGCCCGACCGGTCGCTAGAAGTGCGAGAGGCGTCCATTCTGTGCCAAGTTGCCAGTCTCATGCTCAGACGACCGGATTTCGAGGGTGCAGTCGTGAATTCTCCAGCGGGGTCAACGGCCTAATCTCGACCGCGGTCCTGCAAGGTGCAGGCAGCAGGGCTACCACCCGCGGCCGGCACGCGCGCACGCGCACGCGCACCCGTCGATGCCTGCCTGCACGCGGCTGATGCTGCTGCATGCGAGTTGACCGTTGAGGACTTTTCGCTTCACGCTCGTTGACTCTTCGACGGTTGCGCTTGGAAGTTGCTCGCGCTTACTCTGCTCAGCTCAGCCAGCGCCTACCGAATAAGTCCTGCTCGTTTCATTGCACATGTTGCGCTCTCGTCAAGCAGGACAAGGGGCATTTCCACTGGTCGCCATCTTTGCTCGTGCGAGTTACCTATGGAGGAAATCGACGATGTCCACTTCAGGACGTGCTCGCGCGTCAGACGCCATTTTTGTGCCTTGACGTGTCCCGTTTCTGAAAGCGCGCTGCTGCCCATGAAGCGTTAGGAGCATGTGCATTTGACGTGAAATTTCAAGACTTTGAATGACTCAATGTTGACCATTGTCAAGTTTCAATCTGCCGCTTGCACGTTCACTCACGCTCTTCACGAGCGCATCGATACCGAATCAAAAGCCCGTCTTAAGAAGACCCGGAATGCTCAGGAGATGTCGTGTATCATTGACGGACATGAGGGGATCATCCCAAAAGCACAGAGCTCATCATGTGCTCTGGTGCCGGCGGGCTAAAAACATATAAGGTACATCATGAAAGGGGTGACGTGGATGGATTCGGGGCTTCAGACTTGACCATTGCGAATGCGTACACAGGTGCGGGTCGATTTGAGTCACGTAGCAGATTTACAATTTACTGCGAAGGGAGATCAGTGTTCACGGCGTCTGGCGAGCCTTTTTGCTTCTCAGAAGCAGGGGTGGCAAGATCGCCAAGGGAGCTCAATGAAGCATGGCCAGAGAAGCTGCTTCCAATGCTAGTTGCCTCGCTGGCAAAGTTGCGCTTGTGTCCGTGCGTAGAGTCGCTGATGAGACTTGCCTGACTGGCGGTGCGCTCGGGAAGCTTGAGTGCTGGGGCTGGGGCGGGCGCACCGTAAAGGACCTGCAGCGAGGTCGGGAAAGGCCAGTCGGCTCCGAAGAGCTGGTAGGTGTAGACTTCAGTGCCTCCCGGAAGAGTCATCGATGACTTGCTGAAACGACCAGTCGGCCCAGGAGCAGTGCGAAGGTTGGGCAAAGCGAAAATAGGCTTGAGGACAGCAGCCAGAGAGGCGTCCAGGAGGTCTTCACCTAGGCATCGGTGCATGCCGACGCCGAAAAGCATGTAAGACTCGCGATTGGGACGGAAGGGATCAATTTCCTTTGGGTTAGGAAACACGCTAGCATCATAGTTTGCGGCCTTCTGACCGACGAAGATGCTGTCACCCTTCTTGACACGGATTTCGTCCTCTCCGTCGCGGATGGAGAAGTCGTCCACCGCTGTGCGTGGGCAAACAGGAGCTTGTGGGTTGAGACGCATTCCCTCCCACAAATAACCGACGAACTCTTTCTCGTCAGACGCGGTCCATTGCCCATTGGCCAGCTCGTGGAGGCGTTTGAGATGCTTGTCGTGCTCAGGGCGTAGGAACACTTCGAGGATGAGAGCAGCTTGCTGCGTCTGTGTGGCGATCGACGAAATCATGAGACCGTGCACCTTAGTGACCACCGACTTGAAGTGATCGGAAGTCTGATCGCCACTGCTGGCCCAAGCCGCGCGGTAAAACTCCACAGAGCTCTTCGAAGGCTCGACGAGGTTTTCGCCACGACGGCCGAAAAGCGAGGTGAAGTGCTGCACAAAGGGCAGCACATTCTTGACGACTGGAGTATTGATGGTCCACATGCGAGCACCAACAATCTTTTCGATTAGCGCACCAGACTTTTGCGCGCCGGCGCGAAGCTGCGCCTGCACGCCAGCCATGAAGTCAAAGTTACAGAACACTGTTGAGAGGAGTGAGACCAGAGCTCAAGATTAGCACCGACCGTGTGAGTGGCAGTGCGACAAGATTGACTCACCGTGAGCAAATTGGGTCGCCAAAGCAATGTAAAGCTCTTGCAAAGTCGGAGCACCAGGCAGCTGTTCGCGAAGAGGAATCGCCCAGTGATCGGCTGCCCAAGCGGTGAAGCTCAGAATAGTAACGTCTGCAACAATATCAACCAGCGAAGTCTTGTTGCCCGCTTGGATGGACTTTTCGACGAGCAGCTCTTTGGTCTTCTTTTCCAGGAAAGCAGCCGTCTTCCTCTTAAAGTCGTTGCCGAAGAAGAGCTGGTCAAGAGCTTCTCTTTGAGGCGCGTGCTCTTTGCGATCGTTGACTCCCATAACAAAGACCGCGTCGTTGCTCTGGGAGCAGTTGGCGATGCGAGGTGCGTAGGGGCAGTGGCCAGATTTGGTGTTCATGAAGACAGAGTGAGCGCCGTGCCAAGTGGTGGTGCCATGCCAGTTGGACGAGCGACTTGGACGCTGGATGGTGTACTCATCAGCTTTGCCGTAACCTTCCAAAACCTTGAGCATCGCGGGAGGTGTCATAAAGGGGTAAAGCGCAAAGGTGGAGTTGGATGTTGCATACTCAGTCGGTAGACAATTGAACAGCATTTTGGCCACGACTCCCTGAGAGCCGGCCTGAGGCTGAGTGGCGTACTGGTAGCCCCAAGTAGTCAAAGCGCTAGAGGTGAAGTCGCTGGTGTAGAAACGATCGCCACGGATAAGAGAAGCTGCGTCACTCAGGATAGCTCTGCTGATCGTGTGACCAGGGCAAAGTCCGCTGGCGGGCTGTGCGGGCTTAGGCTCCTCTGCCAAGAGGCCAGGGAAGAGCTCGAGCTGGTCGATGTGGCCGTACAGCTTCTCCGCGGCTTTTTGAACTTCGGGATCGGAATTCCACTCGGCGAAGTTGGCCAGGCGAGTGAGGCCTAGACTGGCGCGGAACTCGTTGAGGGTGCAAAGTCCCTGCTCGCGAGCTTGATTCATACCCAAGATGTCGATGACGCGCATCCACTCGGGGACTCCTCGAGCTCGGAAGGCTCCGGCGACCTCTTCAGTAGCATCTTGAAGCGTCTTGGCCAAGACGCTGTCGTCAAATTTGCCCTGAGAGTCGCGCTCCCATCCGTGCAGCTCCCACTTTGGGGGATCGGAACCAAGTTTCTTGGCGAGATCTACCAAACCGAAGGAGAGCTAGGTAAGACTGTTGCTTGGCGTGCGGATGAGTTGTCGAGCACCTTGTACTTACTATGGGCACCATCGCGGAAGTCAGCCACCGTTACCTCATCAGCGTGCTTGTTGGGGAACATTTTGATAAAAGTGTCATTGAGCCATTTCTCATCCTCCATGGAGGTAGTGCAGTGCCAGCGGTAGAGAATGTTCTGGAATTGATAGGCAGACGATAGCTCAGCAAGGACGCTACATCAGCATAGGCGCTCGTTCACTCACAAATTCGCTGGCCACCTGGTTGCCGGTGGCACGAGGAACGCGGGCGCCGTCGAGCCCACGAATGTCCTCTAGAGGGTTCAGATACCACTCGTTGCCTTGAAGAGCCAGAATGGCTGGGATATAGTCTCTGAGGATGACGTTGACGTAGAAGCCGCAGTTGACGAGACGAGCACGGTGGAAGTTGTCGCAGTCGCGCTCCTTGTCACCAGCCATGTTCTTGAGGCGATCACCTTCGTCGAGCTGCCAAAGCTTCTTTGCTATGAAGTTGTGGTTGCGCGCGAACATCATTGCCAAGGCCGTCGAAGATGGGGTCATAAGCGCAAGGCGCATGTCCGCAATTGTGTCGGGGAAGATCATGCCTTGTGAGAAAGTGCGGATGGAGTTTTGGCTTTGCTCGTCGTTGCCGTACAGCCACTGCATGTCAAGATAGCTGCTGTTCAGGTTGACTTGTGCGTCCTTTGGTGAGGTGCGGAACGCATCGTGGATAATGAGGTTTGCCATCGAGAAGAGAAGGCTAGCAATACCTTGCGGGTGAGGTTTGAAGCCCTTGCGTGCAAGAAGCGTGTCAAAGACGATGCCCGCATCAGGCGTGACAAGGGGTGCTTTTCTTTGCGCATTCCTCGCGTACGGTGTGCGTGCGGCTCCAAGAGTGGGCTGGTATGGGTTGTTGCCCGAGCCATCGACAGAGCGGAACTCGTTCTTATGGCCCATGATTGTGACTGGAGGGTGTTGAAGGTCGGTGAAGAGGGTGGCTACAAGCTGGTTGCCAACCAGGGTGGATGCGATGCTGCCATTCGTGTCTGCCAGTAGTTGCACCACTCTCTCCAGTAGGTACTTGCGATCGTCCAAAGGCGCACCAGGGGCAAAGAGCTGACCAGAGAGCTGCACGAGGGCAGTGATGTTCCGCAATGCTGTCCCATCAAAGACGGATTTGGTGACTGTGTGGACTACATCTCGCGCGGTGGTGATGACTCCTGGCACGTGTGAAGAGAGAGGGGAGGGCGCAACACCAAGAGCCAAACTGACCTCGGCATCGGTAAGACCATCCTTGGAGGAGCGATGTGCCAAGGCACTCTCGAACTTAGTCAGGATGGCCGACATGACGTGGCGAGGTTGCACGCGCTTGAATCACCTCGAAAAGGTCAGCGTCGATAAAGTCGCGGTTGGGTCGCAGTCTGTGCCAAACACAACGAGCGGAGGAGGCCTTGTGCCACAAAGCCTTGGGTCAAAGGGAATAGAAGGCCGGAGATGAATGCCAGGGGTAAGCAGCGTGAGGACGGCTTGAGGCTTGCTTGCGCTCGTTCGAGCACTTTGGGTTAAAGAGTACGAGTGTTGACCCGTCGAGTTTACTTCGCTAGAACGCTTGATGAGAAGTGCTTTTAATTGAGGTGGGAAGGGACGAATGCTGGAAGATGCGCCCTTTTATGAGCGTCACGGGTACTGGAAACAGGCAAGGTTGACGTGGATATCTGCTCTGCACACTTCAATCCCGCGTGTGGGCGGGAGTTGCATGAATGAACCCGGCTCAAGCAACAGGATGCACCGATCGAGCTGAGGCTTGCTGCTCCGGAGCACGAATGCATATGCATGCCGGCAAAGAGTAAGCAGCATCGTGCGAAGCAGCTGTGCGTGAGGTCAAACGATACGCTGCTGATGCTGTGAGGAGACCACTTTCGAAACAGCTAAAGGCACGAGTCGGCCTTCGACTGCTGCTGCATGGTCTAGCTGCTGCTGGCTGGCTGCCGCGCCGCGCTGCGCCGCCAATCTCCGAGGGGATGGCCAGCATGGGCGTCTGTCAATTAAGCAGGAACGCGACCCGAGGTTCCTCTCCTGCGCCACATGGGTCGCATTGCATTCACGATCAGCCATCATATGCTCCTGCATCGCATCGCATGAAAGCCAAAGCGGCGCTTCAAAGAATCCTCATTCCCGCCTCCAGCTGTCGGGGTGCCTGAGCATGACTATGATGTATATCTTGAACAGCCATCGAACAGCCGCCGCTCTTCAGCAGGCTTGCTCTTCGCAGTGTGACTGTGCGGGGCATGATGATGGCTACGACGCCACCGAGATCCCGTGGTAGCGTGCATGTGGGCGAGCCACTTTCAGCACGAGAGCGGCGCCCGACTTGTAATCAGCTTCAGGTGCACACTTAAGCAATCGTGTGAGCATGCTAGCTTGGCAGCAGCGATCAGCTAGGATGAGAACTGCTGTATGGATGTATATACATGTTGCCGCTCGTGACTCGCGATCCCGCATGATACCGAATAAGCCTATAGAGTAGCAGTGTGAGTGAGGCTCCTCATGGTGTCTGGCCGAGTCTGTGAGTCCTGTAGTGGACCTTCTGCCTAGCTATCGATCGTCGATCGTCGATGTTAGAAGCGGTGCAATCCGGCTGACTGGTTCTGTGCGTGCCTGAAGTGAGCCGATGCAGTGGGTGGACCGAGCCGCGCAAGCAAGCAAATAGACTTTTAGCGCGTCTTTTCATCTCAGCGTGCGACTGATGGAGCGCGTGTGTTGCATGCAGGCAGAGCGCCTGCATATGCTGACGCTGGTCCGCGGTGAATGCGCGGCTCTGCTGCAGCAGCTATACCCGCACAGGTCTTCCATCCCAGCCCGGCAACTCAGCAAATCAGGAGTGTGCAATTTGACTGTCGTCCCATGTAAAATGGTTTCGCGCGCAACAGCGGGTGCTGCACGGCTGCGACGTGCCGAGCATGCTAGCTTCATCCAGCCCGCCTGATCAGAAGACTCACCCACGCCCATGTCGGCCGCTAAAAAGCGACCTACCGACGTCCAGCATGACGACAAGTAGCACAGCAAACCTTGGCCGACGTCATACCAACCAGCAGTTAAGACCTTCAGAGATACGTAACGGCAAGGTGGGAAGAGGCAGTCATGGCTGTGCTCGTGTCTGTTGCGAAGCGAAAGATGAACAATTCCCTCAGCGATCGCAATCGTGGACCACCCGGCCAACTTGAGCAGAGGCCTGAAGAAATCCGCGGGCTTGTGTCGCTTGCCCGCCGCTATGGTCACTCGTGATTGGAGGCTCGCGCATTCGTAATTGCCTTCCCATCACAGAAGCTACATTCACATTCAAAATCCGTGAGTACACACTTAGCAGTGCTTCTCTACTCCAAGATTCTAGGTTCGCAAAGCCACGCCGCGTGGGGACAGCGCAGAGGTTTGGACCCTATATTGCTGCCGTTCCACCTTGGCGATAAGGTTGTGAATGCGGGCCCGCCACTTTTCGGGCCCGTTCCAGAACGTCGGAGTTACGACGACCGAAGAATACAAGCGTGTTTGTGAGCGCTGCGCGTGCTGCAGCATTGCGGGACGCGGCTCGGGACCGAGCTCGCCGCTCTCTGGCCGGTCCCGCGTGAGCGGAAAAAGGAGTTGCATGAACCACACGCGGTGAGCCGATATCAGGCACGCAATTGCACAATTCGTGATTGGGCGGGTGCCCTTCGACTGCTGCTGCGAACACTCCAAATTTTGATTTGGAGTCTCGCTGGGATCTTGAATAAGGCAGGATGAACATCATGCAGCACACGAAAAGTATCAATTCACCAATCTTGTCACAGTCACAATCAGCCGGAAATGTGAGCGAAACAACTTCTTTGTTGGCCAGCAGGTTCAATCGTTCGCGGGGCTTCGTCTCTATGTACATGTGTTTGGATCGTTCGAACTGAATCGCGATCCGATAGCGGCTTCTTGTAGAGACGAATCAGCCGTTCAAAGTTCATGATTTTCGCTTTGCCTTGAACGCCTCACAGGCCAAAGATCCAAGCTGTTGTCGGGGAGGGGCTTCTGCTTGTGAGCTGACGGCTGAGTGGGCTCATCGCAGCACCAGGGGACAGCCAAGCACGACCGCTAGCGACAAGTTGCAATTGATATGCCTTGCTTCCTTTCGGCTCTCACCCGTGTCGTCTTCTCATTCGCCGTGAGTAAGCGCTACGGACACAGATGAAGCTTTCGTGCACAGACGTGCGGCACGATACTTGAAGCTCCGATTCATTCCCCGCGAGCGAAGTAGGGTGTGGCTTGCAAGAAGGTCCCGCGTAGTCTGGAAGTCTGATCTCGAGCAGCTCCACTTCGACATGCGTCGAGTCAAGCTGTGGACGAATTTTGCGTCGGAAGTTTACCCGCTTGAGCAGAACAAAGAATCCAAAGACGATCTGCTTGCTCGTCATGCTTTCGCGATCCCAAGCTACCACAGATATAGGACACATCCCACAGGTCAACCATCTCAAAGTGGCGGGTACTGGCGAAGCATTTGCGATTTTTTGAGCCACGAACAAGATGTAGTGTACACGACAGCTGCAAAGACAAGGTGTGCGCAACGGGCAGTCTAGAGTCGCAAAGGATGAAGGGAGGCGATGTTTCGCGCAAGAAATGATGAGGGGGAGCTATTGTGGCCGAGGGGGGCGTCTCAGGGGACGATTGCGTTTCCATTGACTGAAATGCCGTCTTGTTTGGGGTGCTTTTTGACGGCAGATTTTGCGGGAGGCGGCGCGGCACCTGGTACCACTCTCTTCTTGGGCGCTGCCGCAGCTTCTGGAAGCGGAGCACCCGTGGCAGTCGCGGGGCTCTGAGCGTGCACGCGTGGTGTCGCACTTCCATTAACTTGCCTCTGTTTACCGTCTCCTCCAGAAACGGTTCGCTGATGTCGCATGCCGTTGACGACCGGCCTGCTGGTTGTTTTCTTGCTGCTGTCACCATCGACCTGGGCCAGAGCGCTTTGCGGCAAGGAATCTTCCCTGGCGTAGAAGAGCAGATAAGGCACGCCCTCGTGCGTGCGTGAAGCTGCTTGCGGTGCAGTCGACGATGCCGAGACGGACGAGGAGGAGCCTCCAGGTGGAGGACAGGCAGACCACAAGACGTCGTCAATGTGCAACCACTCGTTGCCATCCTGTCTGAGCACATCGACAGTATAATGACCGCCCGAGGCGAAGCGGCCGTGGTGGTAGACAACTGTCAACAAAAGAAAGATGGCGTATGGCGTCAGTTACGGCCGCCAGGACAAACGCCTCTTGGTCCCCTCACCTCCAAAGAGTCTATACCGCCGCTTTGCCTCAGCCCTTCTCGAGAGAGCCACAACCTCTTCGGCGACCTCTAGCTGTGTGGAGAACTCGAGCTCTTTGGAGTTCTTGCGAACCTCGCCAGCCTCATAGACAAACCTCTTGAGGTGAAGAACAAGGACGGGTGGTAGACTTTCGATGCATACCGTCTTTGTAGCATCGACCTGGGCACCTCGCGCAGGGCTCCACACGCCAGGAATGATCTCAGGCTCCACCAAGCTTTTCAAGGCGTCCGACAACGTGTGAATGTGCGCAGGCGCTATATCAAGCTGAAGCGGCTGATATGGCTCTAGCGTCACGCTGTCCTTCATGCCGGGAGTGCGCAGAACGGAACGCAACTTTCCACCAAATATCCTCGTGATCGGAGAATCTGACGTAGCCGTCTGAGCGAGAGCGTATCGGGCACTCTCCGTCAGCGAGGTGGTAAGCCACTTCTATCGCCGCTAGTCGCTACTCACTGTCCGGGTATGGGCGACGCGTCCCTTCGTGCCGACCTCCATCCACCCCTCCTCGCCGGGGCTCACTGGTCGACGCAAGACACGCTCTTCCGCGCCTACATCATCCTCGCCTGCTACGCTGTTCTCTTCCGCCGCCACACTCGCCATCAACGCACCGGCGCGGGCTTCTAGCTTTCTCAAAGCAGACAAAAGCTCCTCGTGCAGAGTGTCCAACAAGAAGCCAAGAAACTCCTCCGCGTCTTCTTGATGTCCTCTTCGCATCGTGTCGAATCTCTTCGTGAGGCGCATAGCGTCGTAGACGAAGTCAGGCACGAACGGCTCCGAGGTATCGAGAGCTTGTGCAGAAGGCGGTGCGCCCGAAGGAACCGGATGAAACTCTCGAAGGAATTGTATAATGGCTTCCATCAAAGGCGTCGAGTTAGAGAAGTCAGGCGGAACTTCCGTGCCAACTAGAGTGAATAGATTGACAAACGGCGCGCAATACACAAGGACTTGAAGGATCGCGTTTGCAAAGCAGAAGTTACCCTTGTTGATCATGCCTCGAGGAGCGGTCAAGGGGGCGGCAAAGACGGACTCTGCTGCCCGAAGACGAGCTTCGAGAGTTTGCAGGCGGGCCTGTCTCTCAGTAAGGACTGGGGGTCGGCTTGTAGACCGGCGACTGGCCAAATGTTGCGATGAAGAAGGATGCACACTGCCATTGATCGAGGGTTGACGAGACGTGTCAGGGCTGCCTGCAGTGGATGTGATTGGAGTGGCGACCGCGCTTGAGCTTGACGGTGTAGCGGTGTAGGCCAGAGACTGGGAGCTGCCCGAGCCTGATGCCAAAGTAGCCCAATTCTTCGGAGCGCCCCAGGCTGGTGCTTTGGGCAAAGACGCAATAGAAGCAGATGGCGACGTTGCGGTCGCCGTTGCATCGCTCGTGCTGCTAGCCGCTTTCGAATCGTTCGCTGTGGCACTAGAGGGCAGATTTGAGGCCGACGGGACATATTCTGATGCAGCTGTGAAATCGACGTTCTGCTGATCTGCAGCTACCACGGTACTTGTCTGAGCAGCCACTGCCAAGTTGGCGCTTGTCAAGCTTGCCGGCGCTCGAGAAGCGCGCTGATGTCTATGTAGTGGAAAAGCGGTCTGGGGCAGCGATGGACTTAAGGAGCTGTGCAGGCTCACACCAGGAGCTGTTGGCGCATGTGGACGAGTGTTGGAGAGGAAGATGGTCGGACCCGCAGTATGTGCAAGAGGTTGTAAGAAAGCCAGCGAGGACGAACCTCGTCTGGTCGAGCTCGCCCTATGCCTGCCGTGCCTAGCGATCTGAGCCGAGCCGTCGAGTGTCCTATGTGTGTCATCTTGCTGGCCAGCGTTGTGCGATCTTTCAGGTTGCGATGAGCCATCAGGGCTCGGAGGGGAGCTATCTGCGCCTAATGACCTCCCATTCGAGTTTGCACTGCGGCTCGCTTGAGCACTGCCTGCTGCTACATTGTTGCGTCTCCTCTGTTGAGTTCGAGGAGAAACAGATGAAGACGAGGATGGCAAGCTGCGAGCGGGGACATCCAATCTCGAGTGGGGAGAGAAAGCTACGCCAGCCTCGCCATCCTGATCCTCATAAGGAGACAGAAGTGAGCGCGAAGAAGAGGGAAGGACGAAGCCCGATCTTCTGAAGTCGGAACTATCGGGGTTACTGGCGGTGTAGACGGCCGCGGAAGGACCGGCTACCGACGTCGTGGCCATGAGGCTTGCAACGAGTGGCGGCAGAGCAGCGATGAAGCGAGTTGCTCCTCACTCAGATGTAATCGGCCGCGAGCGAGATTTAGGTGCGGGAAGCGACTTTGCCTGTGTGCGTTGTCACGAAGCCGGACAGCAGGAGGTGCGAGATGTGGACTACCAGCGCAAAATGCCGGTGAAGTCCGCGACTGAGAAGAATATTGTCCCAGCTCTCGATCAAGCGGTTAGCAAATAGTCCAGTCACATGCGCGGTCTTTGATGTGCACCGGAGCAGAGGTCACAGAAACGGTATGGAAGTGATCGAGGAAGATCCATAGGCGAACGTGGGTGAGTTGAGTGGGAGGAGCACAAGGTGGAAAGGACCAATGCGCCGTGCTGCTGAGTGGCCCTCTTCCACTCACGACTCAAGATTTTGACTCGAAATCTCGTGTGACCTGTGACCTCGCTCGATCGCAGCGATGCTCGTTGCTGCAGCCTTGATCAGCAATCAAGAATCACCAATCAAGAATCTTGAATTCGAGGTTTCAAGATCCAACCCGCTCTTTGCGCTAATCACGAATCACGAATTGAACATTCAATACGCACACTTTCAAATCAGTTGCGGCGTCATGAAACTCAGGGTCACGTGGCATTTGCAGCCTTCCAGCGCAGGAAGGAAACAGGAAATGCGTGCAGGCAGAAAGCGCGCTTTGCCGAGATCACCTCGCGATGCATCAATCCTGAATTTGGTCACGAGTCGTGAGTCTCTTCTGCCTCGCGCGACGGGCCCGTGACTCTCTTTTGCTGCTCGTCCTGCTTCCTTCCATCTCAATTCGACTCGCTGCACTTTTGAATAAGAGCTTTGCATACGGCAAGCAAGAAAGTCGCATTGATCAGCGAGATGCAATACGAGCAAGCAACATCTCACACGTAGTCCCACGCTACGAGCATGCCCATGCTACTGCAGAGGATGAGGTGACATGCTTGGAGGATTTCCCTTACATCAGCCATCATTTTTGTTGGCATCCCGTCATCTCCTACTCAACTGCGCGCACGACCTGTCAGATCTTCTCAATCTGCGCTCGGTCCTTTGAGGCGATGCCCAGCACGACACAATCAACGCCCGACAATCTCACACGTACGCTAGATATCTCAAGTTCCCTCGAATCACGCAAGAAGCTGCTTGCTGCAACAGAGACGAGCGAAATGTCTGTGGAGACGGCTGCCAATACCGTGCCGCCTCAAGAAGCTGTGGTACAGCTGGACGAGCATCTCGCCGCAGCGTTACGGACACCTCGAGACAGGTTTTATCTCTTGACCTTGGAAGAGCGATGGCGAGGACTTGACCCCAATCTACCGTGAGTCGCGGGACGCCAAAGACGATGGATCGAGATGAAATGTGTAGAAATGGGCAGAGATACATGCATTACGCGTGAGAGCCGGGGCAGATCTGACCACTACCACTCATTGCCTTTGGGATTGCAGGCAATGGATCCTGCCTCCTGCTCCACTTCATGAGAGAACGCTCGCCGCTCGACTGGCTGCGCATTTGGGCTTTGAGACGAGCACCGCGCCCGGAAACTCCAATGGTCTCCTCGTTAGTCGGATAGGCCGCACAATGTGAGTAGTCAACGAGACCCGCACCCATTCTCCCCGCATTTAGTCCCGCTAAACCTTGACTTGCTTTCAGGCCGTCCGAGAGGCTGATGCAACTCGCAAGACCGCCATCCCCATCTGAGCCTGTCAAATTGCTCTCCCGACCTTCACCTCAGCCGCATGCTCCGGCTCCCTCGGCTTTGAGTGCTCCCGTGCCAAGCCGCGACGTGTCTCGAGCCTCGCCTACAAGTCCTTCCGCATCTAGCAGTGGCACAGCACCCTCATCACAGCCATCCGGTAGCGGCACCGCAGCCCGCACTATGCGGATCATGAAACGTGCGCCTGGCGCTGGAAACGGCAGAGACGCGTCCTCAAGACAAAGTGCGAGGCCGGCGCCAACGATTGGTGAACGAGAAAAGGCATACAAAGAAGCTAGAGAGCGCATCTTTGGTCCTGCGGCTTCCTCGTCAGCTCCTGAGTCTGTTTCGGTATCACGCACGGACAGCCCTGCTAGTGCTGCGCACGATGAGCTCACTCCAGATCCCTCGAGCAAGGAAGCTGCACCGCCAAGTGTGACGAACAATGATCGGCAGTCCAGCACGTATTCGGACGGCGATGCGCGGCCTATGAACAATTCGACGCCGAGTCTACGCTCCACTGCGCCCGCCTTTGCACCCGCAAGTGTGACAGCATGGAGCGCTCAGACAACTTCTTTCTTGCCGGGAATGCCGGCTGGAGGCATGACGGCCCAACCTGGCGGCTCAGTATCGATGTCACAGAAGAGCAGTCAGGATGCATTCAATCCGTTTCCGCCTTCGAGAGGCTCAGCTAGCACTGCTGGGAGCTCAGCGGGTGGCGAGGAATCCAGCGATCGAGATACTCAAGCATCTACGGTTGATGGGGTCGATGCACGGGACTTGGGTCGATGGGACTACGTGCCCGGTGGAAAAGGGGAATATGTTGTTCGGCCTAGATCAGAGCAGGCAGGTCCGGGCACTCCTCCATCATCTGGTTCGCCCACTGCCCGCTTCAACACAAGCTCTAAGACCCCTGGGCCCCACCATGGCGAGCGACCCGAAAGCAACCACGCAGCTCGTGCGCCCTTTGCACCTGGTTCCGCTCGTGTGATTCAACCAAATCAGCAAGCACAAATACCAGATCAGAGCTCAGCTTTCTACCAGTACCCTCAGTACGCGGGATATGGCGCCGACCCCCATTCCTTCTTTCAGATGCAGTACGGTTCCCAGCAGTTGCAGCCAATGTACTACGGACAGCAAGGACAGCAAGTGATGTATCCACAAGCCAATTATGGATACATGCAGTCAGGCTTGCAGCAGTGGCATCAGCCAGTGGCTCAAAGTTCGCCTGATCAGAGTGGCGGGTCGAGCTATCCGCCATTCACCGCCCAAAACCAGGCACATTATCCGGCTCAGCACTTCCAAAATGCCTCGCCTTTGCCGACCGCTAGGCCTGCGGTGGCGCAAGGTGATGACGTCGCAGTTGCGGTGCCGAGTGATGGTGCTGCGCAGCCTTCACGGCTGGACAAGACGGGCGTTAGTAGAGGAAGGGTGCGCGGATTGGGGGAAAGGGCTTTATACGACCCAGCAGCTGGGATGGTCACGCGGACAGCTAGTGACGGTCGACCTTCCATGGTGAGTGTGAGAGACATGTCACAACACTTCCCTTTTCAGGTTTTTACTCTGTGAAATGATATTTTCTTCAACGTCAGACACCATCGGCTTCCGCGTCATCGTCGTCATCCCTTGCCTCGTCTCGATCTTCTAGCGGCCCCGCTGGACTCGGCCGTAAGATTGGCAACGCAACGCATTTGCACCATTCTCTGCCCCCCAAACCGGACTGGATCTCCGGCACGACGCCCTCGCACTCAATTGCGGTCCCGGAACCGACGCCACCAGAAAAGTCGACTAGCCCTAAGATCGAATCCCAACAGACGCTGGAAGCGTCGATTTCCCAGTTCAAAGACCTCTCTCTGGGCGGAGAGTTTGACGGTAACAGCGACGCAGCACCATTGGCACGTACGAGAGAAGCGACCGTGACGCAGGGCTTGGCTCTATCCCCATCAAAGTCGCGAGAAGCAGAATTTCCCGCATTGCCGTTCAACGGAACTGCCGCATCGGCCTTGCCGAAATCTTCTACTTGGGCAGCTAAATCTTCCGCGCACAAGGCCTTCCCCCAGGGTGCGGAGAAAGCCAATGATGGCGCCGAAAGGCAAGAGAACGCCGCGAATATATAAATGTGCGCTGCTTGAAGCGCAATCCGAAAGACCTGGCATCGATTCTCGATTGTGGAACAGCGACAGGGAAAGGACCGAGTGCCGCATGTCTGCTCTGTGCTTGCACCACTTTCTTGATCTACGCGCCACCTACTTTGTATATATACCGGACACCAGACATTCGACATGTCATTGAAGATGAGCGACCTTGCATGCTACGTCTCGTTCGCCCGACGTCGTCGGGGCATGGCACTGGCAGACAGTCGCGCTAGATTTATGCCAGAGTATGCCTGCATTGATGCGCAAGGCTATCAACGCGGAGCTCACATACATGCGAAGCTTGATAATCCGAAGATCATATTCAATCAGTCGGCGTGATGCTGACCAGCAAATGCCTGCGATGGATCCAACAGCTACAACTTTGGTTTCCGAGCATTCTTGGCCATCTCCGCTTCTCTAATTCTTTCTTTCTCGAACTCGACCTGGCGCTCATCGAGCAATTCGATGCCCGTCTCTTGTTCCAACTGCCTGAGCGCTTGCAGACAAGATGCGGCGCTGACGCGGATGGTCCTGATTCCTAATTTGGCAGCTGCTTTGAGATTGTGACCAATATCGTCCAGAAACACCACCTCGTCCGGTCTGACTTTGAGCTTGTCCAGGGCGTACAGATAGATACCTTCTTCCGGTTTGCGCATTCCAACTACTGCGCTTTCAATGTACTCGTCGAAGAAGTCCCGTATCCTTTGCGACTCTTTTGAAATGCCTAGATGCTCCAGCTCTTCTTCCAATGTGGGGGCGTGTGCAGACTCTCCACCGCTGTTTTCCGGCGATGCGGCGGTAGGTGGAGCAAAGTTGTTGGTCAAGGCTGCAAGACGAAACTTGCCCGATGCTCGAAGACGCTTCAAGGCTGTCTCCATGAGAGGGTCTATCCTGGTCGATTGCTTCATCATCAGCCCGAACAGCTGAGCAAGGGAAGAAGTTTGTCAAGACGATGAGCACATAGCTGCCGCAGCCAGCGACCGTGTTCACACTTACGTGCCGGCCGTCGATCTGCAAGTCCGTTGGCAACTGAGGCACCTCTGTGTTTACGGCGTCGCACGCGCGTCAGCACCTCGTCTCGCACCGATGCTTCTGACAAACAGACTGACTGACCTCTCCTCCTCGCCTTGCAGAACTCAGTGTACCACCTGTTCATGCTGTTCAAGTCGCTCAACTCCTCTCCAAAAGTCTTGTAGAAAGCGTACAAAGCCAATTCGCTCCTTTCGAAACGCTACGGCGATGCTCGCGGAGCAAAAGAAGCGGATGAGTCAGCCGATGGAGCCGAGTTCGATGGCTTGTAGGGGCGCTCGAGGGTATGGTGACGCATACACACCTGAAACGCTCCCTTGCGACCTCGCGCTGTGATGCCGACGTTGATGTAGTCATGCGGCAAGCCCTTCTCCTGCTCGTAGAGGTTGATGCCCACCAATGGTGATCCCACCACTACACCTCCAATGTCAAAGATGATGGCGCGGGGAGGCACCATTGCCCGAAGAAAGGGATTGTTCTCGTTGCCATCACCCATGGCCGAGCTTTAGCGTCAGAGAACACCTATAGAAGCTGTTCGAGTCCGTGAACCGTCGTGAAGTGATCGAGCGAGTCGTCAGTGGCGCTTTGCCTCCCTTAGGTCTGGACAAGAGCAGCTTCGGCGGTCTTAAGAGGTGGGAACAGCGCTGCTGCATCGGTGATTGTGAGCACACTCAAAGTGGTGAATCACAAATTATCAGAGACTCGTGATCACTCACTCTCAACTGGAATCACGAAAAGTGCGCTGCTAGATGCGCGCGCGGCCTATACCGGTAGACCGGCCCGAGTCAAGACGGTAAAATCTATGCGGAGATAGATGAGTTTGAGTCACGAGTAGTACCACGCCAGCAGGCACCCTGATAGGTTCACGAGTTTCGCACACTTCTCACGTGATTGCATCCAGATTCCTGCTCCACTCAAGACTCAAAACTCACTTTGACGCTTGACTTTTGACTTTTGACTCGTGAATCAGACTCGCTTGACTAGGATCTTTTCGAATCAAGAATGTGAATATCACAGATCAACAAAATTTCTTTAATTTCAAGATTCAACGGTTCTTGATTGTGATTCGATGACGAATTCGTGAATTTTGTATCTCTGCACCACACTCGTGACTCTCGACTTACACGCGTATCGGGTTTGCAAGTCCTCGCTCGAGTCGTCGCTCTTCTGGTGAGTGCCGAGTTGAGTCTCATTCAAGATTCACATCAACAGCTGCACGCGCGAGCTCTAGTGCTCGCAGCTATATCACCCATAGCACGAAGACGTCATCATGACCTCACTGAAGTCGAGCTTACCGAGTCACCGCTCTCACTAAATCCCTTACCAATGACGGATTGGATGCCTACCCACTTCACGCGTAATCCAAGTACTTCCTGATCAGATCTTGATCGCAAGCTGAAAATGTTGCGTTGACGGCGTGTTGATCGCTGTGAGGTCGCCAAGCTGCAAGCACGGAGATGCTTGCTCGAACGCTGACCGACCGACATCTTCTTGAGTGTCTGACGTCGTCAAAGCGAGACGGAGCATCACCAGCACGAGTAGGCGCATTGGTACAGAGCATGAGCATTCGATCAATGATGAGCGAAGAGACGAAGTTCTCGTCGGAATGAGTCATCAAGCGACGGAGTGAGAAGACGAGCCGCCGAAACAGGTTGAGCAAGCCGCAATGGACTTGCTCGCAAGGACACAGAACAAACGCGCGCGATCACGCTCTGAATTGGGCGACGACGACCGCGTGATCCCTTTCGAAGAGGAAAGATGAAGCAGGCAGTGTCAGCCGAGCATTGGGCGCAAGTGTTTGATCACAAGGACGCGCTCACTTTTGGAAAGGCTCGAGAGTCAACAGCTCTCTGGGCTTGAAGGACTGCGATCGGAGTGGAATGTATGAGTGATGTCCAAAGCCAATGCGCAAAGGCAACAAGCCAATTGGCAATTTCAAATCACTTACGCTCTCCTGCAGCTTTTTGACCTCGGATTGGTACACCGCCTCTGGTGCCGCTGTTGAATCGATACAGCTGGCCTTGATGCTGATGACGGCGTGGCCCTGGTCTTTCAGAAAGTGGGAGCTGTTCAATGCCACGATACGAGATTGATCCGGCTGGGCGACGTCTGCAAAGACGCAGTCGACCATGCCAACAAGCATCCTGTACTTTTGAGGGTGTCGGGCATCTTCGATGATGGCTGGAAGCAAAGAACAACAAGGAGACACAGATGAGTCATAATTTGCTCCACTACTTGACTGCAACCACTACTTCCATCACTGCTGTCCAAGCACTCACGGATGACATTCGTTCGCTTCTTTGCCATGTTGATCAGATCTCTTCCCGATCTGTGACTGAACTCTACTGCGAACACAACTCCGGTTGGGCCTACGATGTCCGCGACGTGACTGACACTGGTTCCACTTGCTGCACCAAGATAGAGCACCTTGTTTCCCGGCTTGATGTGAATGTTGTCCAAGCCGCCCAAGACACCAGCTGCCAATTTGGATCTGAATGGATTCCACACTCTGTATTCGGTCTTGCTAGAGACACCGGACTCGTCCGTGGCCGGCGTCTCGACAGAAATTCTCTTTTCCCCATACACCGAGTCTCCGGGAACCAAATTCCTGGTGACAAGAAGGTGCTCCTTGCCCTCAGCCACAAAGATGCCTTCATGCCTGTGAGGTTTGACGATGACGTTGGAACCACCCTTTGCGCCACCTCTGGCACCTCCACGCGCACCGCCCCGACCGCCGCGAGGTGCACCTCTGCCTTTTCCACCGGGTGCTCCCCTTCCACCGCCGCGTCCACCTGTGATGCGGAGAACCGTTCGAGTCAAATTCGACACTTCGCCAGGAACACGCAGAAAAATGCACTCACCGCGACCTGGAGGTCCACCTCTGCCACCTCTGTCTCCCCCACCGAATCCGCCTCTACCGCCACCTCGTCCGCCGCGATCACCGAATCCACCACCTCTGGGTGCTCCGCGTCCACCACCAAAGCCACCTCTTCCTCCACCACGTCCACCTCGATCCCCTACAAAAGCAAGCGGGAGAAGTAGTCAGCAAGTGTTTGAGCGGCGTCGCACGATGTAGCATTGCACCTGCACTGTTGACTACTTTGTGCGAGTGGCGGCCACTCACCGAAAGCCATGGTGTATTGCTGGTGTTCGACAGTCGCTCGAATGTGTGCCTGTGTGTCACCCGACTCGGCTAGAGCCCAGATGTTGTGAGCCGTTCTTTGCGTGTCGGTCAGAGCTATGTAGTCTGTTGAACTTCGAGGGCCACACAGGATAGAGCGATGACTTGAGCGCGGTGCTGTGGAAGTGGACAAATCAAGGACAAGGAGCCCTTCCTTTGCCTTTTGGCTTGCTGCAGCATGCTGCAGTCACAGATCCCAGTCGTGATGATGAGTTTCCTGAATTTCTTGGACCAGCCGTCAAAAAAGTTGCTGCAACTCCCACGTGGTGGAAATCGCTCCAATCGCTGATGCACCCCAAGTCGCGCCCCCATTCGCCAATTCTCGTGCGAGTCACAACAACGCACGAAGCGAAGAGCTGACTTCTCGTCACGTGCAGAGGTTACACTTCCTGCTCCACTGCTTTTCTCAAACTACGACTCATCAAGATTCAAGGCCGATGCGGTGCTTTTTGGTGAATGACTCGACCTTGGGATTCGCCTTCACCAAAGCCACTCAGAACTGATTGATCTCGCTCCTGGTGTCGCGCGCGTAAGCTTCCTCCTCTCCCATCACTCGCACGACCGCCCCGGCACTCGTCTGTCATCCATTCATCATGTCAACGCCGGACGACAAGCTCACGCTGGACATCAGCAAGAGGGAAGGAACCATCAATCTCGGAGCTGGTCCATCCTCTCTCCCTACGTCTGTCCTGCTAGAAGCCGCACAAGGCATCTTGGATTTCTCTAGCACAGGCATGGGCCTAACCGAGCTGTCGCATCGATCGGGCACATTCAAAAAGGTCATCGAGTCAGCCGAAGAGGATCTGAGAAAATTGTTAGACATTCCAGAAAACTACGCCGTGCTCTTTATGCAAGGCGGAGGAACTGAACAATTCAGCGGGACGGCGTTGAATCTGTTGGCTAGTCACGCTATCGCACATCCAGACTACGTCCAGCAACACAATGGACAGGGGCCTGCGCTGGACTATGCCGTTAGCGGAAGCTGGAGCGCCAAGGCTCTCAAAGAGTCCAAGAGGCTCGGCGGCAACGCCAAGGCCGTCTTCGACTCTCGCAAGCTGGAAGGTTCAGACGGAAAGTTCGGCATCATTCCCCCCACGTCGACGTGGCAGCTGAGCGGAGTGGATGGCTCAGGCAAGGTTGCGAGCAAAGATGAATTGCCAGCCATGCTGTATTACTGCGACAACGAAACGGTGGATGGGGTGGAGTACACTCCCGCTTTCCCAATCGATCAATTACCCAAGGAATATGCTCAGAACGTACCCATCGTGGCCGATTGCAGTTCCAACATTCTCTCTCGCAAAATCGACATTGCAGCTCATTCCATTGTCTTTTTTGGAGCTCAAAAGAATGTCGGGCCGGCAGGCGTGACCATCGTCATCGTCAAGAAAGATCTGATCGCTCGAGATCCCGATGAAGGAGTTTCGAATGGAGGTCCAAGGATCCCGACTACGCTGGCATACAAGCATCATGCAGACGCAAACAGTCTCTACAATACACCCCCAATGTTTGCCATCTACGCATCAGGTCTCGTGTTCGCCGATCTGCTCAAAAGTAAGGGCGGAGTCGTTGGAGCATCTCAACGCGCGGACATGAAGAGCAGAGCAGTGTACGACGTGATCTCGAAAAGTCAGGGTGTCTTCGCTGCGACGGTCAAGGATCCAGCCAGCAGGAGCAGGATGAACATCTGTTTCAGAATATTGGCACGCGACGGAAAGACGCCAAACAATGAGCTGGAAGAGAGGTTCATTAAGCGATGCAGAGAAAAGGGCATCGAGCAGGTCAAAGGTCACCGTTCCGTCGGAGGGATCAGAACCAGTCTTTACAACGCCGTCTCCCCCGAGCAGACGCTTGTTTTGGTTGATGTCATGAAGGCCTTTGCGAAAGAAGTCCAAGACGAAAGGCGAGCCTGAAGGCGCTATTCTTTGGAATCAGAAACCACTGACATGTTGTCATGAATGCATGCTTGTCGATAGAGCGCAGTGGTTCAGCCATTCGGTCTGTGTATACAACGCTCAGAGGAGCATGCTTTTGGGAAGTTGCGTCGTGTAGGGAAATGGGAATAGCAGAGGTTCGCAGGTCGCGTAATAGGCTCGATTGGGCAGAGGTAGCTGGGAAAAAAGTGCCCAATGATGGAATGCTAAAGGAATCCTCAGAGCATTCTAAGATCGCTGTGCTGAATGCACACAGCCTACTTGCGAGCGCCAGGCGGTCTGAAGCAGTCAGATTAGAGAAAGGAGCGGTCAGCGAACGAGTGCAAGTACGCCCAATGGAAGTGAGCCTCACCTGTACGCATTGGGGTTACGACGTGGAACCTCTTGGAAGCCGTCCGCGGCAGCTGAAGGCCCATTGGACGATTCTCGAGGTCTTGACGGCGTGGCTGCGCCAGATGTTGGCGCAGCATCGCCAGCAGTGCCCCTTGCTGCTTCACGTTCTCTCCATCCACCGGTGCTCTTGCCGAACACCCGTGGAGGGCCGGATGAGGCAGAAGGAGCAGCGGCGGCAGCAGGGGTAGGTGCCGGACTGGAAGAGGATGCAGGTCCACGTGAGGGGCTGGAGGTACCGTTGGCTACTGCCGCAGCTGGCACGGGCGTGGAGGTACCAGTGGATGGGGCCGTCTCTCCGCTGGCCTCCGCAGCTTTGCGAGCAAGCTCCTTCTCTCTCCAGCTTCCCGGTTTGACACCGGCAAAGCGGGGCGGCGCAACGCCAGAAGCCGGGCTAGCGTCACGTGCGGCAGCGACTGCGCCAGCTGGTGCAGCACCTCGCCACGACCGTTCGCCTCCTGCTGCAGGGGTGGCGGCTGGGCCAGCACGTCGTTCTGCCTCCTTGGCGCGCATCCTCTCCTCGATCTCCTGCTCTCTCGCTCTCTGCTTCTCCGCCTGCTCCCGCAGCTGAGCTTGCCGGGCCTCGATCGCTGCCCTTTGCTCGGCTTCGCGCTCGGCTTCCTTCTCCGCTTCGAGACGGCGCTGCTCGGCCTGACGGTCCTCCTCTGCAACAGAGAGAAGGAAATGGCGTCAGAAAGATGATCTTTCACAAACAGAATCGTGAGCACTCACCCTCGCGTCGAAGTCTTTGACGCTCTTCCTCTTCGGCAGCGCGAATGCGTTCTTCCTCGGCGCGTTTTGCGGCCTCTTCCTTCTCCGCAGCAACCTGGACCCGCCTCTTTTGCTTCTCTTCCTCGATCTGGTCGTTTGCACGAGCTTGTCTAGCTTCCATTTCCTCTTTGCGCTTGCCTTCGATGACCCTCCTCAACTCGCCATAGTCTGGCAGAATACGCTGCAGCCGCTTCTTCAGCTGGAGGTCAGAAGCGTGCTTCTGACGCAAGGTCTCGACCAGCGTAGCTTGCGCCTGCACATGGTTTGCTTTGTCTTCCTCCTTCTGGTGCTCGTAGTCAGCCTCAACGAGAGGCAGCTCCTCGCGCCGGTAGGCACGCTCCAAGTGGTCCATGCGACGGTGAATGATACGGAGACGGTCTGCTAGCTCTTTCTTCTCGCGCTCAATCTGCTCAACTTGCAATTGAACGAGCTTGTCTGTGTCCAAGTTGGCGTACTCTTCCTCTGTGAGCTTGAGTCCACCCTTCTCGCGAAGGCTTTGCGCGAGCTTCTTGGCCTCGTCTTGCTTGACCTGCTCCATTTCCTTGCGGATGCGCTCGAGCTCGCGATTGCGCTTTTCTTCTTCTGCCCGCTTCTCTTCGGCAGCTTGCGCGGCGCGCTGGCGCTCGGCACGAGCAGCAGCTTCGTCCTTCTCTTTGCGTGCGGCTCGCTCCTCGAGGAGTTCCTTGCGCTTTTCCAGGATCGCTTTGCGAGCCACCGCAGCTTTGTGCTCCTTCTCTGCACTGTCCACAGCGCGAGCAAAGATATCGCGTTTGGCGGCTTGCGCAGCCTCGAGCTCTGCTGGATCGATGATCTTCACCGTCGTGTCGAGACAGCCAGCGAGACGCGCCAGCTGTGTGCGAACGAGCTCGCCTGGCGTCTGTTGGAGTTTTGTCACGTCAGTCTCAGCACCGGCACTGGTGAAGGAGGCAGGATGCGCTTCTGCGGCGAAGACATCGTCTTGGAAAGTGATTGCCTGCGTAACGTGGTCTACTCGAATGTCGAGGTGACCACGCTTTGCAGCGTTCAGGCAGAAGTTTTCAACGTCCGCAGGGGTGTAGTTGTTGGGCGCCTTGAATGCAGCAACGAGGTCCATGACTCTGGTAAGCTTGACGGCGTCGTACACCTGGCTGAGCTGCTGAAAGAGTCGGGTCAGAACGACGCTGTGAAGAGGCTTGACGTACTTGGCCATCTCTTCGTCCTGCGCAATCTGATTGATGATCGGCTCGATCTTTGCGCAAATTGAAAGAGGGTGAAACTCGACTTCGAGAATATTGTACAGCTCGCGAAGCTCTGGGCGAACACGGCGAAGTATGTTACGGCTCAATGCCTCTTTCAGCAGACCCGCTCGGGTTGGGGTGCGGGTGAGGCCGAGGAGCGAGGTGAGTCTACCGGTACGGCTTCGTGTCTCGACGTCGCCGAGCAGGAAATCCGACTTTGATTTGTTCATGTTTCCCGTGCCAGGAGCATTGCTGCTGATGACTGGCACAGCGAGGGCGCTCAGCAAGACAAAAGAGGCGTAGCGAGTGTGCTCTTCCTCCGTCTTGATGCCTCCACGAGCCAAAGAGTAGTAGCGGTTCCATGCCGCAGCGTGGAAGAGGTTGTTGTCGGATACCATGAAGATCTTGGTGAGCTTCTCGTAGTAATTAGCCATCATCGATGGACGGGGAGCTTTCTTCGCCATGGTGAGAAGGTTGTGCACATCCTCAACAGACCGGAACGCCTCTTGCCAAAGCTCGAGCTCGACTGCAGCATTGAGCTGGGAGAAGCGTGTGTCAAGGTGTCGCTGAAGGGTGTCGGGCTCAGTGAGGTTGATCGCATGCGTGTGGTGGGAATACCGTGCCACATTTTGCAGGTGGATGCGCAGCAAGTCGCAAAGACGTCTGAATTCGGTCTTGCGCTCGTACTGCAGGCAGAACTGAAGAGCGCGGTGTGCGACTTGCTGTGTGGAGATGGTGGGAGAGTGTTACAGGTCAGCACAATGACAGATGAGCGCTCCATGAGATGTTGTATGTCATCAAGTAGCGTGCTTGCCCTAGCAGCATTGCCCTTAAACTCGCTATCGAGGCCTGGCCACAAAACGCACCTGGTATGGAACTTCGAGGCGCGCATTGTTGCGCAAAATGTCGAGCGATGTGCGATAGGTCTCCCACAGGAACTTGAGCCAAGGCGTGACCAAGGCGCGATCTGTACGATCTTTGCTCTCCTCGCTAGTGACAGCACCGAGGAGCATGCTCTCGGGCGTCTCGCTCTCTTCAAGATCATCCACTTCCACCTCCTTGGCAGCTTCGTCAGCCTTGGCCTGAGCATCCGCCACCTTTTGCTCCGAAAGGCTGATGAGGTGCTTGATGACCACATCAATACTTCCAGCATTGGTGTTCTGCGAAACGTTCTTGTACTGAACCAGTCCATCCTTGACAAGTCTACCTCTACGTAGGTCAACGCAAAGATCCGTAAAGCGGATCATGATTGGCTCCAAGGATGCCAAGGGAGTCTGCTTGAATGAGCGAAGCGCAAAGATCTCTGACAATGCAGACAGGGCGGCTGTCGTCTGACCGACGCCAATCAACTCTTCGGCTCGCTTGAGAACCGTCTCTGGGCGTTGGAGGCGCGACATGATGGGCGATGGCAATGTGCGCGGTTGAGGGTCGCTGGTCGCGTAAATGTGAAGGATGCTCTCGTGCCGTCTGCAAGTCTATGTTTGCCTGGGTGCAGAGAAGGCCTCGGAGTGGGTGATGGAGGGGACACTGAAGAAGCGTACGCCCCTCCTGACTTCACGTCGTCCTCGATCCAACGAACGACAGGCTGCAGAGCCACACAGTCAGGCAGCCCACCGCGACACGAGCCACCAAAGCGACAAAATCTTGCTCGCGCTGACTGCTGCTGCTCATGCTGCAGCGCAGCACACATCCTTCCTTCTCATGCAACGCCGGCGCACGAAGTAACGCGCGCCAACCAGCCACGTGGGGTCTGAGACGCGCAGTCGCGTCTTCAGCATGCATTCAGTGATTCACGACTCTTGAATATCACGGTCTGATCTGAAATGGGTACACGTCATTCCTGATTGCTGTGTGTATGAACTTGAACAGCTAAAGAGCCTACCCTGAGTGGCATATCAGACATTCACGGTCGAGCATCCCTTCACTAAGAGGCAAGTACAGATCAGATTGAGACGTTGTGCGCTCGGCAATAAGAGAGACGCGCAAGGCCGAAAGAGGTTCGACCCCAAGCGACAAGCTGCTGGCTAATAAGGAAATGATGAGTTGGGGCAAGAATGTGGTGCATACATGAAGCTTGATGGCGAATCAACGTTCCCTCGAAGGTGTCTAAAGTGCCGTGGCCTATGCTGGGATCTTCACGTCGAAATCTCGAGGTCTGCCATCATCATCGTCGTCGTCATCGCCTTCCCAAGACAGACCGTCGTCTTTGCTGATGATAGAAGCAGCATCATTATCGTTGTCCAGATCCGCCATAGCGGCATCCGCATCGCGCAGGATCTGACTGAGGGTCTTGTGCATCCTATCTTCTCGGCTGACGGTGGATGAGGATTTCCTCTCGTCAGAAATGGAGCTCTTGCCCCTACCAACTGATCCGAAGAAGGAGTCTTTGCCACCCCCGCTGGAGCTAGGACTGAGTGGAGAAGTCACCTTCTCGTTCTTTCCTTTGCCGAATTTGGCCAGACTAAAACGGCCCTTCTTGGGAGGACCAGAGGCGGAAATTGAGCCAGAGGAATGCGCATGCGAGAGTGAAGAGTCAGGGCCGCTGCTGGAATGACGACTGGAGGCAGAGTGGGGCGAAGGAGGAGGAGGACTGGAGCCCAATGACGGCCCAGAGTGAGACGGCGTCATCGGAGAGCTTGAGCTGCCGTCCCTTCGCTGCACATCGATAGCACGGCGCGAAGATGCCGAGGCGGGGGGAGACTTCATGTTGGTGCTGGAGCGAGAGGGTCGTGGTCGGCTTGGCGGAGACGCAGCGGCATGATTCGCGCTTTGCGATGAGTCTGCACCGGAAGGGTATTCGCTGCCCTGAGCCTCCCCTTTCACCGCTTCTGGCGAGCCATGAGGTGAGTATAGCTGCTTGGAAGAAGCACTAGCCCCCAATGGTGAAGGCGGAGCACCTGGCTCTTGAGGATCGTTGCTGATACCGCTTAGGTCTAACATTGGGGGGAGTGGCTTGCCATCGGCTGCTGATCCATTCGCACCCTCTACCTTAGACCCATCGGCACCATCAACTTCTGTGTTTTGATGGACTTCCCCTCCGTGTAGCATCAGCGCAATGGCAGCATCGGTTTCTGCACCACCCACGAACTTGGACATTGGTCTAGATGTTCGTTTGTCGAGATCTTGTGTGCTGCGAATCGGTAGCTCAGCAACTGCTGCCTCGGCCTCCTCCGCATCATCCGTATTTGGTGGAGGTTGATCTGCAGCAGGAGCGTCATCCACATCAGGCAAATCAGCCTGTTTGGCTCGTGGCGTCTCGTCAGGCTCCACAGGAGGGTTGCTTGACGGCGCAGCGGGCTCCGACGCAGGCTCCGACCTGGGCTTCAAATGTGGGCTCGTGCTCGTTTTGATCGGCAAGACGTCGCTTGCGCTTCCGGCCGAATCACCATCGCCAACATTTGAGTCAGTCAAACTGCTATCCGGTGTATCTGCAGGCTTATTGTCGAGCTCCAGCTCGTGGGTAGCTTCCGCGGCGATATCCTGACCTTCAGAGACAAATATCTCTTCCTTGGACGGGGGCAAAACAAGACGATGATCCTCGGAGGCTGTCGAGCTGTCTTTGTCTACCTTTGCATCCTTGTCCAAGGGAGATGTCATAATTGCATTCTCGGGAATGATTGCAGTATCGTCCTTCTTGCTGCTCTTGGATTCCGCAGCGCTTGGCTTGACACCTGTCAGCAGCTCCGCATCATTCGCTGCGTCCACGTGAGCAGAGACAGGAACTGGTGACTCCTTCTCTGCGGAGACCAGGGGGCTCTTTGAGCGCTGTCGCGCGCTTTCACTACTGCTGAAGCTGCTGATGCTAGAGACGCTGCCGCCCGCTCCTCTCTCTCGCGCGCGTCTGGCCACCTCCCTTGCACCGACTTCGTCACGCGCGCGTTCCGCTTTGCTTTGCACGCGCTTCAGGCGCGCTCCCCCGCTGCTTGCTCCCTCTGGGATCGTTCCGTGCGATATGAAAGCTTCAGCTTCGTCTGGCGTAAGCTGAATGTCTGCCAGTCCCAAGCTAGCCAGGAGTGCATCGGCATCTTCGTGGCCAACGATCGCCTCAGATCGCGATGCCGTAAGAGCTTCCGACAGGCTCCCGCCTTCTGCAATCATTTTGGCTATGGCTGATGATGATGCACCCCTTGCCGTAGCGGCAGAAGAAGCCTCAGCAACGAGAGCTTTGGACGACATTTGACTCGCATTGTAGCGAGCCAGCCTAGATGCAGAGCTGTCCGAGGCAGAAGAAGAACTTTCGCTCATGCTTCTCGACGAAGCAGCGCTGGCGCTGCCCGTGCCCATCTTCGCAAGCTTCAGTGGAGCTACTCCTGCATTTGCTGAGGGAATGTACGTGCGAGGCACAGGCGCTTGCGGTGTGATGCCAAGCTGAGGATACAGGCCCCGTTTTCTGGGGTCCTTAGACTCGGCGGCTGCCAGTGCCTTCGCCTTTGCCTTTTCTTCCTCTCTCCTCTTAGAGTCAGAGAGACTCAGCGCTGAGATCTCAGCAAGCATGGCGTCGACATCGTCGTCATTCAGGTCGAGAGAGTTGGCATCGAAGCTTTCCATCAAATCTTCGACGCTTGCTTCCTCCCGCTTGCCAGCTCCGGTGGGAGCGTGAGGTAGTGCTACTGTCGGCGCTGCAACTGGGCCCCTATCTGACACGGACCGAGGCTTAGCCAGACCGATCGGAGCTAAGTGTTTGCCAGAAGCACGCGGTTTCGACTCCTCATTATTGCTACCTTCAGGAGTGATGCTGGCACGGCTTGACTCTGCATTGGCGCCTTCACCTGTCGTAGCCGATGGGACATCAGCTGATGCCGGTGCTGGTGCAGAGGTCCGCCCATCGTCGACGCGCAAGAACAATCCCAGCTCGCCAAACTCTACTGCCTCTTCGAATTCTTCGAAAGTCCCCCTCCACTCGTTGTTTACCAGCAGTCCGGGTATTTGAGGATCTCGCGCCTGCCAGTGATTGGATAGCGAACCAAGAAGGAGTCAGAGGTGTGTATGACGCAGAAAGTTGAGCAGTCTACCTTACTCACCTTTCTCCTCCACCTGCTCTTTGCATCCTCGTCGCTAGCTAGATCATGGTAGATGTAGGGGACCTGTGCAGCGAGCCGATTTGGATCTTAGCAAATTGACCAGAGACTCGGTATACAGCGACGCTCATGGCAACCGACCTTTTTAACAGTCAACACCGATACGAAGCGCTCATGTCTGGAGCGGACTTTGATGTTGGATAGGATAGATGTGCTAAAGAGCTCTACTGACGTCGCCATGCCTCGCTACACCGAGTGTTCGTCACTTGGAGCGCTGTGCGTGCGTGCTACCTCGGCTTGCGAATGCTATGGCAGCGTGTATGCGTCTGCTTGCTTCTTGACGTGACCGGTCCACCTCGCTACGACGGGTATCTGCGTGATGCTGGAGCGCAAGAGCAAGGATTGTCCAAAGCAAAGAGAGTGACTGTTCCCAGTAACAGAGCAAGAGTACCCTCGAGGAAGTCGTGAGTAGAGGTGAGATAGCGACGCGCACAGCTGTGGTGACGACGGCCGTAAAGCATGCGACGCGGGCGGTTTATTGACAGTGTTAGGCTCACGTTCAAGGTTCAAGAGTGTGAGTGAGCACCGCAAGCCACAAGCGTGCTGGGTGACGACTCCATGTACGGTACAGTCACAATGTGACTGTGAATTCAAGAACGAGTCCCGTTCAGGTTGTTGCGCTGCACGCACGCTCCATCACCTTGTCCCGCGCCCACCGCGCCCGCCGCCCCATTGAGCGGCGCGTGATGCTTGCTTGCGCGCGTTGCTGCTGGAAACGCGCCGCCGCTACGCCCAGCACATCACCTGTCCCCGAAGGGCGTGTCCGTGCAGCTTGAAGCACATGGAGGCCCGCTAAGCAAACGTGAATTTTAAGTTTGCTTGCATTTATGCCGGCGCTAACCAGCTCGATTCGTGACTCTGGGTTCATGACTTGGCTGCTGCTGTGACTCTTCATGCAGCCAGCAGGCAGCATCACACGGCGGCACGGCCGGCCAGCCAGCGGCTTCTTCTGTTCACTATTATTATCCTAGACGTCACGAGAGCGAAAAACGGCTTGCACTCACGCTGATCTATCAAATCGCTGCGTTAGTCGACGCGGAGCTTCATCAGGTATATATACTGCCGCCCTGCACACTTTGCGGTCGCGATTGACCAAGGCGCTAGAACGGTTCACCCTCAGTGTCCATCATGGAACAGAATGTAGGCAGTCCTGAGTCTGGCAAAGGTACCCAAGCACTAGAGGGCGGTGTCGTTGAACGCACCCGTTCTTGTCTTTCATGCGAGCCCTCGGCTCGACAAAGCTTTGAACTTCGCTCAATCGTCTCAGACACTTTCCCAATCGTTCGGGGCGCGGACGACAGTCTGGCGACCGTCAAACTTTACAGATGGACGTAAGCCAAAGTCAAATTGCTAGAGAACCATCCCAGCCACAGCCCCGCAGAGCTCTATGAAAAGTCTCATTTTGAGGCGCGATCGAGCGATGTAGACGGGTCAAGGTCTGAAGACCTCAACAAAGAACGAGACGCTGGCCTTGGAGTGCGCAGCACATTCATGCCGCCTCCTCCTCTTCCTCAGCAAGCAATCGTTCGGCTTCGAGGGCAGCAATGCTGTGCCGACAGCCAGATGAACGAAGGGTCAGCTCAACACCCTGTGCTCGTCAAGAGCTCGACAACACTCACCAGCCTGATCCCGCCGACGTGACGGCCTGGCGATACTTCTTGTCCTGCACATCTCCGGCCGCAAAGACACCCTTGATGCTCGTCTGAGCGGTGCCGGGCTTGGTGACAATGTAGCCATCTGCGTCGCATTCCACCTGACCCTTGACAAGGTTCGTCGCTGGGTCGTGACCGATCTTTGAAGAGTGACGAATCTTTCAGCAAAACGACAATCATTTGAGAGCACTGCGCATGAGTACTTACTGCATAAAAGAGACCATTGACTTGCAGGTCCTTCTCCTCTCCCGTCTTGGTGTTTTTGATCGCAAGTGCGTTCAAAAGTTCGCCGTCACCCTTTGCTTCGGTCGCCACGTGGTTGAACAGCACAGTCACCTTTGGGTGGTTGACCAATCTCTTCGCCATAATCTTGGAAGCGCGCAGCTCGTCCCTTCTGACGAGAACATAGACGTGAGAACCATACTTGGTCAAGTACGTGGCCTCTTCCGCTGCGCTGTCTCCACCGCCGATCACAGCGAGAGGCTTGTTACGGAAGATGGGAACGGCGCCATCACACACTGCGCACGCACTGATACCGCTCTGCCAGTACACATCTTCGCCCTTCAAGTTCATTCTTCTTGCAGATGCACCAGTAGCCATGATGATGGTATCCGCCAGCTCAGCAGGCTCTGCTTCCTTGCCCTCTCTCCAAAATTTGAATGGCCTTTCGGAGAGATCGACCTTGGAAATCGTCTCGGTGTAGATTTTCGTGCCAAATCGCTCCGATTGAGCTCGGAACTTGTCCATGATCTCGGGTCCACGAATACCGTCGGGAAAGCCGGGGAAGTTTTCCACATCCGTAGTGGTTGTCAGTTGTCCACCCGGCGCGAGGCCGTTGGCGAGAAGACCCTCGAAGAGGACCGGCTCCAGATTGGCACGTGCGAGATAGATGGCGGCAGTGTGACCAGCGGGACCGGAGCCGATGATGACGACCTTGTGCTTCGTTTGACCGTTTGCGGTCGCTCCATCGGGTACAGGCGCCATGTTTGCGGCGATTTGCGAAAAGTCCGTCGGATTTGAAGTCGATTCGCGGGCTTCGTCGGCCTGAATGGGTACGGACGCACAGAGAGCAGCGGTGGTAGCGGCAGCAGCGGAAGCCGTCGCAGCTGTTGCAAAATTGCGCTTACTCAGGAAGCTGGACGCAGTCTTTTGAAGGTGCAACCGGGTGGCACGAGTGGTGTGATCTGATGTCTGAGTTGGATGGCCTACTTTGAGCGAGAACGCAGAACGTGGAAGGTGTGAGGCCCAGGTAGTATTGCGGATGAGTAAGGCGGTTGGTAGCGAGCGAGTGCAAGCTCGAGCAGACATCAAGGTGTGTTGTGGTTGACAGAAGAACATGTGTCTGACTTTGCCCTGGCAATCACGACTTCGCGCTTCTAAATCTTGTCGTGATTCAGCTTGCACGCATGGCTATAAGGCGATCACGCGGCCTGAGGACTCTCGCGGTGGCGGATGCTTTGAACAGCCGGCAGCCGGAAATAAGCCTTGTGGATGCGTGCGGGCGTGAGTGCGTACGCATCAAAGGCCGAAAGTCGAAGCCATGCATTCACTCACATTCGCATGCATGCACGCGGTGATGGCCCACTAGAGACCAATCGCCACGTGGCTTCAGCAACGCCGTGCAGCGCACGCGGAAGCAGCCGTGCGTGTCGCGCGCGTCGTTCGCTGCATGCTTTGCCTTCGATCTTGCCAAAAGCACAGCTCCGTTTGGCTGGAGCGTGTGCAGTCACAAGTCGATCGTGATACGCGCGCGCGCGGGCTGCAAGCGGGCGCGGGCATCAGGCAGGATCTTCTCGCCCGCTGCTGCTGCTGGGCGCGTTCACGCGGCAGTCAGTCGAGTCGTCCGCAACTGGTGAGACTGGATGGTCAGCAGGGCAAACGACGCGAGCGGCGAGAGATTTCGTAGTTGGTCCAGACAAAGTGACATCTCTACGTTCCCCTTCGTATCACTTCTGCCGCACCTCTTCACCTCGCCCCGCATACATCTCGTTGTGAGATCAGATCTACGGTCTTTGGCACGATCCTGCAGCGGATTTCCCAGATTGTGCATTGGCCTCGGGCGTCCATTCGCTCCGCAAACACAACCCAACCTTCTTCAATCCCGTCCCGAGCCGCCATGATGCTTGCAACCGGGCTTCGCACCGTCTCACGCATCGCACCCCGAACAGCCTCCAGGGGTCTGCTCACCAAGGCCGAAGAATGGACTCCCCAAATGGTCAAGGAGATCGAGGCGAACGGTGCGCCGAGCGTTGATTTGAAAGCTACTTTGCCCAACATTGAAGCTCGATGGAGCAACCTGTCAAAGGAGGAGCAATACACCATCTACCGTAAGCTCGAAGAGGTCCAGCGACGGGACTGGAAGGAACTCTCGCTAGACGAGAAGAAGGCTGGTGAGTTGTGCAGGGAGGGGCTTCCTTGAGCTTCGGTCGGTGGTGCAGCAGCTAGTACACGTACCCGCGGCACATTTGGTATGCGCTCAAGGATCGAGCGGTCATTGTCGAGCTGGCATGACTTTACTGCTGCAGATCCGGGGAGCTTCGGGTGCTTGTACTTGTGAGCGTTGTGATTGTCGCCTCTCCTACTCTCAACGAGCAAAATTTGCGCAAGCGCAGGACTGTCAGCTGGTTCACTGCACAGTGTTCAGTGTCCAGCGATACGCTGTGCTTCTTTGCGGGAAACCCTTATGGAGGCATGCTGCAGTTGTTGCATCGATTTCGAAGCAGGCGCGCGGCATTCGTAGTCCCCTCTTGGAGTGGAACCCCTCCGCATGAGCAAATTTCGCCCAACCTTCCGATCCGGTCCGCGACCATGGCTTGGTGTCGATTAAAAGGCGGGCGCAGCTTGAACCCTTTGTCAGGCCCGCGAAAGAGACCGAGCAGAGTCATGACGAAGCCGATCAGAGTCGCGCGCTGGTGCACATCCGCTCACCTACCTCGTTGCAACCACCTTTTCTAGCTTACTACATTTCGTTCGGTCCTCATGGCCCTCGCAAACCCATCACCCAGCCCGGACAAGCCATCAAGACTGCTGCCGGCGTCACTGGTCTCATCATTGCCACTTTTGGCCTCTTCTTCGGATTGAGACAATTCGGTGAGTAGCGCATAGGGTCATCCGCTCTGGAATGGGGCACTATACTGACGCCCTCGATTACATCGCTACAGCCAACCCCAACCAGCCAAAGACCATGACGAAGGAGTACCAAGAACAATCCAACGAGCTGGCTCGCCAACAGAACCAGAACCCAATCACCGGTATCTCTTCGGAGGGCTACAAGGGCGAGGGACACGTCCAGAAGGTGAGCATTGCGCGATGTGCGCGTAGTATGCACGGTTGCATACTAACCCGTCTTTCTGCCCGCCCTACCTTACTTCACCTCTTAGTCTTATGTCTGAGCGACGACCTTCATTACTACAACTGGACTCGATCAAGCCGAATGCGAATGCATGTCATTCTAATCAATGTGGTGGCGCGGATGGCATTGCCAATGCGGAGAATGCAGGGGACAGAGCATACAGATAGACGATGTTTACAAATTGATGCTGGGCTTCTGTACCGATTGACGGGAGGCGTGTCAGCAGGAAGGCTAACAACACAGAGCGATGCATCACACAGTCGAGCACGCTTCGCAAGCGTGATTAGTGCACTTGGAGTTCCAAGGCTTGCTTCATCTGGTCGCGTAGGCACGACCATCGTCCAACTTCTTGCGAAAGACGAGAAGCAACTTTTTGATGCAGCGCGGAGATTGAGCGACAAGATGCCACTTGTCAACTTGGGGCGAGCCCTGGATCGCATGTCTGTTGCTGAGATTATTTTTACTCACGTTGCCTGCACGAAGGGAGGTGGTCTGAATGAGCTCGAAGCCACTGGACGAGGCGAGCGGAACGACTTCGAGCGTAAGATCTCGTAGACCGTAGTCTGTATTCCGACCTTTGAGCACTCGATCGAACTAAGCGCACGCCAGGTTTGGATAGAAAGCTCGGGTCAGCTTGCGGCAGCGAATCGTTGGCAGTCTGCCGTTCTGGGCATCATGGGGACGAGAGCGTCGGTCAAGTGCTTTTACACGGATCGTGTACGCCAACGAGGCGTGACGTACCTGAGCATTACCTTCGCTGGTGTGTTTGCCGTTTTCCTTGAACGCGCCATACAGAACCAGAAGTCCGCCGGGCGCGAGGAATGACTTGGGCACCGGTTCCTGATGTGTTCCCGGGCCGAACGACAGGGAGTCAGAAGAGATTTCCTGGCCCAGCTGAGCGAAGATGCATTCAGCCACATGCCAAGGCGCGATATGGATGATGTTGAAGCACAGCACTATATCGAACAATGCGATGCCAGTCTCAGCAGCCTCGCCCTCTCGTCTTTGTGTCGTGGCGCTGCGCAATTGAGCCCATTCCGCCGCGTTTGTCAATTCCAACTGGATAGCTGGGAAGATGTTCGAGGTGCGGGATTGCTCGACGAGCCTGTCGATGCTTTGACACAAATACTCGTCCGCCTCTGTGGGTTGAAAGGTGGTGTCCCGGCTTGCCTGATGGACCGCTGCTGTGGAGGCCGCATCAGGCAATTGAGACTGAGCAAAGTGACAAATGTGCTCGCCAAATCCGCTGCTGACTTCCAGCACGTGCAGCGCTGAGTTCGATGGACCGAGAGCTCGCCTGCTGCGTCTGCTATCGTCCAGTAGCTGGAGGAAATGAGGCAGAATATCTTGCTTTGTGCGCGAAGCGGAGCCTGGTTGACTCCACCTGTCTCGGTACTTGTACTTGCACACTTCCTCCACCCTTGCAACTTCAGCATGAGCACGCTGCTTCATTCTTCAGGTGCGAGTCTGACGTTCAGTATGAGCGCAGTTGCGTTTCGTTGAGATCGGTCTCTACAAGGAATGCTTGCTGGCAAAAGTCATTTTTGAGAGGCCGATACGAGCGCTGTTGAGTAGTGGGTGGTGGTAGGTGCATGGTGAGTGCTGCCATCAAACGAATGCCTCTTGTGGTGCTACCAAAGCGGATCTCCGCGGGGCTAAGACGGGGCGGCGCGAACATTCGTGATTGGCAAGATGGGACAGGCTATAATGTAGCTGCAAGCGTGAATCTTGAATATCACGAATGATGTTGTTCCATAGCGCGGCTTCCATGGTGATTGTGATTGCTGTATGCATCGACGATTACGACGCTCAGAAGCACACGAGGATCTGTCAAGAACCGCAACGCATCAGTCATCTCGTTCCCCCCATATTTGAGCAGGCAGTCGCAGCATCCACGGATCAGTCGTCTTCACTGCCCACCATCCGTCAGCGCTGCTTGCAGTCCTGGCTTGACAACCTATAGCCTGAATCACAATACCTGCAGCACTTCGATCATGTGCTCTCGGTAGCATTTTGAAGTGACGACGCGATTGAAAGGCGGGGATCACTCAGCGCTTTTGGCCTAAGCTCGGCCAAAGATGTCGACAGAGCTGCCGAAGGCGGCACTCGCGGAAGCGGCCGACCACCGCGAGCAGACATCTTCCCAAAAAGATCCAGTAGCGAACGTCCACAAGAGGCAAGTCAAGAAGCGCAGACGTCGAAATGCTTCTGTTGCTTCCGAAGAAGAGCAGAGCAGCTCGCAAGATGTTACACAAGTCAAACCCAGCACAGAGGTGTCTCGAGCGGACTCTCTGGGCGGTGCGCTGACCAGAGCGTTGGTAGGGACGCTTGCATTTGTGTTCAGAGCACCGGTCAGGCTCTTCAGACCGGTGAAGCTTAGCTCTTGGTCTTTACTGGAGGCCATGGCCAAGAGGGATGGGAGAAGTCTGTCGCTGCGATATATGAGGCAAATCATCAAAAGAGAAAAGGTGAGTGCTGTTGTTAACAGGAATCATTGCGAATAGAGCAGGCCAAGGCAAGCATCGCAAGAGCAGCACTCGGCAACAGGTGGCATCCTGCAGCATCTTGTCTAGAAGCCGCGGAAGAGACTCACACCGAAACGCGGACAAGAAGTCTCGCGCTCGCTCACTTTGCATCTCGTCTTTGGCTTCATGTGCAGGCATCTTTTCTACCGCATCTCCTCATCCCTCCACTACTGGCCAATACCGCTGTAGGCTTTGCGCTCTTCGAAGCATACACACTCACCGAGCAGAGCCTGCTCGACAGGAGACTAAAAAAGATCTCCGAAAGGACGGATCGGACTGCAAAGCGACCCGCATTCACCCCTCTTCACATCGTCTTCATGAGTGGGTTCGTAGCGGGAGCTGCTCAGTGCGTGGTGAGCGCCCCACTAGACAATGTCCGACTGGTGCTCTCATCCAGACGAAAGCAACATGGCCTGAACCCGCATCGGCCTCACCTGATAAGGTGGAGAGACGTCGCTCGAGCTGCTGTCCTTCCTTTTGCCCCGGCCACAACGCACGAGCGGCTGGTCAACCGAGTTAAGGGGACGGGCAGCAGCGCTAATGTAACATGGAGAGGGGATTCTTCTCAAGTCTGGTCCGCGGAGAATAGAAAGGAGTTGGAGAAGACTCTCAAACGTTGGAGGGGTGGAGTGCACGGAGCTGGACTGATTCTCTCACTCGCTCGAGACTCCGTCGGCTTTGCTGCCTTCTTCACCGTCTTTGAGGTGTCGCGACGATTGGCACATCGAATATCGAGGTCCATCGATCGTAGTATTGCGTATTTCAATGCATCTTCTGCGTTGCCTAGCTCGGCTGGCGTTGAAGTTGCTTCGACCGGTGATACCAGGACGCCCTCCAACCATGCCTCTCAAGACGTTTCTTACTCGGGATCGAGGACAAAGTCGGGCCGCATTGTAGCTGCGTTCATCCTCATCGTGGGTGGTGCAGTGGGCGCCGCTCTTTACGAGCTGGTCGGAAGACCTGCCGAGCTGATGCGTCTTGTTGTGTGGGAAGGGCGCAAGGCTTGGGAAGAAGGTAGAAGGAGCCGCAAAAAAGGCAACGGGACAACACATAGAGGGGCTTTGAATCCTTTTAAGAGACGCACAGGAGCTCAACTTGGCGGACGGAGCAAAATCGTCGGCGGTCGAAGACTTGCAAATCGCTTACAGGAAGAAGTTGCAAGGGTGACGAGGACAGGTGGTAGACTATCCAGTTATCTGGATTTAAGAAGAAGCAACTCCGCTGGTGTGAGCGCCAGCCGTGTGTCTGCGTCTCGACTGTTGAGCCGACCCGCTCGAGTCAAAAGAGCCCGGACGAAAACTGCGAGCTTGACCAATCAAGTTTCAGATGGGAACATTCGGCGACCCAAAGCGCCAATGGTTGCAGACGATTCACATGGCCGTCGACGTTCTGCTTCGTCGATGTCCAAGAACCTGAACCGCCTCGCCATCAAACCCAGACCTGCACGGCCTTTGCATCAAGCGCCTCCGCCCCTTTCAACTCGTCCTACAGCAATGTCATTGCTGGTAGAGCACGCTGAGCGCACAAGTATCCTCAAGTACACCTCGTCTCATCGCTCCAGCACGACGCCCGTGCCAGTGCCCATCTTGCTTTTGCACACATACTTCATCGCGCCCTTTCTCGCACTCTCGTCGCCGCCCACCATCGGCAGCGCACCTTTGCAATCGCGATTAGGTACAGACACTTTGTCAAAGCGCACGTTCGCTTCGAGACGCGCTCCCGTGGGCACGTCTAGAGAAAGAGCACCGGAGAGAGCGGTGAGGGAGAGGTGGACGTTGAAAAATCCGGTCGTTGCCGCTCCCGGGAGTCTCAAGAGCGCAGTGGCTGCCAGGAGCTGGGGTTCTGGACGCGTGGCTTGGGCTCTAAGAAGAGTGAGTACGCCGCTGTTACGCGACCGTTGCGGTGATTGACGCCTACTGATCATTGCATCCCTCGCCGCCGGCATTCTGCTCCGTCCAGCTCGCTACACCGTGAGTGGATTCTGACGTGCAATGCCCCTTTCCAAAGCCTGACTGAGCATCGATCTCTCTCTCACACACAGATATGGCATTGGCTTTCTCGCCTGGGCTTACGTCAGTGGAGATATTTGAAATCCTCGAACACAAAGGTATGTCAAGCTCCTGTTCGATTCAGTGGTGCTCCTCCTGATGCCATTGTTCAACATCGCACCTTGTATCCTATCGCCGCTTTGCACCTGCATGATAGACGGACGCGGCAACTCTTTCCCCGTTCATGATGCCCATCACTTCCACGAGCGTGTGAGCGCATGATATTGAGGTTTCATGACACTGCCAAGGAAGGTAAAATACACGCTGTGCCCCTTATGCGACCCAAGCGCGCGCAATAAACTCAGAAAGACCAATGTCGTCTGTGGAAGAAGGGCAATGGAGCCGGGCATGAGCATGTAACTTTTCGAAGGAACAAAGTATCATCATCTACACTCACTGGTGTTGAGCTCTGCCAGGTACAGCAAGAGGTGGGGACGCGAAAGGGCACCTGTCAGTACTCCATCTGACTTGCACATCCGGCTGAATGTGGGCGACCTGGTATCATGCGAGGCCCGCGTCGCCCTCCTTCCCGAGGTCTTGCATGAGATCTTAAAAGACCACAGCACGCGGAGCACTCACCGTAGAGTCCGACCAAGCTGGCTACTGTAGCAGCGCGAAGAGTCCAAGAGACAGTAGGGCCGATGACGGGGAACTTCCTCTTGTGCAAGTAATCCGCAATGATGCAATCGAATCCGATGTGGGAGTGCACGATGAGGGACACCGCCAGTGCGCCATCCAGCAGACCCGAGCTACCATGCTTGACCATGCCAGCTGCTACGATTGGCAGCAGTGCTACCGAAAGTCCTCGCTCGAACAGCCAGTGGTAGGAACCGTGAGAGGGGGCGGGAGGAGGGTAGGGAGTGGGATCGTTGACTGTGCCCTTGATGTATGCTATCGGATAGGCGCCGGTGTGCAGCGTCAGTAGCCTGCCGTCTCCGCAGCTTGAGCGGTTTCATGTTGACTTACAAGTGGCAGCGTTAGGCTGCACAGCTTGGGCTTGGGTGGGTTTGGTCGAAGATGTAGCGACGGCACGGCCTAGGTGTGGACAAAGAAATACAGCATCAGCATCACGGTCCACTCTTTCGGGCGTGATGAACCATATGCATTCGGCCTTCCGATGGTGGGCTCGAGAAATTCCCAAGCCTTCCTCAATCCTTTGATCGTGAGCCTGTTACCGCGTCGTGATGACTCACCGGATGAGAAGGCTCGGGCGCCGGAGGCCATCATGCGAAGCTGCGGATTGGAGCCCAACATGCTGAGCTTCAGCGATGTCTGACTGAAAGCCATCGTGCTCTGTTGCTGTGGGGGAAAGAAGGATGTCCGAGGCTCTGACGACTGCTCCAAACCGAGAGTAAAGCCTCGAGACGATGACTTTGCCGGTGAACCGCGTTCGCGATAAGCTGCGCGCGCTCAGGGGTGTAAGGCGGCTGCAAAGTAGGCCAAGGGCTGCCGTGGACACCGATGTGAAGGGACAAGGTGGTCGAACGGTTCACGAGGCTGAGAGCGATGTAGTCAAGAGCAGCTTTACTCAGACCAGCAAGCCAGGCTTTCCCCGCATCGGTGCTGAATCCGATCACCATGTCACGGGCACGGGTCCACATCTCGAGCTGCCATGTATGACTGCTGCTGCTGACACCGCGTCTTTTGCCATTGGCTACTCCTGCTGCCTCTCCAGCGCCGACCGCACGCGCGCGGAGACCCCGGCTGAGAGTCGGCGTAGCCGGGTCTGCTGGTCCATGATGTTGCGTGTGCGCGCACGTGGCTCCCAGCGTGACGCACAAGGGTCGGTCGGACCGTGGGAACTGCACGCGCCACTTGCCGCGAACAAAGCTCGCTCAAGCTAGCTGTGTCGATGTTACCCAAGTGCCTGATTCCGAGCAGCTGAGGTGCGTTCCCACTCACGACTTCCTACACCTATAGATGGCGGAACAGACGGGAGCATCGACAGCAGCTCGATTAGATGATGTGCTCATAATTCCTCCGATTGGCAACGTCTACGCGCACGGAAGGACGACACAGTCACAACATCTCCTCAAAGCAAGTGGAAAGTCGCGCTTGGTTGCGTGACCCTGGTACATTGAAGGGGGAGGCTTCCATCCGCAACGCCCGCACTCCGAGTCAGCAGCTTGAGCTCATCGCCCAGGCACGTCATCCGGATCGCTCCAACATCAACAACACGCCACCTCGCATCGTTGCAAGATGCCAGCCTCGTATCGTCGCATCGACACTACAGACCCTCGTCGGTTCGATCGAGTAGTGCCTTTCACCTTGCCGGGCAAATGGGCAGACGACTCTCCAGATCTGTATGAGATGCTACTCAGCAGCTCCACTGTGGCCTCCGGAGCTGCAATGCTGACCAGACAGATCCCGGTCGCGTTCGTTGGATTGGTGCTCAGCGCTGCGCATGTTGCTCATTACAAGCCCCTGCAAAAGAGGAGAGAGGGCTCGCAGCAAGCTGGACCTTACATGGGACTCGGGTGAGTTGGACGTCCCAGGGAAACAAGCGCTGCAAATGCCATCTCTTGGCGCACCAGCGTACTCTGCTGCTTTTCTCCCTCTCAAGACACGCGTGCTCACACCACCTCATTTCAAATTTCAGTTTTGCTCTCATCGCCCTGATAGTGCTCATTTTTCAAAAGGTGAGCTGAGAGGTTCCTCTGCGCCAAAGGCATAGCGCATTCGCTCATTCAAAGGTTGCCTCTTTCTGGAAGATGATCGGCGCGCCTGGCTTCGGTCAACAATTCTTAGCACAGCAAAAGCTGAAGGCTACCTAAAGGCGCTCAGCACAGTCACGCAATGGTATTCGTTCGTCCCTTTCGCTCAGTTTGCGCTTGACACTACTTCCAATGGTTTGATGGGCCAGCGCACACCCCACGCGTGCTCACTCCTTCTGAGGCTGTGCCTCTCCCAGACTTTCGCTGATCTGTTTCATAGCAGGTCTCAGAGTAATGAACCAGCGACTCTGACATCAAGAAGCCGAAGCAATCAGCGGCCAGAGAACGAGATCGACAAATCACCAGTGTCGAACTCACCTTGATCGCTGTAGGACTGCGACCCATCAATTCGGCCAGCTTGGCTTTTTTGTGCTCGGGAAAGGCGGGTGGCTGGTCGTCGAGAGCCAGAAAGGCGAGTAAGAACTTGCGATCTGCAGGGGCGGGCATGAGTGGAGGTGAGGTACAGGGTCAGCACGATGGAGTCCGACCCGAGATCTTGTTCCATCCGTCCGGGAACGACAGCCGGGTTCTCCTGCACGCATGACTGCTCACCATCCTCTGCGCTCCAAGCCAACTTGTTCTCGCATTTGCCTTCTTTGATTTGCTTGGTGGGCCTATCAGGCGGCGCGTCGCCTTCAATTGGTCGTTTGGGTGGCATGTTGAATACAAACTTGATGGGTCAAAATTGTGCAGAATTGGTAGGAACGACGCCTTAAGATCTTGAGGCAAAGGAGATCAAGCTGATGACGAAAGGAAGGAGGAACGCGCCAGGGCATCGATGCCAGCATCGGCTACGCGACACCGAAGGCTGAGCTGGGGTCTCCGGGTCTGATTGAGGCTCATGCTGCATCAAGGCTGGGTGTGCAATCGAGTCCGGCGCTGAATTGATCGGCTCTGCTGATCCCTTGGCGCGTTACATAGAGCAGTGAGTCTGAGTGCACACTCCCCCTCCAATCCAGCCTTGTGCAGCAGCTGCATATATGCTGCGAGAAAGTCTGACAGGCGAGCGAGTGCGCTTCCGAATGCAATCAGTCATTCTGATTGAGTCCAAGTGCATTCGACCAATTAGGCACGCCGAGATTGGACCCTGGGTACCGCAGACTGCTTCATCACGTCGACCCTCTCTGTTCTCATCAATCACGTCTTAGCACACAATCCCAACGGCGAGGCGAGGCAAAGTCGTCATCTAGCAAGCTATCAAGCATCAAGTGTGGGCCAATCACAGTGATGAGGGGCGAAGCGAGCTGCTCAATCTGTGATGATGTGGTCAACTTATTCTTGCACAAGGCTTTGACGCGCTGTTCGCCTCACGCGTCGACAAGCACTAACGATGAATCCAAAGCTTCTGGTGTAGAAGACCGCATCCTACCTCCGCACATGTACGAGTCGATCCAGCATCTCTTCCACCATCACACTTTCTTTGCTGACCCACCAAAATCGACACCATGCCACCGAGACGCAAAGGTGCCGACGCTGAAGCTTGCCCCTCAGATGGCTCTCAAAGCGACCTTGGCGAGGCGCTCTACACTTCAAAGGTTGCAAAGGATGAAGATGATGACGTGAGCCCTTCTGATTCGAAAGACGAGGCGGATTGCAAGCCCTCGCCGCCCAAGAGGAAGAAACTCTGCAAATCAACCGAAAATGGCGAAGGTAGCCGAGCGGGGTCAAAGCCCGCTGTTTGGAGCGAAGCTGACCGTGAGTGGGATCGCTACGAGGTAGCCGCATCGCCTGATGGCGTCGAACACCTCCATTCGCCTCTACTTTTGCCCTTTCGCCTCTTCCACCTCCAGAAATTACGGCTCTGTACCTGATGCTCGGACTGGATGGAGACCACACGTTGACCAAACGCAAACAGACAGTCATTGCGAATGCTCTTGGACGCACAGACAAGGCCGTGGAGGTGGGTCAGCGCTCTTGCAAGTCGGATTGAATCAAGCGGTGTACTCACCGACACATTCAATTTTTGAATGCTTGCTTTGCAGCACTGGTGGAGTAAGTGGAGCCTGACTACCTCTGGGCTCGGGCTTCAGCTCACATTGCGTACTACCACTGCAACGAGCAGACACCAGGACGAAGAAGAAGGTCGCCGAGACTGTCGCACGCTTCGCAGGCAAGTGGAGCAACTTCCACTGATCTTGTAAGTCAGACTTGCTTCGAATGGCGGCGCCGATCACAGATAGCGCTCTTGGCATCGTGTCTGCACTTTCAAGAATCGCGACGGGCGGGCTTCGTCACATTATCACTTGCGCAGCTCATTGCATTCGCTTTCCTTTGACGTGATGAAGATGTAATGGTTCTGGAGGAATATGAAGATGGAATGGTCCTGATGGAAGGTGGCGAAGCGAAGCCTCATAGAAAGACTCACCTCGGCAAGGCAAAGTCAAAAAGCCCGCCGAAACATCAGTCCACTCGGTCTCGAACTCAAGAAGGCATGCCGAATCGATGCATGTGCCTCGCATAGATTTACCTCAAGGCTTGAAGAAACAAACCACAATAGAGAAGCCCTTTTGACTCATGACTTGGCATGCCACTCTCGATGCTGAGATCAGACTGTGGGTGGGTGCTTCCAGTCTCTCAGATTGCCGCCGCGCAGCTGGGTACACACGATTCAAGAAGCGATGAAATGTCATCAAAGTCATTCATTGAGATGAGTTCTTCGATCTGATGATCTTCCCAGCATGCAAGTCGAGAGGCTTGAAGACGGACAAAAGCTGCACAGCTGTTCTCGTCGTCTGGCCTTGCTTGACACAGCGCCTGTGATGTGCGACTATCTTGGGTAGCGTCAATCCTCGGCGTTTGATTCGAGCTTGTTGGTGAGTCGACAGTCTCGATTTGAGAGCCCGTCTTGATTCTAGACTGCATCGTTGTTTTTACTCTTTACTCTTGCTGGCATTCCCGATCTCATCGATGACCTTCTGCAAAGCAGGTCTAAGCACTTTCTTCCAACGGTGCTGGTGATGCCCGAACAGGCGCAAGCTTTTGTCAGCAATGCTCCAGAAACAGCGGCCACCGCTTCTGATGCGCAACGACTCACTTTGACAGCTTCCTCGCTGCGCTTCGAAACGAGCGTCATTGCAGCTCGTTTCTCTTCATTGAGTACTGGCATGTTGCCATCCGAAACCAATAGGGCAAGAAGCAAATGCTGGTCTATTGGCCGAGCAAGAGCCGTGTCTATTGTAAGCATGCAAACATCTTGCAACGCATACTTCTCGCTGTTGCAGAGTGCAGGTTCGAAGCTCACCGTCTTGCTCAGTCCAGGAAGCTGGGGCGGCCTTGCCCTTCTTGGGACTCGAAGTGGCGCTGGAAGGAGTCGGAGACGGACTGCGTCGCTTAGGAGCCATGATCTCCTCCCGTTGATGTATACGTGAATGAGTCGCGGTGCGCCGCTGTATAACAAAATCTGAATCGCCAGTGATGAAGCCCGGGATGGAGGTTGAGCGGCCCTATGTCGGCGGTGGAGCATAAAGCATTCAAGTTTCCACTCGGCAAGGATAGGTGATGGAGCGAGGAATCATTTGACTACGCGTGTCACAGAAGAGGGCGGCGCGCTGCAACAGCAGTGATTGAGTCGCAAAACACGATTTGCGAGGCGGTGCGATCGTGGATGCATATATGGCATTTGACAAAGTTTCATCGCCTGTCTACTTCATCGTTCTTGAATTTGCACACCAATCGAGCATGTTTCACCATAAAATTTGTCATGAGCCCTGCATTCTTCATCAAACACCGCCTACACAAGCATCAGTCGCGGAGATGGAAGCCATACATGCAGCTAGGGCATCGATTCTATACGAGTTGAGCTCAGGGCAGAAATTGCTTTTGCTATCCATCCATGTTTCATCACAGCCCAAGAGGGCCGTTGCATGGATTGATGATTCTATTCACGCGCCCGCTGCCAGTGCAAGCTTGATCTGCCACCGCAAAGCTTACCTTCGATTAATTGGGCCCGTGGTACAGCTTGACAATTTGTAACGGAGTTGCCTGATCAACGCTGCAGTGGCTACCACACTTAAGTAATGGCGGCTCTGAGACACAAAGCGATTCGTACTTCATCTTCCCGGGAGCGCTCTAGAGACATGCGTGGCCGCACTGACTCGCCTGAAGCCTGCATGGCGCTCTGCCAACAAGGCTGAGACCGTTAGGAGCAGCGCATGCTCTTTGTATGTGCAGACCTGTCATCTTTGGTGAGAGACAGAAGCATGAGGACAGCTTCGAGCCAAGGAAGTGTCCAGTAATCGTGAGGTTCGGTGCCAAACTCTACTTCCCGCTGGTCGAATGACGCGCCACGAGTGTGAGTGGCCCCTGTCGATCCTGCTTTCCTGATGAGCGCCTGCAGGAACGTTTTCTAGACCTCACACTCTCCCATCTATTGCGCTATTGACCAAGTTGGAGTACACGTAGGCAAGAATTTCCGATCATCAAGCATCCTGACGTTCCGGAGCTGCTTCATCTGCATGGTGACCACTAGCAGAATGCCACCTAAACGCAAGACTCAAATCGCTCCGGTAGCAAAGCGATCCGACTCTGACATCGAGAGCGATTCTCCCAATGAGAAGGAAGAGAGCGGGAGAAAAAGAAACAAAAGACAAGAGGATGACTTTGTGCCTTCGCCTAGCGAGAACGAGGACGGTGATGCAGATTTCAAACCTAGCCCTTCGAAGAAGTCTGGATCTCGTGAAGCTGGAATTGCAAGTGCTACCGCTTCGCCTAAAGCGAGCAGCAAGTCGAGCGCGTGGAGCGAAGCCGATCGTGAGCAACGAGTTGCACAGCGCCAGTGAAACCAGCTCCTAGAGCTGACATTTTTTGTTGCGCCAAAGACATTACCGCCCTGTCGTTGATGCTAGGTCTTTCAGGTGATCTCAATCTGACCAAACAAAAGAAGGATCTGATCGGAAAAGCGCTGGGTCGAAGCGACACTGCGGTGCACGTGAGCGAGGAAGTCGCCCGTCCATCGAACCAAGAACCTTCCGCACGCTGACATGCGCTTCCTCTCCACATTCACCTCTCTTAGCACTGGTGGAGTAGGTGGATTGTGAGAGCATGCTTCGAGGAAGAGCTTGGCGCTGACGCGCTCATTTTTACAGATGGAAAGACTCGCAAGCAAGTAACAGATTTGGTTGCACGTCTCATCGCGGAAGCAAAAATGGCCAAATGAAAAGCGATTCTGTTGTAAGTATGTCTGGTGAAAGGATAAAGAGCTCATGCAAGGGCCTTCCCTGACAACGAGCGCTCTCTTGACTGTACCCAAAATCAGCTGCACTCTTGAAGGGCTACTGAGTAAGATGAGACGGGAAGCGCGACCAGTCTCGGGTGCCCGCCCATACCTCTTATACCAACGATGACGCTGAAGCGCGGAAGACAAGACGCACTCCCAACCACTCTCGTTCGAAAGTCAGCTCATCAAGCGTGGCGTGTATCCGTGAACAAGGCGAAATGTATTGTCGTGTTTCACGCTCATTCGGTGTGTACGGCAGTGTCAAGCGCAACTGCTGCTCCAGTGGCTTCTCTGAAGAATTTGAAAGAGGTAGAATCGCGCCTGATCGAGCTACGCGATGACCATGTTTTGAGACTTCGCATCAGGCCTCGCCCTGCTCTGCCTTCTCCAAGGATTGCTCATCGAGATTCTCGATCATCTTCTTCACAGCGGGAATGACGACATTCTTCCAACGTTGCTGATGAACGGGCATGCCTACGTTAGAGTGATGGCCAAATGTGCGATTACGCATGCGTGAGACAAACTCACCCTGACCGCTTCTTCGCTCCTCTGAGTGGCAGATGCCATGGCGACTTTTTTGGCTTCGCTTAGAGGGGGCGCCTGGCCGTCCGCTGCGAGGTATGCCAGCAGCAAGCGACGATCTGAGTCGAGATGCCACGAGCGGACAAAGGCATGAGCGCAAACAACAAGCAGATTTTCCAAGGATCTGCTCCTTCTCTGGCGCCACCTACCTTGATCATCGGTCCATGAAGGTGCCGCTGCTCTCCCCTTTTTGGGTGAAGAAGGAGCGCTCGAGGTGCCTTTGTCGAGCGAGGGCGAGCTACTGCGTTTTTTCGGTGCCATTGTGCGTGTTGAACGATGCTTGCACAATGCTGTGAACGGCGATGCTTTTGAGGCCGAGCTTGGAATGTGATGGGAGCATGACCCTTTGAAACAAGTTTTCTTCGCTGAACAAGAGTAGGAAGGTGCCTAGCTTTTGAGGCGACAGACAGACAGGATACACGCTCGCTCTGATGGGCAGAAGTCCGGGGGCGGGCACCTCTGCGCTGGGAGGCCATCCAGCACTTGATTCTTTTGGCAATGTGGACGACTGGTTTGGCGCAACACGCGTGAACTCTGATTCGTGACTAATTGGGTCGCTATACTCCCACATGGAGCGGTGCCATAAGCCTAGGCCGCTGCGACTCACGACTGGGGCTTTGCGCAGCCCAGCCAGCTATATATACGTTACTTATCAGCGATAGTCCCAGTGCTAAATCCTGCGCGCAATTGCCGGCCATGCCTATGCCGCGCTGTTCATTCACAATTTCTGCGACATTCGATATGGAGCATAGATATATAGGCGCTGGTTCTGCGTTGCAGATTCACGATTATGATGGCCGACTTGATCGCGCCTTGAGTGGTGGAGTATACTCTCCATCCCTGCAGCGATGTGTACAGGTGCACCCTCTGCTGTCAGCTTGCAGTCAGAAGAGTCTCAATTCGTGATTGCACGACATTGATCGCGCTGATGCCTTTCTGATGTCTCCGCTTTGCTTTGCGCAGACATCAGGGGCAGACTCGTCGATGAGACACGCTGCACGGCTTGCTGCAGACGCATCCCATGCTGATGAAGCTTGCTCTCGCATTCAGCTAGACGCACGCGTTTGTCTGTTATATGTATTCATGTACAACGCCCACACGCAATCACAGTCTCGAGTGTACCGCCAAGAATAGTGAGCCCTTCTCTGAGAATCACGAATGCGCTTGTATCGACCGCGCCAAAACAGCCTGCACACACAGCAGCGCGTCGATTGCTTGCAAGTGTGCAGCAGGCTAGACTGAGCGCGGAAGGGCGCATCCCAAATCGTGAAGATGTGAGTGCGTACACCCACATTCATGATTGGTGCTTCAGCCTGAGTTGCGACAAGTGATGAGGTGCATGTGTGGTTGTGATTCAAGAACGCGCTCACTGCGTTGATCTTGAGCTGTCCGCCACGACAAAACACACTTTGGCGTGATCTTAGCACGTGAAACATGTGAGATATGTTAGCACGAACCTCTTGAAGTCCCTCAATTCCAGATTGGCTTCTGCGTGCTTATTGGCATGGCAGCTTCTTGCGACCTGTACCCAAATCATCGGCGGTCTTTCAGGCTCATTGCCAGTCAATGATTGGCCACTGCGATCTGCGCCCGTCTGCAGTAGTAGTCATAATACTGACCAGTCCTTTCTTCCGAGCACGCCTCTTCCGTCTACCACACTCACCAATCCTATCTTGCACCAAAGCCATTCATCGTGATCCAGCAAAGATGCCTCCCAAGAAGCGCCCCCTCACGCCGTTGACCGACGAAGAGCTCTCTGAAGACGACCCGTTGACCAAGGGCAAAACGACTTCTGAGCGCCACCCGAGCATGCAGCAAGACACAGAACAAGGACAGGCATTCGTACCAAGTCCTGCACCAAGTGAGGCCGAGGCGAAGCCTGCCACACCAAAGAAAAAGTCTCGATCGGCAACAGCCAGCCCTGCAACGCCGCGCAAAGATGTGGGTTGGAGTGAAGCAGAGAGTAAGTCATTTGGGTGGATGGATTTGTGCTCTTGGTGGCGTGTCGACGAACTCTTTTCCTCGCTCCGTGCAGCTATCAAGGCGCTGCTCATCCTCTTCGCCTCGGATGGAGTGCCTTCTGTGACCAAAACCAAGAAGACTGCAATCGCGAACGCTCTGGGGCGTAGCGAGGCGGCTGTTGAGGTAAGTGAAGACGCCCAGCTTCCGATGAGATGCTCTTTCTGACGCTTTTTGCTGTGTGCTCGGACTCGCGCATCAAATAGAATTGGTTTCGTAAGTCAAGCACAGCCTCACTCTCGTCCACAGGTGTTTAAGCTCTGAGTCCTCTGTCTTCTGCAGACAAGCGAATCAAAAGGCAGATTTTGGAAATCAACACCAAGGCCGACGTCGCTGCCACGGAGTCTGGGCCAAAGATATAGATGCGGAGCCTTTACCCGTCCAAATCCTCGAAGCTCCGTAACAGCGTTGGTGGAGAAAGGCTGAACAACACCGAAATGCAGCTAGGTCGATGTAGCCGGGCCAAGCGGAGAAGAGAAAATTGCACTGCGAGAGTTATGCGCATCACGCTGCACTCCCCGCACGTCGGATCCGACCCCGCCGCAGTGAAGAGAGGTCGGATCGAGAGTCATGCACGATTTCAGAGTCAAGAGTCTTGTGCTTCTTCAGGCGATGCTTCGAATGTCTTGGTAAAACCATCGTAGCGCGATGTTGAGCCTGAAGTGGTGACAAGACTTTGCAGCCATGATTCCCATCATTCCTGACTGGACTTTGACAAGAATGATGATCATACCAACTTGACTGGTTTGTACGACGACTCCACTCACAACTCAAGCCTGCTGGGTCGCAAGCGCTCGGCGCAAAGCGGACTCACGACTGCGTCGACCGTGGATGTTGCCGCATGCTAGCCCGCTGCTGCACGCGTGCGCCGCATCATGCAGCTACGCCACTCGACTCGAGCCAAAAGTTAAATTCACGATTCGTATAGGTCAACGCGCGATGCATTTTGATTCTTGATTCAAAAATTCACATTCACGATTTCACGATTCACGATTCGTGATGTGGTTGCATGGTGACTCACGACTGTGACTGCTCTGTACGGGTGGTTGCACACGTACGGTACACAAACTAGCTGCCATGCATGCGATTTGCTTTCCTCTGACTTTCCCACCATACGTCACGTCCTTCACATCCATCTCGACCATGCACGGAGGACGTACTTCACTGCTGAATCAGAATACAAGCACGAGGAGGGGCGCTTTCGGATCTCGAGCAATGATACTTTTCAATCACGAAGTCGAAGCAGTGCCAACGCCGCTGTCATCCCTTATTCGGCTGCGGCCAAGTATGGTTCGATGTTCACAAGTTCTTTGCATATCGGCGGTCGCTATGATGTTGTGCCTCCCAATCTCCGACATAATCTTGAACATTGATTGGCACTGCGAGCATCGCATCGTTCTACGTCTATGCAATCATGAGATACGACGTTCATGAATGCAGCGCTCTCATACACGACTACTACTATAGAAAGGCGTGTGGTCTGCGTCCGCACACCACATACACCACATGGCGCAGGGCACTCGTGATCGCTTGTCGTCTGAACCAAAGTCTTGAGTCAAAGATTGCAATTCCAATTCACGATTGAAACAAGAACAAGCGAAAGGGCTGCTCGGGACGCGTCATAAACCTGACTTTGACTGAGCCTACTCAAGACTCTTGACTCGATCATGCGCCTAACGCATCTTGATCCAAAATTGCGATCACGAATGCAACGGATGCTGCCTATAGCTGTTGCATGGCACAACCTTGGAGTATCTAACGAGTGAATCAAGAATGATACAAGAGGTGATTCTTGCCTTTTGCGTCTTACCAATCTCAATTCACGTGAATCTGATTACCTTTGATAGAAAGTGTGATGTGCTGGCTGACACATGTGTCAGTGCAATTCGGATGCACCCTCGAATTGTGAATGCAGGTCGAATGCAGCTAGGGTGTCGACTCGGTCATAGGATATCCCTGCTGCAATTTACTTCAAGTTGCTCGGGAATCCTCGACCGTGAGAAGTTGCAATCGAGGGGCAACTCTTGCCCGCCAGCGCATCGCGGAGGCGGACGCGCCCAGCTAAGCCCCTTCTATCAACAATGCGAATGGTGATTGGCTTAACGTCTTTTGATGCACATCATTCAATCACAATGATTCGTGATTAGAGGGACGAGTTCTCCCCACGTCGCAAGGCACAGCTATACTCTTGACTGTATCGTCTCTGCAGATGGAATTCAAAGCGTCTAACAGCTTCTACCGTACTGCAGGCGGATGGAATCATCTCCATTGGTGCTCCCGTCCGCATCCTGCACACGCCTCCATCCATTCTTTGCATCTCCGCCGGTGATTCCACGTCTAAGCATCAGCGCACTTACTGACACCTACACCTCCTCCTTCGGTCTTCGAATCGCCTTGCACCGACATGAGCTCTCCCAAACAAGCAAGTTCCTCCTCTCGTAATACGCCAGGGACTCCAGGTCGTGCAGCAAGCGGCTGGACTGAGGGTGAGAGTGAGTCTGCATGGACATTGTCGGACGACGATAGCACGGAGTCAAGCTTGACATGCGATGTTTTTCCTTCAGCTACGCAAGGCTTGCTGCTCATGCTGCTCGCTAGCGGCAATCTCTCGCTTAGCAAAGACAAGAAGGCAATCATCAGCAAGATGCTGGGTCGCAGCGAAAAATCTGTCGAGGTGAGTCACAGTATCGCTCAAGCATAGCGATCGTGTGCGCCTCCCAAGGCTGCAAAAGTACTGAAACTCTTTTCCCCTTCTTGTGCCTTTCACGGACAGATGTGGTGGCGTAAATGATGAAGAGTGTGCCTCGGACAGCTACAATCAGACGTACTGACACCAAGCCAATGTATTTGCGTCGCCGTCGCTCCCCAGATGGCAAAATGCGCAAGCTCTTGTCAGAGCTGGAAGCTCGGGTCGGCAAGGACTGAGGGCATCGAGTAGGATGAGATTCAAGTCGTGAGTGTCGTATTCGGCAAGTCTCATTTCTGTTTAGTAGCTTCCGCGCCTCTCTTCGCTTATGCAGTCCAGCCGTGCTTTCAGTAGGGGCTAAAGGTCCTTACAATACATTCCTCGACTTTTGTCAGCTTCCTAGCATTGGGCAGAGAAGCCGCCGGCTTGCGAACGCAAGGTTTCAGAAGCTCATACCATCAGCAAAGAACCTTGCCGCATCCATGCTCATAGGACGTCCCGCCTGACGTAGTCATCCCATCTCCACATGTTCACCATGCAAGGCACCCCGGCGCATAATGTCGCATGGCCAAATGTCAGCCACCTTGATGCTTGGATACATCTTCCTGTCGTGCTCCACATGATGCGTGGGTCTGAACGCTAACAACGTGAGCCTTCCACTCCACTCAGAGAGGCTGAGAAGACTTCTGGGTAGGTCGCGCGGTCGGGCAATTGATCTGTGCGCTTAGTATGCATGCGGCTGAGGCAGGAAGCTCCGATTCGCGCTTGACATGCGGAGTGAACACTTTGATTGTGCTCCAGTCCGAGTGAGAGCTGACGCCGACAGAGGCGACAAGTATCGGATTGCGGTTCACCTGTGGGAGCGCCCTGCAGACACCGATCCACGAAGGCAGCGTGACTGTCGTTACCGCTTACGAGTCGCGTTTAGGGCTTTGGGCGGCTGTAAGCGGCTAAGCGCGCAAGTGCTTGCTGACTGCGCCGGTGGATGTTGATGTCAATGAGTCTATCTACGTGCTGCGCGTGCTCGCCATACATGACGTGAATGCTCTCAACCACCCGCATATATCTTCCGAGCAGTGATCGTACTGCTGCCGACCACCGTACGCACCAATAAGTCGCCCACTGGAATACCTTAGAGACACTCGATCACCGCACTGTCATCATCGACCATTCCATCAGACCATTTCAGCAGACAGATCGACATCATGCCGAAAGAAGAGCCACATACCAGTCCTGCAAAGCGCGGTACGCCATCAAGTCAACCTGCTTCGCCTTCTAAGCGAGTCGCTGGAACCAGCGGAGGAGGTGCAGGGCCCAAGTGGACGTTGGAGGATAGTGAGTCTCGATGGTAATGACTCCCATCCTCTATCCTGACCATTACTGAAGCTCGTAGTCCTCTCTTCTTTGACAGAATACACACTCGTGCTTGGACTGTTGCACCTGAACAACGCGGCCAACCTGCCCGAAGCTCAGCGCACCGAACTTGGTAGGCTGATCGGCAAGACCCCCTCTGCAGTCAGTGTGAGTGAATGAGGCTTGAATTGTATGCAGTCGCATGTCTGCGCAGATGGAGATTTGATCGATGTTCACGCCTTCACCTGCCTGCTCCGCTTTCTTCTCCTGCAGACATTCATGTGTGAGTGTGAAGCACGGAGGTGCTTACCGTGTCCTTTAGCTCAAAACGATGCCCACATCCCAAATTTTAGACCGTGGACTTCGACAAGATATCGCCAAGCTAGAGAAGAGCTTGAAGGATCAAAAAGGAGGGGGAGCAAGCTAGAATGAAGCCGCAAGCGGCCAAAAGGTAGGAATCTCTTTGGCACTCCCGAGTACGCGGTGGATGCATCGCTTTTGCGTGCGATATGCATGCGTTCTCCATCTTCATGCACGACGTCTCTACGATCATTGTGATTCGACTGCGCTTGTGACTTGATCGCCGAGAGTGTCGCAAGTGGGTGATGATTTCTGTGATCAGCATGATCCATGTGTGAGTGATGCAAGCTAGGCAGCGTCGTGGTAGGCTCCCAGCGATTGTGTAGCTATAGGTAGTCTGAGTCCCATTTGTGGATGCGTTTCATCAGCATATATAGTTCGGCGCACGTGCGGGTCATACACGCGCGGCGCGACGCGAATCATGGATAGAGTTTCCAGCAATCGTAGATCCATCGTGGTGAGATATGGTCGAGCACCGCGCCGGAACCTTGTACGCTCCCGTTCCTCTTCCCCTCTTCCCCACTTCGCCGATTTGAATATCAACTACGGCGTGTTCGGTAGCCAGCACGACACCCAATTCGTCTTCGACGCTCGACTGTCTTCATTGTCTTCTGCTACCATCTCGCATGCAAAGAATGAGCAGCCCACGCAAACGAGTCAAGCAAGAGCCGAGTCTCGACAGTGATGGCACCCAGGGACCGCCGACTCCGTCCAAGGTGGCAAGAGCATCTTCCAGATCAGGAGGCACCTCAGCTCCCGGCACGCCCAGCAGGTCCAAAAGCGATGCAGGGCTGTCAGCGGCTTGGTCCATTGAGGAGCGTGAGTAGCACAAGCAGCGTGCCTATCTGACCGACACCTGCTGACCGCGTTCCACTGCTGCTTCATGCGCCAATCGATCACAATGGAAGAAAGACGAGCTTTGCTGGCATACATTGCGCTCCAAGGCAGTTCGGGCATGTCGCGCGCCAACGAGGAAGCGATTGGTAGACTGCTTGGCCGAAGTGATCGCTCTATCCATGTAAGTAATCGGGATGGCCTCAAAGCAAACGCTTGGTTGCATTCAGACCTGGAGCGCTCGGCGTAATTGCAGCGAAGAGTCATCCGGCACGCAGGATTCTCGCTTACTCAAAGTTCCCCGCGCTGCCTCCATCTCTTCTAGAATTGGTGGCGTGAGTAGCTCAGCAGGAGTGGATCGGGGCCGTTCTTTTGCTGACTCTCTGCTGCTAATTGCACGCCAGTCAAGATCCGCAAAGAACTGTCGCAGGTGGAAGATGAAATGAAGGCGGACGCATCCAGTAGCTCGAAGAATTGAGCCGAGCACGACTAGGAAGCAGCGGTCACTTTCCGACTCAATTCGGCGCACAGGAGCACCACGCATGGCACTGATCTAGGTTCGTGGCCGGTGACTTAAAGGTTCTGCTGAGATATGTAGAGAAGGAGCCAAAGGTACTATACGATAGGCTGGAGACGCGCGTTGCTGGGGTCGAATTCGATATGGTCCTTTGATCGTCCGCAAAGGTGGTGCAAAAGCTAAACAACTACCCCTGTCAAGGTTGAAGAGGAGCCTTTGGAGTGACAGGGCTATTCTCCTCCCATCCCCAATCGAAGGGCTCCTGTCCTTGACCTGCATTCTCGACTTTGCCACCCTGTTCTTCAATCGATTTTGGCGCCTTTACTGAGTCCGGCGCTGGTGTAGAATTTGAAGCAGGGCGAGACGAAGAGGAAGAATCGCGTGCATTCGCAGATGTATCGAAGGGTTGTGAATGGAGTGAGGGGTTGAACGAGTCCGTCGTGTCGAAATGATCGGGATCAGGCGAGGGAAAAGAAGAAGTGGCAGAATCATCAACATCCGGCTCTTTGTTGAGTAGTAGGCTATCCGCTTCCCTTTCGCCTCTACCGGGTGTGGTGCGCCTCTCATCAACGTACTCTGGTCTTGACGCTCCGCTCGACTGTGCGGGCTGTGAGCTCGCCCCATCGGCTCGCCCCCTGTCTGGGCGAGCGCGCCTCACACTTCCTTGTCGAGAGCCGAGCATTGGCGAGCTGTCTGCTTCCAAAGATCCCTCTAGGCCCTCCTCTGCATCATATGTGGACAGTATTGCTTGTGTCTCGCGCCAGACAAACCTAGAAGAGGAGTGAGAATGAGTCTCAGCTTCCAGACAAGTTCTCCGCTGTCCACTCCAAGAACTTGTGTAGCAACGCCAAAGACTCACCATCCAGTGGCAGCTCCGATGGCACTGCCTCCGAGGATGTATGCTATGTTGAGCATACGTGCATGCCAGTCCAACTCTTGCCGGGCGCCGCTGTCCAAAAGCTCTCTTGTCCTCGCCCCTACAAAGCAGTGCAGCAGCAGCTTTGGAGTGATCATCGCTGTAGCTACGAGGAAATGAAAGAAGCTGACAGACTCCATGGACTGAGGGTGAAGACTGCATTTAAGCGTTTGCGTATCCCTTTACAGGCAGCTGTTTGGTTCCGACTCACTGCAAAGAAGAGGTTCGAGTCTGAGGCCGAAGAGCAGGCGACCAAATCAGTGCCTGAAGCACTGCCGTTTAGTACAGGTCGAAGCGCCGTACTCACAACAGAAGGGGAAGGGGCTGAAGCTGAAGCGCTCGAATGGGTCCGCAAATAGAGCAGCCGGTGAGCGCGAGACTGCAGGAAGGACGGGGCTGCTACCGACCAAGAATGTGGCTTCCACTCCAGCACTTACCGTATGAGCACCACCATGGCTAGACCCTTGTCCCGGATAGCGAGCTGAACGGCATTCCACCTCCGATCATCCGTGACATTCGTAATGACTTTCCAACTCTTTCCAGGACCCTTGACGATGAATCTGAGCAGAGCGAAAGCAATGCTCGCCCCCAGCAGACATCCAACAGCGGCCAAAGTCCAAGCCTCAAAAAGGCCGTGTGTTCCCTTGGGCTCTATGGACGCGGAGCCGTATGCCAGCCCGCAAAGCGTGACGGCACTACCGTATCCCGGAAGAGGAGGTATTGAGAGTATGACGAGAGCGCTCAGGAGATAGAGCTTTCCCTGGCTCGACGCAGAGATCTGACTTGCAAGGCCGCCCAGCAACGAGGCAATCTTCTCTGGTCCTAGAATCAATGCCGTCAACGCCAGCCCTCCATACATGGCACCCAATGCAAGTACTGCCAACCGCGCTCTGAGAGTCGCAGCTGTCCACCATTCTATCGACGACTGAATTAGCCTTTGCGCGAACGCTATCCACCAACCAGGAGATAGCAAGGACCTGAAAGTGGCTTCACCGAAGCGGGAATTCATGCCCGATCCAGCTGGACGCCAGGCGTGAGTCTGTTGTCGCCTGCTGCAAGGCATATTCAGCCAGCTGGGAGACTTGAGTCGCGAGCCGAAATGATGGGGGGACCCCTGCACAGAGCGTTTCCTGTCGTCTCGCTTGGAAGAGGTTGGATGCTGGTCTCGTGATGCGCTTCTGCGCTAGCCTGATCCGCTCCGAGAGCCGAAGCAGGGCCGTGTGCGGTGTGAACAAGCCTCTCCTTCTGGTGAAATCAGCGCACTTGATCGAAGCCAGGCTGCGACCCTCCAGGTGGCTGCAAGGCTAGGAGATGGTGATGGTCAACGGGCTTGATAGAGGCCGCTTGATGGCACCTCCCCAGCGATTCTGATGACTGCAGGCGCTCGTTAATCGACAGGTGCGCGCTGAGCGTCTAGTTGCACCGCATGGCTCGAGCACCAGTGGGCATGCATGCGCACAGCTCACGTCGGCAACGTCTTTGCGCCCTTGCTAGGCTCTCACCCCTTCACGACTCCTGCCACCTTCTCCCACACCGACGCGCACAAGTGCTGGTTGCTCTGGTCTGTCGATGTGATCACGCTTTACTCCCCTGGCAAAAGTTGCGAGTAGATGAGCCAAGCGGAGAGCTCGGCTGCTGGTCGCTCGGCTGGCGCTGGAGGAAGCAGGACCATCTCAGCGCTCTCGCAAGCAGTGTCACAACTATCGCGGACGTCACGAAGCGGGCAGGATGGAGCGGGCTCAAGCTTGGAAATCGGCGAAGATGCGGACGTGGATGCATACATTGGTCAGATGCTCTTGGAAGATGCCAGAGCTCGAGCAGGGGGGTCATCATTCAGAAATCGCACCTCAAGTTCCGCACCTTCTCAGGCTAGAGCTGCCCCAACCAACAAAGGCTTTCTCGCCAGAGTGATCAATCAGGTAGATGGTCACAACAGAGCCGTTTTGGCCAGACAAGGCCACTCCGGTGACTGGTCCGAAGCAGAACAGAAGCACCTGCGAGACAGCACCACTTCCACCTCTTCGGTGAGGAGGCCGTCTTCCAGAGAAAGAGGGGGCGAAGAACCCCTTCGCTGGGCAGATGTGCAAAGCGACGGAAGACGCAGAGACAATCCGCGCAAGGCAGAAGCGGGCATCTTGGATGCTAGAGAGCAAGAGTTGAAAGCCAGATTGACAAGACCGCGAGCGGGCGATGCCGGGAGCCCCAAGTCGGAAAGGGGCTCGGAAACTCCATATGACGCTGTACCTGAGGAAAGCCAAGCTTCAAGTAGACGTCAGAGATTTGTGCAGCAAGACGACATCCATCATCTACCCGACCTTTCGCGCGAGGACGCAAAATCTACTCGGTCCAGGCGCGGCTCACATCACCGAAGCTCGGATGCACCAAGACACGACGAGGGTGACCGAGCCGCCCGTCTACCGGACGCTGAGCGCGAGCTGTACAGCTCCAAGATGGATCGCTACTTCGAGCCGGATTACGATGCCGCGCTAGATGCTGCTCACGTGGGAGATGCAGGTATAGAGGATGGTCAAGAGGGCGAGATGCTTCGCGAAACGGGTTGGGAAAAGATGTGGGAGGTCGTCAAGGAGCGAAGAGAGCGAAAGGAGAAGGAGGACCGCGAGCGAAAGGAGCGTAAAGTTATGAGAGAGCAAAAGAGACGGAGGAGGTCAGAAAGGAAGCAAGACACAGAATCACCGGTGGAGAAGGACAAGACGACACGCTATGGTCGCTCCAGACACGGGTCCCATCGCGGTCACCACAAAGAAGGCTCTGAAAAATCCGACCGCCATCTACGTGACAATGAACACTCGTCGCGCCACGAAGCTGGCGAGAAATCAAAGTCCAGGCGCCATCGAGGCGCCTCGCCTGCTTCTGAATCCTCATCAGACTCACGAAGAGCTAAGCGAAGCAAAGTGAGAGGGGCGCGACCTGCGTCGCCGAAGATAAGGGAGTGGGACACGGGCAAGCCGAGTGGGGTCTCTCCACCCCCGGCAAAAGTGAGAGAATGGGATATGGGAAAGAGGAGTCCGTTCTGAGCTCGCGCTGCTCTATCCGAGAGCGTTGCTTCAGTTGAATATTTCCACCCAATGATCGCGAAGTCAACAAGAAGCGGTCAGACTTTTCTAGCATAATGTACAACATCATACAGTCAGAAAATGCATCGCCACATGAAGCGTGCATCGCGTTATCGCGACTCAGCGCCGTGCATAGTATTTCCTGGGTCACGTCGACGGCCGACATGGGGATGGGAATTAGCAAGAAGAGAGAAGGCGCTATATTAGCAAGTCCGAGGTTGTGTGTTCCGAGTGCAGTGCCCTTGCATGCTGGTGGGGAAGCTTTCGTTCCGAGTGGGATCGACCGAGGGCGTCATCAAGACTTGCTTAGGCTTCGGTGCTGAATCAGCTATGATACGATTCGATGCAAGGGTGAGGAGGCGCGCTTCCTAAGATTAGAGAGAAAGCCTTGCTACGAAAGATCTCAGCGATTCTTGGCCCAGACTCCAGCATCTTGAAAGGAAGAGATCATCTCCTCAAAGCCGCTATCGTCCAGCCTTCTAGCAGGCTTCCAGCCAATGACATTCTTGATCTTGGTGGTCTCGAGCGCGATCGTCCGTTGAGCGACGGCTTCAGTGTCCAAAAAGAGCGTAAAAGGCGTGCTCGTGATTTCCGTCTGTGCCATGATCTTGGCGACCATTTCGGAGTGCTACAAAGCGAGTGTCAATGACTGCAATCAGCGCCAGCTGAAACCGCAGACGCTTCATCTCATCGCTATCACTACTCACCTTCTCGTTCATTTCATCCACCACGCTGCTCAAATTCAGCTTGGCCCAGGCATTGATAGCGGCATTGACAAAACCAGTTTCCACACCAAAGAACGATCCGATGGCATCTAGCAGCTTCTGTTGATTAGTGTCCTCATCATCCGCCACATTAAAGACCGGCACAGTGGGCACTTTGGCTCTTGGACAGCAGTTGGGTAGATCCTGATTCCACTCCACGTTCAAGCCTTTCCCTTTGTCCCTAGGAGAGATAGCTGGCAGCTTCTCTCCCGCTTGTGAATCTGCGGCGGCTCGGTCTCGTTGCGCGAGCCAGCGAGCCACGCTCCAAGCAGCAGTGCACCAATCTTGGGAGTGCAGAGTGTTGAGTCTGAGGTCTCCGCTCCACAAGATCTTGATGGGTTCCTTTTCTATCCTGTACACCTCGCCGAGCGCTAGTCTAGGCGGCAATTCCCCATGGTACTGAGCTGGACCCCAAACACCCGCAGAGCGCAGAATGGCGGCGGGCAAACCTTCGATGGATGCCACAGCTCGCTCTGCTTCGTAGTAGAAGTACGCTCGGGGTCCCTTTGGGAGTGATCGTTTGCTCACATCCGACGACTCTTGGATCAAGCCCTCGTCCACTTTCGACTTCCAAAAAGGCGGGGTATCCCTCACGTATGCTTTAACACCTGCCTTCTGAGCGAGAGCTGCGAGCGATCCTGCAAGCTTGACCGTGCGCTCGAGCAGAAGCTGGGCCGGCACGTCTGCATTCAAGGAAGCAGGGAAGCACGCTGTCAGGCTTGCAAGCATACTGGCCTTCCGATGCCGCTTTACTCACCACTGCTTACGATCCCTTCCCCAGTGAGGTCGAATGCGAAGTCAAAGGGCCCGGATGCACTCGGCTCAAATACGCGCGCCGCGGTGGCTACAAGGAAGGGGTGCAGCGATGAGAGACTTGAGACGAGTATCAGATGAGGTGTGTGGACTTACCAGGGATGTTCAAATTCGCCTGCTGATACTCCACGCGAGCATCCGAAATTGCGGCGATGGTCGGAGGGTCAACGAATCTTTTAAAGTGGCCGAGGAAGGCAATTTGTTCAGCATGTGTGCCCCGGCGGCTCTCAGGCTGTCATGACCTCCTTTGCGACTGCGCCGTGATGTCCAAGGGCTCGGCCGCTTTCCTTGCTGGACAGGCGCAGCTCAGACATGGCAGCGGACTCGCTCCTCTCCTTTCACGAGCCAGAGTGACTCGAGTCGACTCACGTGGAGCTGCCCTCTTTGGCGATCAAGAACTTGTCCACCATGCGGACATGCTTCACTGTCGGTCCACCCAACCTAGCCGGTTCATCCGATAAGAGCCAAGCGAGCAGCGGACGAGCCAGATGGGTCACACCGCCTAGGATGAGCACGTTGACCTCCGAAGGAAGCGAATCTGTCATGATGACAGGTGATCAGCAGGCTGAGGGAGCGCACCTCGTGGATTTAGAGAGCGGATACGCGGTGAGGTTATCCCGTGAAGAGGTGAGGGGATGGAGATCGGGTCCAGAGTAGTAGGACAATAGGAAAGAGAAGAGGTCAGGGGAGGATCGAGTTGTGGATGTGGTGAGCGTGAGAAGAGGTGATGGTGGTGAGCCACGTTGGGCTGTCTGAATCGTGAATCGAAGCTCTTCAAAGCTGTGCTGGTGCTGCGTGGAATGAGCGGGACCGAATGAGCGGGCAGCATGCCGCCGCTGATCTCGACCCACGCAAGGCGAACCTTTAATTGCGCATGATCGAGCGCGCACCGTCAGCATAAGCGGCCGTGCGAGCGGCCCGAGCGTAATGCGCCTGCATGAAGGGAGTCACAGTCGCGATTAGACTTTGAGCGCGACGACCTGGGGTGCGGGCAAAGCGACGCAGAAATTCATGAACAGTGACCCAATGGCCCCTGCAGAGCCACATTGACAGCGGAAATTCCACGATGGCTTGACGATCATGATGTCCCGAAGTCGAAGCACATTCACACGGAAGGAGCGCTCGCAAGGATCTGAGCTGATTCGCCGACTCGCTTCGACCGCGAACAACGAGCGTGAATCGTCACGGCCGGGCCGGGTGCGCGTCAACGAGTCGAGCAAGCAGGCGAGTCGGGTCAGAGAGTACTCGCAACTGTCGAGATTGTGAGCTCGGTAGGTCGAGCCGAGAGGGATGATGCGCATAGGCGCATAGACGTGATATGCAAGGGGCAAGCAGTGTGAGTGTGAGTGCTCACGAAACGGGGACACTTTCGACGTTCTGGCTTGGGCAAAGCACATGCAGCAGCGGAGCATCAATCAACTGATCGACACCCGTGGGCGATGGATGCGCACAGGACACATCGGGTTCCCGAATTTCCGGAACGCAGGCCTTTGGTGCCTGAAATCGGACCCAGCAGACTCGATGCGGCTTGTCAATCAAACGCTGCACTCACGACTTGGCCGCTTTGGCGAATCATTGCGACCGAGAACGCTATTCGCTTCCTCTCGGCTGCTGCTATGTATGGGATCCTCGCATCGGGACGCGAGCAGGCCATCAGGGTCCGGAAGCACGGCCAATCGGAGCACCGGCACGGTATAACAAGCGTACCCTGCCGGACGGGCCACGTAGGCTGCAGCACGCGTTTGATACTCCGATACGGTTACCGACTTGGGCTGCCGGCATCCTGCTGGTGCATCTTGTGTTGGCGACTCGTGACTGTTGCCTTGTACGCAAGTTGGGCCACTTCCCGGTCGTTCAAGCCGGCGGCTAGACTTTGTCGCGAAGCTCCTAGTGGAGACTTGCTCGCATCGCCAAGCGCCGACATTCGCAAGCGACCAAGTGTGGGAATGTGAAGAAAGAACGTAGATGAATTTGACCAAGACTGTCTCGAGGACGAGCAATGGAAGGCTACAGCAGTATGAGCCGAGCAGTGTAGAAAGAGAACTAGGATGATATGTGTGGTGGAGCAAGAATGCGTGTGCATCACGGCAAGATGTGGCAGAGATATTGTCCGAGTGATGAAGTAAGTCTGAGAACTGCGGTTGAAGAAGCATAGGGAGAGAGATGTGTGCAAAGCCTGGCCAAGGGATGATGCGCGCTGCGCAATCGCATGTTGGCCGGTGAGGGATCGAGAGGTGCAAAGAGGGCGCAGTCAAAGCTGCGTGAGTACAGGTGCCGGCAAAGCAAATAGCGTATAGCTATGCAGCTCGAGTCCATCAGAGGTTCTGAGACTTGTAGAGAATCAGATCGCTGGTCTCGGGCTTGGGCTCTCCAGCAAAAAGAACACCAGTCTTTGCGCGGAAGTTGAAACCGAACTTCTTCTTGCCGTTGCTCTTGGAGGCTGGAGAAATGACATAGTTGGTGTTGTCGTAGGCTGATGAGGCAGAGACGGGGACAGATACGGCCACGATGAGCGCGAGCTGCGATGTGACACCTCATGCGAGCAAGGCATCCTTATCCCCTTTCCTCCAGACAACGCCCACTCACTCAGTCCGTTCTTGGCGCTCTTGGTCAAGCGCCAGAATGTGTTCTCAATCTCGGCATCGTCGGAGACAGGGCAAGGCTTGGCAACAAAGTTCCACTGAGCGGCGTTCTCTGCTGGCGTGAAGGGAAGGGGGGAGAGGTGGAGGGTCAGGGGGCAGAGTACCTCACGCAGGCTGCACACCATCTTGGGCGTCACTGTCGAGAGCTGATGGTGGTTGCCGTGCCCATTCCAAGACCCATGGCATCCCTACTACGCCTGTATCCTCCGCCTAAGACGTGGAGCGGGTAATGAATCACTCACTGGTGGACTTTGTGCGCGTCAGGCAGGTGCCGCGCTCGGTCTTCAGCTGACCGTAAAAGTCGCCCTCTGCGGACTTTGAGTTCTGCAAGCCCATGTACTTGCTCTCGCAAGAGCTGAAAGTCAATTTCTGGCCATCCTTTCCAACTCTAATCACGGCAGCGAGCCTGGCTCCGTTCTGCTTCATGGGGCTCAACCAGAGTCCTTGCAGCTGTTGACGCTCCAGGCGAAGAGTCCATTGGCCTGCTGCGAGGGGCTTGCAGCTGACTTGCGAAGACGATGTCGAGACTGCGTCTGCTTGAGTTGGTGTGATGGGCATGGCCAAGGCCATGCCTGCCGCAACTACGGCGAGCAGGGTGACGCGAAGAGATGCCAGCATATTGAGCGCGAGTGTGGGATGTGTGTCGATTTCGGAACAGAATTAGGGCTGTTGATCTCGCAATAATTCCCAAGAAGGAGTGACGAGATAGGCTCTAGCGTGGAAAACGTAAGAATGAACGTGGGTGAGGGTTCCGAGGACAGCGTCGAGGCGAGACTCTGGGTCGGCAGCGGTCAGTGAAGCTTTAAGAGTGAGAGCGAGTCGTGTCGCGAGTCTGCACAGGTCGTCGTCGCTGCGATGCTCGATGTTGGGGATTGTTCACCGTCAAGATCTCTGACAAGGGTGAATATTGTAGATGGAGAGTGATGGGCGGAAATGAGGGTCAGGAGTGTATTGAGTTCACTATACTCAGAACCAACTATACTCTGACTGGTGACTAGCCGCCGTTGACGATTTGCACGTCAGATGAGGCGTGCCCGCGACAGTACGCCCCTTACCACGCAGGCAGGCAGGCACTTTGACAGTGCATGCCTGTCCCACACATGCCGCCCTGCGCGCGTAAAAACGCGCTGCGTTCATTTGGCTTGATTGCCGCTGGTCTGATGCCGCAGCGTGGGTCTCGTAAATGCAATAAGCGGTTGGGCGCACACGGCAATCTACATCACAGCACACTTGTACACAACATGCAGCGGGCTGGCAGACAAGTCGCGGCGCGAGATCGACGTGGGCGGCGTTTCGCAGCTTGTACGGATAGCTTATGCAGCATGCAATTATATATAGCGCGTCGAGCGCGCGTAGTGTGCGGCGTACATCCGCGTTATACCTACCCACAGGCACCGACACATCACATCAGAGATCACCAGCATCAGGGTAGCGACATTGGTGATTGCAGAGCAGGCCGCGCAGCGCAGCGCACGTGTTGAGATAGCACACTCACTTCGTGCTATAATCCAAAGAAGCCGGCTGCCTGAGATGATGGGTGATCCTGACAGGCGGTGGAACACCATCGCCGTTCGTCTCTGCTGCACTCAGGCCGCAATATGGCCAGCAGCGCTATAGCTGTGTGCAGCATGTCTCGTCGTGCAAGGTGCAGGGACAAAGTCATTCGTTAATCATTGCATGATGACCGCACGGAGATGCATCGCTCACGATGCACCCACCGCGGTACCCCGTGTGAGAAGAAGAAGAGCACCTGCATGCATGCAGCATGGCGAGGTGGCGCCTCATGCTGTATGCATCAGGTGAGATGTCTGGCAGTCTTGAGTAAAGAAACGACTTGCTTGTATTCCAGATACTTATTGCTGGTCCATCTCGTTTGAGATTTCTGATTGGGATGCTAGCTCCGCTCAGAACGCCCCGCGCTTTGGCGTGCAGCTCCTCGCATGCCAAGACCGATCGATCAAGATCCGCGCGCGAAAGTCTTGAGTCAACAACAGCAGCTGCATCGCACTCATCAGACTCTTGACTGGTGACTATCGTGCACCTGATGATGACTCTTGACAGTCTTGAGTCTTGAGAGTCAAGAGTCAGCATGAGTCACAGTTTTGAGTATATGGTCAGTCGTAAATAGTCGCGAGTCTTGAGTACATGGCGCAGTCAAGAGGTGAGTCTTGAGGGGCTCTGTATTTACCCTTCAGCAGTAGTAGTCACGCTTTATAAGCACCAGCATGCATCTTTCATCAAGTGCTATACTAATCTAGCCTCAAATAAAAATCACTTTTTTGATTCAAATTCCTGCTGCTTATACCCTTCAGCCAAAACTATCGCGCGGTGTCACGTGAGTAAGCATCGTTGTTGATTTTGACTAACTTATTGCCTTGCATCACGATCGAGTAGCATTCACATTTGAACGCGCTTCGCAACCATGCACCTACCTACCTACCTCTCGACCCCACCTTTGGCTGACGATTTTGCGACTTGTTACTTGACTCTTGACTCGGCTCGGCTCACCACACGGAAAGACTCTGGTTCGCCTACCTGTACGCACCCCATTGTACCAAGCCACCGCGGCCCTAGCCCACCAGCAAGCAGCAGACTCATCGCCATAGGCACGGCGAATGTCATCCATGTAGCGCGCATTTTAAGCGTGATCCAGTCCCCACAGAAGTATCGCTCGTTGTTCACGATTCGGGGGTGGTTGACCTTAGGCTCGGCGACTGCGCACCATCGCAAGGCGGTACATGTCTCGCCCTGCTCTCGAAACCGAGGGCTAGCACCGCAGATCACCAGCCATCCGTGCGCGCGTGCTAGCCAAGCGCCATTTGTCAATCCTTCTTTCTTCTAGCCCTGCTGATCAAGGCAGTCATCTAAACACTCGCTCGTCGTGACTGCACACGACAGCCACTCTCAATAGGTGAGACTGGGAGCTGTTGCGCGGTATCTCAGCAGCTACAACCTCTGACAATCGGAGCAACTTGTACTCGACCCACACTGTGGTAGGGCAAGACATCCCAGACCTCTGTCCCCCTTTCTTGGTGTCAGAGAGATCAAAGATACAAGCCGCAGCACTGGTCACTAAAACGCGCGATGGAGATGGATACAGACACCACCGTACCGACCTCTCCACCCGCAGGGTCAGCTTTAAAGCCGGAAAACCCGGGCGCAGCACGCCGTCGAGAAGCGGAAGCCTGGCTGGAAACTTTCTTCCAGAAGAAAGGTATCAGCGCGCTTTTTGACGGGCTCATCACACATTGGAGAAGCTGTGATGGGCCCGGTCACCCACACTGGAGGATGTTCAAAGCCTCTGCGAAGTTGATTCTCGGTATGATCCATGCACATGGCATCGAGGAAGGAGAGCCCGACTCAGTTCGTCGACTGATGCGCGCTGATGGCAGAGAGATTGAAGGTATTGAGCGGCGCATAGAGACGACAGATGCTCAATGGCTCAAAAGACGCAACGACCGCTTGGAGGATTGGGATTGCTCAAGATGGCACGTGCTGAACTCGCTCTGTACGCTGCCGCAGAGTAATCCAGCCATCAATTCACAAAGGCTAGAGCTGGATTATGACAAGCTTCAGCGGGAATTCTACGACCAAAGCTTTCTGGGCGACCACGACGCCACCTTTGCTGACGTCCTAGAAGGCTATGAGCGCCAATTGACCCCAGGACAAAAAGCGGCGGTGGAGGAGATGCCGACGGAGCAACTGAACCAACCTAGCGAAGGGCAAGGGATGCACAATACAACATCGAAATTCTATCATTCGCGGTCTCTTGCCATCGTGCAAAGCAGCGGCACCGGCAAGTCTCGACTCGTTCAGCAATTAAATGGTCATACTTTTTCAAGACCGGAAGGGGTAGCCGTTCATCTGACCTTTTACCTGTGCTTCCGTCGTAAAGACGAGGATGGCTTTCCTTACGGCGACTGGAGATTCTACAAGTGGGTATCCGAGGACCTCTTCCATGACAGTGTGCCGCCAGACTTGCGGACGCGCTCGATGCTTCCAATTCTCTACAATATTCGCTGGATCACGCTCTTCAGAGCCATCTATCGAGCGAGTGCTGAAGAAGTGAGAAAAATCGAAGGCCGCCAGAGCAACGAAACGCTTGCGGAGGAGTGGAAGAAGCGTTCCGCAGCTCCTACAGAGGTGCCCGCCGGCTCGCGCCATGAAGCACACCAGTTTGTCCACCTCTATAATCAGACAGAAGTACAGGCTCAGGATCTTTGGTCGAGCGTCCTCGAGCTTGCGACGAAGTGTAACACCGCGGCTGATCTTCTGGCGGGCGAGCGTAACTTGCTCTCTGTGGACGCCGAGGAGTTGCGAAAGCTATTGGCACAAACTCACGACGATCAGGTTTGGTTCCACATCTGCTTGGACGAACTAGCTAATGCCAGCTGGTCAGGTGTCCCGCGGGAGCCAGCCGGCACGACGAACCAATTCGCATGGGTTGAGGATCTGCGCGCTCTCTTTTGCCCCGACGAAAATATCGAGCTTCCACCTCGCTTTTGGCTCATAATGCTTGGCACCAATGCTAGCTTTTCTGCGCTCAACCCAGCGGTGCACGAAGCTTCATCTTCCCGTATCTCGCGCGGGCAACTAAAACATTTTCCGCCGTACATGCACTGTGTCACCAATGTCTGGCTGGCTAATCATCCCACAGAGCATGCGCAGATCATGCGGGCCTCTCCTTATGCAGCGAGCCGACCCCACATCTTAGCATTGTGGGGAAGACCATTGTGGAAATCACTGGTGGAGTACGAAAACCCTCTTCATCCGATACAGGCAGGCGCGCGCCTCGAACTCTGCGGAATCGGCTTAGCTGTTATACTTGGGAAGCTGCTGCGGCTAAGTTTGCGTGCCCCTGATCTTTCACGATCCAACCTCGACAAGGGAAGACTGTTCGCGCTGCTGAGTCAACGCATTGAGCTGGACAACGGGTCCGAGCTGGATAGCTTGTACCATCGGCACGCCACCGCAAGCGCGGCGGAACAGAAGAGGCAAGTAGATCGGCATCTCCGCGTACTATGCGACGCGACCGAAGCAGGAGACGCAGTAGTAACTTACACGATGTGCGAGCCGCTAGTATCTCATATGGCGGCTGCTGTCATGGGCAATGCAAGCCCGGTCAAACCCGGCGATGACGTGAGAACGCTTTGGGCAACTTGTTGGGACGCACTGCACTCCTTGGTATCGACCCAAGTGATTATGACCAGGGGGTCTACGGCGAGATAACAGCTCAAGGCTCCTAACCATCTCGAAAGACGCTGCAGAACGTCCCTCCCCCAAGGAGCTCGGGCTGAAAGAGAGCCCAAAATTTACAGACCCTGCGCACCAGTTTGTCAGGCTCGATCATTTTCTTCGGGCTACATTCAATTCGGACGCGATCGACAATGTGCAGGATTGGCAGCAGCTGCTGCAGGAGAGCAGCAAGGGTTGGGTCAACTTCACCCGCTTCACGCATCGCTCTAGGATCATCAAAAAGATTCGCCGATCTGCGCTACACCAGGCCTGGTTACGAATGACCGCAATTGTAGGTGCAAATTGTCAGGAAGCGTGGGACCTCTTGATACCGGTATATTGCGGTCACATTCAGGCAGAGATGCAGCCTGAATGCTTCACATTTGTCGAAGTGCAAGTGAAATCGCAGCAGAGGCCTGTCCAACTCCCCATGACGCCGCCGGAGCTGTTGAACAAGATGTGCTGTCCTCCAGTCTCCCTACTCCTGAACGTCGGGACAAGCCTTCCAGGCACCACTGCTATCCGCCTGGCATCATACCCCAGCGCCGCAGCGAAGCGACAGAAGCAGAAGTGCTACCGAATTACCACTCTCGGGTTTACATCGAGCCAACCACCCAGGCTTGTCAAAGCTGATACCCTCGCCTGCCGGACTTGAGAACTTCAGCATCACAAAGCATGGTTGGACCGCCTTCGACGACTGGGGGTGGCAAAAGCAAAAACTGCATACAGACACGGCCCTCGCGCTCGAAGAAGATGTCGTCGAGCCGTACCACGCTGAAGTTGATCGTCTCCTTTTAGAAGCAGAGCGCGAAGGAGAGTCTGAGACTTTTCCTCAGAAGAAGGGAAAGGTGTAAAGATTCGGTGGGCACTTTTGGTCGAACTTGTAGTCTCCCCTCCTCCCCTTACCTTTCCTCCAGCCGCGCTGCGCAATCATCGACTACCAAACGACAAGTCGCCCTGACAAGCGACCTCAAAGATTCAGAGGCCCGAAATCAAATGGTCTTGAAACGTGAATAAGGTCTGCAAAGTCTGGCACAATTCGAAAGACGTCGCTCAGACAGGCGAAATAGCGGAACGTAGCGCTGGTCCAAACGGATATCATTTGTGTGTCTGAGTCTCAGTTGCAGAAGCTTTTTGGAGACAGGCGCGCAGAGCAGGCCACAAGAGGCGACAAGCAGGAAGTCCAGGGACATTAGAAAGGTCGGAGAGGGTATGAAGCAGAGGGTTGACGCCAGTGCGTCTTTGTCGCAAGCACGGCAGCGAGCTAAAGGCCTTGGGCAGGCTGGCTCATGCCAGGTGTGCATTTGAGCCGGCTGGTCCGTTGTGAGACTGATCGGCATAAGGAGGAACGGGGTCGGTGACGTTCAGACCTAGGCCCGAACTCATCCTTCTGCGAATGGATAGCGGTGCAGTGGTACCTTCAGCACCTTCCTCGTTGCCAACGACAGGGCTAGACACCTGACTACCATAGGTGCCCTGATCACCATGCGCTGCAGCCCCAGATCCAATGCCCATTGCAGCCACGTTGCTTGAAGAAGGGTTGCGATTGAAGCCTTTCCTGAAAGCTGCTGCGCTGACCTTTCTGCCTCCTTCGGGCGCTTCGTACCCTCCGGAGCGGAACGGTGAAGAAGTCCTCACAGGGGGCAAGGACGGAGGCTGAAAGTCCGACGAAGACGCTGCTGCAGCGCTCAAGGACGCGAGCGTCGCTGACTGCCGGTTCGCCCCGGGCGAGCTCGGCGCAGCAGCATAGCTGCTTGTAGGCGGATTGTGGCTGTGAGCAGAGCCGTTTGCAGGAGTGGAGATGCGTGGCGGCGCGATGGTCGGGGCATGACTGTAGTACGTTGATTCCGGATCATGCATACCCAACCTGGGTCCAGTCGACGCTTCCGGGGCTGCAGCGCTCTGACTATAGTAGGAGGCAGGAGCTCCACTCGGATCATGCAATCCTAGTCTGGGCCCGGAAGGCTGTGTATCTCCAGGTCCATCCTCGTCCGCGCCATAGCTGATACCTCCATACGCTGCACTGGCTCTGACATCATGAGTACTGTTCTGCCTGCTGCCTGCAGCAGAGCCGTTGGGACGAGCTACGTTATCCTGTTGCCAACGACCCACGCGCTCGTCAACAGGCGTCTGAATGCGCTCCTCAGTCCAAACGTTCTGCGCATCAGCTTGCAAGTGAGAATTGTCAAAGTTGTTGCCCGATTGATGCTGATCTTCCGCTTGGTTCCGAGCGTCCGCGGAACTCCAATGCGCTGCATCGGCACCGGATGGCGGTAGTGTAGCATGTGCTGCGTAGATTGGGGTGCCGTTGAGCTGAGCACCTGTGATGTACGGGTTTGTGTCCGCCGTCTCACTGTCCTCTCTAGCTAGGTCAACGTCTGCATTATCCTGACCGTTGTATGGATTGCCTGCGTCCAAGCTATCATCGGGCAGATGATTGCCGCGAGGCGGTCGGCCGTCCGAGGGGCCAGGTGCAAATCCGACATCTGCAATAAATTGCGTGGCTTCGGAGAGCAGTTGTTCAGTCTTCGCATGCCCATAGTAGGGGGCACGCTGCTGTCCAGGTGTAGTCGTTTCGAGCGGAATCTGCTCGATCATCAGTTTGCCCACCTCGGCAATGATCTGAGTGGGGAGTATCGCTAGGCATGAGCTCATGCTAAGCCGAGCCAGTTGGAACGGCTCTTGGCCCTGCTACTCACAGTAATTTTCTCGGCAAACTCGAGTAGACCTCCAAGCTTGAGGCCGCTAGCCTCCTTGACCGTCTTTCTCTTAAAATCACCTATGTTGGCTTCCTCTTCCAACAGCTCTCTGCTCATCACCTCCATCTCGTTTCTTCGATCTTTGAGATCTGTCGTCGTCTTCATAAGCTCCTTGTTCTCCGGTCCCATCTTTGCCAGTTTCTTCTCCAGACCTTCAATTCTCGAAGCCAATCGCGCTTTCGAATTTTTGAGCTGGGCCAACGCTTCCTCGCGAGTGCGAATAGCTTTGAAGTGCAAACGTGTGGTGGCGAGATGAGAGGCAAAGCGAGTGTTGGCAGAATTGTAGTGCGCCATCAATGAGCAGAGCTTATGCGTAATGTCCTGAACGTTTGCGGATGCGCACAAGTGATTGGGCGACAGTTGCGTCGCTCAGTAAGTCTCCGGCAAGCACAGTCCGGCGCGAAAAGCACTCACTGCCAGATCCTCGCCTTCCGACTCTCCCCACGACTTTAGCGATTCCGCACTTCGCTGCCAGTCGCTGCCTGCACGAGCACCAGACTTGATGAATTCCTTTTCGTTGGTGATAACATCCTGCAGCGACCTCAGATCCTTGTTGCCCAAAGCAGGTAGCGTGGATGTGTGCGCGATTTGCTGCTGCGCTCTCCGAAGCAGCGACATGTTTAAAGTGACGAGTGTTTGTCAATGGATGGAGACACCCAGTCGTATATGCCTAGATAAGTCTGTCGGAAGTCGCTTCGATTCGATGATCGAGTGCGATGCGATAAGTCCGACAGGTCAAATTGGGTCCAAGACTGATGGTGAGACAGGACGGCTATGGATGTCGTAGTTGACAAGGTCAAGTGGCGGCGGTGGTTTACGCGAATCACCAACGCGTCGCTCACGATCAGTCGTGAATCGTGGACGCGATTATTTCGATTTGGGTCAGGCAACGGAATCTCGGTGCATACATGCAGCGCCGTAGCCGATTGAAGGTTGCGAAGTGCGCCGGAAGTGCGAGGAAGCTTTGCTTGACAAGTGTGAGTGCTTCGCCAAGCTAGCTGTACCTGCGACGATGTGCTCCAGCCTTGTTGACACTCACCATGCACTCTAGACTGCCGCTGTGCTGCAGTTTGATGAGTGAGTTGTGAGTGCGTGGCGCGACTCGCAGTCACGAGTGCTTGTGCCTCCGCGCGCCTCTCGATCGGTGCCTGCCGCATCACAGTCCGGCCCTGCATGCTGAGGGCTCGGCATCAGGATATGCCAGCCTGCACATACGCGTGTGCATGGGTGATGTGGCTGTGGAGGGATTTGCGTCATATCGCCTCGCCAAAGCCTCGACACGATCTTGAATTCACCTGCCGGCGAACCCGCCGGGTGAATTGTGAGGCTCAAATCATTCTAGCTTCTATTCCCACGTGGTTTCCATCGGGCATCACTCCCAGCTACTCTTGACTACAAATCCTATCCTTGACATTTGAATCGAGATCTCTTGTCAACACTCAGATTGCATGTCTGCTTGACACTTGCAGCACCGCAACTGATGTTCGGTCACACTGCGAGGCACCACAGTGCATGAGAGACCTGACGTCCATCCGACCCGCCCTCATGAAAAAAGCCAGCACCAGCAGCTAGGCAAAGGCAAGATTCACGTTTTGCCAGAACGATTCAGATTGGTGGCCTGACAACCTTGACCATTTCTGCAAAGTGCCCCATTGTGTTACTCACATGCGTCCTTAAAGTTGGTATAGTGGAGGAGCAGGGGTACAAACTTGTGTTGTGGACACAAATGCCCTAATGTGATACTTCGATAAGCAGACAGCAGCGGGACATGTAAAGGGGAGCGTACGGGTCGGCTCGGCATACGTCTGAGCGCTTGTCTACTTTTTGGCTGATGTTGTCGTTGAGCTCTTTTGAGGAGGCTTGGCACCTTCGATAGCATTCGCGGTTGTTCTTTTAGCCGGATCTTCGGCAGCAAGCCATTGATGGCTCTTCTTGGTCAAGATGTCCGCACCTTCTTTGATCAACTTTGAAGCGCCAGAGCTCTCCGCCAGCTTGGTGATCTTTGTGGTCCAGTGCGGCGTGGTGACTGCGTCCGCTCCCACCACCTGGGGCTTGGGCTTGGACGTGGCGCTCGTCGCCGCTGTATTCGATCCAGGTGTGGTCTCAGGCTGGTCTGTGCGCGCAAAGCCGAGCGAAGGCGTGGTCACCGCTTCCGACGGGGGCGTCGCTACATCCCGCACTGGTGCAGATATGCTTGGGTGTGCAGATCCTGCTGTTGTAGGTCTGCTCCCACTGGCGACAGAGGGTGCAAGCTGCCCCATAGCAGCTTTGCCTTCTTCCACGTAAGGCACTTGCCTGTCCGCATTCTCAAAGAGCCATAGCAGTGCAGCTTCCGTAGCAGCTTCTCTTTCCACCTTGGCCCGCTCTGCTCCATCCGCATCTCCTTTTCGCAAAGAGTCCGCTTCTTTCTCCGCTAATGCGGCATCCTCAGGCCGGCCAGTCGCTTTGATGGCACGTTGCACTTGTTCTTCAGTAAATCCCATCTCTTTCAAGACTCGCTCCGTCGTCGGCGGATTGCTCTCGTCATCATCAGGCGGTGGCAGCGGACTGGGCACAACTCGAGCTGGCGCAAAATCCTCACCCACCACCTCATCAGCACTCTCTTCGGCTTCCTTTTCTGCATCTGCAGTCGTCTTGCTGCTCCTCTGCAATTCCCGTCTAGGGCCTTCTGCCGCAGGTTTCGCTGCCAGCGTGGCCATACGGTCAGCTCGCTCGGCTCTAGAACGCTTCACTCTGGTGAACAAAGATTCAGCGCTGGCTCGACTGCTGATCGAAGAAGGCGCATGAGAGCTCGACGGTGACTGTAGAGAAGTGGCATCCATAGCCTCCACAAGCTGTGGCTCGGTCTCCACGCCCGCGCTCTGATCGCTTTGTGACGCGGCAGCATCTTTGATATCCTGCTCCGTCATACTGCAAGCTGACTTCTCTGCACCTGCCGCCCCTTTCACTCCTTTGTCCTGTTTCGGCTTGCGGAACGATCCGAACCATCCCTGGGACTGACTCAGGCCATTCTCTTCGTGGAGGGAGGATGCGGGTGCCTCATCGCCTGTCACGACAAAGTCCTCGAGTGTGTCGGTTTCAATGACCAAGATGTCTTCCAGCTGGGTTGCACGAGGACCGCCTTTGATGCGGATTACTCGATCGCCGCCCATATACCAGCCCGCAGAGCTGCAGGAGCACGATGCAGCGTATCAGCACGCTTCAATGCCAAGTGATCCCGAGCACCTCTTCTCTGAGCTCACCTGACCACGCTTCCCTCGAGCAGGCCCTTGAGGACCTTTTTAGCTTCCTTGACTCGTTTCTTCTCGTCCCAGTCCAGCAGTCCTCCCAGCAGTCCTTGACTTTTCTGTTCTCCCTCATCCTGCACTTTGCTGGACACGCCCGTGTGAGGCTTCTGTCGGCCTTCCTGCTCTGCTGAAGGAGTCTCCTTTTCTGCCAGCCTCTTTCCGGCGATGGCGCCACCGCCGATGCCCAAGACCTGACCTATCTGCACCACGCGCTGACCTTTCCTGGCGTACTTGTACAGTCTCCTGGCAGTGGGTGCGTGGGAAGCGGCAGCAGCTCCCACTCTTGCGCTTACGCTGGCAAATGCAGCACTCGCTCCTCCTGCTGCCGCCACGTACACCGCGCCAGCACCCAGACTTAGCACCGTCAACGTCACGGCGACAGGAGCGGCAAAAGTCTCAAACTTGCTGTAACTACCATCATTGTCTCCTCCCCTATCTATCCGCGCTTCGATGGTGAACCATACCCGACCACAATGGAAATCAGCCTTGTTCCCAGGAAGCACGTTATTCTGGTAATGCAGTGGCGAGATCTGCCGAAGAGATATGTGCAAGGGTAGCTGCGTCTCGTTGATGACCTGCACGTGTGGCATGTTGGGCGAAGCTTGGAGTTGAAGGAGTCGAGTCGTTAGTCGGGATCCTTTGGGTGGCGAGAAGAGGAATGCCCACGACGCTATCTCCAAAGATTCCTTCTGTGCCCACGTGTCAGTGTGCACGAGCGGCCAGGTGTAGAGGACGAAGAAGATGAGGCAAAGGTGGAGTTGTCTATATCGAGAGCCCAATCTTGATTCGCTGCTGAGATTCGATTCGATTGCGATCGACCTGCTTCCTGTCGCTCAGCTGTCGATCAATCACAACCACGAATCACGAATCATCGTGAAAGAAGCGGGAAACAAGGGCACGCGCGCTGATGTTGCTGTGCAGGGTCTCGCGCTTGCCTGCTGGTGCGCAGCGAGCGCTCTTTATCTTGCACCGCCACGCTCGCACGGACAAAAGCGGAGCGCGTAGTCACGTGATCTCGTCGAGTCCAGGATTGGCTTTGTGTGGCTCGTCAGCATCCTTTCTGTTGTAAAGTTGCGAAGCAGCTTTGACGCAATCTTTTGACGAATCCCACAGAGGAGAGGCGAACCAAAATAAAGAATGCGTTTGCCGTCAATTAGAAATGTAAAATGCGCCACAAAGGTGAAACTCGAGGGGCGTCACTTGGCTTGTGCATGGCTGGTCCCTGAATCAGAAGTCAAACGCGCGTGACTTGTAGATGTTTGCCGAGCGAGTGCCCCGCATCCGCTTCAATGCGGGACCCCAGAGTACTGAAAGCTCGTCTATCTTTTAGCACGAGAAGTAGGAGTCAGATTCGAATCTGCTGCAGAGGCTTTGCGTATTGAAGCGGCTCCGATCACCGGCTATGAAGCAAATCGGCCTGCCGCTTGAGTCACGAGTGGTTTCCCCACACTAGACGCTCTTGAAGGTCACCGCCGACCGTCATCATTTGGCATGCGCAAAATGAGGGAATCTTGGAGTGTCGTGCAAAGAACGGGATTCGCGATCCGTCGGGCAAGCTTGACATTGATCATCAGTGCGAGAAAGCGCGAGGCGTATGAACCACGATGCGGAGGAGCACAGGGCGGGCCCCCAAAGGGCTGATATTCTTGCCTTTTATGGTAAGACCAGGGCCCAGATTGTACGCAATACACACGAGCCCGAGCGGTAGAGTTGCAGGCCAAAGGCCCATCGTCAAGAGGCTAGACACGCGAGGCAAAGCGAATGATCTATTCCAGCCCTGTGGTGGGCATCTTCTCCCTCTTGATCGAGGCTATTCAGATTGTTACTTGGGCCTCAGTACACGCGTGACTCGTGGATGGAGGTACAGAAGCGCGGATGTCTCTCTCCTTCACGCCAGGATGTGTGCGAGAAGCCAGCCGTGGGAATGCGAGCAGCTGCGAGCGTGCAAACCAATCGTCATCCGTTCGTGAAGCGCATGGAGCTCGAAGATTGTGGGTAAATCTTGAATCACGAATGTTCATCGAGAATCGCCATGTAGTGGCTGCCAGTTGACGTGGCTCTGTCTCCAAAAAAGAAGCTGGTAACTCCGTCCGCGACCGAATGACTCGTGAGTCGTGACTGCATGACTCACGACTCACGCTGCATGCCAACTCAGACTGGTGCTTGGGATAGGATGACTTTTGCCCGCCCTTCGCATGAACCTCTAGCGTGCGTGCGTTGCTCCAGTCGTGAGTTTAGGGGTCTCGCGCACATCACCTGCTTGTGCGTCATCCGGTCGGCGGTTTAGGAGCGTGGTGTGGGCACATCACGAGCGTCGCTGCTGCCCGCGCATGAAGACACGCGCATGCATGCAGCACGCGCGTAACGCGTGCCCGTCCTTTCAGGTCGTCGCGCGCCCAATCTCAGCAGCACCAGCCCCTTTCAATCGCGTGAATACAGCAGAAACGCGGGCAGGTTTGCAGGAGCACCGCGTTGGGCGCATAGGCAGCTTGTAAGCGGGAGCGCGGCCCGCTGTGGTGGCTGGCGAGGCGGCTCCCCAGTCCTCCTCGATCGATCCCGAGGTCGGGATCGCGGTTCTTTTTCCGCCGTCGGCCCTTCCTTGACCCTTGAACCAAGCCAGGCTGTGCGCTCGCTCTATCGGGGGGCCCTGCGACCAAGAGCCATCATCACTCGTGACTCTCAGCTCCATTGACACAACTTTGCTTGCTGCTGCCGAATCGCTCCATCTCTCCATTATACTGCTCTACTTCTCATCGACTTGGCCCTAAATTGGCTCCTTTGACGACCCGCCGCTCCATCTTGCCAATCCAGCGTATCCTCTCGACCCCAGTCCATCAACTTGTGCTCGACAATAGTGCCGAGCGACACCCATTCGAGCCTGGAGAGTTTTCTCTTTGTTGCTTCCTGGAGCCAATCCTCGCGACGACCCATCACGACCTTTCACGATTCCCGCCCAGATCCGGCCATCTGCTCTATTTTTGCTCCACCTGCATAGGGCGCGAAGGACTTTGGCTAGAACTGACAATCGCACCCTCCTGGTGAAGTCAGGCAACTCCCTTTTGGAACGTGCGGACGCTTTGCTTTGACTGCTCTGCCTTGCTAGGCAGTCAACTCCGAAGTCCGCGGTCGTCATGGTGAGTGACTCGTCTTGAATCTTCGCTCATGCGTCGCACTCCGCTCTGCTGATATCACAAATGCTTTCATCATTAGCCGAACATCACTCGCTCACCGCTGTTGAGTCCACGAAGAAGCAGTGCACACAAGGATCTGCCTCGAGCTAGCAACAATGGCAGCAACGATGCCGTCACGTCATCCGTGATTCCATCAGCGGTCGCACTGGCCAATGCAGCCTCAGGAACCACAAATACGGCTGCGCACGGCACAAGGGCGACTTCTCGTCCTGCCAAACCAGCTGCGAGCGGCGCAGCTCTCTCTGAACAATACCAATTGCTGGAAAAGCTTGGAACGGGCTCTTTTGGCACAGTGTATCGGGCTATGCACAAAGAGACCAGACAGATCGTAGCTATCAAACAAATAGATCTGGAAGATTCAGACGATGACATTTCCGAAATTCAGATGGAAATCGCGCACTTAGCTCAATGTGATAGCGAATGGGTCACAAGGTATTACGGAAGCTTCGTGAAGGGGTACAAGCTCTGGATCGGTGAGTGTGACCTCGTTTGATCTCGCGACTCTATGCACAATCATACCTCTGCTTGCAAACTGACCTTTCTCGCCCACCTTGTCATCCTGATGTTCTCCCCGGATCACAGTCATGGAGTACCTTGCAGGAGGTTCGTGTCTCGACTTGCTCAAAGCTGGCCCATTCCGCGAAGAGCACATCGCGATCGTCTGCAGGGAGCTGCTCTTCGGGCTCGAGTACTTGCACAATGAGGGAAAGATACACCGTGATATCAAGGCTGCCAATGTGCTCCTCAGCGCCAGCGGAAAGGTCAAGCTTGGTGGGTATATGCTATCAAAGCTCTGGTGCTATGTGCCACGTGCGACGCTCACACATTCATACACGCTCATTCCTACCACTTAGCCGACTTTGGCGTCGCTGCTCAGCTCTCCAACAACAAGTCGAGGCGCAACACGTTCGTCGGCACCCCTTTCTGGATGGCGCCGGAAGTCATTCGTCAGGCAGGCTATGACGCCAAGGCGGACGTGTGGTCCCTAGGTATCACGGCCATCGAGATGGCGAAAGGAGAGCCACCGCTGGCCGAGTACCACCCTATGCGGGTGCTCTTCTTGATTCCGAAGGCCAAGCCTCCGGTGCTGGAAGGCAACTTCAGCCGCGAATTCAAAGACTTCGTGGACCTGTGTCTGATTAAGGAACCGAAGCAAAGACCGTCGGTAAAGGAGCTGCTCAGTCACCGTTTCATCAAGGGTGCACGCAAAACGAGCGTGCTGACCGAATTGATTCAGAGACATCAAGAGCACAAGGCGCGCGGAGCAAATCGCGGTGGCAACATTGTCCGCGATCACCTCCAGTCAGCTAGCGAGATTGCCGACTCGGACGCAGCCAGCACAGTCGGGCGCAACGGCACGATGATGAGCGAATGGCAATTTGACACCATCCGATCCACACTGGACTCTCCTGGAGATCAAAGCTTGGAGAGCATAGACGTCTGGGCAACGGTTGGCCGTGGACCACCAAGCGTAGGCGAGGATCGTCCCGGATATGCCACTGTCAAGGGCCAAAGACCAGCCGAAGGGCTCATGGGCGCTATGGAAAGCACCGTCACCCGTCGCAGCCGTCAGCAAGCTGAAGCTGCGGGTGCCATTGGGGCTGCGGCCGAAGAGGACGAAGCCAGCGTCAATAGCGACGCTGATCTGAGCGACTCTGCATCACGAGGCGGCCGAAGTACGCCGGCAACGAGTGCAGCATCCACGCCTATGCGAGAGGACGTCTCGACTTCTTCTGTACACGTCAATGCTCTCAAAAACTCCTTCAGAGGTATGCGGCCAGGTGGACCTGAGCCAGAAGATCTTGATGCTGGCTCTTCAAAGTCGCAGCATCTCATTCCGCCACCTGGCAGTCGTGATCAGGTTGCCGAGCCGGTCACGCCTCGCCAAGGTGTTGCGCACTCACCGTCATCTTCAGTGGATGCTACTGCGAGCTGGGCGCGTGCCAACGCAAACCGGTCACGGAGGAGTAGCTGGAACGAGCGCAGAGACATCAACGGGACTGTGCTGCGAGAAGCGGATGTGGCGTCTGGTATGGACACCATCCGGCCTGTGAAACGACTCGACGCAGGTGGCAGTGCGCGCATCAGCGCCGAGTACATCGGATCTCTGCGAAATGCCGAAGCGAGCCCCCGCTCAGCCTCGGATCCGACCGCCTCTGCCTTCAAATCACCAAAGGCTAGCGCCTCGAGTGGCTCCTCTACGCCTTCGCGACCGGGCCACCGCAAGAGTCGAAGCAGCGAGGGCAGCATCCCCGAAGAAGCTGATCTGGAAAGCGCGGGTCACAGTCTCGTCAACGACATTGTCTTGCCTGTGCTGGAGCAGAGCAAGCGAGAAGAGCTGCCGGCGAGGGAAATCGAAGCGCTAGAGATGATCTCCAAGGGCTTCTCCGAGTTGGGCGAAGCGAACCCCAAGCTGGCATACACGACCATCGTGGATCTCTTGGTGGGCATGAGCGAGAACGAGCAGGCCAGATCCAATATCTCAACTACCTTTAGGGCCAAGCTTCAACCGAGCTCACCTTCTCAACATGCCCAACCGGAGGCGGAGAGGAGCTCGCCCATTGTGGATTTGCTTTATGGCCGTTGGCTCGAAGGCCTTCGCAATCGCTGGGCTGGCGTCGTCTGAGGCTAGCACACATTTCATGGACAATTTCTATTCCTTTCTTTCTTCCCTCTCCCTAGGACATTTTTTCAAGCGATGCAATCTCCCTATTGCAGCATTCTTACTGCGCGCTACTGGATCCACACCCGAGCCCTGGGGCACAGGTCCGGCTTCACATGCGCTGCCTTTATCCGCCCCTCTATCGTGACACCGCCCATTTCCTCACTTTGCTCGCTGGCAGTCTTCCACTCGCGGGCAGCGATTCCTCCGACGTGACCTTTATTGATGACCGTCAAGACCTTTAATGACATTTTATGAATGAGATGTGTGACACTCGGGAGTGACACGCCGGCAACAGCTGACGACGAAAGCGAGCTATTGTACAACATGCATTTGAAAAGTGTTCAGCGTGCGCAGTAGGTGTAGGAGCGGTGACAATATCTTCGAGACAACCGTACAACCAGCGCGAAGAGGAGCACCGCCGTCAGGAACAGCCTCGCTTCAAAGCATCACACCGGTCTGTGCAAGAGAATGTGCTCGGACGCGTCAGACTCTTTTCGATCGGTAATGTACAGCGCTTCGACCAAGACTGTGTGACTCACATGAGCCACCAATTCTTCATATATCTCATCAGGCAGATCCCTGACCAGAGTGGTCGTGATGCCGATGATAGCTCTGGCTTTGATGGGCGGAAAGCTTCTGAGTAGCTTCATAGGACTTGCGCTGTCCATGAGCTGATCCCTCATCAGCAGCAGCTGAGCCACAACACAGAGGATGTTGAGATGCACTCCGAAAGCTAGAAGGAAATCCCAGAGGTGCAACACTTCGCTTAGGGGCGCTGTGCAGGCGCACAGCGTCAACACAGCTGCGAAAGCGCGCAGTTCAGCGTAACGTCAAGGGCTGAATCCGCGCCGTCGGCCTAGTGCACAGTGCCTTGGGGGGTTTGGGCATGCTTGACTCACAGGGAAACGCATAGAGCTCAGCCGTCAGGTTCTTGGAGCGCAGATGAGCAAAGAGACTCGGATCGGCAATGTTTAGGCATCGATCGAGGAGCTGAAAGTTTGTCACAGCGCAAAGCCTGTCAGCGTTTTCTGCTCTGAGCCACCGCAATGCCGCGAAGTCTCACCTCCAGGCCCGCATGCACACCCACGAGAGTAGGCTGAACATACAGTGGACAACACCGCTCAATGAAAGCAGCAAAGCAGTAAAAGGCTTCCATCTCGCTGCCGATCTTTCTCTGCTTGCCTTTGGCAGCCGGATCGCTTAGGCTCGTTGAAGTCAAAGTGGCACTCTGGGCGGAGTAGACGTAGAGGAACGGAGCTGCGAGAACATTCATGCCCTGCACGTAGGAGAACGATAGCGGGGCATCTTCTTCCATCGACGCTTCAGCGTCATCCTCATACATATCTGTCATCATGGGGCAAAGGGCGTGAGGTCAGCTCCATCCTCGGTGCCCTCGCGTTGCCTTTGTTCAGTCGCCTCACCCATACTACGCCACACGAAGGCTTCAAGCAGCCTGATCAGCATCTCCTCGCTGACACGCTCTTTGAAGCCCTGGTCGGTAGCCAGGGTCCGAAAGGTATCATTGCGGATCTTGACATGTGCAGGGGAGGGGCCTCTTGCTACGAGGTCCAGGTAGGGAGTTGCAGAACAGTCTACACCGAGCAAAAGCTTCCACACCAATGGCCTCGAAGGTCCGAAGGGCGTATGGAGCTTCGGCAATGGTCGGCAAGCAACGTAAGCAGCGCTTCTTGCATAGCGGCAGAATCCAACACTCACATCGTCGTCAGGTACTCTATTTAGGACCAGCCTGCGCAGCTTCCTCATTGACTCCTTGTGATCCGATTCATTTCTGTGTCTCCTATTCCTCCCAAGCTGTGCATGTCGGTTGAAAAACTTGGACCACGCGGACAAGTCTTGTGCGGTAGTACTTCCGCTCGAGTGAGGACTTCTGTCCTCTGTAATTTGTGACGAGCTGCTCGGGGCGATTGGCGGAAGCTCAGACTGAGCTGTAGGCTCTTTCAATGACTGCGCTGCCGGTGAAGACATCTCTGTAGAAGTAGCGAAAGTGCTATAAGAGCGGCACGTGGATCGCGACGTGCGATGTGCTGATGCCAATCGTGAATGTGAGTGTCTGTGTCGTCGCTAGAGCAAGGGATGGAGAGGAGCGCTTGTGATCTCTCAGCACGCGCTGATCAAGTCAAGCGGCTCGCGCGAGGCATCCATGACCATCGATCGCTGTGCATGCGCAGGTGTTGCAAATGAATGCTCACGGAGTGATGGCTAATTTGTGACCTGATCCATCTGTATGCCAGCTCCATCAAGCGTCCATGTTGTTATTTCACGGTGTGTTGCTCCCCTCTCGCGGTGCGATGGAGGCTCAATCACGTGCAACCGCGTGCGACGCTTTTCTTGACCTTATAGAGCCCGCCCTGCAGTCTTCAGTGGAGTGGAGTGGAGTCGTGAATTTATGTCTGCGTACAGTCGCGCTTTGTGTACAAAGCCGAGGCTCGTGAAAGACTTCGGTGTTAGCCTGGCTTGCTTGCAGGACAAGCAAGCGTCCTGCAGATGCTGCACTCGTGACTGCAGCTGCTGCAGGTCACACATCAGCAGCAACACCCATGCTGCCGACGCTGAAGCTTGATCGCGTTCGCCCGCTGGCATCAGGCAGCGCAAGGCGAGCAGCGTTCACGATTGACGAGCAAAGCGATCGTGAACGGTAGGCTCGCTGCTGGCTGCACGCGTATGCGCGAAAGAACGCCCTGCCGTTTCCCCACAAATGCGGAGGCAAAGGCGCGGGGGGCAACATGCATGTATACGCACCGATCTGGCCTCCCTTGGCTTGGCCAGCCTGGTGTTCACCATCGCATCCCCACCAGAAGCTTCGTAGTCGAGCTACCGGCTTGCGAAGGTTCCACATCGCAGCGTGCCGGCCTCTGCACTTCAAGCTTCCAACCACCACCCCTCACAAAGCCATCCGCACCACCAATTGGGCCTTCAGCAAGCACCTACTACGTCCTACTCCACAAGTCTTGTGCCTTCCTTCACCCCTCCCCAAAGCAGCATGAGCGCAGACGACGATCGACAAAAGCAGCATGGCGAGCATGGCCATCACGAGCATCGAAGACGCCGCGCTGGCTTGGCCTCTGCTCTCGGCGCCATTGTGACCCGCACCAGCGGTTCAGCAAGCTCCGTACCCAACTTTGGCCGCTCTTACCGCGAGCACCCTGAACATCCGACCAAGACCGCGCCTCACACTCAGGTCCACCCGGATTACGAGCATGCAGAGAAGCCTAGTAGCACGCATACCAGACATGCAAGGGCTGCACCAGCCTCTTCGACCATCACCCCCGAAACCTCTACCAGACGTCTGGCTCAGATTGCTCTTCAGTTGGGAAGCGCTACGTCCACTGCTACCCAGTCACTCATTCGTACGTCTCCTGCTGGATCGAGGCGCGGCGAGTGGCGTCACCTACCAGCCTATAAAGACTTGCCTACTGAGGGCGGCTACCCTGGATGTGCCTGGTCCGTATGGGGCAAGGTGAGTCGTCTGTGAAGATGAACTGTCGCACTAGTGGTGCTTCGTGCTGATGTGACCATAACAAATCACATTCTGCCTAGGGCGACGTTCTGGGCACAGTCAATATGCTGACCCCCGAGCTCGTGCTCCGCACATCCAAAGAGGAGGTCAGAACGGGCGTGACTATCCCTCTGAACTGGTCGTTCAACAAGCCCGAGCTGCCCTTGTTCGGTCGTTGCGCAGTTTCGCATACCACTGTGACTAAGTCGGGACCTGCAGTCATCGACAAGCGCAAAGCAGTCAAGAGTGCTCTATATAGCAAGGGCGTGTTTGTGGAAGACAGGAGCGATCCGTCAAAGCCTGAAGAAATGCCTATGGCAGATGAAGAGATCCACTTCAACACTCAGTCAGGCTCCCAGTGGGACGGTTTCTTGCACTTTGGTCATCTCGGTCGTAAGTGGTCAATGGGCAGCACGCGGATGTGGTTGAGAAGGCTGGAGCCGGTGCTAGATACGCAGTGACTGCGTGCTGACACCCCCACTCCCCCCTCCTCCCTCCAGTCAACTGCTTCTACCAAGGCATCAAAAAGTCGGACATTGCCTGGGGTAAGCAGGATAACAGTCAAGCGGCGAACAGCCCGCTTGCCAGACCAGGTATCCATCACCTTGCAAACCATGGAATCGTCGGCAGGTGCGTTGATCGAGTCATTATACGTACCTCGCCGTTACGCTGATGAAACGCATATTGTCTTGTCGTAGGGGCGTGCTGCTGGATGTATACGGCTACCTCTCTGAGAAGAATGGCGGACGCGCACCTTACGATCCGATGACCACGCGCGCAATCACTCTCTCAGAGCTTCAAGAGTGCGCTCGAGCTCAGGGCGTACGCTTCCACAAGGGTGATATTTTGCTCATCAGGACGGGGTTCATCGATCGGTACAATCGCAGTTCTTTCGAGGAGCGGAAGAGGTGGAGCGCCAATCCTGGCCAAGAACAGCTGGCCGGTGTGGAACAAGGAGAGCATGTGGCTGAATGGATTTGGAATAATCAGTGCGTGCAGATACGAACGTCGACTTTCGAAGCAGCTCGCGGAAAGGCATCAGGCTAAAAATCTGACGTCCCTTCCTGTTCGGTTTGCAGCTTCGCGGCAGTCGCTGGCGATGCCCCGGCCTTCGAATCTTGGCCACCTCGCCCAGAGGAGCAATTCCTGCACGAAACTCTGCTCGGGTGAGTGCAGCTCAGTGGCTAGAAGCCAACCAGCTTGCGCCCTTGGCTGACAATCTGCTGACTTGTCACGCGCTCTTCTACCTAAGGATGTTCGGATGCCCCATTGGAGAAATGGTGGATCTGGAGAAACTGGTAGCGCACTGTCGTCTGACCCGCCGATGGACCTTCTTGTTCGCTTCCTGGCCACAAAATCTGCCAGGAGGCATCGCTTCGCCATTCAACGGCAGCGCCGTGTTCTAGGTCCCTTGTCCGCTCGGCACTTTGCTCGACTTCCCGCGATGTTGCTCTGCTCCCTGAAACGACGCTCCATTTGCAGCTTCTGTTTATCCCACGTTGCTCTCGTTGGCAAGTGCGCGGACGCTGCTTTCCACCAGCTGACCGTCGCGTGCGAGCCTTCGAATCCAGATCAATGCACATTTATTTGTCACGCAGTCCAAGCTTCTCGCTCGCTTTCAATCATGCGCTTTGACCACTTGCTCGTCTGCTGACTGCGAAGTGGACATCGCTGGTCGGAGGCCGTGGCTTTTACTGTCACACACACCCATGTAAAAGCCGCTTCAAGTGTGGCGGCGATGCGCTGCCAAGAAACAATAGCCACTCATGACGGTGGGTCTTGCCGCGCTCTCGTACGAATTTGGGTTATATGATTTCGGCAATCTTGGCCCATTTTACTTTGTGCGACATATACTGTATATGATCGACGGATTCGGTCGTGAATTTGAATCAGATCTCGATCGGCTCGGTTCCAGCGCGGACTGCTGCTTGATTGGTGAAACTCTTGACTGAGCAAGGTGCATGTTCCTTGTCCTGACGCTTGATGAGCTAGGATGAGCGCCGGCGTAGACCTGTAATAGAAATACACACACATAGCCGAAACATATACGCGCTCCGTGTTCGTGATGATGGCTACATAGGAGTTCAGGTGTCTTTTGACCGCGCGCTGACGCTGGCAGGCTGCTGTGCGCGCCGCATACCGCACCTGCACTGATTCACGAAAGATTCATCGCTGACTTCAGCTCAGTGTGACTGTTGCTGCCAAAGTCGTACGCGTTTTACGAAACAATCGAGAGCTTGCGAGTCAAATTTCGTGCACTCCTAGCAGCCAGAGTGGAAGGCTAGAGTTGTCAAACTTCTATGGACTGCTGCTGAGCACCATGCGCACTCCATCAAGAATATCCATATAGTGGCGTGTGAAGCGGAGCCGCCATGCACATCGACGATTTGGAGCAACTTGATTGGGTGAGTTCTTCATCGCTGTGTTACCACTCGTGACCCGCCATTCGCGATTGTGATACCATGCACAACTACTGCCAATCTGGGCGACTTGGAACGTTTGAAGCAGCGGTGAGAGTGGCGACCCGGCTTTATGCACTTCCGGAACATCGCACGGACATGGTCATCATCATCGATGGCACCTCAGTGCTTGGGGTAGTCGTGAGCTTTTCTGGTACGGCTCACGATTCAATGCTGTTGTTGTGCACGCGTGCTGCACAGCACCGATTGTATATCGTGAGCGATGTGAGCGTCAGACACAGCATTCTTGATTAGCTCAGGAGTCACAAATCACAGTCACGAATCAAGAATGTCTCACGTAAGGACGCGTCTGTCGGAAACCACGTGGCCTGGCAGGTGGCGCCACTTTTGGACCACCTACCTGCTGCGTGCCTGTGTAGAGAGAGATTTGGAAACCACGCTTGTGTGACTCTCTCAGATCTCCACAGAATTAGAGCTCAATCGCTCGCTGATGTAGCGCTCTCAACAGATGGAATGCCGTTACACCTGCAGCTGCAGCTCATAGTGCGCTCTTCTTGCCCACGTATATCGACGCCAGTATCGTAACATGTCCCTAATTTAGCACCCACAATCTTTCATTACCTATTGCTGGTAGCAGGTCCCATCCGCTGGCTCTGCACCTTTTGTATAGGTACCCACAACAAGCCCGCCATCCTCCTTTGCGCACGGTTCATCCGATCCTATATTGGCAGTCTCGACCTCAGACCCGACGTATTTCGAAGCACGCGGTGTTGCTAGGCGCGAGGCAACTAACGGAAACCTAGTTCGCCAGCATGAGCACCAGCACCGACCTTGCCGAGCGCGCGTTCGATGTCATCGTGGTGGGAGGAGGGGTAGTCGGTGCCGCGACTGCGAGCTCTCTTGGAAGATCGGGCCGCAAGGTGTTGCTTGTGGAACGCGATCTCACCGAACCTGATCGCATTGTCGGCGAATTGCTTCAACCAGGCGGTGTACGAGCTTTGCGCTTGCTCGGTCTGCTCGACTGTCTGGAAGGCATTGATGCAGCACCAGTCCACGGCTACCACGTCTTCCAGGGCAGGCGGTCCGTGCCCATTCCGTATCCCGACGAGAGCCCAGAGGCTCGGGGCCTGGGCATACAATCGACAAGCGGCAGAGTAGAGGGTAGGAGCTTCCATCATGGCCGATTCGTGCAAGCTTTGAGACGAGCCGCCATGGCTCAACCGAACGTGACGACGATCCAGGCTACCGTCACTTCGCTGAACGAGGACGAGGCCGCGGGAAAGGTCACAGGAATCACCGCGACCATCAAGCATTCCACTACCTCGAAACAACAGCCGACACCCGTCTCTCAAGAGATCTCTTGCTCCGCACCTTTGACCATCGTGGTTGATGGTTGCTTCTCCAAGTTCCGACGCACCCATGGCTCGAGCATTGCCCCCATCGTTCGGTCCAACTTTGTCGCCATGGAACTTCACAACGCACCCTTGCCAAGTCCAAATCATGGCCACGTGGTGCTGGGCCCTGCTGGTCCTACGCTCTTATACCAGATCAGCGCAAGCGATACGCGAGTTTTGATCGATGTGCCCGGAGAAAAGTTGCCGTCGCAATCTAGCGGCGCACTTCAAGCACACATCAGAGAAAAAGTGATTCCCCAACTTCCAGAGGTGCTGCGGGAATGTGTGGGCGAGGAACTAGCCAGGAGTTCAAGGTTCCGCAGCATGCCGAACAGCTTCTTGCCGCCGAGCATGCAAGGTCAGAACAAGAATAGGCAGGGCGTCATCTTGGTGGGTGATGCCATGAACATGCGCCATCCCTTGACTGGTGGTGAGTGAGATCAGGGCACAGCCTATGCGTATGAACCATGGCTGACGTTCGGTCTCTTTGCTTTTCTCTGTCGCCAGGCGGAATGACTGTGGGATTGTGGGACGTAGTGCATCTGACAATGGCTCTTGGAGGGCCAGACTGGTCACCCAAGCCACGCGTGAAACCCGTCGCGGACCTGACATCCTGGAACTCCTTAAAGCCGGCACTGAGATCCTGGCACTGGGAACGCAAAAAGCTTGCTAGCATGATCAACATTCTGGCCCAAGCGCTCTACAGTCTGTTCGGAGCTGAGGATGCAAATTTGGAGGTGCTCAGAGAGGGCTGCTTTGCTTACTTTGAGTTGGGGGGTGAATGCGTGGGCGGACCCGTGCGGCTGCTGTCGGGTCTGTCCCCCGAGCCTTGGTTGTTGGTCTATCACTTCTTTAGCGTGGCCCTGTATGCCATCTACATGCTCTTCAAGCAGCCTTATGTACACAAGGGAGAGAAGGAACCCAGGGCGCCTTCCATCTTGGAATGGCCAGCTCTGTTCTTGAGGTCCATTGCGGTACTATACACGGCGTGCGTGGTCCTCCTGCCAGTCGCAGCTACGGAGCTCAAGAGCAACATTCCAAACTTTTCCAAGGGAGCGGGAGCGCTGTCCAAGGCGCACAAAAGCGGGTCTAGCGATCTGCCATCTGCTCAGACGTTGCTGTCTGCATTGGCTTGCATCGCAGCGTTGCTATACTTCTGGAATGGTCAACAGCAAGGCGAGCAAAGCAACTTCGGCCAGACTCGCATCTTTCCAGCTGCTCTTGCGATGGGCTTCGGAGGCCGGTAATCATCACCGTAACAGACCGTGTTAGTAGTCTAGTCAACAGACCTTGGAGTCCACAACCCTTCTCAGTATTTTGTAATCGCCATCCTGCGTAGAGGAGAGGTGGCTTCAAGGACGCCATGGACCTAGTCGTCGCTGGAACGCCTACGCTGGATACGTCCACATTCATCCTTGATTCCCATCCCTATCGTCGCCTTGTTCATGTCACCGCACAACTCATACCAAGTAAATACACAACCCTATAGTTCTTCGTGCTCCGAACCAGTCTATCAAGGGACGTGCCGCTCTCATGTTCCTGCATTCGTGATGATGGCGGATCAGGAAGTCACGCATGCACCAAACGCCACGATAGCTCATGCTCAGGATATGAGAGTCCAAGCGCAGGAGCGTCGCCCCCCTGTGCACCCCGCTGGGCTTGATGTGACTGGTCGCGACCACGCCGGGATGGTCAATGAGGAGGGGCAGATATTTATAGCTGCAGCAGCACACCGCGCTTTCTCTACGTGGGCGGGTGTATGATGAAATCTGAATTGGCCGCGCACGATATGCTCACCTGCATCAGCAGCAGGCGCGGGGATGCATGGTGGATGTCACGCGCAATCACGCCTTTTGGACAGCGGCGCAACGCGCCCCTCCCCAACAGCAGCACGCGTTTGAGAGGATCAACGATGGCGTGCTATTTGCAGCTTGGCTCATGAGAAACCTCGATTGCCGCCTACCGTCCCCATGCTTACGTAGCACGACGACAGCCGTGAAGTCTAGAGGCTCAAAAGATGCGCTCATGGCTCAATCAGGGCGAAGGACCACTCTTTTTTCGACGATTGGCCTCTCTCACTTCGGCTCATGGTCCGGGGGAGGAAGCACTCGCTAATTCTTGGCAAACGGACGTGAGGAAATGTGAGGAAGCTGCAGACTGAGCATCAGCTGCCAATCACTCCATGCACACCATGCGAATAGTTGAGACGCTCGACTCGCCTTGGTAGCGCTCCAAGCGTCAAACAGCTGGTCGTGTGCTTGCAAGGAGCCAGACGTGCGATGCTTGGTACCTGCTTCTAAACGCTACTTGTGGCTCAGATTGCGCGACCTTGTCAAAGCGCTGCGGCTGGGCGCTCCATCTGAGTCCCTGATGTATCTGCTCCACTCGACGGTCAGTCAATCTGTTCGAAGCAATCGGTTCGTGCCTTGATAAATTTGTCCCCATCACGTATTGACCTCCCGCAGCACCCTTCTCGACCACCACGACGATGAGCTCCCCCCTAGCTGACCCATCCTCGCCTTTTTCCAACTTGACGCCGCGCCACTCGCGGCCAGGCGGTTTCTCAGCGGTCATCAGGTCTCTTCTGGTCTTACACCACTCGTATCTTTGCAATTATGAGTGACGACGGCAAGCGAGCAGACCCTTCGGTGGAGGATGGATCATTGTGAGCTCGGACAACTCTTGATCGATTTTTGAGCCAACATGTGGCGCACTGACCGTCCATTCTTCCATCTTAGTGATCCGGCTCCGCACGCTTTTGCAACAAAGGAAGTAGCTTCCAGCGATGCAAGTAACGTCGACGATGTGGTGTACGACGCCGCGGAGGAAAAGCGTTTACTGCGCAAGATCGACTGGCTGCTATTGCCCATCCTCACCTCGCTCTATCTGCTGAGCTTTTTGGACCGCAGCAACATCGGAAATGCCAAAATCGAAGGCATCGTGGATGACATTCGACTCCGCGATTATCCGACAGCCACAAGTCTCTTCTTTGTGGGCTATGTCGTATTTGAAGTGCCTGCTAATCTACTGCTCAAGCGGTACAGCATTGACGGGCCTGCAGCCGTACTGGCCATTTGGACGTTTCTTTTCGGAATCGTGTCTATGTGTCAAGGCTTCGTCAGAACGACTGCAGAGATGTACGTCGTCCGTCTGCTCCTCGGTGCAACTGAAGCTGGTAAGTGTGGAGCTCTTCTTTGCTAGCGGAGCATCATCCGTGATCTGAACTTTGCGCACCCGGCCCCCCAAAAAAGGTCTCTTCCCTGGCATCGTCTGGACTTTCAGGTGAGTTCGGGAGAGCGCTCCGATCTGTTCATGCCGCGCCGCGCTTACACACTCGCACCTTCCATCCAGCTTTTGGTACCGTCGCGATGAGCGTGTACTGAGAGTCAGCCTCTTCTTCGGCGCTGCCGCCGCCGCCGGCTCCCTGGGTGGCATTCTTGCCTTTGGTCTGACCCGCATGGACGGCCTGCTTGGTCACCACGGTTGGCAGTATCTCTTCTGGATCGAAGGCGCTTTCACAGCTCTCGTCGGCATCTTGGCTTGGTTCCTCATTCCAAAATGGCCCGCACACGCTCGCGCCTTGACCCAGCGCGAACGTGAAGTCATCGTTCACCGCCTGTCTCGCGACTCGGACGCTACCGATACCGAAAAGTTCGAGTGGTCCGCAGTAAAGCTGGCCCTCAAAGACCCTCACGTGTACTTGTATGCCCTCCTGTTCCACGGCTTCGCCTTCCCATTGTACACCTACTCTCTCAGCCTTCCAAGCATCATTGCTGGCATCGACCCGACCTTCAAGCCTTGGCAAAGTCAACTTCTGACGATACCGCCTTATGCCTTCGCCTTCGTCTACGTCATCACGACCGCTTGGGTTTCGCAAAAGTACGTCAAACGCCGTGCACCCTTCATCATCGGCAATGGCTTCTTGGCCATTCTTGGCTACATTGTCCTCATCACCTCTCCAACCGTAGCGGGCAAGTACACCGCCACCTTTATCGCTGCAGCTGGCATCTATGGTGCTAACGGTCTCTTACTTGCATGGCCTTCGGAAAATGTCCAGGGCCAGCTTCGCCGAGCGGTCTCTCTGGCCTTTCAAATTTCGGGAGGGAACTGCGCTTCGATCATCGGCACTCAGCTGTACAGAATCCCGCTCGGCACCATCCCGAACAAGTCTTACCGCATCAGTCACATCTTCACCATCATCTGGCTGTTGTTTGGCATCTCGGCTGCTAGCGCCCTTTGGATCCTCCTTGCTCGACACAATCGACGTCTCGACGAGCGCATCGCTGAGCGCCGAGCGAGAGGACAGGTTGTAGACGAGTCCAAAGCCTGGAGAGAGGAGTGGCGCTACCAGACTTGAATCTAGTACGAGTGCTACATCCCTCTTTGTCAGATTGACAGAATGGCAGAGACAATGATTAAGGCTCTTATCGCAACGAGAGTGTCTCGCTATGATAGAAATGCATGCTCCATATGCAGCGCCGTCCTCGTCCCATCTGATTACAGTACGCGTGTAGTGGCTTTGTACAAGCAGAGCAAAAGGTCCGTGTGTTGTAGAGGTCAACCAAGATGGGGCTAGGTCGTGCTCGTTGCAGAGCCGACGCCGTGCGAGATGGCAGGAGGCCATCGCTGCCTCCAAGGTCCGGCCGACGAGCTGCGCTGACCGCCTTCGCCGTCTGGACCCGGACCAAATTTGGTGGGAACAAGAGCATCGTCGGGCACTCCGACTGGTTTGGCCGAGCCCCATCCTCCTGATCGTTGTAGCAAAGCGGCCAGCCATTCCCGTAACCATATGAGGAATTGGCCAACGAGGAAGGAAAGACAGCAGCCTACTCCTACGCCGATGACCACGCCTGCTAGCGGTCCCTTTGGAAGTTCAGACCAGGTTGTGTGGGATGTCAGTGCTTGGTCGTGAGCAACCGTCCGAACAAAGTAGGCTTCTACTTACTTGACCACCAACGAAGCCTGGATCCAAAAAATCGTAGACGTAATCTCCACTCGCAGAGTAGTGAATATACGCCTAGAGCGCGCAGTGAACGTGGATGCAATGTGAGTACTCGCTACCAGCTCGATACCACAGCGGAAAACTTCTCATTTGCGGATAAAGTCTTATTTCTCGTACTCACGACGCCGACGTAGAGAGCGAGAAGGCAGACTACAAAAAGCAAGTGCGACCAGGGCAACATAGGTCCTCTGCCGATGACGATGACATCAATCATAGCGAAAGCCAAGTTCAGACCGTGCACCGAAATGTTCTGCCAAGCGCGCTGTAGGCCGTCCAGTGCGCCGCCGCTCAATGCGGACCAAAAGACGATGGTCAGGATGAGCGGGTACGTGGCCACGGTGGACCATAGCAGCAAGTGAGCAAACTGCAGTGGTCGAGCAAATTTCTTGGAGAGCCAGCTCTGAGGATATTGTAGCTTGTCACTCGTGGGCAAGTGCGAAGAGGTGAAGGTCTTGTGCCATCGTGCAAGAGAGTGGGTATATGTGAATCCTTGGAAAGCGGAAACGAGAAACCAAGAAGTGATTCCGGAGTAGGAGAGGACGGTAAAGTAAGCAAACTGATCCGCTCCTCCAAAAACGAAATCCAAAATGAGAGTAACGAGAGCGTAGAGGGCGAAGATGGTGCGGATGAGCGCTAAGAGCCAAGGAGGTAGAATGTAGCTCGTAACGAAGCGGGCTTGGGGGTCAAAGACTTCATCGTGCTCGGCGGGCAAGCCAAGCCAAGCTGGAAAGGAGGAGAGTGAACGACGAACCATCTTGAGGACCTGCGGATTGTCGCAGAAATCGATTAGGGATGGACGGACCACGAAAGAGGGTGATCATTAGGAGCAGAACATCTTCATTGCTGGAAAGCGCTTTGTCAGCATCAGATGAGCATCAAGTCTTGCTCATCTGACCAGAGAACGACGACGGTCCCTCACGCGGTTGTGTGGCTTTGAGACGTGCAGGCACAAAGCTCTCGGCATCTCTTAGCGCAAGCAGCATGCGGACGGATGACCGTCCCTCTCGCTAATTGCTGCTGCACGTCGGAGCATTGTGATTGCTCCACTCGTGGTTCACATTGTGATTATAAGATTCGCGTATGTGCGGTCAGGGTCTACCCGAAGCTGCTGCAGCAGCGCTGCATGAGCGGCGGCAGCACCTTCGAATGCGGAATGAGCGAACGCTACAACGCAGACGTGGAATCTGTCACGCAAGCGCAAGCACAAATCGAACACCGGCCGCATTCATCCTTTCAGTCAGAGTCCATCCACCGGTGATCCGTGATCCGTGGTCCATTCGTCTCGTTTCATTATCGGGCTTTCCCTTTAATCGATTCTGATTCTGTCGACACGCCCATCGTTGGGCTCTCGCTAGCTCTCGAGCTCGACACTCTCCTTCCCCCTTCGTTGACATCTCGTATTCTCAACAAAATTTGCGTGGGCCAAAGATAAGGCTCGTCCACTCGTAGTCCAGTCATCAAGCAAGCAGTCCACTACGCAATCCTCGAAAGCTTCATACATACGGTTTTGGAATGATCACCTCGACAAGGACCGCAGACCAACACGATTTGGGAATAGATCGGGATGATCGTAGGTGGATGCTGTGGTTAAGCGGTCTCGTACGAGAGTAAGTGCGCAAGCGCGCCTGTCTCTTATTGCCCGTCAAGCCGCGCGCCCGTGCGTCGCGTCGCGCGCACATGTGTGACTTATTGAAGGTGGCTCTCCTTGCGACTGCGACCAAGGATGCCGCCTCCGCAAGCAGATCGAGCAACACCCACCCTTGGAGGCTGTCCTCGTCTACAGGTGGTCGCAGCAGACGTCTCAGGCTGACTCTGATTCGAAAAGGAGAAGAGACCGTCGACTTGGCCCCGCGCTTTACAGGCCATGTCTTTGCATGGCTGGCTTGCCTACCTTGAGTGATCACCACGCAAACTCCGGTCAATTCGCTCCGATCGCCTATCAGCGGCCTTACCAGTCTGCCACTCACCCAGGGCGCAGTCGTGATTTCTACTCTAGTCATCATGAGCGCAGGTGGATCAGCTCCAGTTCTGCGGCTCCAAGACCGGTGCGAGTTCACCGGTTACGGACGTGGCACCGTTCTCTTTGTGGGTCAAACTAGCTTTGCGCCTGGACTTTGGGTCGGTGCACATCTCGACGAGCCGCGAGGGAAAAATGATGGCACGGTGCAAGGCAAGCGATACTTCGAATCATTTCCAGGACATGGCTTGTTTGCGAGGATAAGCCAAGCGCGTCTCTTGCGACCAGAGGAGGACTCTGGACATGATGAACATGAGGAGGCGGATCAGGATTACGAAGGTCCAAGAGACGAGCCGATGGACGAAGAAGAGCTCATGCCCCCACCCTCCAGGCCTGCGCCGCGCACCTCGCGTGTCCCAAGTCCGGTCAAGCGGCCTACTGCCAGTGTGAGTGGGCGCGGTTTCGATCGTGCTTTCGCTTCGGTCGTGCTGATCGCTGCAATCTCCTTGCTGCTTCAGAGGCAGACGACGACGACGTCTGTTACACCTTCAGGGGCAGCTCGTCCGCGCTCCTCGCTAGCCCCAAGCAAGCTTGTCTCTCCCCAAAAGGCTGGCACTGTGGGCAGATCAGCCATCGGGGCAAGCGCATCCCGCGGAAGCAGCCCAACCAAGCGTGCTGGTGTAGCAGCCACTCGCACTGTTCAGAGCGCTGCTGTTACCCGCAACACCACACCGGTTGCTTCCGCGGCCACAGCTCGGATGCAGCGCACCTCGACGGCGCCAGGCTCGGTGGCAAGTGGCGCTGCTAGTCGGGTCGCCGGTGTCACTCCTCGTGCTGTAAAGCCTGGCTCCACAATCCCGGGTCGAGCACCAGACACAGCAACAGCCAAGGCGGGCTTGCGGCCAGTGCCCAAGCATCGCCAATCCATGGCGCCCCCAAGCGCGCGAGAAAACGCAGCGACGACACCGAGGGCAACCACCAGAACTCCTACGGCTGCAGCAACTTCGAGAAGCACCTCTGCAGCTTCTTCTGTCGATGTTGCAAATAGGACTCCTGGGGCGCGACTTGCTGGCCGCACAGGTATCACACCACGGGTCACTGCAGGCAGCGCCGCACCAGGCAGCGCTCGCCTCGCTCCACCTTCGACTGCTCCCAGCGCCAGACAGCCGCCTCCTCAGGCCAGGTTGTCCGCTGCCAGCAGACGCACGGCGATCTCCACCGACGATGCCGATGAAGATAATGAGGAGGAATTGATGAACATGTCCCTCGACGCGGAGTCGTTGCCTGGCGCTGAAGGCTTGCTCTCGGACGAAGAGGGCGTGGAAGACTCTGGAGAGCTGTCGCCATCGGTTCGCAAGGCGTCATTATCAGGCAGCAGACCTCGGATCGACCACATGTCCCTGTCTTCGGGCCCCAGACCCAGTGCCGCAGAGGTCGGAGCTCTTCAGCGAGAGATTGATGAGCTCCGTGCGAGGAACAGAATATTGGAGAAGCGAAAAGAAGAAGATCGAGAGCGCATTAGAGAGATGGAGCGCGTCAAAAGCGATGCCGATGGCTTTCTCGCTGCTAAGCCCAAGCTTATGGGTAAGTGTGCTCAATGTAGCGGAGGTAAATGGCGCCGGCTGACTCGTGTACCCTGAACAAATTGCACTGCTTTGCAGCCAAGCAACAAGAGCTCCAAAATGAGATCAGAGATCTATACAAGCTCGAGAAGGATTGGGAAGCCCAGAAAGAAGAGCTGGACCGTCAGGTGGTGGAGCTTACAGACTCTACAGAGATGGCTGTCCTCGACAAGGAAATGGCGGAGGAGCGGAGCGAATCGCTCAAATTTGAGCTCGACGCCGCTCAGGAACGCATCGAGGAGCTGACCTCAGAGGTAGAAATTTTGACGGCCGAAAAGGAGCTGCGCGACGCTGAGACAGAAGGAGGGCATGACTCGTCCAGGCAAGCGCTTGGTGATGAGAGTGTCCAGGACGCCAAGCGCCTTCCAGGCTACGTCCAGCTCGAGCGGCAAAACGACCGACTCAGAGATGCGCTCGGCAGACTTCGGGACATCACAAACGAGACAGAAAGCGAACAGAAGCGCCGCATCGCTGAGCTCGAGAAGGAGCTCAATTCTCTTTCAGACCTGCAAGCTCAATTCGAAACGGTCTCGCAACGCCTCGAAGCCGCCGATGCAATCATTGAGGACTTGAAACTACAGCTTGACGACGCCCTCAGCACTGAAGAGATGCTGGAGCAGCTGACAGAACGCAACTTGTTGCTCGGTGAGAAGATCGAAGAGATGCATGCGACAATCGAAGACCTCGAAGCGATCAAGGAGCTGAATGACGAGCTAGAAGAGACTCACATCGACACGGAACGACAGTTGCAAGAGGAGGTGGACCTGAAGGATCTGCACGTACGGGATCTTCGCGTGCGCAACGAGATGCTGGAGGCTAGCCTTGTCGACCACGAAAACACCTTTGCTCAATTCCGCGAGCTCGTACTGAATTTGCAAGGCGATCTTGACACGTTGCGTGCAGAGCAGGCAGAGCAGCAAAGTGCGGCCATCGCAGAGGATGGTACACTCGTCAGCGATGGCGCCGGCGGTCGTACGCTGCAGACTCAAAGTCAGGCCATGCTCAACTTGAATCTGAAGCTGCAAAGCTCTGCGCTCAAGTCGCAAGCCAAGACCATCGAGCTCGAATTGGGCAAGCTGGAAGCTACGCAAGCCATGTCGCACCTCGATATGATCAGACCCTACCTACCGGCTGCATACTTCGAGGCAGATGCCGACGCGGTCGCAAGTCTTCTCTTCTTCAACCGGATGGCCCACAAAGCCGAGCTCATCAAGACCATCGTCGAGGGTCACCACGACATTGCGGGTGCGCTCGCCACGGTCGTGCCAGAGCATCTCATCGGAGTGTGCGAAATGCGCCACAGCCTGGCGCACTTTGCAGCGCTTTCTCGCCAGATCGCTGGCGTTTTGCAACTGGCCTCTGTGCCAACCTTCCTCAAGGCTGGCCGCACCTATCGAGAGCACGCATCGATCGAGCGTCGCATCGACTCTTTCATTGAGGCTTTGCGTCATGAAGAGCTGAAGGAGGCAGAGTGCGGTCGCGAATTCGCCAGATATGTCAAAGATTTCGAAGAATTTTCTTACACGCTTGGCGAAGAGACCGACGCGGATCTAGCAGCTAAAGAGGTTGGAGCTGCTCAGCTGATCGATCTCGACCTGGACACGCTGAACGCCGCTCTTGGCTACACCAAGCAGACGCTTGCTGCGCTTTACAACGAAGGTGATCATGTCGGGTGGGAGCTTGGAGGCAAGTCGCTGGATGAGGACGTGTTTGCGCCTTTGCAGCAGCTCATAAACAATGTCAAGTCCACGAAGGTGCCCGCGCGCAAACTTCTACGTCGTCTAGGTAGCCTATATGCCAACGACGAGGCGGTTCGCATCGAGGCTATCACCGCGCTACCTTCTACCGGTCTCCTCAGCAGTCAGCTTGTACGGTTCGCTAAAGAACTCGCACAGTCCACGACGGCTCAGGTTGCAGAGGTGCGCGCGGCCCGTACGCCTTTCGTCATGTCGAACTTTGTCTCAGCTTTCAACGACGCGTTGCGCGAAGGTCTTGCAAAGAGCGACGTCAATCTCTGGGCGACACCGCTAGCATCCACAGAACACTTGACGAGTACGATCAGTCTGTTGCTCAGTGCAGCTACCGAGCAGGAGAACGTGACAAAAGTGTCTGGCTCTCTGCCATGGATGACGCGCGTTGAAGAGATTAAAGCGGAAGCGGAGTTGCATCACGATGCTGAAGCCGAGCGAGCATTGGCGAAGCTACAAGAAGATCTGAAAGACATGTCGCGGCAGCTCAAGACGCGCGAATCGGCGCTCGAAGAGGCCACTATCAAAGTGGAGCGCACCACCAAGCAGAACGAAAAGTACAAGACAAAGCTCGAAGATGTCGCTGCTATTCAGAGCTCACTCGTGGAGGCACAGCGCCAATCACGTGTCTACCAAGAGATGAACGCTAGCCTTCAGTCAGAATTGGAGACGGCAGAGCGCGCCAACGATATTTTGAAGCAGCAGCATTCGAGCAAAGCAGTGGCTGGCGGTCCGGGAGGCGCGAGCGCAGCCTCTGGCGCTTTTGCAGGAACAGGAGCAGACTCAGCAGAGAAGACCGCTCAGTCCAACGTGCCTTCAGGCTTCATGTCCGGTGCCTCGGCGACGTTCGAAACAGCATATCTGGCAGATCAGGTGGAAGCCTTGCGAGGAGCGCTGGCGATTCTGAGAACCGAAAATTGCCGACTGAAAGGTGCTGGACTTCTGCAACAATTCGAGGCGCTACCTCGCGTCTATGCACCATCTGCAAGCTTGCTTGATGATGCTAGGACTGTCGAGAAAGAGAAGCCTTGGAAGACGCCTGGCTTGCCAGCACCACGAACAGTCCCCAACAGAAAGGGACTCACATCGGTGGCGGATGCAGCTCGGGAGAGCAAAGCTCTGTACGCCAAGCTTTTGGAGCAAGCTGCTTCACCACGTGTGATCAGTCTGGTACCCGAAGACGCCGGCGTGCCCGTGAAGACTGCGCGTCCAAAAGCAACTTCATGGCAGCGCATCTCCTCCACTCCCAGCTGGCAATTGCGAGCTCAAGAACAAGAAAGAGCAGATGCTCGGAAACAGGTGCAGAAGCTCGCTGACTTTTATAGCGCTCAACTCAACACGTTGCACGGCCCGGCGCGCCATCCCGGACGTGCCTTGAAAGGTGCTTCTCGCAAGTTAGCGGCTATTCCCGATGTGCCCATGCTCGCCTGATCTAGGCGAGCGAGCGTCTTTCAGCTGCCCGAGTCAGCCAGTCTTAGCTGAGTGCTTGGATCAGATCTGTACTATACGCAACGATGTTCGTTGTCCTAAGCTTTCAGAGAAAAACACGATGATGATTACAATACCTCCATCACGAGCAATATCCATGTTTGAAAGCTGAGCGCAGCGGAGCTGCATGCCATTTTGAGTCAAAGCGTACGTGAACAGAGTGCAAAGGCCTAGGCTCATGATGAAGCGTTTGGGAGGGGGATAAGGGGGATGCGAGGATGGTCGTGACGCCAAGACTGGTAGGAAAAGGTCTGAAGTGCCCATGTGCCGTCAAGAAAGAAAATGACTTTGCTCTGAACCCAAAGAGACGGAAAATTGCTCTTCGTCGATTGATTCTAAATCTCCTCTCTTCTCTTCTCACTTGTGCTCGATCGTCTTCTTGGTGGGTGGTATCTGCGAAGTTGCTTGCGTTTGAGCTCGGCAGGTAACTTGAGTGGGGAATGCAGGATGAGGTCGATGGAGTGGGAATTCTCTTCACGAGAAGGCTGAACAGTCGAAGGTGGATGCCGCGGGCGCTGCAGAGTCCTCGGACGTCTCCTGAGTCGTAGACTCTCACATCGATGACATGGAGAAGCGCCGATTGCGCGCGGGTTGCCAATCCTCGACCGGTTTGTAGTCAGCATGACGGAAGATTGTTTGAAGATTGTGATGTGGAAGTAGTTGCGTTTGTGTTTGAACGTTGTGGCGGTGAGAGTAGACGATGTGTTTCAGATTCAAAGTGGAAGAGAGTCAATGTCCAATCAAAGACCCAAGCTCTAGGCTGACTCAGAGTTTGCGCAAGTCGCTGCACAACTGACGACGGGGAAATTCTATGCAGACCTAGATCAAGTCGGCGACATCGTGAGGCATCTCGTCGACGACAGTGTTGTAGTATTGTTCAATGTCGCGGAGCATGCGGATGTCGTCGGAAGTGACAAAGTTGATAGCAACACCCTTACGACCGAAACGACCACCACGGCCGATACGGTGGATGTAGTTCTCTCTGTTGGAGGGCAGGTCGTAGTTGATGACTAGAGACACCTGCTGGACATCGATACCACGAGCCAACAAGTCGGTGGTGATGAGGACACGCGATGATCCTGATCGGAATTCGCGCATGATGACCTCACGCTGACCTTGCTCCATGTCACCGTGCATGGCGGAGACGGTGAACTCGCGAGAGTGGAGCTTGTCGGTGAGCCAGTCGACCTTGCGACGGGTGTTGCAGAAGATGACTGCCTGTGTGATGGTGACGGTCTCGTACAAGTCGCACAGAGTGTCAAGTTTCCACTCCTCCTTGTCCACACCGATGTAGAATTGCTTGATACCTTCAAGCGTCAGCTCGTCACGCTTGACCAGGATACGCACTGGGTCACGCATAAACTTCTTGGTGACCTCCAAAACGTCATCTGGCATGGTGGCGGACAGAAGGTTGACCTGAGTGTCTTGGGGCAAGAGCTGGAAGACCTCGTACATCTGGTCCTTGAAACCTCGAGAAAGCATCTCGTCGGCCTCGTCGAGGCAGAACATCTTCAGCTTGTCCGTCTTGAAGGCGCGACGGTTGATCATGTCGTAGACACGACCAGGCGTACCAACGACGACTTGGCATCCGTCCTGCAGCTTGGCCATGTCCTCACGAACGTTGGTACCACCAATGCAGGCATGGCAGTCTACATTCATGTAGTCACCGAGAGCGATGACGACCTTTTGGATCTGCTGGGCAAGTTCACGAGTGGGCGCCAAGATCAGGGCTTGAACAGCTTTGATGCTGGGGTCGATGCGCTGGAGGATAGCAATCGAGTAGGTGGCCGTCTTACCGGTACCCGACTGGGCCTGGGCAATGACGTCGTGGCCCTTGATTACGGGCACAACAGCTCGGGCTTGAATGGCCGAGGGGCGTTCGAAACTGTGGCGAAGCGAGAAGGCAGAGTCAGCGCTTTTGTCTTGTGACACGCAATGGCGGTCCAAGTCTTATCACAGAGGCGGGGTGATTGCGGCCAAGTCTGACGACATGTACTGCCAAAGACTTCACTGTGCCTGTCGAATTTCGCGCGGGTCGTGCCGAGAACAAGACTCACCCGTACGCATAAATGCCGCGCAGAAGCTCAGGCTTGAGCTCCATGTCATCGAAGTTGTCGGTGACTGTGTCCCAGTTGGACTCAATCTCCGTCTCGGGAACATTGAGTCCCGCATCGCCCGCTTGGGCGGTCTCTTCTGGCCTGCAAAGCGGTGAAGGAGGTTGGAAAGAGGAGAAGCTGTCAGCGATCTGACGTGTGGGCCCTGAAAGGACGCCACTGGGTGCTGCGAACGGTCGCCAGCGCACTGCTGGTTGCATGTGGAGCCCACTCCTGCGCCGCAAGTCGCTCCACGCCTCCAACTCAACATGTCGCACGGTGGCGTCACTTGCCATGCCGCTTGGGAGTCACTCGATGCTCACTTCGACATGATTAGACTAGAGTTCAGAGTCTATCTTTCAAGGAGTCGAGGAATGTCGACGCCTTGAGAGATGATTTAGATGGATTTCGACTTTGGGGCTTGTGTGTCAAAGGAGGCTGCTACGCGGTGCGTCTGCTGCTTCCTTGATTGTGAGGTGTGGATGAATGAAGTGGTGTGGTGTGATGGTGGTGAACGTGCAGATGTCTGGTGAGGCGCTTGTAGACATGAGGATTGGCCACCCGGACTGGATTGCGCGCCGTCCGATCTCCCAGTCAACGAACTCTTCTCGCCGATGCTGCCTGCCCCTTCATCAGCGCTCTACAGCCGCGAGGGCGAGCAAAAAAAAAATTGGTGGCCTCTTCTCCAGCTGTTGCTGCTGGTGCACTGCCTACGCCTTGAGAAGGAAATTTGCCTGCACGCATGGCATGGCATGGCACGGCACAGCTATAGCTGCGTCACGCGCGGTCTTCCCTCGCGATTCTCAGGCCTACTCTACCTCTCTCAGCAGACGCGTGCTGACTGCTGTGCATGCACATACGCGACTACGCCAGCTCGCGCCCGCGTGTCAGCTCGTCTGCGCCTGCTCGACGCTGACGCGCTCAGGCCGAAAGTGCATCATCATATATGCACGGGCTGCGCAGCCAGCGCCTGCATGGCACGCGCACCAAAAATCTTCCTGCGCGTGCGAGCGCTCATTATCCAGCATCTGATCAGTCTTCGGGGGAAATGCGCGCAGCGCTGCGTCTGGGCTGCGCCTGAGTCTGAGTGAGTTCACCTTCCCCAAGTCGTGAGTAAGATTTGAATTTTCATGATCGTCCTCGCAGAAACAAACCTGGCTCACAAAGATCACGTGCAAGACTGGATGCCGCGCGAGATCGTATGCTGCTGAAGACGACGCGCGCGTGCTGCTCGGCTGCATGCATGCATACATGTACAGGGTAGGTTTGTAACACCATCCGTGATTAGGCAGCAGTGAGGCAAGCGATGTCGTCCGCCATCTTGTGCCATTCACGATTTCTCCCACCTACCCTACCGGTCGTACGCATACAATCATACACTCGTTCATCGCCCCCGGTTTTCCTTCGTAGCTCTCACGTCTAGGCTGTTGACGGATCATTAAAGCCAACTGGCGTGCTTGCGTGCCTGGAAGCTAACCTTCACTGCAGCACTGGTCGCGAACGGATTCCCCTCCACTTGGACCCGTTGAGCATCTCGCGACGACTCCAACCTTGCATTCACTATGAGCGAAGGGACTGCCCAAGGAGCGCCTCGAGCTCGCGGCTCGAGTCGAGGTCGAGGAAGGGGCGGTGCAGGAGGAAGGCAAGCAGCATTTGGCGGCAGTCTCACCACATTCGATGCTAGTGTCACTGATGGCCAAACAAACGGAGCCGAGAGCAATGCTGCGACGACCAGCGCGGGAGATGGACAACCGCCCACTGGCCCAAGACAGAATCGTGGATCTGTAAAACCCAATGGCCCTGTGGCTTCCTCACGAGGCACCGGAAAACGGGGTCGAGGTCGTGGAGGTGGAGCTCGAGCGGAAAGATCAGCTGAAGGAAGCAGTGCCGTCTCAGCGCAACGCCCAGCCGTCTTGACAGGAGCGGAAGGACACAAGGCCGCCCTGGCTGCGGCGGCGGCGGCGGCTGCCGCCGCAGAAGCCGCAGCAGAAGCTACAGCGGGAGGAGAGGTTGTGGATCTGTGCCACATATGCGCAGAACCTGTCCAGCTGTACTCTTTGGCGGCATGCAATCACCGCACTTGTCACATCTGCGCTATTCGCTTGAGAGCTCTGTACAAGAAGAAGGATTGTACATTCTGCAAGGTGAGTGTGAGGGTCAGCACATTTGTCGAGCCTTGATGCGTCCTTGTCGCTAAGTCAATCTATGGTGGGCGCCTAGACTCCGATAGAACGCTTGATCTTCACCTCCTCACCTGATCGACCCTTTGAGAGCTTTCTGCGAGATGATTTGCCATTCTACGATCAGAAGCTCTCCATTGCGTTCGAGACGAGGGAAGCGATGGAAGAAACTCTCATTCTGCTGCGGTTCAATTGTCCTGAGCCAACTTGCGAGGAGGCCTGTAATGGGTGGGGAGATCTCAAGCGTCATGTTCGGAGAGATCACGACATGGGCCTTTGGTGAGTGCCGACACTTCAAGGCACAGGCGCCTCTTCGCTGATCCACTTCGCTGCTTGGTTGCACCTTGCTACAGCGACATGTGCATCAAGAACAAGCGCATCTTTGCCCATGAGCATTCCCTGCACACAAATGCGAGCTTGACCGCTCACATCGATGCGGAACACAGATACTGCGAATTCTGCAGGGAGCACTTCTACGGGGACGATGAGCTGTTTGTGCATATGCGCGATCGTCACGAACAGTGTCATCTGTGCAAGGCAAGAGGCACAGAGGAGGAGCGCTACAGATATTACAAGGATTACAACATGCTCGAGAAGCACTTTAAAGACAAGCATTTCCTCTGCGAGTCATCGGAATGCTTGGCAAAAAAATTCATCGTCTTCGACAGCGATATGGATTTCAAAGCGCATCGACTGGCAGAGCATAGTGCAGATCTGTCATCTCGCGAACGCAGAGATGCTGCCAGGATAGAAACCAATTTTGCGTACGAGGATCCAGCTACATCGAGGGCGGGCAGGAGTCGCAGAGGCGGTCGAGGCGAGGATCCAATCGTAGCTGCCGAGCAGCCCACGACGTCATATCTGGCCGGCAGGACCCATGTCCCAGGCGCTGCTCCTCCAAATCGCCGCGAAGCATTTGGAGGTAGCCTGACCGGAGCTAGCACCAATGGCGCGACCTCTGCAGCTTCGCACCGCGTCGAGCACGATACCGGTCTAGCTTCGAGCGGCGATGCTTCCACTGTCGAGTGAGTATTGACTCATCACGTCAGTGCCCGTACCTCTCTGACGTCCCTCCTCGTTCGCAGACGTCATCAAGTGTATCTTGCTCGTGTAGCGTCGCTGCTGAAAGACTCCGAATCGCGCGTTGCCGCGTTTCGGCAAAGCGTGAAGGCGTTCCGCTCCGGCGAGACTTCCGGTCGCGACCTCGCCGACTCCATCTACCGTCTAGCTGATAACGATCTGGAAACCGGGTCCAGCTTAGTAAATGGGCTAGTCGATCTGTTGGACGACACCGACAAAAGGCGTAGTTTGCAAAGTGCCTGGAACTCGGTACGCATTGAAGTGAGTGCCTTTTGCAGAGTGAGAGAGCCTATCCATCGAGCTTCCGTGCTAATCACCAGGCGTGCTTGCAGCGGACCCAATTCCCATCGCTCACTCCCCAAGCTGCAGATGGCCGTTACGCAGGCATCGCGGGTGGTCAGATTCGCAACGCGAAAGCCAGCTCGTCTGCACACAGCCATATCTGGGCCAATGTAGAGAGGGCAGCCAGCTCATCCTCGGGACACGGCGCTGGTCGACCGGTCGCCTTGCGAGAGTCTTTCCCCACCCTCAAACCGGGAGGTGGAGGATCTGTGGTTCCAGGCTCGGCAAAACATGCTGCCTTGAAGCAATCCAATCTGAGAGCTTCCGGCTCTTCGACCCCATGGGCTGGCTCGGGTACCTCGACGCCTGTGGCTTCCAATTCTGGAACTAACACGCCAGCTTTGAAGCCCTTTACCGTTCATGCGCCAGCGCAAGGCAGCAAATCGGGAGGCGCGCATGGAGGAGCAGCGCTGCGCAGCAATGCGAGCGCTTTTCCTGGTCTGCCGAGCAATGCAGATGCTGCTGCGCTCCAGGCGCAAAAGAAAGCGCTGTTCGCCTACAGCAAGGACAAGGGCAAGGGCAAAGGATCCCAAGGAGGAGCAGGACCGAATTACAATGGAGCAAACAGCGGCACCTCCACTCCCAAACCGTGGGGAAGCGCACAGTCGCCAGATCCCCATGGACGGATCGACGGCTACGCCTCGCCAGAAGTACCACCCATCGATGCTGTGCCGCCATCCGCACTGCATCAGAGACTCGCGCAAGCGAGTGGCGCGCAATCGAGCGCAGGTGGCGGGGGAGGCAAGAAGAAAGCGAAGAAGCTCGTTCTGGACTCTTTCGGAGGCGTCCATCGAGGAGGTTGAGTTGGCCTAAAATAACGTGCGCTGATCAGCACATTACGTGCGGAGGAGAATGTCGTTCTGCACAATGGCATCAAATATGCATTACAATTCTGGATGCATCTTGGCCTTTTCTAGGCCGTATACATACACCCTGTCGCCGATGTAAAGAGCAACGAGCAGCGCCAAGACGACGCTGACGATGACTGTCCAGTCCTGTATGCTCATACCACTTGGGCGTGGAAAAGTTGCTCTTGGCTTCTGGCCAGGCAGTGCTTGAACGATGAGAACGTGGGCAACTCCAAGCCCGTCGTTGGCGTGCCTGACGTAGAGTGATTGTTTCGAGCTATCGTACACCCAACTTCCATCTGTGAGCTTCACAGCGAATTCAGTTCCCTCAAACCAGTAGCGTGGTAGGTAGAATTCGCTGGTGCGGGCCATTTCCGAATTTGCACTGATTAGGTCCGGATGATTCTTCCACCTGAACTTGAAGATCAACTTGCTCGAGTCCCACTCTGAAGAGAGTGGGATACCTGCTGTCTTGGCTGCATATGGACGCTGTCGCGATTGAAGACCACGTCACGGATTAGCGGGGGCGGTGCTGCCTTTTTCACTTGCGTGAGAGCTCTTACACTTACCAAGATGGCATTGAGAGCTCTACCGCCCTTGTACAATGGCTTCGCAGAGAGGTAATTCTCCTTGTCTTTTGCTTTGTCTTCATCGCAGAAGACGGAAAAGTCTTCAGAAAGCCAATTATCCCCGTGCTCGGTGGTATTATCTGGGTTGTAATTCCACAACGTATAGCCAAGCAGATTCTTTTCCATCGCTCCGATCAGAGCGTCCATCAAATCTGACTGAACCGAGTAGTCTCCACTTGTCAGCGCTAGCCTATCATTGACGTCGAATGGGATGCCTACTTCGCCAATCAAGACTGGCACTTTGCCTAATGATAGGAACGCATGCTCTGCAATATTCTTGAGCTGAATTTCGTAATTCTTGCGCAAGCCTTCTGCACCAAAGTACAAAGCTTTGAGGATGAACATGCCTCTGCTAGCACCTTGCACATTGACCGAGTAGAAAGAATGCACCTTCGAGAACAGCACATTGAGGTCGTAGAAATGCGGCGCAAAGACGAACCCTTCAGGTCTTGGCACGTTGATGATCGTCTTTGTGGCATAGTCCTGCTTCAGTGCCAGCGAACCGAGGTTCTGGCGGTCTGTTTGACTCAAGGTGGCGCTCGGCCAAAGCGGGTGGTATTCATTCGGTATCGGCTCGGACAGAAGCAGTAGGTTGGCGTGCCTTTGCCGTATCCTGCAACCAGAGAGTGGGCTTGATGGGTGAGCGACGACCGGAAAGCAAATCGAAAGAAGTCGGGAAGCTGCTCACCTCTGCGCGTATGTGGTCACGAACGGAGCCCAACAATCCCGGTACCACTCCACCTTTCCGTGGTCCGTTTGCGGGCGTGGATCCTTAGTGAAGAAATCTTCTCGAAGCACGATAGCTTTCTTGCGCTCTCTGTCCCATGCCCATGCTCCATGTCGCGCCCAAAGACAACTGGCATCCCCCGGCGAAGGCGCTGCGGCTGCACCCTGCTTGAAGCTCCGTCCGGAGCTGTCCTTCAGCCAGGCTGTTTTGCCTTTGGGATCCAGCAGGCTCTTGTGGCTAACCCGAGTGGGAAATGGCCAACTTTTCACATAATATGGAACGATTTGCGCATAGCCAGCACCCAAGGCAAAGGACTGGAGGGCATTAGGAAAGTGTCCTATGTGTAGGTCTGTCTCATACTTCCAATTGCCCCAAGAGTGCAGCCCTATCAGGCCACGATGCGGCTCGTTCATTGGCTCGAACCCGAGGCATGCTTCCAAATCCCCGATCGTATCTGCAAGGCTGCCAAACGCATGAAGATAGGAAGCCTGGAGGAGGGTTTGAATCGACACTTCGCCTTGGGTAGGAAGCAAACCCTGAGGCCTTGCAGAAGGAGAAGAGGGTGTGGAGCTGAAAGCCTCCGGCGAGACTTGTAGTTGCCAGGCGAAGACGTCGCCAGCCCAGAAAAGCGTCGCCATCGTGGATGCCGCGAGCTTTTGATAGCCACTGTTAGCAGTGAAGGCAGGAGTGAGCGAGCCGTGGTAGCGTCACCCGCAATCACTCTCATCACGTACGAGGGCCAGACAAAGGGTCCGCTGACTTCCTTGCTCTCAGAAGAACTAAGAATTTCGGAACTTGTCGCCTGACTCTTGTCAGGCGCCCCTGCGCTGGCCACGCTGTGAACATAGGCTGCACCAGTTTCCTTGAAGGCTCGAATATCGAGTCCAGCCGCTTCAAAAGTCTACGAACACCCGGGTGCCACTAAGCGTGAGCAAGACTCTGAGTGAACGTGAACTCGCTGTCTCTAGTCTCACCCAGCCCGGAGCGCCGCTCCCACCGCTAAATCTGCTCCATACGTCCTGGTGGGCGCATACGACAGCCTTTATACCATACTTTGGCATGAGCTCGAACAGCTCCTTAAGGTATGCGATGTAGCCCTGGTCCAGCTCGAAAGGCCCCGAATGCGCCAAGGACTCCCACGTGACAAGGAAGCGGATCAGCGGATGGCCCCACTCCTGAAGACGTGCAAAGTGGGTTGGCGCCTGATGGGAAAAGGGAAGAGAAATGTACTCAGCAGTACGACTGACCAACGAGGAGCAGCTGAGCTCACTTCTTCTACCGAGAAAGGCCTGCCAACAAAGTCTACGCTTCGATGCTTCCAAAAATCATCGTTGTAGATGTGCGAGAATGTCTCGGGTCGTTTTGGCCTTGTGATTGAGGTCCACGCAACCAGTGTCGTCAGTCAATCGTCGTCTTGCTGTCCATACTATACACGTGCCTCCTGCCATTGCTCACAATTTGCTTCCACCGCTGACGTTGAGACCCCGAAGACCGATGACTCTGCCGTGCCCATCCACTACATGGCTTTCTCTGACGCGTAGAGCTTCTGTGCTTCCAAGGGCTACATTCGACAAATCGTGAGCCGCATACTCTAATGGTTCGAAAGACGAGATCTTTCCCTCCCGAGCGATGTCCATCGTAAGAAGCTTGCACCTGGGTCGCGTCTAGAACAGATACACGTCCCACGCTTGGCCTCCGTATGTCGGCGGAGGCGGCCTTCTTGAATGATCGGGAAAATGCGTGTCTCGCAACCACTTGCACCTCGCTCAATCTTGCCGTCGTCAATCGCGGGTGGTTGAACGTCTCGCCTGGCTTCGTGCCGGATCGCAAGGGCTCAATCAAGAATGGCACCGCTAGACCAGTGTCTGGCTAGAAGATTTGCTGTATGGTAGGGAAGTACCTTCTTCTGCTCTGTGCGTGGTTGCGGTGCTGGAAGGATCGGACCGTCACGTCACAGGTCGAGCCGAGCGCAGTGGATGGTCATGCAATCAAGAATCGAGTGAGTACGCATACGCGAGTACGCATACCAATTAAAGCCGATATAGCTGCATATGCAGCATGCTGCATGCTGCATATATAATCACGAATGAGACGCGCAACCAGCGCGCCCCTCACGCGCACCATAGCCAGCCAGCCAGCTGCCAGCCCAAGTGCGCAGACACAGGCGCAAGATGCACGAGGGACGGGTAGCGCATTTCGCAAGTCACGTGAGCATCAGAGAGCTCCTTTTTGGTCGCGTCCAGACTCAAATTCACTGATTGATGCATGAGCCGCGAGAGCTATAGGAAGTCTTGAGTGTACCGGTACAGATAGAGCGAGGCGGGCTGCGATCAGCTTTGCAAGGGCCCACGCGTGCACCGCACCGTCTGTACCTAAACCTACACCGTACCTTTGCGGGGCGACGCGCGCCATGCACCAGAAGCATCACATAGACGCACACGCGCATTCATTTGCAGTTGCGCCTTTTGCGCTCGCTGCCTTGAAATCACTCGCTATAGTCGCGTCAGCGCTCTTGTCCGCTGCGCTTCTGCTGTGCACACCTCCTTGTGGCTCCCGTCAATCGGTGCGAGCGTGAGTCTGTCTTCTCCTCTTCCACACCTACCTCCGCACTCCCTCCGTACCTTTTTGCCCGTCTCGTCGTTCCTTGTTGGTCCACTGCACTAGCTGAACACCCACGTGCCAGCTGTTTGCTTCACAACGCACACACAGCCTAGACGGCATCTTTACGAGGCTCCTGACAGTAGTAGCTCAGTGGACGACTCACACGACTGCTCTGCAAATTTTTGAGCATCGAAGACAGAAGCTGGTTGAGCATCGAGGACAAACGCTGGTCATTTCCCTGCTAGTGCGACCTCTCCGAGCCTAAGCGCATCGCCAAAGTAACATCTGCTCGACCAACGGCATCTTTTGCAGGATAGCCCCGACGCCGTGCGAGTAGTCCGGCTCTTCGACCCTCATCCGCAACATTAGGCGCAAAGATGGGTGGAAGTCTCTCAAAAGCGATGGGAAAGATCTTTGGGAACAGGGAGATGAGAATTTTGATGCTCGGTCTGGACGCTGCGGGCAAGACGAGTGAGTGATCGACAACAGCATACATGCGAGGTCCACCGCAGTGAAACGCGGCGCAGAGGCTGGAAGTATGGAAAGTCCTGTTGCAAGGTGCATCTTTGCATTGATGCGAGGGGACCTGGCGGTTGCGAACATCTCTCTCCCAGTGCATGAGGCGTCGTGCGCTTGTGCGAATCCATCGGCGCCGCCACCTCCTTGCTCACTCTTGATTCTTGTTCAACATTCTCATCAGCCATCCTGTACAAGCTCAAGCTGAACCAAAGCGTCACGACTATCCCGACTGTTGGCTTTAACGTCGAGACTGTCCAGTACAAGAACGTCAAATTCAACGTATGGGTGAGCCCTACGCGAGACTGTGCACACGCTCAGCCACTGCTTCGTCACGATCTGACTTCTACTTCCTTTCGCCGCATCCACAAAGGACGTTGGAGGTCAAGACAAGATCCGACCCTTATGGCGACACTACTACACAGGCACGCAGGGCTTGGTGTTCGTGGTCGACAGCCAGGACAGGGACAGAATCGATGAGGCTAGACAGGAGCTGCACAGGATCATTGGAGATAGGGAAATGAGAGAGTGCCTCTTGCTTGTGTTTGCGAACAAGCAGGATCTGGCCGGAGGTGAGTCTGAGCAAAAGGATTGTTGCCTTTGAGAGAATGCAGCGAATGTCGAACATGGGTCAAGTCTGTACCGATGGGGTGGGGCAGCGGCGGCAGCAGCAGCAGCATTCCTTTCGCACCTTGAGACAGCAGCTCTGGATTGCAGCTCACCGCGAATCTGATGACAAACGAGACTCACGCGCGTCTTTCTCTTGCGCATTCTCAGCCATGTCACCTGCAGAAGTCACCGAGAAGCTGGGCCTGCACCGGATGAGGGATCGATCTTGGTTCGTGCATCCCAGTTGCGCAACAAGTGGCGAGGTGAGTCGTGCTCTTCTCAGTCCAATGTCTTTGGTGTATATGCACTAAAGGCAACAATCCTTGCTGTCTTTCATCCTCAGGGTTTGTTTGAAGGGCTTAGCTGGCTGAGCACCAATGTCAAGAAACAGCAGGGTGCTTGAGCATCTGAGCCTCCCGAATGGCTCTGCATCAGGTGAAGCAAGCATGTGTAAGTGCCTGCATGGGAAAAAGTTGCCGGCACATCCTTTTTGGAAGGCCAGAAACGCAGACAAGACACAGTACGAAGCTGGACGGTTCCCAACTCTAGGTCTTCCAACTAGAGCGGCGCGAGGGATCACCTGCGCAGACGTTTTGCGGCCCCTTTCGCCTTTGCCTACCTCTTGTCGCATTCGTCCGACATTGTCGCATCCCCTCTCTCTTATTCGCCTTTTGTTCCCTCGCCTCGATCCGCCGGAGCACAGTTCAGTCTACACCCTTGAGTGAACGTGCAGCCTTTTCCTTTACATGCAAGCAAAGCTCAGATACCAGTACCTTGTTGGTCAAGGTCGTACCTGCGTGATGTGAAGCGCGCTGATACGTCCCGCCTTGCAGCGCTTTCGATGTGCCTTTGACGACGCATTCATTCAAAGTGAGGAAAGTAGAGCTTCTGAGATAAGTTACAGCTTCGGGAACAAGGCTAGCGACGGTTGGATCTTCCGCAGAGTGTGTGTGGTTGATTTGTGTGATTGTAAAAGGGTGTGCGAAGAGATGCAACGGAATGTCTAGGTAAGTGGAAGGAGCAACTCGTGTGCAAGAGGCTGTATGGAGGATGATGAGATTCTAAGCGCGTCGGGATCAGAGTGATGCGAGTGTCCGGTGATGAGTCTCTCTGCGGGATGCGTCGAGGAAGAATTAATTTGGAGACTGAAGTAATAATGCCCAGTATCACAAGAAATTGTCGCGATAGCCTCGGAGTCCGAGTTTTCCAGAGCCGCCTTGCTGAGCGGGCGTATTGAAGCGTTCACTGTCAGGCGGATTCTGTTGGTCTCCTGCATGTCTGGAGGTCTCGGGAGCGTCATGAGATGTTCCAGGGCGAGACTCTTGATGACTTGGCAGCACATCACCATACATGTAAGCGGCTCGTTGAGCCGCACTGGTAGGATCATCTGCAAAGGGTTCTGGGGACCGCTGCCAAGGGTTTTCCCCAGCAGCCGGTGCGATTGGGGGCGAGCCGAGATCGCGGGCGTCTCGGGAGACTCTTCTGGCCAAGCCGCCCCACGCAGTGTGTTGGAAGCTCTCGATCAGAGGCGATGCCCGTCGCACCAGTTCTTCCAGGCTGACATCAGCAGGGCTGATCGTGATCGCCGGCGACACGGCGCCATCGGGACTACGACGACTGGGCGAAAGTCGCTCCTCTCCCGGCTTCAGACCGGCACTCATGTAATCTTGGTCGACAGCCAGACCAGCTGGCGGGGTTACGACGGGACTCGAAGTGTTGAGCTGGAGCTGAGGTCTTGTCTGTCGAGACCCTGTGCTGGCTCCAGCTTCTGGGGCGTCCACATTGATGGTAGGAATTGGGGCATCTGATATACTAGCACGCCTTCGCTCTTCTCGCACTGCAAGGAAGCGCTGACGTAGGTACATTTGTCGTAGCATTCCGCGGACGATGTTAGCTTCAATGCGCATGTCGACCTTCTCCCATAGCATGCGGCGCTCGAGCAGCTCCTCTAGGCTCAGCGCTTGTTCATCGTCGATGATGAGGTGGTGCGCTAGGATGATGAGCGCATCCGTGAAGGGGAGGCCCTTTTCCTCCCGATGTTTCTCCTGTATGGCGATCATCATTTCCTGATAGATTCGTTCGAAGCGACGACGACGCTCCTTGATCTGCGCCGAGTCCAGCTTGTCTATAGCTGCGCCAAGCTTGTCGACGTCGATACCAGCGACAATTCGGGCGGGCTGTGAAGTGGGCGGCCAGGCGAAAGCCGGTCTCCCTGCTCCCTCATCTTCCGAGCGAGGGGTAGCGCTGAGCGGTGAGGTGCCCCGCAAACGTGCGAGTGCCTCGGAAGCGGCACCAGTCACACCGCCTCTGGACGGACTGGACGGCATAGCCTCGTTGGCCCCGGGGGTGGCGGCAGCTCGGAGCGTCGAGAGACGCCCTTCTTGCAGGTAGACTCGGACTTCGAATATACCGTTGAGGGCATTTAAAAAAGGGACGATGCGAGCTGGCTGAAGGTAGCCTTTCCGCTCGGGGTCGAAAGCTGCCCAGGTCTTCTTGAATGCGCGCATTTGTTCGCGAGATAGCGTCGGTTTGCCTCCGAGCTGGAAGACGTAAGAAAAGTTCTCGACTACAGTACCTGTGAACATGTTCAAGAACAGGTACATAGAGATAACGTTCCACGCGATGAAAAGGGTGAGCGCACCTGATGACGTTCCGCAATCAGTGTCGAGGTAGCTTGCTGCTGGAGTGCATTCGGGGGGCTGCACTGTGTAGTCGTGCATATACTGGTTCCAACCTTCTCCGGTCGAGAGCGCGCTCAAGAAGATGACACTGCCGAAGAAGGTCGAGAAGTTCTTCGAGTAGGTCTCATTCTCGCCCCAGCGCGTAAGTCCAAAGACCTCTACGAACATGATTGCGAAGGTGATGAAGAACACCAACCACAGGGCGAACAGCGAACCGATGGCTGGCAGCGAGGCTACAGCAGTCTTGAAGAGCTGATTCAGAGCATTGTTCTTCTGCACAAGCTTGAATGCGACGGCTGTGAGAAAGATCTTTTGGAGCTGCACGTCGACCGTGCTGGCAAGTTCTGTAGGCGAGAGGAGAGGCAGTGTGGTAGCAAAGGTACCAGCAACGACGACTAGATCGTAGATGTTCCAGAAGTTGTTCTTGTAAGCCCGCCAGCCTAGACCCATCAAGCGAACGATGATGTCGATCGCGTAGATGACTGCGAATCCTACATAGACCCAGTCGCGTGCCCTCTCTACCTCGGTAGGATCAGAAAATTGTTGTGTAGCCAAAACGATGATGTTGCAAAAGTAGAGGAATGTCATCATGCGCGACCACCAGCCGTGCTTTTGTGTTGCACGTGCAAAGCACCAGGCGCGGACTGCATCCTTCGGCTGCACCTTGGGCCGCTTAGAAGGTCGCTGTCGTTTGATGAGACGCTTCAGGTCGACCCATTGGCGTTGTTCATTCGTCAAGAATGCCGCGCCTGAGAATGTCTGAAACTGCTCGATGATGACGGACACGAAAATCGTCAAGACGATGACGGCGCCGACGAGGTTGTAAACCAAAAAGAAAAGTGCGTTGATCTGCCTGGCATCGGGTTGGGGCTGCTGGTCCCGGCCCACGATGCTCATGGCACGTGTCATGACTGCCACCCACCCCTCCAACGAGACAATTTCGAAGAGGATGAGAAGGGCAGAGCGGAAATCGTCGAAGGAGTACACGCTGCCGTCTGTTGGGTTGTCCCATACACGAGGCGCCAAAAAGCTCCATTGGGATGCAGTAGCCGAGTATTCTCCGATGCAATCGGCTTTGACCGCGATGGCGTCGCCCGTGTCGTTGCAAGCATACAGCAGGCCGCTGAACAGATTCTGTCCCCAAACAGCGTATGGGACGATGTAGAGGATTGCGAGCACGGATGCATCGATGAAGCGACCGCCACCTGCGACTAGCGCGTGAAATGTGTTGCGAAGTACGCTGGCCAGATTGATGAGACGCAACGCTCTGAAAGCTTTCAGAGATCGCGTAAAGCGGCTGACACCTCCAATGACTGCCAGCTCCGTAATCACGTTGACTACTAGAGTAGCGAGCACGAAGAGGTCGAGAGAGTTCCAGGCGGAAAGGAGATAAGCGTTCGGCGTGAAGGCCAGACCGTCCGCGACGACCTTCAGGAAGAATTCCAGGAGGAAGACGACACTGAGCGAGACTTCCGTGATACTGAACCAAGAGCCTCGCTTGAGGCCATGCTCTCTGTACCAGTCGCGGCGGTATGTCGGTGTCGCGACGCCAGCTACAACAATCGAGGCAGCGATGGTGAGGAACATGACGATCTGGTACACTGTGTGACGACTGCGTGAGACCGGTCGTCCGAAAAGACGCTCTCCGTAACTCGGAGGAACAATGCTCTGACAGAATCGTCGGAAGGGGTTCCTGCTGGAGAAAAGCCAGAGCGACTTTTCATAAGAAGGATGCGTGTTCATGAGGCGGGCCTGGGCGATACGTGGGTCGTGTTGCCAGCGGGTGGCGTGCTCGGCGTTGATTGCAGACTGAGAGGGTGGCTCGGCAAGACCAAGACCAAAGTCGGTGCGCATGCGAGACAACCGACGCTCTCGAGCAAACAGTCGCGCCTGCTCATCTTCTGTGAGTGTGTCAAAGATTGAATCACCGCGCGATGGCATGCGCCGTGACCTACGCCCATCCGGATCCTGCTGCGCTCGCAAAGCACCCTGTAGCATAGACTCTCCGGAAATTGACCGTCTGGCATCTCGAGCACGGATAGTGTCCAGTGGGACATGCTCCTCGGGCGCGTCTAGACGCAAAACCTTCTTAACGGTATCCATGATACGCTTGATCCTTGAAGGGTTGACGACCTGATGCAGAGTCATTCGCCGCCGCTTCTCTTCGTCCACAGCATTGGCTCCTTGCGACATCCCAGTGCCTTGCGACATCTTTGCTTGGTTGCGTTCGCGTAGCCAGCGATAGGGACTGAATTGGTCCAGAAGTCGCGCCGGTAGGGCTTGTCTAGGCTCCCCTAGCTTCTGCAAGTACATTTCCAGCTGCTGCGCGCGCTTTTGGCCCTCTGCAACGCTGAAATTCTCGTTGATGACGGCAACAAACAGACTCAGAACAATGAAGTTGGCAAACATCATCCAGCCCCCGAGAAAGATACCGACGATTACGGCTTGTTTGTACTGAGAGCCAGCTTCGAGACTGCTGTAAAGCCGATCTGGCCAGTCTTCTGCAGTCATGATTTGCCACTGACCTGCGAAGCTGTACCAATAACGACCATAGTTTAAGAAGGTTGAGACTCCTCCGTCGTCATCCTCTTGTGGGAGCTCTCCACGCAGCAGCTGGGCAGCTAGCAGGGCGGAGAGTCCAATCATCAAGATCAAGAAGAGGGTTGTGTTGATGAGACCGCTCATTGAACCAAAGACTCGGATCAAGAGAGCTTGCATACGCGGGACTGCTGCGATAACACGATAGAACCTAGCCAATTGAAAGAAAGTCAGCCAAGGATAGGCGGCGCTCGAATGAATGACGGGGATTTGGATGATCGAGGTGATGAGAGCCAAGAACAAGTCGACCAGATTGCGTCGAGAGGCGAAGAAACCGCGCGAGTCGCGGTCAAGCACGAAGGAGATGAACCTCAAAAGGATCTCGACATCGAAGAGGACGGTCAGGGCAAGCTCGGCTAAGTAGCCGCGGCGCTCTTCCTCCTCGGTGTTATATGATGCCTGGCTTGCTTGCAAGCCAAGGTCGGTAATGATGGCGAGAAGCCAAAAGTACTTCGTCCATCCCCAAATTTGCTTGTAGACGTTTGCGACTCGTTTGCGATACTGCGCCATCGCATTATTCTCCTCCTCTTTTGGGACAGCAGCGACTTCGATTCTGAGAGCAGGCGAAAGTTGGGCGGTGAGTGAAGAGCTGCAAGCAAAGATCAAGCAGCGTGTACTTACTTCTCGTCAGCGAAAGCAGAATGCTTCGTTTCGGCCGTAATCGTTGCAAAAGTGTTCGTGATCACGGCAACGAACAAGTTTGCCAGCCAAAAATTGAGAAGGATGACGGCGACAATGAAGTAAAGGCAAGACACGAAAGGCTCAGTGTCCACAATGTCGTACATGGTGTCCGACCAGTTGTTGGCTGACCGTCGCGCAACGATGATGCTGTCAGTGAAGGGCCTGGATGAAGGCAGTTGGGGCATCACCAAGCGACAACTTACCACCAATGATGATGACGACTTGTAGCAAAGAAGCAAAGATGTGGTCAAAGCTTCTTGTTCCGCCCTCGGGGTTTTCCTCGCTCCTTACGCAAACCAATCCGCGCGGGCAGATGTAGCCCTTCGGACTTCCGAGTGAGGAGCCAGCTTCGGTGAGCGGACCGACCACTTGACCACTAGCGACGTCAACGTGCCCCCCGCAGAACTGGCTAAGGGTGTAGTTGGTGCCGGGTTCACTGTCGTAGTCACCGACCCAGATGCAGCTCCTCCGCAGGCTGCCTCGGAAAGCTTGTACGCCGATGATGCTGAAGAGCAACATCGCAAATCCAGTGAAGAATGCAACGTTGACTAGCAATGGGGCTGCCATTTTTAGACTCGCCAGAATTGTCGTCGTACCGTTCGTGACTGTGAGCAGACGAGCCGCGCGGAGGACGGCAATTGCTCGGAAAATGTAGAGGTGTCGGTCTGAGGTCTGCTCGGCGTGAAATATGCCGAGCAAGAAAGCAACCCAGAAGCAAATGACAGACAACAGGTCAACGCGATTCCAGCTGTGTCGCAAGTAAGCATAATTCGCAGCTTGCGCTCGCTGCGCGAGGATAGCTTGAGCGAAAGGAAGCGGACGTGACGCAAGAAACTTGGCTCCAGCATCAGAGGCTTGTGGTGGCATCGTGCTGCTCTCCTGCTTCTGCGAGGCGCCGGGTCGAGAGGTCGGCGCGATGGTGTCGCCCCACTCGCTGAAGCCCATTCTACCGTCAGGTGCGAGTTTATGCGAAGTCACTAGTCTTGGCGATGTATTGGGAGACTGGCCCTGAAGTTTGGATACATTTGCAGTAGGTCCGTGCTCCAGGTAGGACTTCCTTGACGCCGTGCTGGTACCCATGTGATCGTCGCGGTGCCGATACAGCATGACGTTAGCGCGGTTCTTGAGCGAATCACCTAGCTCAGCAAACGTGTCGAGGGTATTGGACTTCGACATTCTTCGCCGCCTTGCTGCTACAGAGTTTGGGTCCTCCAAAGAGCCGAGCTTATCTGTCGATTCGACTTCGGCATCTTCCGAACCATCAATGCGACCTGTGTGATGAAGGTCATGATTGGTAACCGAGCCGCCCACCACGCCACCGTAAACGAGGGGTGGGGGGTTGATCAAAAGCCCCGAGACGACCACCCGTGCGACGACCTCGAGACTATAGGTCGGGCGGAGATCGATGAGCTGCGATGAAATTGCAAGGATTCCCGGTGTGCTGAGACTTACGTAAAGACGGAAAAGATGGCCAGCAAGACATAGTCCGGCCAGTAATCAAAATATCCGGGCTTCCGTGGGTCCTTATACGCGCTGGGCCACGATTGCACCACAAAGGTGACGAGAACGACGATGATCAAGCACAGAATCAGTGGCTCAAACCATCTTGAGGCGACAAGGAGAGGATTGTCAGCACGGCAGCACACGGCAACTCCACAGAAGACTTCACTCACATGTTAGATAGTAAGCGGGCCATGATCCGCCGGAACTTGTTCTCCGGTCCCAAAAGCCCGAGACTCCGACCTCGCAAGACCTGCTCGCGGGGTCGAACTTTCTCGCTCTTCGAGGACTTGGGTGTCTCACGCGTGTTGTCACCAGCATCGCTGCCATCCTCGCCAGCAAGCCGAATGTGCGGCCCCCGCAGCCCATCAGCATCCATCGGTTGCTCAAAACCTACAACCCTGCGACTGACACGTCTGATGGACTTGCCCACTCGATCCAAGCCAGCTCTTGCCGTTTGGACGAGCGGAGAGTCCCCTCCTGCACCAGCGATGATTTCAGCAGGTGAACGATGAGAGAGTCGCGGACCCTCGCTAGGCACGTCATCTTGGCCAAAATACTCCACCTGATCCATGCGAGAAGGCGAAGCTGCGGCGTAGAGGTGATTTCGGCTTCGCTTTCCTGGCCCCATCGGTGGGCTTTCTGCGGCTGATGACATCTCGCCGGGCGATTGCACCTCCTGTGCCTGTCCAAATTGGCTCCAGCCCTGCGCTGCACCGAATCGCACATCTGGAAGGGCAGCGTGATCGCGCAAGCTTACTGGCGATTGGGAAGGAGAATCGCTGAGGATGCGAGGCGCTGAGAAGTCTAGATGGAAAGGTCCGGCACCGTCGTAGGCGCCTGTATCGACCGAAGCTCCCCCTTCGAAAGCACGGTGTCGACTTTGCATGCGACCCACATCGCCCAATGCCGAAGCGGCACTACCGTCGCGTCCATGGCCAGAGGGACCGGCACTTTGAGCGTACGGCCCGAGAGTCCCTGCCAGAACCTCGCCTGTGGAGCCTGGAGGCGCAGATCGAAAAGGCTCGTCGAACGAGGATTCCAAGGGATTGTAAAAGCTGGCCGCACTGCCTGACGATCCATGCTGACGCCGGTTGTTGCTGTACTGGCTGGCAACTGTGCCAATGTGTAGCTCTTGCTCATCCTCTCCATCTCTCATTCGCGCACCACTGCCCAAATACACTTGAGCAGCGGCATCAGGATCTCCCCTGCTAAGACGACGTGATAGTCCGGCGTGCATCTGAGGCGAGCTTGTCGGACTGACATCGCGACTGGAAGAGCCATTTCTAGCCGGATCTGCGCTGGTGCTGTGTCCGTACGACATGTCTCCGTCGTAACGACCTTGGTAGTACGATGCAATAGTGCGACCGCCTCCGCTTTGAGCGCTTGATCGTAGATTTGTGCCCTCTGCTGCTGCCGGATCTGAAGGGGGTTGGAGAGCATTCGGAGTTCCCCTCACAGGCGAACGAGGCCGCGACATGCTGACAAGCCTATTCAGCGATCTCGAGCCGGAAATGTTGGCCTACCGGTATACTACAAGACGTGCCATGCGACGTATTGGGCATACGGCCTTCGAGGTGCGCGAGTGTAGTTTGGGAAAGTCCGACTGAGTATCCCGAAGTAATGTGATCCTGGCGCAACCCAACCCGTCGACGGTATGATCTGATGGAAGCAGGGACGGTGGCTGCAAAATCTCTGGAGAGCGAGGCTTGGATCGTATTCAGGGGAAGGGATGATGAAAGAGGATATTTCATTTGAGTCAATTCGAGATTCCCTGGATTCACGATTACTCTTGATCCAGATCCAAGATTCAAGATTCTTACTTCAAAATCCTGCTGGATTCGCATGGACGCGCGCTTCGCCGCCCGTGCATTCAAGGATTGTAAATTCTTGATTCAGATTCAGAAGCGCCGAGAGGTTCAAGCTCGATCTTTGAATACTTGATGAAGATTTAAGCAAGTCAGATTCAAGACTTGGGAGCCGGGTTGGGGCGCGTACCTCATCTCATTAACATTTTTAGAGAGTTGAGTTTTGAGTCCTGAGTGTTATTGTAGACACCTACCTACATGTATAATCAAATCTTGAATCAAATGCATGCTGCCGACAGCTCACAGATGAGGCATGCACAGCCTTATAGCGTGTTCCCGCGCAAGTCCGGCGCACGCGCGTCCGCAGGCTTGCATAGCCGCGAATCGTGATGACTTTTGGCTGGGCCTCACGTGAAGCGCTGGGAACCTCCACCTCAGGACGCTGCCCGCGAACCAGCATAGAGCATGGCCGGCTCGAGGTACACGCTAGCTCATACCTATCACAACATTCGTGGATGTCACTTCTGCCTCACGACTCATTCGCTTCTGCCAGATGGACCGTTGTCGCTAGCTCTGCCATACTCACATCTCACCATTCCACTTGTTGACCCGACATACGACGATCTTCACTCAGGCGCGATTCAGACTGCAATCCCGTTCCCATAAAGCAGCATGCCGGTGCCCACCTATTTCCCCTCGCTGGCTTGCGTCTCAGGAGCAACAGCTGTCGCATTCGGTGAGTGTTTTGGTTGAATGAACTCTCTTCGCAGCGAGCTGACGAAGACGTGCACTCCCGTACAGGTGCTTTTGGCGCGCACGCTCTGCGTCCTCATCTCAATGCACATCGTGAGTGCTCGACAGCAGTCAATGAAGAAGATCTTTCGGCACCAGCCTTGCTCAGCCATCTCACACTTCTGACTGCCGCGCAGAGCAAGCATCTTGGCAGACAGCCACGATCTACCACCTCGTGCACTCTGCCGCTTTGCTCATCACTACCACGCTACCGATCGCTCCGTCGGCGGCGCTCACCACCAGTGCTTGGTCATTCGCGACCGGTATCACACTGTTTTCGGGCTCTGTGAGTGCATATATTTGGCCGAATGTCCTTTTGCGATGCTGCGGGTACTTACTTCTTGCTCGCCGGCTCAGATCTACGGGCTCTGCCTCACCAAGGAAGGTCATCCATCGCGTAAAATTCTTGGGCCTGCCACACCTCTAGGAGGGCTGGCATTCATCGCTGGATGGGTCGCTCTCGCCGTTGCCCAAAGAAGAGGGGCACCCAGGCTGCGGTGAGGATGCTCAGCGCTAGCTACATGTTTCGGATTCTCAGTGGAACAATCAGCGAATGGCGCAAGACCTGCTATTGGATACACGTTTGATTCTGAATCAGGGAAAGGATAATCTGTCCTACAAGCCTGGGTCTGCGTGCATCAGGAGCAACAGCACCACCCATCGTCGCATGTACACAGAGACAGGGCATCTCCTCATGCAAGTCCCGCTTGATCGTCAAAGATGGCCAACGCAGCAGGCGACAAGAACGAATGATGTTCTCGAGGATCCAGCGTGCTATCACCACCCTCTCTTGTGACGGAGAGATGACTGAGACAGACGCCGAGCGTCGTGGCGTCCCCTGCTGGATGCCCATGACAGAAATCGCTGTGAATCAAGAATTTGAGTGCGGGCGCCGAGTTTCGCGCACGTTGACTCGTGATTCAGATTCAAAATTCACAATTGAGATTCTTGATTCCTGATTGCTGCATCCAGCTAAAAACGGTTTGAGTCACGAGTCTGATGAGTGTAGCCAGCTGCAGGCCGCTCGCTCTGTGTATGATGATTAAGAATGCCTGAATTGCTCCTGCTGCTGCTTATCAAACTTACGCGTCCGATGGCTGCCGTTTCGATCTCGTCACGATCGGGCAAAGCAGCGCAGCAGCAGCGCTTCCATGCGCCGGCGTATGTGCGCATCTCACCTCCAGTCACGAGTCTGTGAGTGCAAGGCGCCAGGTTCGGTGATGCTTAACAAACAACCTGTGGGGGCTGCAATTATTGAATCACGAATCGTGAATCTGTGACTGATGACCACGCTTTCATGCATTTGTCCATCTCATCGACCACTACATCCTCAAACGTACAAGTCAGCTCGTTGCACCCAAAGCATAGCGCTATCATGTCTTCTCAAGCCGTCTCTATCGATCGTCTGGCGTTGCATGCCCTGCGCTTCAAGGCCAGCACTCCCTCAGCATTGGTGCTCGGGCTCGGTTTGTAAGTTCTCAAAAATTGAGGCTTCACGTGGGTGGTGACGCTAGCTGCTGAGCTGATGTATGCACCCCTATGCGTGTGTTTGGGAAACGCACTCAGCGCTGCCAACTCATATCTCTTCCTTGGTAACATTGCGCTCGCCGGCCTAGGCCCCTTGCCTGTCATCACTTCCTGGAGGGAGGAGCTGGGCTTGCGCGCAGGACAAAGCACCGTGATGTGAGTACAAGCTCGTCGAGCCCGGCGGGCCGATGCGCTCGCTCAGGCTGGTCGGAGAGATGCTGCTCCCATTGGGGATGGGCCTACAATCTTGATTAGTATCGTGTGTGACACTGGGCTGGGCATGCGCAAGCAGGAGCCAGCTTGCATGGGCCCCTATGTGCTTCCAAAGTCTGTAGCTGACACACGCAATCCACGATACTCTTGTCATCAGATTCAAGAAATTCTACAAATCGGCGACCCCTTACTTTGCCGGGTCCGCAGTCCTTTCAGCTCTGTCGTTCCTGGCCACAGGCTTCCTCGCTCGTCCTCTGAGAGTCCTCGTCTGGCCTGCCGCACTTGTCACGGGAGCTGTGCCAATCTACACCTACTTTGCCAGTAAGTCATCGCGTATGTCCAAGTACGCGGACGCACAAGATTTCTGTGGATCGCTGTCGTTTCTAGCTAGGCCCCACCGCCCGCTTTCTAACGCCGGCATGCTTTTGTCGACTGTCGCAGTGTACCCAAACATCAACGCAATTTGCGACACGGCAGACACTGTGGGACCAGTCAAAGGTGCTATTGAGACGCTCTCCCCAAACGAAATCAAGCAGACGGACGAGCGCATTAACAAGTGGATTCTGCTCAACAACATTCGAATGGGTCTCTCTGGCACAGCTTGGTAAGTGTGCCGCGTACGAAGTCCTGACGCAAATCCGCATTACCGTCGCCTCTCCGATGAGATCGGTCGCTGACACAGCCTCTCGCATGCCGCCACCAGGTTGTTCGCCTTCTCTGCCGTTCTGCTGTACTGAGCAGGAAGGCACTCGCAGACCGCACCTTCTTTTTGTGAAGCCATCGCTCGTATCGACGTACCCAACTGGCAGCGCTGCCATTCATTGTATCCTTTGCTTGTGATTCTGCGCAGAAATGCATGGCAGAGACTCCCATTTGAATGAGAAGATTAGCGAGAGGGGATCTGCTGGCATGCCGAATTCGCGCAGGGGCATGGCAACAGAGATGCATTTCTAATGAACGAGAGGGTTACATGAGCGAGATCTGACGCTGCTCAACCGATGATAAGCTTGCCCTCGCCGTCGTTGAAAGAACTGCAGAATCGAGGTGGCGAAGTCAGTAGCCGTAGTGATGACTGCGCGTCGAGGTACTCACTACTCTGGAACCTCCAAGTTCAAAGGTGCCGGGCCTTTTCGTGCGCGGCCACTGATGTCGTAGTGAGAACCGTGGCATGGGCAGTACCTATGTACCAAAACAGCGGGCAGGACGTAAGCTCCCCGGCACACAAAAGCGACGCATCCATCAAGCGACTCACCAGCCGCCAAAGTCGCCAGCCTCGCCAATGGGTACGCAACCCAAATGGGTGCATACACCGAGCATGACAAGCCATTCGGGACGCTGAGCGCGGTCCGAGTCCTTTTGAGGGTCACGCAGCTTGCTGACGTCGACTTTGTTGGCCTCCTCGATTTCGTCTGCAGTACGGTGTCTAACAAAAACTGGCTTTCCACGCCACTTGATGATCGCGTTCTTTCCCTCCGGAATGGATTCCAGCTCAACTTCCACCTTCGCCAAGGCAAGAACGTCCGCTGACGCGCTCATCGAAGCCAAAAAGTCCTGCACTGTCGCTCGCGCACCCGATGCAGCGACCAACCCAAAGGTGCCTACCATGAAGTAGCTGAATGCCTTGTTGCTCGTGGGGTTCGAGGTTCGGTACGCGCCAAAGTCCGGAACAGTCTGCAATTGACGGCTGGAGGTGTGAATTCCGCGCAGAGAAGACCTAGAGGCGAGGCCAGTGGATGGAAGCGCTGAGACGACAAAGCACATGCGTCAGCACCTCTCGCATGCTAACTACCCCTTTTGTGTTGCGAGAGCGCTTCCCTCTCAGACCCCAAACATACTGGTCAAACCTTTCTCTATTTAGACATGCTCTCAGGAGACTCACCGTTCACGTTGGTGCGCGCAAAAGCAGCGGAAGCGGAAGGCTTGCCAAGCGCCCATGTTGGCACAGCGGTGCCATCGTGACGAGGAGCAGGTCCGTCGTGGTGAGCGTGTGGGTCCTCTGGTGCTCGCGCCGACAAGTTGACAGCTGATTGTGGTGCTCCTGATGCGGACACACGCACAGTAGGCCTGGAGAATGACGTGCACAAAACGTGTCGGAGCAAGGCATGTAAGTTGTGTGCAGATTCATCGCGAGCCGGCAAGTCGCCGCCGGAACCCTACAATCCAAAGGTAGGGCAACACTCACAGCAGGTTGGAGAAGGTTCGGCTACGCAAAGACAACGTCGACATTTTGACAAACAGCTCCCAAAACGGAATGGGCACTACGTGTGACGAATCGTGAATGGAGCTGCCAGCGTGACGACAGGGGTGATGTGATGATTGTCCCTGCCAGCGTCTATCCACTTTCAGGTTTGTGTGTCCAACCAGCTGTATCACTACAGCCCAGTGTAGTACCTAGCAGCTGCGAGAAGGATCACTCTTGACTGGGCGTAATGCAGCCAGCCAGCCAGGCGCGTCCGACGGGCGCACGAATCAGCGTGCGCTGGGTTTTTGTCAGCGGGATCCCGCGCGGCTCAGTCCGATCAGCCACGTGGCGTGCACTCGTGGTTCAAACTTGCTGCCCGCACCTGATGTCCCCGCTCAATTTGATATTATTCGTGATCCTTGATTCACGTTGTACCAGATTGAACGTGGCTGTGTTGTGCGCGTGCGTACAGCATCGACGCGAGAGCAGAGTAGCTGCGTCGCGGCAACGCTGGATCGGAGCTCCCACGTTGACAGGCAAAGCATCGACCATATCAACGTGTTGTTCTTCGGCAGACGCACGCACGCTTGGTAAGTACTTCAAATACCTCTTCTTTTGACTCTCCACAAGCAAGCTGATTACACCTATTCAGGCCACCGAACATCGACGTTTGAGGAAGCACCCAACGGGTGGTCTCCCATCCAGCGAGATCCGCAATGACTGACGCAGGCAATCCTCCTCCTGACGCTCACTGGGATGGGGCCGACCTAGGAGCTGCGGATGATGGTAGCGATGGCGAAAATTGGGACAAAATCGATAGACAAGGCATATTGTTGCTCTTGTGGATACATGGGTAAGTAGGGCGCTTTGCAGACTTACAAGGTCACATTTCTCACTGCATCTCCTTGCTCGCTCGGCCTATCGCAGTTTCAAAGGATCATCAACCACGACCTTCTGTGACTTTCCGGCACGAGTGGCGCACATGGTACAGGAGACGCATCCCAACTTGGCCGTCTGCTCCGAGGTGTATCCGACCTACGAGACTCGAGGCTCCTTAGCTGCGGCTTCGGAAGCTCTTCTCGAGTGGCTCACTCTTCGCGCTGTCGAGTTGGAATGCAAGCCTCTAACGGATGAGAAGACGGGTCAGGAGGTGCCAGCCAACGTATCGGGCAGAGGCCTTGGTGCGGGCAGTGTCCGCATCGTCCTCTGCGGTCACAGTATGGGGGGATTGGTGGCCGTGGATGCGGCTCTTAGCGCTGCTTCGTCCGCGCCCCCAGGACCTCATCGACACGACCGGCTCTGGCCCCGAATCGTTGGTCTCATTGCCTTCGACACGCCATACTACGGTGTTCATCCGGGAACATTCAAGAACAGTGCAACAAAATATGGAGGGTATCTGAAGCAAGCACACTCGATTGGCACCCAACTAGCGCCCTTGGGAGCCGGTCTTGGGCTTTGGGGAGCTTCAAAGGCAGCAGCCAATCCTGCCCCTGCAAATGCTCATAGGATCGCAAATGGTGCATCGCCCTCGTCTGCTTCTTCGCAGTCGACAGGCTCGAAGCAGGAGCAGAAGAAGAGCAGCTCTTGGAGCAGTGCGCTCATGATTGGCGGTGCTGCTATGACCGTGCTCGCCGGGGCCGCAGGGGGTGCTTACTTCGGCGGAGGCTTTGAATGGCTGAACGATCACTTCTTGTTCGTCAGCAATCTCTGGGATGATCAGGGCCTAAAGTCAAGGTGAGAGTGTCTGTCCTCCTCGCTGCATGGAAAACCTGATGGCTGACCACTCAAATATCTCAGACTCGAGCGTCTCGTCGATCAGCCACAAATCTTCTTCCATGCGCTCTACAATCGTCTGCCTCCGCAGCCAGCCTCGTCGGACAGGCGCACCTTCATCGTTCTCCCACCTGGCAGTTCGCCGGTCGGAGAGAGCTTCGAGCCCATCGAATGTCCAGGCGATATCGATGAGGTGGGGGCACACATGGCAATGTTCGACTCACGGTCGAAGACATACTTCAACATGGGACTGCGTGAGCTGCACTGGGCGCCGCCGCGAAGACTAGCGCGTTCACAGTTGACAATATGATTCTTTCGGGCAGGTGCTGCTGCTCTGGTCGCGCAGTGCATTGACAATGAGACGGCTGAAACGACACCTGAGGCAACAGTCAAGCAGGAATCGTCCGCTCCATAGTTCTTTTCTTTGCGACCTTCTAGCACCTGAGCTACTACCAAGGACGCCCCCAATCAAAGCGAGCCACTATCTGGATTGGGATTGCACCAACCAGGACTGACATCTTGTCAGACTGCGAAGCTATTTCGCGCCACCCAGATACATTGGGTCTCAGTCGAAAATGCCTACCCAAGGGCATTGGCAAATTTTTCTGCTGCTGCTCACACCTGCTCGAAGCGCTCCGCCCATGTGCACTGCCAAGGAGTAGGATTCAGCTTTCATCAGGCCGTTGGACAATTTCCTTACGGTATGTCGGAGCCATCTTGGTCGGTGTGCACGACCTAAACGACGCAGTCGTGTCCGGCTCTGTCCACTCAAAGATTGCTTTGGCGGCTTTCTTTTGCCCTTCAGAATTGAGTGGGGCAGCATGTATCTCTCCTCTATGTAGCAGCCCATAGACCCTGGCAGTCACCCCATCCTTGCAAATGTTTGCATCACCTTTCCCGCAGCTGTTCGATGCCCAGCAGATTCGAGCAACGTCAGTGATGACTTATTCAAATGTACACCTGAATGTGTCCCCACTCAAACCCATTTTCATTGGCCAGAATTCAATCACGAGCCTGAGCCAGCTTCAGGAACACGGCTGCAGTCGTGAGTGGCGGATTGCTCCATGTCTCATCTTCGGTTGCGGAGGACTTGGAGCCGGAGTTGCATCGAGTGTCGTTGTACAGGTCTCAGCTCTCGGGTCTCAAATCTTCGCAGATGCCATGTGGTCGGCATCGCCATCACCGTGACGCGGAAAACAAGGAAGTTTTGAGGGTGATTTCGGTCCAGAATCAGGCAAGCATACACCGCACGTGAGCGTGAAAGATTGCTGGGGGGGATGTCAGCAAGTGGCGCACGTGGTGCTGCGTGTAGGCCCGAAGCTAAATTTAAGAACGCTGCAGAAGAGCGATGACTGCATGGGCGCGTTGGCGAGGCCCATCATCAATCAAAATCAAACTCAGCACGTGAAGCATCAGCCAAAATTGAGAAATTTTGATTCACCGCCTCTTCTGCCTTGCTCGATCTACGCTGCTGGTGGTGGTGGCAGCATGCAGCGCCGAGATGGTCTTTGCCGCCTAGCTGCCCTGCATCAGCTAGCTACAGCTATAGCTGTGCACAAATACCATAGCTAGCATGCATGTTAGCAAAGACGGCCTCGACGGACGGCCTTTGGGCGGAGTCACGAGTCTGCGCGAGTGACAAGAGCTGCGAGATCTGACTCATCGGAGGGATGACGGTGACGGCAGAGCCTAGACTGATGAGCTTCAGTCGAGCTACACATACCGTACACACGTAGCTAATCTTGCAGCACCGCACGGATTGATGGCAGACGCGCGAGAAGGTGCGTCACGAGCGAGTCACGAGTCACGAGTAAGTCGGTCACTGACTCGTGCATGCATCATAACCGAACTGCCGCGCACGTCTGACTCGAGCTCTAAATTCACCTACATCTTCGCTTCCTCCTTCACATCCATCAGACCCATCCGGCTATACTTGTAACAATCGACTCGGCCAACACTTGTGTCAATCATGTCTTCGGAGCACCCAACGATCTTGCCAGCCGTCAACGGCGTGAACGGCACCAATGGATCGGCTGCAGCGCCTTCCAGGTCTGCCGCACCTGCTGCTGCTGCTGCCGCTTCAGCACACGGACCCAGCGGAACTTTTGGCGTCAAGTCTGGTCTTGCTCAGATGCTCAAGGGAGGCGTCATCATGGTGCGTTCACTCAGCAGGCTTGGCTCCTCGCTGTAGGAGGAGAGGCTCTACGAAATTCTCGTAATTCCCGAGGCTCACGCTGCCTTGCACCCTGCTTGGCACTTCGCAGGACGTCGTCAACGCTGAGCAGGCGCGCATTGCCGAAGAGGCAGGCGCTTGCGCCGTCATGGCCCTGGAAAGAGTACCAGCTGACATCCGCGTGGAAGGCGGTGTCGCCCGTATGTCAGACCCTAAGATGATCAAGGAGATCATCGAGGCTGTCACCATCCCCGTCATGGCCAAGTGCCGCATTGGTCACTTCGTCGAGGCTCAGATTTTGCAGGTGAGTACAGACGTTGTCCGGCGCGACATTGAGCGGCGTACGGAGCGGTGTTGTCGTCGCCAGGTAGCTCTAGGCAAGGAACTTCTGCGCGATTGTTGCCTCGCAGCTGCTCTGCTCTGTTCGAGGCTTGCATCTGAGCTGACGCATCTTGGACCTCATCACTTCTGCTCAACATAGTCCATCAACGTCGACTACATTGACGAGTCCGAAGTGTTGACGCCCGCAGATGACTATCACCACATCGCCAAGCACCAGTTCAAGATTCCTTTTGTGTGCGGATGCCGAAACCTCGGCGAGGCCTTGAGGCGCATCTCTGAGGGCGCAGCCATGATCCGTACCAAGGGCGAGGCAGGCACTGGAAACGTTGTAGAGGCGGTTCACCATCAGCGCACAGTCCAAGCAGAGATCCGACGAGCTGCTGGTATGAGCGATGAGGAGCTGTACGCATACGCCAAGGAGATCTCCGCTCCCTACCACCTGCTCAAGGAGACCGCCCGACTGAAGCGCTTGCCAGTCGTCAACTTTGCCGCTGGAGGTGTTGCTACTCCCGCAGATGCAGCGCTCATGATGCAGCTCGGCAGCGACGGTGTATTCGTCGGTTCGGGCATCTTCAAGGGACAGAATCAGGCAGCTAGAGCCAAGGCCATTGTCCAAGCTGTGGCACACTACGATTCTCCCGAGAAGCTTGCCGAAGTCTCCACCGACCTCGGCGAGGCTATGGTTGGCTTGACCATCAGCGATAACATGAAAGGCGGCAAGCTCTCTCAGCGTGGCTGGTAAAAGATCGAACCCAAGAGCAGCCTCCTTTCACGTATCTATCCCATTTCAACATGATTTTATTGTCGACCCCACCTCCGTCTTCTTGCCTCACCTGCATTTTCTATCATCATCACCACCATCTCATTCGAAGGTCAAGATCCTGTCAACAAAGCCAAGATGTAGAGTCCCTTCTTTCCAAGATCGCGCTGCTGATCTTGGTGTAGAGTCCACACGTCAAAAATGCAAATTTCAATGCTCACATCGTCATCGCCGCTCACCACCTCGCAACAGGCGGCTTGTTTGCCAAGAACGAGTGTCAGCTCAAAGATTGAGTATCAGCGTACACGCGGTGCCGTTCTCATACTCTTCTGTGAAGGCTTGTGCTACTCATGCATCGCTCCCATCTGAAGGCTGCGGTCTATATCACGTCAGCGCAGGCGAAATGGAGCGCAAGAGCGCGGCTGACTTGCTGCATGGCACCCGACGCTCATCACGATTCACAGCTGCTATGGTCACGAGTTCCGAGGAATTATGAGATGCGAGTCATGCCAATGAAATCACACGTGAGAGCATGCTACTGCAGCCCAATCCATGGCGCCGACCGCTCGATCGCGCTCCGGGGATGGCTCCCCTCGGCACCGTGCTGCCGAGAGGGCCAGCCACAAACCGCAGGCTTACATATACATAAGCAAAACATGACGATTCGGAGTGAAGTTATGGACTGTTGCTTTGACGAGCGCATTCATCACAATCACCAATCAAGAATAATGTCTGCTGCGCTTAATTGAGACTTGCCGTCCTTCTCGGGAGCCGCGCGACCTATACCGCACCGTAGCGCGCCCTGCCAAGTGACGTTGCGCGGGCACTGCTGTCTGCCCGAGGTACCCAAGGTCGTGCCCGCTCGAGGTTGCTGCAATGAGTGCCTCCCCTTATTCTGATTGGGAAAAGCAAAAGAACGGCCATGGCCGAGTGAGCGCTCGAAGGGCTCCCTCATCCCTCATTGTACGCTACGATCAGCTCATTGCAATCACCAGCTACCAACACTTTCACCGATCACTTCCGACTTGCGAACAGAACGATGCGCTGTTTGGGCATCTGGTCGCTTGCAGCAGCGCTGCTGCGCCTGTGCATGGCTACGTTGCCTGACGAGCAATTGCCTCCCCTCCCGCTAACGGGTCAGTCGGTGCCGATCCCACATGGTCATTTGTCGGAAGACGACGTAAGCCTGGCTGCTGTGCGCTCAGCCCTGGACGCGCTGCAGCAATCCATCGTGCATTCTGTGCTTGCTCGTGCTGCGCTTCCGCTGGATGGCAGGACCATCGCATCGGAAAAGCCGTTGCTCAAGGCTATCTTTGCTGCGTCTTACAACTCGAGCATCGATTCGGATCTACCAGAAAGGCTCTTCGCGTCGATAGCCCCTGATCCTCCGTACCTTTACTACATCCGTGATGGGGCAGCAGCAGAGAGGTACGGTGATAGGGAGCACCACAGCAGCCCGAAGGATTTGATCGATGCATACTATCAGGACGTCCTACCTCACCTACTACGCAGAGCACCAGAGAATGCATCTGCCAATGTAGAAGACGGTCAGACGCAAGTGCCCAACGTCAGCACCTTGACCGCTCTAGCAAGCGCGCAAGTTCTGCAATCGCTAAGCGCCCGGGTGCATCTCGGACGAGCAGCAGGGCAAGCCAAATACCTAGCAGATCCACTCTCGTACTGCGATCTGGCCAAACGAGGAAATGTTGTTGCATTGCGGGACAAAGTGAGGAACAAGGCTCAAGAGCAGAGCGTCTTGCGCAAGCTGTACTCTCAAATGCAAGCTTGGTCGCACACTCCAAACTTCTCCGGCGACTCCAAGGTACCGACGTTGAACTTTACGGTGCCTGCAACCATCAATCCTCTTCCTATGGTCGAGTTGTACAGGATGTGAGCAGATCGAGGCCTTGATCCTACATAGCATTGAGACGTTCTCATGAGGAAGATGACCGAGCTCCTCTCTCTAATTAGCGCCGTCATTCCCACCACGACGGACGTTCAGGTATCAACGCTGCTCGCATACAGTGTCGAGCGCTGCTGAATGATCACGCAGAAACAGCGTCACACCGCAGTCTGCTTGAACAGACGCACCACACAAACCTCGGCTTAATCGCGCTCGTGATCTCAAGGCACTCCGGCAGGTGCGCCCCCTCTGCCCCTCCCGGTATCTGATGCGCACGCCCTCAGATCTGCGTTACGGAGTGAAAGTGATCTTTCAAGGGAATCGGTCGTGAGTATATTTAAAGGATGTTCGTGGAGTGATGCGCAATCCTACAATCGCAGGCAGGCCGAAAAAGACTATCGATCACCAGGGGTAAAGACTCTGGTGCGAAGTGAAGAAGGATCGTTCTCAAAGCTCTGCACGATATCGTCGATCGCCACGTTGCTCGCCGTCCTTCTCATCCTCGGATGGGCAGCGCTGGGCAAAGGATCGTGGAAATTGCCCAAAGCTGGTGCGCCTGCCGATTGTTGATACCGCATGCCCGCTTCGGCCCTGTCCCGAGCTGCGGTGAGCGACATGCTCTGCAAGCTGTTGGACAAATTTCGTCGATGCTTGTCGCTGTGACGCGGGGCGTTGCTGGTCGTGTGCGAGCTCTGGGCAAATGTGGCTTGTCCATGACCGGTGCTGCGACTGTGACTGTGTCCTGAGTCATTGCTGGTACTGGACTTCGCAGAGTGTCCAGTTCGATCACTTTGACTGCGCTGCATGTCAGCTGATCTGCTGCCATTGGCGGGCCCTCCCGCGTCGGACTGTGCTCGCTTTGCTTCAGCCTCGGCTCCGAGAGCTTTCTTTGCGACGTTGGCGGGCTGAGCCGCAGAAGCGGCCCTCCGTGCAGCCTCGTCAAATTCCGCCCACTCGGCTTCCTCTTCCTTTGTCCGACCTGAGCGCTCTCTTTGTCCTTGCTGTCCGGCAGTCTCGCTGTCCGACTCTGTCCCCCTCTCGACCTTGTACGAGCCAGCCTTTTCGCCCGTGCGAGGCTCTACAGACTCGCCGCGTTCGTTGACCATGCCTGCTCTCATTTCGGAATCCACAGTCTGTCGGCTAGTGTCACGCTGGATAGACTTGCGCTTGTCTCGCTTGTCCAGCGCTGTGCGCACAAAGTGCCTGGCGGACTGCAGTGCTTTGCGAGAAGCGTCGAGGAAGAGGAAAGCTTGAAAGACATGCACGCAGTCTTCGTACAGCTCATGTCTAACTGCCACTCCCGATTTGCTTGCCTTGTGTGCAAGCAAGGTCCCTTCGTCTCGAAGTACCTCGGCATCGCCGCACTGAATAAGTAAGGGAGGCAAGCCCCGCATGTCGCCGAAAAGCGCTGTGGCGAGGGCACACGCTTGTCAGTAAGACGTGCGAGACCGATCTATTGGCGGCAACTCACGACTTGCATATGGATGGGTGATGTACTTTTCAATGTTGTCACCCAAGTAAGCAGCGACTGGATTCATGTGGTTGCCGCTGACAGGCATAGGCAAATAGTCAAAGGCCGAATTAGTCTCCCACGAGTCGCAGGACATGGTGAGGTCGACCCAAGGGCTGAAGAGGATGGCCCCAGAAGGCAGATCGTAGCCGTTGTCCCTGAGGTAGTACATGAGTGCAAAGGCGAGCCCTCCACCTGCAGAGTCAGCACCGATCACAATGTTGCTCGGTGGGATGCCGAGGTCTTCGGTTAAGCGGAACCAAGACGAAACAACATCGTGAAGGGGTCCAGGAAATTTGCAGTCGGGCGCGAGCCGGTAGTTGATGCCAAATATTCTGCACTCCGTGTACTTGGACAGGGCGATTGTCAAAGGTCGATGGGTGACTGCGGACATGATGAAATAGGCGCCTCCGTGAATGTATAGGATCACGCGTTCTTTTTCCCTAGATTTGCCGGACCTCCAATCCGATTGAAGCCTCCGCCAGGTCTGTTTGCCAACGACCCATTCGCCTGTCAATTCGCGCTTTCCATCTTCCTGAGCATCCACCTCGGCCAGTAGACCCCTCAGATTGCGTTTCTTGACTCTGAAAGAGACAGGCGTAATCAATCCGTCCTTGGGCACCGGCAAGAAGGAGCTGAGCTCAAAGAACGACTGCATGCCAGCGATCGTTGCGAACTGGGTATACTGTGCCGAGTCACGCATGATTCTGGTGAACACGCTCATCTCGATACCCCAAGACTTTTTTGGTGGTCCGTATACCGCATGAGAAGCAATGGCCGAGGTGATGGAGATGCCTTGATTAATAAAGAAGGGAATGTACTGCCAGACTTTGCTGATCGTCATTTCTGGCTTTTCTTGCATCTCAGCGGTGGGATCGACGCGCGCCGATGATGGCAATTGAGCCGACTTGTACTGATCCAGAAGAGTGTCCAACGTTGCGTCTTTCTTCTCTGGCTTCTTGCTGGCCGCCCTTCTGCCGGGCGTCATCGTTTGGTCTGACAGTCCGGACGTGGAGCGCGCAGGACTTGACTGACCGGATTTCGCGCCATCGTCTGAGATCGGGTGACCCTCGGAATTACCAGCAGGGTTCTCACCATGGGCGGTGGCTTCTGCAGCTGCGGCGACAGCTGCTGTGCCACTCCGCCGAGATGTCGGCGCAGTGCCACCTGCGATGCAGAAGGGAGCATCGCGACCAGCACCCTTGGCGGTAGTACTCTTGGACGCTATTACCTCGGGGTCTGCCATTTGGATTAGGGAGCCCTCGGGAGTAGGCACAACCGAAGAGGAGGGCGTCAAGGTCGAAGTCGACACGTCGCGATCCGCAGCTGCTCCTTCGTGAGTAGGAGAATGAAGCAGTGAGTCACCACGCTTGTGCAAGCTGATGTTCGTCGCTACCTTGATCAAAGAGTGCAGCTTCTCCTCTGGAATGTCCTTTGAGTGTTGCTGGCGAAGATGATGAAGTTTCTGCAAGTACGACACTGTCTCTACCGCCGTCACTGCTCTGCCAAACTTTTCCTTGGCTGTCAAGTGGCGCTTCGCGCTTTCCTTGAGGCAGCAGCCCCTGTGTTCGTCAGGAGTATCCTCGTGCAAGTCTGGGAGATCCGCAAGCCATGGATGCTTGAGGGCTTGTTCTGGTGTGAAACGCTTTTCGGCGGGGCACAGACACTTCAGGATGAATTCTTTGGCCGAGTCTGAAACTTCGCCCCAGTACTTCGGCTCAAATTCGACCTTCATCCCGATGATCTGCTGAAACAGCGTCGGCTGATCCTCGCCATAGAAGGGTGTGTATCCTGCCAGGAGACAATAAGCGATGACTCCAGCAGACCAAATGTCGACTGGCGGTCCGTAACCCTTTCCGAGCAGGACCTCTGGCGCAACATACTGCGGGCTTCCACATGCAGTCATCAGCAGACCTTCGTCCGGAATAAACTTGCTCAAGCCAAAGTCCGAGATGACAATATCGCTCGGTTCCTTCTTCTCCCGTAGCAGGATATTCTCCGGTTTGAGGTCGCGATGAATGATGTCTTGTTTGTGCAGGTAGGCAACACCTTCGAAGATCTGCCTGACGATATGCCTAGCATCCAGCTCGTTGTAGAAGACCTTTTCCACAAGCCTATCAAACAGCTCTCCACCTCGGCACAAGTCAGTCACGATGAAGACGCCTTCCTTTGTCTCGTACAAATCCCACATTTTGATGCTGAAACAACATGCGGGTCGGTCTCTCTTAGAGGTCAGCTCGCAACCCAGTGTGGATCAGCCCAGGCGCGAATCGGCGACTCACACGTGAGGATGCTCTACCTTGCCCAAGATGTGGATCTCCTCCTGAAGCATCTTCTCGCTATTCTCCTTCAGGGGTTTTTTGGCAATGATCTTGAGAGCTCGTTCAGTCCCTGTCGACTTTTCGACGCACGACTTGACCACCGCAAAGCTGCCTTGGCCAAGTACATGTGGCAAGACGTTGTACTTTTTCGAGAGGGCTCCAGGAAGCAGCGGAGATCCGTCGTCCTCCGTCTGTCATCGCAAGATAAAAGGGAAGACCGGAGTGCAGAAGATCAGCCACATTCAGACCTTGAGCTCAGGCGTGCGCACATGAATGCTTATCCGTAGCTTGCTCAGTCGAGGTCGAGCAGCCACACCATCTTCGGCGCTAAGCGACCCAAAGCAAGGCGAGTACTCACGTCTTTGAACCAGCTCCTGAAAGCGGAGTGCAAGTGATGTCCCACCATTCTGACTTTTTCTCTCCTTTTGCCCTTAACTCTCTGCGTATGTCTTCTGTTCAAGAGCTCACCAAACAAGCTCTCCTTTCTATGTACGTTGACGGCAATTTGGGTGATGTGGGGTTGTTCTGCGCCACTATCGCTCTCGCCTTCGCCGCTCTCTGGTTCTGAGGGATGGGGCGAAGAGGTGCGCAGAGCTAGTAGCTTTGATTGGGGAGTGGATGGAGGGCTGATGGAATGCAGATTTGGACCCGACTTGAAGTTCATGGAAGGAAGTGAGGCGGAAGAGTAGGTGGCTCGCTAATGATCGACAGCTTTCGCTCTACAGCTTACTTAATCGCCTTTGTCTCTTGCGCCGATGGCAAGACCAAGGTGTAGCACGAGGTGGGCGCACCGCTGCTGTTTAACCACTTGGTTTCCGCCTCCCACAGTCCTGCGGCACGCTAGGGGCCGCGAGTCGATAGGGATAGATTTGGGCGAGATGAGCTCGTGAATGCTGAGCAAAGTCGAGGCTGGAGCAGGGGATGTGTGAGTTAGAGACGCGCTTCCCAAGGAGAGCGCTGTGGTCGAGGAAGTCGATGAGCATAGGTAGCCATCCAAGTCGCGAGTGGTATGAACGTGCATGCCAGAAGCGCGAAGTCGACAAAGTCCGTTTCAAACGTCGCATGTACAGACAGGCACAGCTCAGCAGCGCCTGCACTTCGGCGCGATACGTCAGAGGCTGATGACGCGAGGTCCCTTGGGTTGGCTGCTGCCGCTGATGCTGATGCTGATGCTGCTGCTGCTGCTACTGCTGCTGCTGCTGCTGCTGCTTGCACACATCATGCACGCGGAGCGTCATCAGCCAGAGAGCAACAGCTTATGCGTGGGGTGTATAGGCTCGCTCCTGCTGCTATAGGCATGCATTGCAGAAGGGCTGTGCAAGCTGATTGGGTCAGTGCAGCGTGAGTCGATCACACAGTCGTGAGTCCAAGTCCGGTCAAGTACGTGCTGCTGAGTGCATATGAGTGGGCGCGCGCACGCACGCGCTTGTCAGCAGGTGCATGTTTCGCGTGAATGTGCGCGTGGAAAGCTGCTCCCGATGCGACCTCGATCGCGTACGTGAATCACAAATCAATCAGAATGAATTGAAATCAAGAATAGAATCTTGATTCACATTCCAGTCAAGATGTGAATCTGGAGCGAGGATCAGCGGCAGGCGGCAGCCGGGTGCAGAGCGCGGGCACGGCTCGCCCTTATTCCATACACAGTGTGAGTTCGAGTGGCCTGTATCCTCCATCCCGTGTCCACGTCGAGAGCGCGAGGTATTGACAAGCCTGCCGTCATTCACACTCGCGATTCATTTGTTCTATTCACTGTTGCTTCATGGCGAGTGTAGCCACCCAAACAGCAAGCTGCTGCCGCTGTCTAGCTGTCGGATGGCCCCTTCCATACTCTTCGATTGGGGCGCACGCGCCAAATGCGTATCGAGAGCTTGCTGCCCTCTCATGGATAGGAGAAATGCAAAGCTACTACGCAAGAGCCCTGTGGGAGCTTCAAGGTACAGACGGCAGAGGCAACAACATTCCGCCTTCACCTCCCTCGCGTTCACGCTTCTGAATGCAGACCTGAGGATAGGGCACATCTTTGAGCGGCCCCGTCGCCCGCTCAGGCAGAGTGCATGCATGTCCTTCCTGGAACTTCTCTCAGTCAAGTTCGTGGCAAGTTTGTCTGAATCGTACCTGTGCATTCACTTCCCCGCAATCTGCATGCAACGGACGAGACGTGGATGGCAGTCTTGAGTCAGACTGCTCGACGCCACGCACTGGTATGCAACGCGTATACATGGCACATCCGATTTGCATGCGATCATAGCGAGATGCTACCCCCGGATAGCGAGCATCTCTGCCGGAAACCGCTCCTTGCTGCTCAGGGGTCGTCGTATAGGCACGCGCGGCTGCGGCTGCATCGAATGGGTTTGTGGGTTATAGCTCAAGCATTTCGCAACATGATAATGACAACAACACATCATTGCTTGAGCCTCCATTCCTTTCATCGCCTGGGAGGATCAACTCAGGGCCCGTGTCCATGTATCGTGTGGACGCGGGTGCGAAGTTCACGACGAGCAGTGACCGATCGCGTCGAGCTGCGCGCCATGTAGCATAGCTAGAGGAGATTAAGCGGTAACGGTGACCAATGATCATGCTCGTGGACGACGAGTCGAAGCTCGCTGTTGAGCTCCGATCGATCTCCGGCCTGAGTGGACGGGACGCAGAGCTGAGCATGTCCACTTGAGCCCCTTGCCGAACACTGCACAAATCTCATTTCGCCTCTTCACGTTGCTGCATTTCAAACACTCATGAGCTGTACTGCAGCTGTACTCAAACCACACGGTGCTCACTCAGACTGAATGGGCATGGAGAAGATCGAGGACCTGTTCTGCTCCCTTTCGCTCGTCTTCGCTCTAGATGTTTCCCCACTTACGTATCACGCTGCGAGGCTCGCGTTCCGTCATTACGAGACGCACATTGCACATCGTACTCGGCGCGCTTCTCAATTCTGGAGATGTCAAGTTCTGGACTTGGCATCACGACTGTCGATGGCTAGGACACGCCTGGCAATCGTGAATGCGAGGAGGGCGAGCAAGCGAGCTTGGATCCAGCAGCTGGACTCAAGACTTCCAACACAAATCACGAGTGTGAGTCACAGTTCGTGGTTGAGTCTTGAACAGGCTGCATGCCATGCATGCAGCAGCAGCAAGAGCGGTTTCGCCGCCGTGCTGCTTTCTGCTCAATGGCCCAAGATTCTCTTGTCACGTGCTCTACATTCTGGCCCGCGACTCTTGACTCCACAACAACGCGATCAAGCGGCAACCATTCACGATTCCTTGACTCAAGGACTCACATACTGCGTATGCAGCGGCGGCGCTGGCTTACGCGCGCGCGCAGGCGCAGGCGCAGGCGCAGGACGAAGCCACCAATCAGGCCTGCACGTACGGTACGTGTGATGAAAGCTTCTCATCAAGCTGCATGCTGATTGCTCACCGCACAATCAACAATCAAAGCAAGCTGACGACGTCCCGCACGCTTCATCGACCAGCGTCAGCTTCGCTTGCCCTCGAGGCTCATCCTTAGGCGGAGCGAGGTATCGTTCACGAGAACGCTTGGAAGACACGAGTCAGTCCACGAGTGGGGTCGCTCCGAGAGCCCCAAGTTCGCAAGCGCGACCTTCTAATCCCGGCCACCCTGCAACATGGCCCCCGAAGACGTCAAGGGCGGTGACAGTGCAGCACAGGCGATTTCCACCTCCAACGTCACGACAGCGCTTGGCGAGGCTGTGATCGATTCGGAATGGTTGGCGTCCATAGATGCGGTCTATGCCATCTTTGAAAAGCCTCAATTGTCTTCTGAGCATCAGAGGCTGGCAGGGCTGGTCAAAAAGGCAGTATCCTTGGTCGAGGAGGTCATCCTCGAGTACGGGTGAGTGTGAACAGCACAGCGCACGCAAGAAGTTGAGTTCTCATCAAGTGGTCGTGGACTCGCGCTGACTCGGGTTAAATGCTCGATCGCAGCGTTGAGCAGGTAGCGCTAAGCTACAACGGCGGCAAAGATTGTGAGTTGGGCACAGTAGCTACTATCAGGCAGAAGACTCTCACCCACCACAAACCCTGGTTCTCAATGTGGCAACGCGATCCTGCACTCTGCAGGTAACGTCCTTATTCACCTCATTTGCGCAGTTCTCAGGCGGACAGGGATGCGCAAAACGGCTCCTTCCTCCAAGTCTGCGTCGCCCAATCCTTCTCACCCCCTCCAACCTCTTCCAGCAGTCTACATCACATGCGAGTCACCGTTCCAGCAGGTGGAGGATTTCGTCACTGCGAGCAGGCAGCGGTACAATTTGGATTTGGTCAGGGTTCGAGGAGGCATGAGGAGCGGGCTGGAAGATTATCTGAGCGGCAAAGGAGAGAGGAGAGTTGGCTTTGAGACGAGCGACGAGAGGAATAGCAATGGACATTTGGTCAAGGCAATCTTTGTGGGGACGAGGCGGACAGATCCACATGGTCGTGAGTGTCTTTATCTGCTGAAAGAAGCGCAATGTCGAGCAAGCAAAGATTCACGTCGAGGCGTATTTCAATGCAGACACATTGACGGATCGCAAGCCAACGGATCCAGGCTGGCCTCAAGTGGAGAGGGTGCATCCCATACTGGATTGGAATTACGCAGACGTCTGGACTTTTCTTAGGTGTCCTTTGTTTGGCAAGGGTGGAGCCGGGTCGACGAAGCAAGAAAGAGATCGAACAGCTACAGCAGACGCAATAGGGGTGCCGTATTGCGTCCTCTATGATGAAGGGTGGGTGTGGATTGTGAACGAAGACTAACTGCCACCCATCTACTCGTGCCTTGACAGCTAATCGAACACGCGCATTGCCCGTACACAGGTACACATCACTCGGCAGCACTTTCAACACCTTTCCCAATCCCGTCTTGAGAGATCCGAATAGTGGGACGTGGAGGCCCGCGTACGAGCTACAAGACGAAGCGCTCGAGCGGGCTGGCAGACAGTCCCAAGCTCCAGTGAGCGTGTAGAGATCGACTCCCAGCATAGTTCAGCTGTATGCAGCCCCAGAGAAGGCTGCGATCCGGGAGACCCTCATACCATAGAAACACATCAGCCTTCGAGAAGGACAGCCAATGGCATAGCCATCGCTTCATCAAATTGCTAGTAACAAAGTAGCATGTATGTGGAGAAGTGACCGAGAGGTCATCGAGAGCAGATCAGGGGTTGCATCTACGCTCGCTAAGCTTCGCTAAGCTTCGCTAAGCTGTGCCGGCCCGCGCAGACTCTTCTAGCTTGCTCTTGAGCTCCTGAGCGCTCTCCACAGTCTTGACTTTGCAGCGGTAGTTGACCGGCTTGCCATCCTCTCCAAAGCCAGTGAAAACTGCGACTTGCTTCTCGAGCTTGATAGACAGAGATTCGTACAGGTTGAAATTCTGTGTATGAGGAGCGTGCGAGGGAGCAGAAGGACGCAGATCAGCCATCTCCTTGCTGGCGAAGCGGGCAACGATGTTCGAGGACTCACGACGATAGGCTTGCCGGTGACCTCGTTTCTAGCCAGCAATCTGCTCTTCCCAGTATCTTTGTGCGTCTTGATGCGAATGTTTGCAATTCCAAGATCCGCCCAAGTTCCACTGGCAAGCTTCCAAATCTTACCGCGCACCTCGTACGAGGTGGACTCGTCCTCCTCACCTTCGCCTTCTGCAAGACCCTGCGGGTTGCTCGACATGGCCGCAGCGTCGTCACTAGCTGGTGCAGCAGTAATCTCAGAGCTTGACTGAGACTGGCTGGACGAGGCGTCCGTCGTAACGGATGGGACACTCGTCGGCGACGCATCGGCGCTGATTTTGAGTCCAACAGAAGTTGAAGGCGTTTTGAAAGTGAAGGTAAAGGCAGGTAGCGAAGCCAGCGCGACTTGTGATGCTTTTTCCTTGGCCGCCTTCGTGTCTGAGCTGTCCTCCGAGTCGGCTTCGCCGACTAAATGTACGGCCTTGCTGAAATCAAAAGATGGCAACGCGTCGGCTGATGCTTTCAAAGCAGCTTGTCTGGCCGAAGTCGGATCGCCCGAGCCTAGACTTGTCGACGTCGGGGATGATACGGCAGGCATCTTGGAACTCGGGGTGACAGCACTCCCAGCAGAAGGCTGTCCGGCAGGCTTGGTGAAAGCGAATGTAGATGATGGGTCGGAAATCGGAGCTGCGCTCTGAGCAGGGGCTGTAAACGAGAACGAAGACGTCGAAGGTGTAGGTTTCGAGGCAGGACGAGAAGCAGCACTGAAGCTGAACGAGCTTTGCACTGCGTTCTGCTCGGGTCTCTCCGGCAGGACGGCATCCGCAGTCTGATCGATCTCTCCCTCTTCAGGTTCACCCTTATCTTGGCTGTGAAGACTGCTGCTACTGTTGTTAGTCTTTTGAGCTTGGCTTGTGATAGCCTGACGCTTGTGCCCCTTCGACCGTGCGGCCTCATCACCCTCAGTCTCTGAGCTGGAGCTCGGTGATTCGGGCGCGAATGCAGCTAAGGAAAGCGGCGATGGTTTCTTGGGAGCGAAAGCCGAGGGCAGAGGCTTGACACCGAGGAATGAAGGACTGGGTGCAGTCGACATAGCGGCTGTTTTGGGCTCGATGGCGCTTGTAGATCGCGTTGGGGCTTGATCAGCTACAGGAGCGGATGGCGAAGCCTTTGAGCTGAATTGAGTAGCGCCGAAAGCAAAGGGTTGTGGTGCCGTCGGCCTAACGGTAGGTTCAGATGGAGGCGCATCATTGTCGTCATCGTCGTCCTTCTGTGCACTTTCTTCTGCTCTAGTTTGTGCAACGCTGGGACTCTTGACGGTCGCGCCAGTCTTCTTATTCATCATCTCATTCATCCTTCTTCTAGCCTCCTCTGTGGCCTCGCGCCTCTTACGAGCCTTCTCCTCAGCATTCAGAGCGGCAGTCTCCTTCTGCGTCGACTCAACGGCCGCATCTGTCGCTTTCGTTGATCTTGTACCGACCGAACGAGAGCTGCTGGCAGGCTTAGGAGCGGTTCTCTCGATCCGCTCTAGCGCAGTCTCCTCTTTAGCCTTCGCTTCGTCCTTGGCCTTGAGCTTGCGTTGTCTGCTTTCTTCCTTTGCGGCCTGCAACGCCGCAGCTCGTCTAGATCTCGCCGAAGATGCAGCGCCGCTCGAAGGGCTGCCATTAGCACTGCGGCCTAGGAAAGAATCGGCAGGCATCTCGTACGGATTGATGGCTTCCTTTGGTGCAGCAGGCTTTGTGCGTGTCGGCGGCGGAAGCGCAGGACCGGACGACAGGATGGACAGCATCGCAGAAGCGGTCGCGCTTCGAGTCGAAGGACTAGCCGTCTGAGCCGACGATGGCTTGGAAGGGCTTGCTGTCGCTGTACCACCCTCCAACAACGACGTAGAGGATAGCGGACCCGCGTTGCTCAATGCTGATGCTGCAGAAGCGTTGGAACCCTCCGTTCGGCGTCGTTTTCCCTCCCCAAGATTTCCAGCTTCGGCCTGTTGATCAATGCGAGCGCCCGTAGGCGAGGCGGCGAACACCTCTGGCTGCAACCTGGACCTACCAAGCGGCTCATGCAGCGAGACATTCTCGATTGGCGGTCTTGCACGGGAAGTGCGGAGCGCGTTGGGGTTCTTGAATCCAAGTCCTGGTCCCAGGTACGCTCGCCTCTCTCGTCTACCAGTGGAGCCAGAAGCACCAAGTCTGGCCGTGCTTGCACGAGCTCCACGTGAAAGAGCAGCCTGAGAGAAGCTAGTGGCCAGTGATTTGCGCAGCGAATTTTCCGTCGCGTCGTAGTCTCGAAGTTGGCTGGGCTGTGAAGCGTACGGCCTTGCGAAGTCTGATCGCCCAGTTGCCGAGGGGGCAAGGAACTTTTGTAAAGAAGAAGCATTGGTCATTGAGTCGATCCAATTGAGTCATTAGCTCGTTGGTGTTACTCACCGAGCTGGAGGGTCGCGAGACGGTAGCTGAATCTCTGTTGATCAAGCGGTTGCTACTCGCCCATCCTTCACCAGCAGCAGCTCCAAGTGGCAGGCTCGGACTACGCCTTGCGACAAAGTCGATGTCACCGCCCGCACCGCTCGGACCTACTGGATATCCAGAGAAGTTCGACTCCGACCAAGCGCTCCCAGCTCTACTGAGTGCGTCCTCTCTCAAGCGATCAATCTCTCCAGCTCTACCCGCTGCCATGCTCTCCTCCAAGAGACGCATACAACCCGCAATTTCGATTTCTGAAAGCCCAGTGGAAGCATTGGGCCCGCCAGCACCCTGCAGAGTGGCCTTCTCTGCAAAGAATCGAGATAGCAAATCGTAGTTGCGAGAAAGGGGGGAGCTGAGGTGGATGTGCCCGTTGAGGGGCGGATGGCCTGCTGAGTATCCGGCGTTGTGGGCGCCATGCGGCGTTGCTGGCGAGTAGGTGTTGGGAGGGCTGGACTGTCCCTCAGGCACATTCAGCGTGGCTAATGCGCTGAAACTAGGCCCGCTCTGCCTAGCTGCCGCGATGAAGTGACGGGGCCCGCTGACAATTTGCGAAGATTCAGGCGCAGGCTCAGGAGACCTACGCCGGAGCGTTGAAGCCGCACCAAAGGTGTGGGGAAATGGCGGCAATGGTGCTGGAGGAATCGTGTCGTGCGCGAGCTGCGTTGACGGTGCACGTCGAGTGCAAGTCAGTACAGAGCAAACAATGCCTGCTTGAGCTGGTCTCAACCCACCTGTGTCTCGTCTAGTGATGCTGAGCCCATGCTCGCATCGCTGCCTTCTTCTGCTTCATCATCCGAGTCTGGAAGCGGTTCTCTCGCCACAGCTTCTACCAGATTTTGGTCCTCACTCTGCTCCTCTCCGATCCTGAAGGCTGCGCTGTTTCTCGCCCGGGAGAAGGGCGAAAAGATGCTTGCAAGACCACCAAGAACACGCATCGCTGGACTACGTGGCGGAGTGATTGATGAAAGCGTTTGGCTGGTATTTAGATGGTTGTTGGGGCTTCGAGGGATGAGATGAGAGCTCGATGCCACGCTTCTTTCGGGTGTCGCATCTGCGTAATTGGTGCGAGTCCGCTTCGATCGCCTGCTAGCTCTGCCAGTGGTAGATATGGATCGATCTTCTGGATCCGGAGACAATTGGAGTCGTTTTCGGTGGCCAGGCGTGGAGCGGGGAGTCGTTGTGAAAGGGAGTGTGATCGTCCTAGCGTCATTGATCGACTGGGCTTTGCTCGGCGTGGCTCGGGGAGGCAAGAAGGAGGACACATCGCCTTCTTCCAGTACGGTCAAGGGGTCGTCGCCTGCCTCATCTTCTTCTTCACGATCTGACAGAGCTGGGGGTGAGGCATCAATCTGCTCTAAATTGGAACTTGAAGCGACATGGCGCCGAGATTGCTCAGTCGAGGCGCGGGACGCGGCTTCTCCCGACCGCCGAGGTGGGACCATGGCTTGCGTTGCTGACGCGGGATCGAAAGGCGATCAGCTACTGACGGCTGCTGGCTGTGGCCAAGTGCGAATCAAGGTACGTTTCAGACAGCGAGACTTGGCTGCCTAGGCGCGCATTGGTAGACGAGTACGAGCGAGCTGGTTTCGTTGTTTCGATGATGCATATGCTTATTGATGAAGCCAAATCATGCAAAGTGTGACGCGCTTCTTCGCGGCGCAGTCACGAGTCTGAAGAGTGAGTGTGCACCGCGAGCCAAATCATGCTGTTTGGCCCGACTACGCGCGAGCCATGCCATGTGGGCTGCCAATCAATCGTGAATGCGAGTCGTATGCGTCACCCGCTGCTCCACTTGCTCAAATAGTTGCTGAGAAGGTGTGCTGCGCTCCTGAGACCATCACCATCTTCCGCATTGTCACCTCACGCACAGCGCTCCTGTCTCTCATCTTCTGCACATCCCAGTCTCTCTGCGACGTGAGATCCGAGACACAACCTCACTGAGTCTCGCACACCATGCCTGAGCTGATCCACATCGTTCTCGTCAAGCTCAAGCCCGCTGTGCGGTCCGACGAGTCGGCCTTCTCCACCTTCGTCACCAAGTGCAACGAGCTGGGAACTTATCCTTCTTTGCAGCCTCTCTTGACAGAGTTCAAGTGGGCCGAGCCAGTGTACGCGGATAGGACAAAGGGCTTCAATTGGGCTCTGTACTCTCGATTCCGTCATCGTGAGGACTACGAGAAATATAGAGATGATGAAGGTCACAGAACGTAAGTGCGACCATGCCATCTCCGTTGGTCCGCAAAAATCAGACACATTTTACGCTCGATCTCTTTTTCGCTTGGACAGCTTCGTCAAGGAGGTCATGAGCCCAGCGCTAGACGGTAAGCCCGCGATGCAGACCCCGTGAAGCTCAGTACGCTGCTCATGCAGCTATGCTTTCGCCTCGCAGAGATCATGGCGTATGACTTGGAGGTCTGAACAACTCAAACAGTAATCACCAAGACGACGCTTGTCCACAATCTAGCGGCAGCAGGGATCGAGGAATCCAGATCATTGGCACAGGCGCAAACTGTTCACAGCCCCCTTCTAATCGCCTTCGAAATGTAGAATTGCAGCATCATTACTGTTGCGAGAGAGGGGTTTGCGACACTTGAGTCGCCGCCTCATATGTGCGGAAGCACGGAGGGACATAAGTCAATGGACCTGACAGTCGTGTGATGTACTGCGGAACGGCGTGCGACAATCACTTCATGCTTGTCTCCTTCTCGTCTTCGGCATTGCCTTCGTCTGACGCGTGGTGGGAGCTGCGCCAAGGTTGAACATGCCTCCGCCTGTAGGAGTGGTAGGCGTAGTGAGGCCCCCATTGTTGCCGGCGGCGCCGGCCGGTGAAGCACCGAACTGGAATGGGGAGGCCGGCTGTGCAGGCTGTGATGTGTTGTTCGTGGCGCTAGAACCAAATACGAAGGGCGCAGGGCTACCTCCAGACGCAGCACCACCTCCAAAGCCTGCCTGACCCTGACTCTGACCCTGACCCTGACCCTGACCAAATGGATTGGCTGGCGCTGCAGCTGGCGAGGCTCCTCGACTTCCGGCAGGGCTGGGCACGGAGAATGTGAACCCGCCACCGGCATTGTTGCTTGCCCCAGAGCCGAAAGCTCCTAGACTTGGCTGTTGCGCGTTGCCTTGTTGCGGCACACCGAACGTGAAAGGTGAGCTTTGCCTAGAATTGCCTCCACCGGGCGCATTACTTGGTTGGCCAAACGTGAAGGGTGATTCTTGTCTGCTGTCACTTGCCGAGGGCTGCGCATTGGCCCCAAAACCTATGCTGTTCGAACTACCGCTTCCAAACGCTCCAAATCCACCGCTCGATGCGGTCGGGTTAGCTTGAGCATTTGCCCCAGCACCGAAGCCGCCAAAAGCGCCATTGCCAGTGCCGGTACCCGCATTGGCTGGCGTCCCGAATTTGAAGGGAGCAGGGGCATTGCCGGCGGAAGCAGACGCAGCTGGGGCGTTGAAACCGCCAGAGTTGACGTTGGAGCCGAATAAGCCCGTCATGGGCGGGTTTGAAGAAGTCGAACCAAATGCAAAGCCGCCAGGCGACGCAGGAGAAGCAGAGCCAAAGGACTGCCCGGCAGACGTATTGATGGCCGGTGCGCCGAACCCGCCATTTGATGAAGCGGCAGCCACTGGCTGCGATGGCGCTGCACTGGACGCGACCGCGCCATTCTGTGCAGTGTTCGGCGCACCGAATTTGAAGGGGGCCTGCGAAGGCTTGGGATTCGGCGCAGCATTTCCAAACAGACCGGTGGCGTGAGCTGGCTGGCCTGGAGGGTTGGAGGCAGAGATGGCAGATGGAGTGGAGGCAGACGGTGTACTGGAAGGCGCCGCGCTGGCGGCTGCGCCGAAAGAGAATCCCGGTTGGGCAGCCTCTGGAGCAGGTGTAGAAGGTGCGGCGCCAAAGCTGAAAGTCGAGCTGGCAGTCGATGCGGATGTACCCGCAGGCGCTGCGGCTCCACTCTTGCCCGGCGTCTGCCCGAATCCGGTGAACAAATTTGTTGGCCCAGCACTAGCAGCAGCCTTCGACGATGCCGCGGTGCCGAAAGGCAGCGCTGCGCCGCCAGAACCAAAGGACGAGAATGGCGCTGCAGACACAGGTTTCGAGCTCTCGCCACTCAAATCCGGCTGCGAGGGGCCTTTCTTGGCACTTGATTGAGCTTCGTGGTTTTCATCCTCCGCTGCTCGCTTGTTGCTGGAAGTCGGCTTGGCTAGCCCTCCAAAGCCGTTAAAAGGCTGTGACGGAGTTCCTAGCCCAACACTTTCCCCCAGTTTGCCGCTAGCCGTCAACGGCGACGCGACAGGAGCTGTATTTGCACCACCGTCGCTGTTCGTATGCTCTGCCTCGCTGCCCAGCTTCGAGAGTGAGGGCGCCGGGCCAAAGGAGAAGCTGCCGGTTTTTGGTGCTGGCGCTGGAAGCTGCCCAAATGAGAACGTGTTGGTGGGAGTGACTGGTTGTTCTTGCGCATTGGGAGCAGGCTTCGCGAATGAGAAGGGCACGACGCTACCCGCAGGCTGAATCGTGTTTGTGGAGGGATTCGACTTGGCTGGTGCAGATACGCCTGCAGCTCCAAAGAAGTTGGGAGGCGGTCCAGAATTGCGCTCATCTTGCCTGTGTTCTATGGGTGTCGCATTGCTTGGCTTGGAAAAGAACCCTGGAGATGCTGCAGTCGAGGCAAGTGCTGGCTGAGAAGGAAATAAAGGCTTCGGAGGCCCCCCGACTTCCGCCTCGGTTTTGCTCGCTGTGTGATTCGTTTCTGGGAGGGTGAAGCCGATCTTTGGAGGTGGCTTCCTCGGCGTGGTTGACTCATCCTCGCTTTGTGCGGGAGGTGGCGCTATGCGCGAGAGGAGTGAGTCGCCAGAAGGCTGAGCAGCGGAGCTGAAGACGCCGCCTGCCTTTTCCCCCACGCCAAGAGTCGAGCCTCCGGGCTGCTTGACGCCACCGCCAGGAGCTGCAGAGAAAGGCGGCGCAGCCTCAAAGACGGATGCTGATCTGTGGGGTTCGAAGTTGCTGGCTGAAACGCTGGGTGTTGATACGTTGGAGGCGGCAGCCGCCTCATGATTCGCATCATCCCCCGGTGCGGGCAAAGCTGCAAGGGGCGTAGACGCAGGAGGAGGAGTTCCACTCGGGGAGGTCGTTGGGGTAAACTTGAAGCCAGCCGGAAAAGCAATCTTTGGCAAGTCAACCTTCTTAAGCTCTTGGCTTGCAGCCTCTTCCGCAGCGCTGCTCTCCTCATCATCGCTGTCCACAAAAGCGACCCTGTTAGTCCCGCGCGGTCTGGCTGCAGGCTCTCGCGTTACCGGGCCTTGCTTGTCCGAACGCTGTCGAAGGCTAGATTTCTGCCTGCTCCCATTGGGATGATCGACCAAGACTTTGAAGGTGTCCTTGCTGTGAGCACGTGACACCTCGCCAATGCTGCCAGTCCTGGAGGCTGCCGCGCTTGGAGGTAGCTCCACAGCAGGCTTTTTGGGCGATGGTGTTGCGCGCGGCGCTGGTGCAGATGCTGGAAGAGCACGGCCGGACCTCAGTCGTCTGGGCGACGATTCTGCACCTTCATCCATCGCATCAGGTGCTATCTGTTGCTTTTGGGCGCGAGTCCTTATCACATTGCGCCGACGAGGCGGCTCCTCAACCTCATCGTCGAACGATGATTCGCGCTCCTGCCTCTTCGAACGGGTGGTAGGTCTCCGTGCCGTCTCGTCCTCCGAGCCGCTTGCTCCGTCATCTTCTACAGCGCTTGCAGAAGCGGCCTGTCGCGTTCGCGTCGCAGGTTCCCCCTTACTGCGGTCTCCCGCTCCTCCAATACTCATTCCCAATTCCTTTTCCTGTCGTGGAGGCCGCTTGAGCTTCGACCGCAACCCTTCATTATTCGCTTCGTACTGCTGGTTCCGGGAGGAGCGCGTGAAGGGAGACTGTGCCCTCAGGCGGGACGAGGTGCGCCTTTCCTCCTCGCGGCTGCTGGGCAGAGGAACTTTCACGGTGCTCATGGAAACGGACTTTTGGGACGCGCAGGAGGCGGTAGAGTCAGCGTTGCGTCGGACTGGCTTGATTGCGGCGGGAAGGTTCAGCTCACCGACTCCTGTTCCGCTATGCCCTTACCCGATTCACGCTGAGGGACCCGCATAGATTCGAGAAAGTTCAGAACTCTTTCGGCCTCGTTCTGGGGAGGTGTTCGAGGTTTTCCTGTGAGAAAGAGCACGTACGCCGACCAGACGCCCTCGCTTGCGCGTCAGACAATCCTGTCTGCTCCAGCGCACAAAGTGCGTTGCCATGACTCACGTGAAGCATCGAGCTCATCTTTCCATACCATCCCAAGCTCCTCATCGCGCACCAACCTTCTTTTCCTCGCGCTCCCACTCTGCGTACCAGTGCATGCCACATGTGAGTACACAACGCGGATCGCACGCCTGCAAACGTCGGTGGACGCTTGCAGTATAACTCACCGCTGCGCTTGCGCCGTCGTCGATAGCTAGCTCGGCCGTGCCTGCCCTTCGTTTGGAGGTCTCGGGTCGTGGCGTGGCTTTGGAAGGAGAGAAGATACCATCCGCTAGTGTTCTACTTCTAGTACCAATTGCTACGCTTCCTGCCCGAGAAGCCGAAGCGCGCGCCGCGTCATCGTTGGCCGAAGCAAATTGTAAAGCGGCGTATTGCCGGGCCAGTACTTCCCCATCGGATGGTAGTTCTCCAGACGTAGGGGCGAGTTTCAAGCTGCTCCATGGTCTTTCCTTTGCAGAGCGCGAGGCTGTAGACATTCTGGAGCCACCAAATTGCGAGGTAGCACCAAGGACACTGCCCGAGCGAGATGCCGCCAAGCCCCTGCCAGATTCTGAGGCTCCGGCTTCACTCGCACCAAAGTGCGAGCTAGCTCGTTTACCACCGACACTAGCTGGTCCTTGGCTAAGCACCGAGCGATTGCGCGCAAATGGGCTTTGCGACTGTAGTCCATAAGCGGAGCGAGCTGGACTCGCAGCTCGAGCTCCCAATGCCAACGGCGAGCTGTAGACCGAAGAATGAGACAAACCCCCTCCTAGACGGCGTTCGGATCCAAACGAGTATTGGAATGATGATGCCGAGGGAGGGCCAGCAACGCTCGCCGATGGTCGAGCAGAAGCCAGTGAACCTCCTCTTGCATATGCCGGAGAGGCGAAGGGGCTCGCTCGACTGCTTGGCCCGAAAGAAGCGCGGCTTTGGGCAAATTGGCCACTTGTGGATCCCAGACGGCCCCGGCCAGCCTGCTCAATTGCCGCGCTCGCGTTTGAGTGCGCAGGTGAAGGTGACCGCATGGTCCTGAAGGACTGACCGAATTCTTCAGGTCCTTGGCGCGTCGGTGTAGAATAGGCAACAGGTGGTGGAGGCGGGGGAAGGGAGAGAGGGAGGTGACCAATGGACTGAACAGCGCGAGCGTCGCCCGTGCCCGCAATTCTTTCAAGGTCAACACCAGAGCTTCCACGCCCAATAGCGCCTGCGGTAAGCCGGTCCGTTATTTGTCTGAGTGGAGAGCTGCTTGAGCTTTGTGGTACGTCATCTCGCCTTGCTGCCGCTCGGTGTGCTTCTCTCAGCTGAGCTCGCCTGGAAAGTGAATGGGAATCCGCAAGAGACGAGGATGATGGCAGGGTGCTACTTCTTGCCGGGGGATCTGAGCGAGCACCATCTCCCTGCGAGCTGAGCCAAGACAATGGTCTTGTAAGGGCCCTACCAAGACTGCTGAAAAGCCCACGCGTAGGCGTAGTCGAGCTAGCGGTGGGTGCTTCACTGGTACGAGTGCTGGTCTCTGGTGCTTGAGTGGCTTCGTTTGCCTGAGATACAATCGATAGCTGATGTTGCCGATGGCTGGTTGAGGAATTTGCTGCAGCTGGACGTGAGTATGGGTTGGAGTTGACGCTTCTTGCGGCCCGGGTGCGAGAACGCAGAGCCCCCGTTCTTCTGGCGCCGCTGTGAGCGCCATCGGCGCGAGAAAGGTCTTGAGACTCCATGAGATGTAGAAGAACCTTCGGTGAGCTTGAGTCCAGGATCGCCCCTCATTCAAACTTGAGGAAAGGAAGAAAGCGGAGCCGCACACCAGCAAGAATAGGGGTGTCGCGCTTGAGTGGAAGCGAGATGTGTTTGACTCGGTATATAGTAATGATTTTGAGGACGAGGCGCTTGCTTGCAAAGGCGCAGGCGCTGTCGCGGCGAGCGTCAGCATCCAGCAGTGCGGCACGTCACGCATGAGACGAGAAGCTCTTCATGGTGAGCGCGCGCTTCTGCCGCACGCGATGCTGCACGGCATCAGACCGTTTCCAAACTCACGTGATGCATGTTCGCCCCATCTGGAAGTGCACGGTTGCTTGACTTCAAGGCATGTGAGAGCGCTCGATCGAGACATGACCTGAGCGGAGCTACATATGTACACTCTGACTACTGATAGATGCTCACTTGCTCACGCACACCATCCTTCAATCCTGACCCGTGACTGATCATCTTCCAACTCTCTTCAAGATCTTTCATCAACCCATGCAGATCTCGTGACTAATCTCTACCGGGCGATACGAGGAACACGTCATCTGCGCAAAGTCATCAACGAGAACGCGGTCAGAACGAGCATACAATCAAGAGTTCGACGTTTGTCCCCGCATCTAGCGACGATGTCAGACGGCGTCTTTGCGCCGCATCGCACAGCAACGACCTCTATCTTGTCTGACATCACATCAGCTCTGGGCGGAGATGCTACCCAAATTCTTGCCACGGCCACCAGCTCTGGGACGGCAACCTCTACAGCGACGCTACCAGCTGCGCCAGTGCCTCCACCCGCAGAACAAGCAGAGCGAGATTCCTCCCTGGCACTTTTCCTCGTCTTGCTCTTGCTCATTCTCTCCTTTTGGGCCTCTTACTACCTCAAGCTGCGACGCATTACTTCGGTGCACGAGACTTTGGTTGGTCTCTTCGCTGGAATGCTGGTTGGCGCTGCGCTGAGGATCGGACCGGGTGTGGAGGTGCAACGGCTGTTGAGCTTCAGCAACACGATTATGCTCAACGTGCTTCTACCACCAATCATTCTGGCTAGTGGTTATGACTTACGGCAGGTGAGCTTCTGGGCGGGATGTGTGGCTGTGGGCAGGTACGAAGACAGACCCGACTTCACGTGGGCGTGTTTGCAGACGAGTGCTGCCTGTACGCACAACTGACTGGGCGCGTCCATGCGTTTCGGCTCACAGGAGAGCTTCTTCCGCAATTTTGGTACGATCCTGACGTTCGCATTTGCAGGAACCTTCATCAGTGCAATCGTGATTGGGTGAGTGCCAGAGGACGTTCTCCCCACGATGAGCTCCAAATCGAACTTCTTCATCTCATCCTTGCTCGATCTGATGTTAGTGTCCTGGTCTACGTTTGGTCAATGCTGCATCTCGAGTCCCTCTCCTTGACTCTACTGGAATGCCTCATCTTTGGCTCGACGCTGAGCGCCACGGATCCGGTCACCATTCTCGCTATTTTCAACACCTACAAGGTCGATCCGCAGCTGTACAGCGTCATCTTTGGGGAAAGCATTCTCAATGATGCTGTTTCCATCGTCATGTTCGAGTGAGTCTTTGGCTGGACAAGCCTCTCTACAACCTCTCGAGAGAATGCACTCAAGCGTCCGCATGTCTTCGCTCTCTTTATCAGCGTCTTGTCGACATTTCGAGGGAAACCCATCAGCATAGCTTCGCTCTTTCACGGGTTTGGGCTGTTCTTGTTCACGTTCACCTTCAGCATGGCGCTTGGCATCAGCTTTGGGCTTGGCTGCAGCCTGATGCTCAAGCACTCTCGCTTAAGTCTGTATCCACAGCTAGAAAGCTGCTTGGTCGCTCTCATTGCGTACACGAGCTATTTCTTCAGTAATGGCGTCGGCATGGGAGGTAAGTCGACTAGACCTGCTCCACGTGCATCTTATCTTACCCACTTTGCACGACGCTTGGCACACAGGCATCGTCTCTTTGCTTTTCTGCGGCATCACGCTTAAACACTACGCTTATCACAACATGTCTCGGCGTACGCAAAGAGCGACGAGATACATTTTTCAGACTTTGTCTAGTGTGAGTCCCACGTCACTGCGCCATCAACTCGTTCAGGTAACTCATCGCGCGTGGTATCTTTGCAGCTTTCCGAAAATTTCATCTTCATCTACCTTGGCCTCAGTCTCTTCACGCAAGACACGCTGGTGTACAAGCCGCTCTTTATCGTCGTCACCGTAGCAGCAGTCGTAGCCTCGCGGTACTGCGCCGTGTTCCCGCTTGCAGCTCTAGTCAACGCCATCAAGCGCGCACGCAATCTGCGGCGAGCAAGGCGAAGCGGTGCCGGAGCTCTACGTGCTAGCAACACCGGAGACGAGCTCCCGAGAGAATACCAAATTATGCTCTTCTGGGCTGGTCTGCGGGGTGCCGTTGGCTTTGCTCTTTCCGCCGGCATCGTCGGTCAGAATGCAGCTGCTTTGCAGACTACCGTCTTGGTCGCCGTGGTAACCACCGTCGTCGCATTTGGGGGTACGACGCCTCAGATGCTAGAAATCCTCGGCATTCGTACAGGAGTTGAGGACGACGATGCGGAGTCTTCGGACGAAGAGTCCGAACATGCGACCTCTCCGACATCCGCCCGACTCGGTATTCGGCACCGATCATCAGGGCGTGCTAGGAATCGCTCTGATACTGGAAAACGATCTGCAGAGACTCGAGCACTGTACCATGATCAATCCGGTGACTATGACGATGACGAAGGAGGCAGTGCTGGCTCCGAAGAGGTTCTGCCACGCTCTGCCAGTCTAGCGGGTCCCAGCATAGGCAGGGGAGCTGGCGGTCTGGATGCTGCAGCAGAAGCAGGTCTGGTCGGCGTTGGAGGCGAAGAGGACAGGAGCGTGCGGGCATTCTTGGATCGGGCAGGACTCATCATGCGGGATGGAAGATGGTTCTCCACACTCGACCAGAGGTACTTGACGCCTCTTTTCACCAATAGTGTGGCTTCGCGCAAGCATGAAGAGAGAAGGGCGGCCAGAAGAGCATCCGCAAATGCGGCTGCTATGGCGGCGGCCGACATGAGCGGAGAGGCGTCTGCGTGGGGAGTTCCCAAAGAAGCGTGGGCACCGCCTGGGGAAAGGGACGCAGATGCGGCCAGCGATGATGCGGCAGGAGCGAGCGACGACGATGCGGGGGGCGGCGTAAGGAGTCTGGGCCACTCTACGAACAGATCTGGCAGCGGTAGACTACCGATCAGGAGAGCAGGCAGCAGGGGCGGATCGGACGACGATTTGACCGTCTTCAACTCTAGATCAGGGTCCGCAGCGTCTACGCCTGTACACTCCGCTGGTGCGCGCATGTCTGGTGCCTTTGCCCCGAGCAGCGCGGACAATAGCTCTTCTGCTTGGGCCACGCATAGACCATGAGCATTCAAAAGGTGGCTCTTCACGAATGCATTTCTTGATTGACATCGTCGTGCTTTAGCGCAACGAGCTAGCTTGCTTGAGGCTGAAACTTGATCGAAGTTCACGTAGAGGAAAGACGAATCGTATACATTGCCATGCCCAGCGCTACATTTACGTCTAACGATGAGAGGCAGCGCAAATCACTGAATGAGCGAGAAACAAGGGGCCATTGCCGTGATAGTGCCTAGAGGCAGGGCTCCACGTTAGACTTCTCACCAGAGGGTAAGCCAAGTCTAGCCTTGCCGCTCGATGTCGAGGGGATTAGCAGCAACCACCAGCATTTTGCTCTCCTCCAACAGACTGTCCCGCTCCCAGCTTTACGTTTGACTTGCCAGGCGCATTGTTGACGGTTGTGGATCCCATTCTGCGTAAGATGTATCGACAAATTTAGTCTCCGCGCTTCAGCACTAGCAAGCGGAAACGAACGCGAGACGCACCTGTCTTTGATTTGCTTAGCCATCGCCAAGAAGCAAGCCTCGACGTTCTCGCTTGTCTTGGCACTCGTCTCGAGGAAAGGGATGTTGAGTTGATCGGCAAACTGGAGAAAGAACGTGAGAGGTGTAAGAGGGGCAAGCTTGTTTCATTGTCTGCGATTGGCCAATAGCAGGGCACACGCACCTCCTTGGCAACGTTGTACTCCACCACCTTTTTGCTTGTCAAGTCGTTCTTGTTTCCGACCATGAGCTGTGTGAGCAAAAAAAGCAGTTAATCAGCCTCGGACAACAGCACCGACACAATGTACAAATCCGCTCACCTTGTTTACACCCTCAGTAGCGTATCGGTCGATCTCCGAAAGCCACTGTTTGACATTTGCGAAGGTGTCTGTACTCGAGAAGTGCAATTGGTCAGCCTTCTTTCTTCTCGAGCCACAACACGGCGCCTGGCACCCACCCTGATCTGTGACATCGTAGACGACAATGATACCGTGAGCGCCGCGGTAGTAGCTACTAGTAATGGTGCGGAAACGCTCTTGTCCTGCAGTGTCCCACTTCGAACATCAAGCCAGAGGGCAGAAATGTCAGCAGCTTTCTCGCAATTACAGCAAGCATGCGCACAGCACGCGTTAGTCTTTTGGGCCGAGACCAGAAGCGGCGACCTCAATTCAATTTGTGTGGGCAGAGCGGAGATCAAAGCTCAGATCTGCTCCTGATGGCCTCTTTATGCCAGCACTGCTCCTCAGTGGGCTCAGGGGCCACCTTTCTTGCCAATGTTGCCTCAGATCAGGCGAAGTGCGCAGCCTTGACAATGCTACGCCATCGCTTTTCAAGACGCATGTACTTACAATCTGCAGCTTGATGGTCTTGCCTTCGAACTCGAGACTGCGAATCTTGAAGTCGACACCAATCGCTGAGATGACGAAGGACAAGCGTGGCTTGTCAGCACAGGATCATACGTGTGTGATAGTCACTAGGGATCAGCTGCCTTGCCCGCCGACTTTGAGATGGATTGTCTCGCAAGCTTTGTTCCTCGAGCTCGCAGCGACGCATGCTCCATCCCCGCCAAGCGGTTCCCCGAACCCCGAACCCCGAACCCGTCTTGCCAATCCCATCCCCTAATTGAGAGCGAAGCACTACCACGCACTTGAGATGTAGCTTTCCGTGTAGGTGTCGTCAGCAAAACGAAGCAGCAAGCAACTCTTGCCCGTGCCGGAATCGCCAATGAGCAAGAGCTTGAAGAGGCTGTGGTTGCGTCGCAGCCAAATCAAAACGACATCAGCTTCCGCAACAGAGATGCGACAGCCCCTACTTGTCGTTGCCACTCACTAGTCGTACTCCGGGTTCATGATGGCGGTGTGCGATGTATGCGATGAAGCTGGAGAGGATATCTGCGGCGTGCCAACTCTGACCTTGATCGCGGGTCTAGCCAGGCTTGCGTAGAGGTCGGGGACGAATCAAGCTGTTTCCAACTGGGGCTCGGCTGCCTTTGAAGTAGTCAATGGCTGCCTATTCAGGTCGTGAATCTTGCGTATGGAGGTGCAGGATGATGGTCAACCAGCAAGCGCCGTCGTCATGGTTACCAACTTTGGGCTTTGACCCCATGGCAGCTCATCGTAACAACTCACACACTGCGCGTCATCGCCGAGCTGTAATGTTGATCATGCGTGCGCACGCCAGGCGGCGTCACACAGCTTGGCTGGCCCACTGCCCGGCCGTACTCAAGGCAGCGTAGGGCGCATACTACTCAGACTGCTAAGTTGTGACGCGATAGGCGCATCTGCACCATCTGCAGCGCCACACCCCGCCTGCCTATAGTGCCTGCTGCCTTTCGCCAGTTCTCCACGTGGTTGAATGATGGCAGTAGGCGCACAAGCCAGCTCAATCGTTCGACGGCCGCCGGTCAGGTCGCAGCTTTAGGAAGTCGAATTGAGTCTTTGTGTTGAGTGTAGAGTGTATAACCAAGATCGCATCCAGATATCCAGATGCAAGTCGATACACACATATAGGGATCGTTGTTCCATCGCTTTCACACATGCCGTAGGCCGGATCGGTCTCTTCTCCGTCATTGTGGACTCCACTCGACTTCTGACAACGCTCACGTCATCCTGTAACCAGTGACGCATCGGCAGTCAGATCGCCCAGCTGCGAAGCGTCTCGGTTGAGCCTTCTACGCAAACGTGCTGGAGCGTGGACAGATCTGGTGCAACGAGACGAAGCATCAGCTCGAAACCTGCAGCATAACCAGCAGAGTGGAAGCGGTCTACTCTGACCTATACGCGACCGCACAATGTCGCGTCCCCGATTCTTCACCGCTCCTCGGAAGGGAGAGAATTTCGAGCTCAGGGCGGATCTCAACTCAGAGTATCGAGACAGGAGGAAGGATGCGATCAAAAGAGTCATTGCGAACATGACGGTGGGCAAAGATGTGTCGGGACTGTTTCCTGATGTGCTGAAGAACATGCAGACGGAAGATCTGGAACAGAAGAAGCTGGTCTATCTATACCTGATGAATTACGCAAAGACGCAACCGGAGCTGGTCATTCTGGCCGTCAACACTTTCGTCAAGGTGAGCTGCTGTGTCCCATCTGCCGGAGCGTGTGATGGAGCAATTCTCACCGGAGCAGTGCGCTCTGCCTAACGCCTCTCATGTAGGACTCAGACGATCCGAATCCTCTTGTCCGGGCGCTGGCAATCCGGACAATGTCGTGCTTGCGAGCCGAGAAGATCATCGACTACCTCTCTGATCCCCTGTCAAAGGCTCTGAGGGACGATAATCCCTATGTTCGAAAAACCGCTGCTATCTGTGTCGCCAAGCTGTATGAGATGAAGCCAGAGATGGCAATCGAGGATGGGTTCGTTGGGCTGTTGAGGGATTTGGTTGGAGACGCGAATCCAATGGTGAGCAGCAGCGCTCAGTCGAGGGTTTGCGATTCCGATCGAGCACGAGAGAGACGTCTGAGTATGGCCTATCCGAGGCTGATCGACTCACATGCCTTGGCTGCAGGTCGTCGCCAATGCCGTGACAGCATTGACAGACATTCACCAAACAGCGCTAGAGGCTGATCCATCCGGCCAGACAGCGCTATTCGTCATCGACAACAGCATCCTCGCGAGACTTCTTATTGCGCTTAATGAATGCACTGAATGGGGACGAATCGCCATCCTCTCCAGCCTTGCAAGGTACAAGCCTGCCCCAGGAGAAGACGGAGACAGGGATGCAGAGCACATTTGTGAACGCGTCGTGCCGCAATTCCAACATGCCAATGGCAGTGTCGTGCTAAGCGCTGTGAAGGTTATCATGATTCACATGGATCGGGTGCAGAAGCCAGAATTCGTCAAGCAGCTAGTTAGGAAGATGGCCCCTCCTCTAGGTGTGTACAATGTACAGCGTGATCGTAGGCGGGATTGCTCAAGTTGACCAAATTTCGCGCCTTCGACCTTCATTAGTTACACTGGTCTCATCAGCACCGGAAGTCCAGTGGGTGGCATTGCGGAATATCAACCTAATCCTACAGAAGCGACCAGACGTCTTGTCGACAGAACTGAGAATATTCTTCTGCAAGTACAACGATCCATCCTACGTCAAGCTAGAGAAGCTAGGGATCATGATCAAACTGGCAAATGAACGAAATGTAGACATGCTGCTAAGCGAACTGAAGGAGTAAGTCGAGGAAATGGCATTGACCCCATCCTCACTGCCGATTGCTGACACGCGGGACTCCAAGGTACGCCTCCGAGGTAGATGTTGACTTCGTCCGTCGCTCGATAAGGGCAATCGGGCAGTGTGCCATCAAGATCGACGATGCCGCAGAAAGATGCGTGCACGTGTTGCTAGACCTGATAGCTACGCGTGTCAGCTATGTCGTACAAGAAGCTGTTGTGGTTATCAAGGTGCGTCGGGAGCCGCTCGGAGCGTTGGCGCCGCCTTTGCCAAACTGCTAGCTGATCCGGTCTCCATCTCATTCTCTACAGGACATTTTCCGAAAGTACCCGTCAAATTACGAAGGCATCATCCCGACGCTGTGCTCCAACCTCGAAGATCTGGATGAGCCTGAAGCAAAAGCCTCGCTCATTTGGATCCTCGGAGATTACGCCGAGAAGATCGAAAACTCCGACGAGCTCTTGGCAAGCTTCTTGGACAATTTTGTCGACGAGCAATCACAAGTGCAATTCTCGATACTGACTGCTGTGGTCAAGCTCTTCCTCAAAAGACCTGACGGCAGCCAGGGCTTGGTACAAAGGACTCTGGAACTGGCGACCAAGAGCGCCGATAATCCAGACCTCAGAGACAGAGCCTTCATCTACTGGAGGCTGCTGAGTAGCTCAGACACCGGCGCTGGAAAAGTGAGCATACTTCAGCTCTTTTTGAAAAGCTTTTGTCGCAAGGCGAGCTAACCCGTCATCGCGCACCGCAGTCCATCGTCCTCGCAGATAGACCGGCAATATCGATCCCACTCACTACAATCTCGCCTGCTTTGCTTGAAGAGCTCATCGCCGACTTGTCATCACTTGCTAGCGCCTACCACAAACCTGAGTCTACATTCATCGGGAGGGGCAGACTTGGAGCGGATGCAATCGCGAAGAAGTGAGTGCTCACGCCACGTACGATTGATCCCTGAGCCGCATCACACTGACGCTCTTTACTCTCCACGTTTCTCAGGCGAGAAGAGGTCACCCGAGAGAAGGCGCTGGCCACCGTTGTGCAAGGCCAAGGAGCGGAGAATTTGCTGGATTTCGATGCAGACGAAGATCCTGCTGCCGCGGCTCCTGCTCCCACAGGAGGCCTTGGAGGCCTGGACGATCTGATGATGTCGGATGATACCGCATCAGCTGCGACCTCCTCGGCGGCTACCAGCAATGCGGCCTCGGCGCAACAACAGCAAGCATCGCTAAACGACCTCCTGGGCCTGTTTGATGCTGCCCCGCCAACTTCTGGAACAGGCAACACTTCTGCACTGGACTTCCTCAACAGCATGCCCAGCGCACCCACTGCGGCGCCTGTAAGAAATCAAGCACCGGCGCAGCAACAGGGAGGCGATCTGTTGGATCTCATCTGAGAGAGAGCCACTTGCGGTTTTGTGAAATGCTGCACCGGTGCTCTCGCTTCCATGGACCTTCGCAATGCTATGTATGCAGGCCTGCTTCTTGTCATGCGCCTGGTGTCAGATGTGATGCCGCCCGGCTCCCAGAAAGCGATGACAAAAGTGTCAGCAGTCTTCTGCCATGACACGGTCGTCCCAGCACCTCCATGCCCTACTCAGCATGTGCTCCCATGTATACCTATCACTCTTTCACGATTGAGCTGCTGTGCCACTTACGACTCGTACTTCGGTCGCCCCAAATAAACGCTGGTGATGAATAAGTCGTCGCCAGGACCGGTCTGTCACTGAGCGCGCGTGAAGCCAAATCGGACCGTGCATGAGATCCAGCGCGACAACGCGGGGTTTCTTGGCTGTGCGAGCGTGAAGCCCGTCCTGCACCTGTACTATACATGCTGCTGAGCTTGAAGCAACACGCAAACAGCCGCGGACAATTGCACGATGGATTGAATTCAGCTGACCACTCAGATCTTTGTTCTACTACTCTGAAAGACACATGATCAACATCATCCAGCTCTCTTCTATCAAAGCAGTCGACTTCTCGCCCTTTCTCCACCCCGAGCTGGTGTGACAGCGCTCCAGCAAAGCCTGGAGCTATTGCCGCAGAGGGCTTGCAGCAGCTTGTGCATACCTTCCTTCTACTTGGCCTTGATCTGCTCCGCCCTTCCGGCCCGTTCTCTCTGTATTCGAGCGAACCGTCTAGCTCGATTCTGCTTCCACAATGTCCGCTGCCGACGGAGAGACAATGAGCGATGCCGCAGAGGACCCTGTGGAAGTACCACAAACTTCAGCTGGAACGAACAGAAGCATCGAACACGAGAGGGCTGCCGAGCTACCGCCCTCAGATAGCGCTGCTGATGTCTCATCACAGCTGGAGACGGATCTTTCGGCTGTCAGCACGCAGATTTCGACCTCACCATCTGCCTCGGCTTCGGCCTCGACCAGTGCCACTTCTGATAGGGCGAGCAGACAGGGCAGTGATACTGACTCTGATCGAGCCCGAGCCTATCTGGAATGGATACAAGCACTGTCACAAGGTGATGGCGATGTCGTGCTCAGCAAGGTCTTATCGAAACCGGAGGACCTCTGTGACGGGATTGCGCTCTTTGACATCCTCTCCAGCATTGACGTGGATCACTTCAGGAATCCGCATGCCTCGCATGAGCCAGCCAAAGACAATCTGCTCATCAGACTTGGAACATTGAAAAGGCTTTATAGACAGATCATGCTATACTACAGTGAAAGATTGGCTTCTCCCGCGGTTAGGCAACCCGATCTCGATGCGATAGCTAGACATAGCTCCTTGGTGGATCTCAATCTGCTGTGCCGACTGGCTGTTGGTCTTGCCGTGCAAAGCGACAGGAGATCGGAACACATTGCCGCGATTCAAACGCTCAAGCAGCAGCACCAGCACGCCTTGATGGTGGCGATCGAAGAAGTCGTCACTGCTTCTGCCCAACCATCAAGCTCTCAGCAAGAGGATACAACCGCTTCGGAGGGCGGTAACTTCGACTCGAGAGTGACAGACATCAACGTGACGCGCTTGAAGGCTGACAAGGAAGCGCTGGAAGCGTCGTATGTGGAGCTAGCGCGAGCGCACGAGCTGCTCAAGACTTCGGTCCAGGACACTGAGCTGGAAAAAGCCGAAATAGCCAAAGATCTGAAGCGATTGAAAGATGAGATTGAAGTCCAACGAAGAGAGGGAACAGAGGCAATGCTACGAGCAGACGTGGAGCGACTCAAAGCTGAGCTGAGAAGAAGCGAGGACAACCTCGGGGAAGCAGAGTCTGAAGTTGAAAGGCTCACCAGGAGTCATGTCGAACAAACACGAAAAGTGGACGATCTCGGCAGACGCGCGGAAGAGGCCACGCGCCTTAAGGATCAGTTAGATGAGTACAAGCATGCAGCAGATAGAGCGGCACGGATGGAGAATGTCGTCGAGAAGTACAAGAAGAAGCTGGAAGAGGGTGCCGATGTGCGGAGGCAGTTGAAGGTCCTTGAGGACCAGAATGCCGAACTCGTCGACAAGAATGCCGCTCTCGAAGACGAGTACAAGCGGGTTGCAGCCTTCAAGCCTTTGATGGACACTTACAAATCACAGATATCCGAGCTGGAGTCCAAAGCTTCCAATCTTCAAAGGGACTACAATGGTCTCAAATACGAGCACGAGCAAACCACAACCACTCTTCGAACGACCGAAGAAGCACGTACGCGTGATCGAGAGGAGATGGAGCTGTATCAAGAGCGCATTCAAGAGCTGGAGCTGGGCAGCACCGGCGCAAGCAAAGCCCGCCAAAAGCGTCTCGAGGCTATGCGCGCTACTGGTGGCGCCGAGGTGGACGGCGCAGAAGGCTTGGCCGCTGCGAACTCGACGTTGGACGAGTCTGATGACGACGATGACGTGGGCGGGGAGATTGACGATGCACTCTCGGGTACCACGATGACTGACCTCAAGATTAGGGTGAGAAAACTGGCCAGGGAACTCGAAGCCGCTAAGGCGAACAAAGCCGACGTGAGCCGCATCTTGGTGCTGGAGAACTTGCTTGAAGATTCGCGGACCATGAAGGAGCGATACGAGCAGGACTATCTCAAAGAGCATCAAGCGAAGCTCAAGCTGCAGAGTCAATTGGAGACAATTCAGAGTGGAAAGTCAAGTTTTGGCGACGGGTGAGTATGTACAAGAAGGTCTAGGATGCGTTCTTGGTTGTGCTCAAAGTGCTCTATACCCCGCCCACACAGAGAGGAAGCGGCTTACGCTCTACGCTTGCGTCTCAACGAGACTGTAGAGGAGCTAGACAGCGTCAAGCGGGATCATGCGGCTCTTACGGTCACGCACGAAGAGTTTACGCGCGAGCTCAACATCGCCAAGTCTGACCTGACTCTCGTCAACAAAGACCAAGTCGACATTCTTCATACTCTGCGGGCATCCGTAGATGTGGAAAAGGCGGACTTAGAGGGCGTGGTGAGCCGTTTGAGAGAACAGCTCAAGAGCGTGGAAGAACAGAAACGGATGCAGACGGACCAGATCAACAAGCTGTTGATGGAAAAGGTGGACCTGCAATCCGAAGGCATAGGTCAGAGAGAAGAAGCTCTAAGAAGAGAGAGGAATTTGGGGTGAGTACGGAGCCTCCACTCAGGATCGCATACATGACCGCTGACTGCCTTTGTCCGCCACGCGCTTTCAGAGAATTGCGCTCATCTCTCGCTGGCAAAGCGCTTCCAAAAGAAGCCGAAGAGCTCATCATAAGCCTGCAGACAAAAGCGGCAGAAGCAGAGTCTAATGTCAAAGCGGGCAAGGAAAAGCTCAGCGCAGCACGAAAGGTGATCAGGGATCCCCACAAAGCATTGATCTTAAGTTCAGAGGCTGACACGTCGTCTTGCCCGATTCGCGCAGCTCATCAAGGAGCAAGACAAGCTCATCAAGGCGGGCACGACAGACGAACAGCTCGCTGCAGCCACAGTAAGTCTCTCGCCATCAGCTTTGTTAGGCGTTCAGCTAATAACCCAATTCCTTCTGTCCGGGCGACCTAGGCCTCGCACAAATCCCAGATCGCCACCTTGCGAAGAGAATTACGCTTGATGGCATCTGCGTTTCACGATCAGGGCGCGCAGCTCGCTGCGCACATTCGAGCTCGTAGCAGACCGACAGGAGGTACAGTCGGAATGGCCGGCGGCAACTCAGCCTCGGTCAGCGCGCCTGCTTCTTGGCTAGTCCAGCAACGCAGAGCTTTGACCCCGGGCATCCTCCTCGCGAAGCGATGACTCTCGCGGCTATTCCATCCGCCCCAACCGCTACCGCTACCGCTCCCGGAGATCAAGCAAGCATTGCCTCCGGCTCTCCCAACATTCGCCTGCAGTCATCCCACTTCGTCTGCCGCGTTTCCGGTACTCGTTTCCCATCATGATCGTTTGGCCACACAACTTATACCTTTGGCTTCGCATAACAGATATTTCCTTCACCGCGAGAACTTTACGTCAGAGACCGTCTGACACCAACGTGAGCTACGCGCCATCCTGGTCACGCATTACGAATGTGAGGCTGACGAGATCGATCGATTGATGATGATGACAAAATGTGAGGCAAGTGCACTTTGTTGGCGCCCAAGGATCTAGAATGGCTTATCGCTGTCTGGTGTCTTGTCCTCGTAATACTCCCTATCATGACGACGCCGATCATCTGTGAGCATTCTGGACTGAACATTCCGTGCAAGTTTGTACGCAATCAACGACTCACTTGAGCACGGGCAGCTTTTTAAGCACGTCTGTTTGGAAGAGGGGCACGCCTGACAAGAAGAGTGTCACGGCTGCACCAGCACCAGCGCCCCATAGCGCGAGCGAAGGCACCCACCTGGTGGAAAAGGTGAATTTGGGAAGGTGGAAAAGTTGTCAGAAGGAGGTAAGCGACGACTCATTAAGATCGACTGAGAAGTTTCTTCGACTAAATTAGCCCGCACACCTGCACGATCCCGCCAAATTCGTATCGCTCTAGCGTCCCATTGGTTGACCTCGATCGCTTTGCTTCTCCATCCTCTAGTTCCACGCTTTCTCGCGCTACTGTGCACGCGGAGGCCGTACTCACTTGATGACATTCTCGGGTGCGAATCGTCCGACATGAGGTTGGAAGCTGTACTTGACAGCTTGAGCGCGCGCGCTGGCGCGAAACGCAGATCGAGCAGCCAGGGTAGGAATCATCTTATTGATGATGGGGCCTCAATTGAGAGAATTCAGCTCGAGTGTGCGACAGAGCCGTGGTTTGTGGTTCGCTTCGATGTCACCTAGGCGCGACTGATGCGATGTGATGCTGTTGCTGCAGTCGATTTGTGTCTGAGTGTGAGTTTGAGGGTGTGAGTTTGGGAAATCCGGTCGCAGTGGTTGGTCGGCGCCGGCTCGAAACGGACGCGCGCGTACTGTGACTCTTGGCTGTCATGAAGCGCACGTCGTCCAGCTCTCATGTCCTTCCACGTGGACAATCTTGATCACGTGCTTATTTCAGCGCTGCTGACCTCAATCCCAGGCAAGAAGTTGAGGAAGCATATGAGGTCCTGAGTGCGATCGCGCGATTCATCTTCGCCTCTTGATCGCCCTCCTGCTTCAACCCTACTCGTCTCGTCAGCAAAACCGAAGCGCGGCATTTGGCGCACCTCCAAGGGCTTGCGTTGCAATGCGGTCTGCTCTGGCAAGAGCCTTGGCTGGCTCCCGCCTCTCCTCTTACGACCCTGCCGTACAGCAGATCTATACAGCACCCGCCGCAAGCCAAGTGCGCGGCGATTTCGGTTTCAAGAGGCCTCTGCCTACGGTCGACAAGACCCCAGGAACGATTCGATATGTCGAAGTGCAAGGAATGGACGATGTGGGAGGACAAACACGATGGGCAGAGAACGAGCAGGAAGTGCTTCTGAAGAAAACATGGCAAGAGACCAGTTCCCGTCTGAACTTGGGCGCAAGCGTCAATTCGAGAGCTGGCGTTTTGGGTCCGAGATTGTCCAGCAGGTACGACCTGGCCACCATCCGGCCATTGCCATCGGACGTCGAAGCAAACAAGTCACTGTCGCCCGAGGAACGTGACCAGCGCTTGTTCGAAGCCAGGGACGGAGAATGCCCGCGATACTCGATCGACGATCCCGTCTACAAGCACACCCAAGCTTTGGACCCGTTCGACAAAGCTGGGCCGCTCTACACCAGCCGAGTTTCTATGCCGGAAGATATTCACAGCATGTCAGAGAAGGAATTCGAGCGGCACTTGGGCAAGATCAGGAGACAGCGAGCGGCGTATCTGGAGTCTCACCGCGTTCAATTGCGCAGGAGAGCACAACAACATGCGTGGGACCAATATGATCAACACCGCAAACGCATCGCCTCTGAGGCCACAATTTTGGCTTCTCGAGGAGAGCAACCGCCAGAGATCCCACCAGAAAAGAATTTGGAAGATATACCCGTCCCAGAAGTGGGTGAGGTGGATGCCTGGAACCTGAGTCGCGGAGCAGACAGAGTGAGCTGGTCTCGTTGGCTCGAGCGTCAGACTGAATTGGCGCTCGCTGGGCCCAACGCGACCCAACTCAATCCAAGAGGCACCCCAAGACACGTCGTGCACGACATTAGAGATCGGTATGCACCGCGTCAACCTCCGCGATTTCCAATGCACCCTTTCGGCGGTCTTCAGTACGGGCAACCGGACAAGATTCAAACTGCCCTTCTGGCCTCCCCAGTACCAGGAAGGCTGATCAACTCGTCGCAGCCGGGCAGCGGTGTTACTGGCAACCCTTCACGTGCGCGGGGCGTCAGGGCCGATGGATTCGCGCTGGGCGTTGGGGGACGCATCGCAAAGCTGCCCAAGGTGCACGCTGAAGAAAGAGTCAAAGGTGTGGACTTCAACAAGGCAGAACCTAGCCAGGGCGAGCTTGGCGTTCGCATCTTCGAGGCGCATGTTAGCCGGACACACGACAGAGAGGCGGGCGGACCTAGAAAGCATAGTCATTTGACCAACGAAGCGCTTGGTTGTATCCATATGGACGCTAGAGCGGCGGATCACGCCACTGGAACAAAGTTGGCCATCGGCGTGCCGGGAAGTAGGGAATGGGTGGGTCAGGTGGATGGGAACTCGCGTTATGTCTCAGTTGCGGACATTGCGGACCAAGGAGCGCCTGGAGGAATGTACAGCGAGGGAGAACAGAGAAGGGCGAATGCCAGGCAGACCAGGGCTAGAAGTCATCGGAGAGGAAGAAGAGCAATCGAAGATGACACGTCTAGGCTGCTCGACTCTCTGTACGAGCGCCGATAGTCTTTGTGAATCACATGTATGCGTCGTGTGCCTGCGCTGCAGCGACCTTCTTTCGAGTCAATCAAATCAGAATGCAGTGGGAGTATCAAGACTTGTTGGAGTGACATGCACCGACCGATCTCAGTCCCCAGCACCGTCTCTTGGCCGTGGCCGTGTGCGTTGTGTTGTGCTTCACGAGCCTCGAGCCACCGAGTCTGCCATGCTGCTGAACCTGATGTCGCCTCCTATTCGTACATCGCCGTAGAACGTCCTTTCCAACGGATGATCGAGTCACGTGGTCATCGAAGCTGTGGCCCACTCGAGGCTTGTGCGGCACTTCGCGGTCCTTTGTATCTGTTGTCATCATAACAGGGCTTTTGAGGCTCAGAGCCATGACTTGTGTGCGCGGTGCAAGTATAGTTACCGGTACAAAGCTCGGCGGATCCGCATTTGCATTTGCATGCGGATCGAATCGGTTCGTTGCGCAAGGAGGCGCGCGTGCGCGTGCGCGTGCGCGTGCGCATGCCGACCCGACCGTTGCCTGGCGACCGTTGAGGAAAACTCCATGCACGGGCTCCCACGGTCTGCTTGCGCACCACCACGCGCAGGTGTGCGATTCAAGTCGTGGATCCAAAGCTTGGTCTCGCCAAATTAATCGGCAATTACGACCGTTCGGCATGACATGCGATTTGTACAGCCCAGCGCTGTGCTGCTGGCGTGCAGCGCTCACTCCTCCCAGAGCAAGTCGAGGCAAAGCCGGCAAGCGCGTCTGCAAGTGTGCCGCCGCCGCCAGCAGTCGAACAGGAAGGAGGTCGGTCGGTCGGTCGGTCGGTCGCAAGAGTTCGTTGGGCTTGCATGACTCGCTCGGCTCTGTCAGCCAAGCATGCCACACGAGCTTTGTTCGCTCTCAGCGGACACATCGTCCCGCGCAAAAATGGATGCTGGCATAGCCGGAGTGGGGACACCTGGTCAACATCCCACGCCTTTCCTCAACGGTTCCTCTCCCTCCCTGAAGCTCGTGTAAGCACGGCTGGAAAGTCGCATGATGTTGGTGGAAAGCCAAGCAGAGGCCCTGGATTTGCCTACAATCGTGCCGCGCTACTGTGGAGCCATGCAAGCTCAACGTTCGTCGGGGTCTTGCCGTCACACTAGGCCAGCGAATGCTCTGACAGAAAGGCGACTGCGCAGTCTCGATCGGCACGAGTGACAGAACGAATCGGTGTTGACTGATTCCACGCAAGCGCGATCCGGGGAGGGAGTAGGTGGGGTGGGAACTGACCCCCCGCTGTGCGCGCTCATCCTCGGGGTCTTAGGTTTCAAACTGATGAACTTTGATCACGCTTACCTTTCCCACCACCGCTTTGACCTTTCCACCTTGACCCCTTCTTCATTCTCTTCGCTTTCTCTCTCCATCTTCATCTTTCCCTTCATCTCGCTGCATTGCATCTTGCCAGCTTCATCCGTCCCTGGATTGGACGTCGCCATTTATCATTACCTTCATAGCATTCACACAGCTCTTTGCCCCTTGTCGCAAGCCATCCACAACAAGCAGGTAGCAGTCGGCTGGCTCGACTCGCTCTCCTTTTAGCCCATCGTCACTTGTTGTCGCCGATTCCGCATCCACGCAGGAGCTCCTTCCTTGCACTTTACCGCATCTACGCTCTTTACGCAACAGGCCAAGTGCCACCGTACATCCTCACTACACACAATCTCACGCTGCACCCCCCCTCAGCAATCCCCAAGCATGTCTCGCCCTCGCGCCAATTCTTCTCCTCGTCGAGCCCGCTTCGAGGAGGACGGGGCGCCAGCGGGTATTGATCATGAGCTCATGAGAGCGGCTTTCGAATCGCAGGCTTCTGTTCAAGCAGGCTTGCAACAGCCCTACAGCCACGCCTCTACACACGAACAGCAAAGCTCGCAGCCACCTCCTCCGCAGTCCAGCTCTCCATTTATGCCAGGCTACTCTGTGTGCGCGACCAACGATGCCCAGCGGTCTCAACTCTCGGCGTTGGCTCAAGCGGTCAGCCCTCTGGACCGCAGCCCTAATCCCGCTTCCACATCTTCTGCCACCGGTGCTCCTCAAGGCAAGCCCAGTACACCCAAACGGGCTGGCTTTGCCGAAATTTCCAAGCCAAGCGAAGATTCGGATGATGATGGCGATGAGAGTGGTGGAGAATTTATCGAGCCTCCCCGCACCTTGTCGACATGTAAAGGCAGACGTGGCACTTCTGCCTTCATTCCCGACTTGCCATCCGACGGCAACGAAGACCATGTCCGCGCGCCTGCGCCTGCGCCTGCGCCTCAGCAATTTGCTCCTGCTGGTCATTCGACTCAACAAGCAGCTCGCCCGCAGTACGATGGTCGTCCACCTCTAGCACTACCGCGCAAAGGTGCTTCAGGCCAACAGAAACCTCGGCCACCGCCCATGAACCTTCCGCAAAGGCCAGCACCCACCGCCCACTCGCCGTACGTCGCTCAGCACGGCTTCACTTCGCGTCCCGTCAGCGGTGTGTATGATGCCAACGCGCAGAGTCAGATGCCATCGTTTAGCGGCACTTTGCCCTGGGGTGGGCCTCAACCGTTGCCGTCACCGGGAGCTCAGATCCAGCATTACGACCCCTACTCGTCTCCGTCCATGGTGCAGCCCTTCTCCCCACGAGTGACATCGTCAGGCAGCATCAAATCGCCAGCACTCAAGCCCGCCCTCGTTCGCAGAGACCAGAGCGTGGAGAACTTTGCTATCCACGACTCGGGAGATCCGATGGAGCGAGGAGCTGTCCGAGCCGTTGAGCCCGAAGCAACTCGAAGGCCGTACGGCATTACGCAGGCGCTTGTCGGCTTGTATGGCGCCGCAACTGCTTCCGGGGATGGCACTGAAGGACTAGGCGTCAGAATGCCAAACGTGAGAAGGCGCAGCAGTGCAAGTCTCGGGGGTGACACTTTGAATGGTGTAGAAGGGACCATGAAGGGCAAAGGCACCAGCAGTCCAGGCGAGCCAGCCGAAAAGGAGGCTGAACCAGCGTACAAGGCCCCTACCAACGTACCATCGCTTGCTCGGCGCCGACAAAGCATGGCTTTCACGCTAGGCGAAGACGACGTAGAAATGGATCCTGATGATCCTCGTCTGACGCACGTCATTCGCAAGAGCATGCAAGCGAAGAGGCAGAGAGAAGCAGAGACCGACTATCGACGGGCAAGCTGGTCTTCCGAGATGGGCGATCCTGACGTTCCCGTACGTCGTCGGCAGGCGCCTCGACGTCGTTCGAGCATGGCATCCATCAAGAACTTTGTGTCTGGCCGCAACAGCGAAGATCAGGACGACAAGTACACGGCCACTCGTAGGAAGAGCTTCGATAGACGGAAGAGCACCACGACAATCACGGCCAATGTCGCTCACGTCGTCTTCCGACAAAAGTTCATCCTAAAGTTGGCCAAAGCTCTCATGCTCTTTGGCGCTCCTTCGCACCGTATCGAGTCTCAGCTCAACGCTACCGCGAACGTGCTCGAAGTGGACGCTCAATTCATCCACTTTCCGGGTATCGTCATTGCTTCTTTTGGAGATGTCGACAAGCACACCAGCGAGACGCACTTCGTCAAGTCCAAGTCTGATCTTTCTCTGGGAGCGCTGCACGACGTGCATCAAATCTATCGCAAGGTAGTTCACGACGACATTGGAGTGCAGGAGGGCACAGAGGAACTCAACGCGCTCCTCAAAGCTGAAGCTTGCTGGGGGGAATGGGCGCGAATTGGCTTTGCAGCCGTTCGTTGTTGGCTCATGGCTCCCATGTCCTTTGGAGGCTCCTTCATCGACGCCTTCGCGGCTGCTGCTTTTGGAGCCGGTCTCACATTCCTTCAGCTACGAGTCACTAGGAAGAATGCAATGTACTCCAACGTCTTTGAGATCTCCACGGCCATCCTCATCTCCTTCATCGCCAGAGGACTGAGCACCACGGGCATCTTTTGCTACCAGTCCATCGCCTCGTCCGGTCTCATCCTTGTCCTTCCTGGCTACGTCATTCGTAAGTGGAGCTTCGAGATGTCTTGCTGCGCAGGTATGGCTTTAACTCGTGATCTGCCCATCTCATTGCCAGTTTGCGGATCGCTCGAATTGGCTTCGAAGAACATGATTGCTGGATCGGTGCGAATGGTGTACGCCATCATCTACTCGCTGTTCCTTGGATTTGGCATCGCCATCGGTTCAGACTTTTACTTTTTGCTCGATCCAGCAGCACGCAACTCGATGTACGTGCCGCTGGAAGCGTCGGTCAAGGTGGATGGAACCTTTTCCCTTGCCAACGCCACGATGCCGCTCTGGACTGGAACGTTCGAGTTCACCAATGGAACACAGAGGAATGCGCTGACGACTGGATCGATCAATTGCGAAAGATTGCCAGACTGGCCTTGGTACAGACAACCCATCTCGCCTTGGTTCAACTTCATCTTTGTTCCCCTCTTTTCCCTCCTCTCGTGCTTCAATCTCTTGCAGCCGCTGAGGAGCTGGAACTTGCCAGTGATGGTCTTTATCGCTTGCGTGGGATGGACAGCAAACATGACGGCCAACCGCTTCGTCTTTAACCGTTCGGACGTGGTCAGCGCCATTGGATCCTTCATCATTGGTATCCTGGGCAATGTCTACTCCAGAATCTTCAGAGGAACAGCCTTCACGGCCACGGCAGTCGCCGTGCTCTTCCTCGTCCCTTCGGGCATGGCCATGGCTGGTGGTCTGGCCATGACTTACAAGGGCTCCGATGGCGATCTCTACAGCAACGGTCTCACCATCGGTCTCCGAATGGTATCCGTAGCTATCGGTATCACCGTCGGACTGTTCGGCAGTGCACTCGTCGTCTACTCCTTTGGTAGACGCAAGGGTGGCGCTCTCTTTGCCTTCTGAGCTTCCATAAACTCGCCTGGGCTTTGGCGAAGGCTTGTTGGACTGTCTTTCCCCCCCACCCCTCTGCTCCAAAGTAGCTGCTGGGCAGCCACATTCGTGTACCATCACACCAACACCATCAATGACCCGCCACTATTTTCAGCTGACAATGCAATGCGACCATTTCAGCGCGGCAAAGTATCAAAATCCTGTGATCGGACATGTGATTGTGTTGCGTACATGCTCGCGCGATTGCAGCCTCGACGGCGGCTTTGCGCCAAGCAGATGAGACTTCAATGCGAGGTGCGCGATTGATTCGATGGGAAAGGCATGATCTGACCGCATTATGCAGGGCGATTCCAACGGCCGCAATTGAAATATTTACATGACACAATGGTGGATAGAATCCATGGTGCTGATCCATCCATTCCTCGTAGAGGCTTCAAGTTGCTCTCGCTTTCAACGCTCTTCGAGAGCTCCGCTGCCCAGCGTTCTGGTCACGCTGACCCCATCGTCCTGCTTTGTGCCGTTCGACGCATGATCCTCGACGTGTCCATTGATCAATCCCTGCTCATTCGACTCCAAATCCGTCTCTAGGGCGTGCTGGCTGTCGAGTCTAGATCGAGATCCGTGCGAGCTGAGAGCGTCAGCTCTGGCACGAGCGGCCGCAGCTTCCGCTTCCGCTTCGGCGATCTGGATCCGCCGGTCTTCTTCCTCCTCCAGACGAATGCGACCTTCTTGTTGTCTGCGAATGTAGATTTGTAGATACGAGCCAAACAGTGCTACGCCTTGAAGCACGATCGAGGCGATCGTTGCAGCCACGCTGGTGGACAGGATGAGGAGACGAAAGAAGGGGGCCCAAAAAAATAGGGTCGATGAGAGTGGATAGAAACGCGCGCAAGATGGTCATGCGCAACTCACATTTCGGCGGGTCGATCATGATCAGGAATCTTGTAGGCAAGAAGGGCGAGGTTAAGGACGATGCCGCAGGCTGCCCAGGTGAGGTCTTGAAATGCAAAGATCCAGAGGGCCGAGAAGGCACCGACGCTTAGAATGGTAGCAAAAGTGGGCCAGACGGAATATTGCAAGGCCTTGTTGCCATGCGAGACGTCCCATTCGAGCGCCATGAAGAGTTGTTGAGCCACGTCCACTTGCAGCATGGAGATGAGGAGCATCTTGATGGGCACGTGAACAAAGATCCAATCGAGAGGATGCTTTGCGCTGGGAGGGTAGATGAACTCCAGAATGGCGGCGGTGATGAGCAAGATGAGGGCGATGATGGCTAGCAGCACCTCGCCCGCTACGAAGCAGGCCGGACTGGCGACCACCCAGGTGATGGACCATACGGCTAGCAAAAAGTTGCAAATTGCCAATCTGACACCAACACCATTAGCGATCAATTTCTTCGTCTCTGCTTGCTGGCCCACCACGCAGAGCAGGGCGAATCCGATCTGCAAGAGGTACAGCACACCCCAATAGACCAACAGCCAAGCCGAAGAAGGTGTAAAGTAGTTGGCATGCTTTTCGCTGATTTCGGACAAGGAAGGATGGATGAGGATGGAAGTGACGATGAGCGTTCCGGCAGATACGAGGATGCTCAGAGGGGTGAGGATCTGAACGCGCGTCAAAGCGGCAGCGGAAACGGGAGGGGGCCGAGAGGGCATGCTGGGATCGCTTTGGGTGGGACGATATACGTGATCCTCAAACGATGGTTGGCTTGTGCGTTGACTGGCACCTGCGAGAGATGCCTCGACGTCTTGCGGATTGTCGGATGGATGGCTCATGAAGTGTGAGCAAGTGCGAAGCCGCTTGGTGCACCGAAGCAGGCTCGAGTCGGTGATGATTGACGAGCTTGACCGCCGAGACAGACTCGAGCACGATACTGGTGAGGAGTTGATGGTGAGTGCTGAGTGAGAAGGGGAGGAAGGGGGAGTTTGCGGGACATATGCTTCCAAATCGAGCGAGCCGAGTCGATCGCAGCTTCGCCTAATCAACCTTGCTGGCTGACTCCGTGACTCGTGAAGTCACGAGTCACGAGTCACGAGTGTTTGGTCAGCCTACACGACCAAACAGCAGCAGCAGAGAGAAGAGCATATATATGCTGCAGTCGCGAGTTGATGAGCCTCAGCACCATCTCCACCGCGCCCTCACCTGATCCTTTTCCCCGGTCGCCGCGGGTCCACACGCTCGACGCGACCTGCGTCATTGCGCTTGTGGCTTCGACCGATCGCGCTGCACCGTGTATCACGTGCTATCCAATTTCCCCGCAAGGTGGGCAATCAAGAATCAAGAATCAAGAATAGCTCGATCAACGTGCGGACGATCAAGTATCCGATGGAGCAGAGTCTCGGCGAGAGGGAATGAGAATAGTTCAAGGAGTACCTGAGAGGCACCCCTCAGGTCAAAGCGGAAGTCGCAACGTACTCGATTCGTAGTGATCCACGATACGATATCGAGGATTGGCGTTGAGCGCGAGGATCGCATTCTGACTCAAAATCACGTGTTTAGTCATTCACGTGATCACACATCAACGCGGCAAACCCTTCGGCCACGCAACCTCGGCCCACGCGGACTTGACTTGAGAGTCACTAATAGGCACGCGCGCGGGGGGCGGCTTCAACTTCCGCCTTCCGCGGTCTGTTTCGCCTTTAAGCTGCTCGATCGAACCTTGTTATTCAAAATGGTTGACCTGACCTTCGATTGCTCGATCCTCGTCGGCCACAAGCTGCATGCTTGCGAAGACCAGCAGAGTCTGTCGAGGGATGTTCGACATGAGAGACAGATGATGGCTGTAGTGGGGTGACTGTGAGCCAAGAATGCTCGTTTTGCTGAGTCACGAGTCCGACGCAAGCTTCCTGTTCACGCGCTTGCTCCATTTGGTAGGCCAGGCGGAGGCGGAAGCGTGGTGTGCGGTCAGTCAGTCAGTCATTCAGTCAGTCAGTCAGTCAGTCAGTCAGTCAGATTTGGCTTGTGTGGGGGCAGGGACTGCAGTTGGGCTGCAGCTGGATCGGTGGTGGTGGGACCCGACTGGCCTCTGACTGGGGTCGATTGAACCGTGGCCGATGCCCGAGGCGCAGCTATAAGGAGGCAGCTTGCAGACACCAAGCGGGTTGGCTCAGAGTAGTTCACGGCACTCACGAGAGGGACTATTGTGATTGGCTCGCCATGCCGCACTCGCACTCACGACTCACGCCGACTGAAGAGCAGTCGTGACCCAATGCAAGAGGAAGCAAGAGCAGGTACAGACAGTCGTGAGTACCAATCCAAGCCGGATACATACATCTGAGGAACTCCGAATGGGGTTGAATAGAGCTTGCAAAGGACCAAGGAAGGCCATGTTGGCCAAGCTTTCTTTGCGAGGAGTGGCTTGCGCGCCCCTGCATCATTCTCGATCGATTCGCAGTCACGAGTCGTCAGTCGTCAAGTCAAGAGTGCTGGGCCCCACAACCCAGCCACTGTGCACGCAGACGCAGCATCGGCCCATAGTGACAGCAGCAGCAGCAGCATCAGAGATGCATACGCGCCGCTCTATACGCATGCGTGGCAGTCATGTTCGAGTCGTGGGTGAGTGTCCACTCACGACGACTCAAGACTTGACAAGTCCGCCCGCCGCGAGCTTTCATCTTGCTACGCGAAACGTATGTATGGTGGGGCTCACGCGCTGCGACTTGATTCTATTGGGAGCAGCTAGGCAGCGGTCACGCCGGTCTTTACTCGGGTCTTGCTCGTCTCTCGGCAGCATATTACAAGGCCCCCGAATGATTGATGATATGATGACCGGGCCATCGATCGCGCGGATGCGGTGAGCAACCGGTGTGCGTGTGTGCTCGCATACTCACGACTCGTGACTGCATATATGCCATGCGACCTCGCCATGATCAAGGAGCCCTGCACCGCGAGATATGACGATTTGGGGGGCGCGTGCGTGTGATGCTTAATGTGCGAGTTCGGCTTGGTGGGGGATCGAGGGGGATAAGTCGTCACGGGTCAGACAGTGCGATGCTGCATGAGCCATGAGGTGAAATTTGAATGGCTGCAGCATCAGCATCTTAATCCGGTCGCTTGCTCCGTTTCCCGGGCCGAGGTGCACCGGCTGTGTGGTCGGCCCATGCATGCATGTATACCGTACAGCATACTCATCACGACCTATAGCTGTACTTTTGGCGCTGCGATGCGCGGCCAACGTCGCCCGGGTCCGCCTATTTGATTACAACGCTGTTGTACTCGCTCGTGATTCTGTAGCCATGCTGACTCGCAACTCTGGCGCACTCACACTCTTCTGACTGCTGGCTTCATCTCTCCCAATCAACCACACGCCATAGCCAATCTTATCTCGCACTTTGCATCTTTGCCTCGCCTTGCTCTACCCTCCACCTACTCTCTCCAATCCTTGCCACACACTTCGTCGACTCCATCAACTTGTCACAGTCCCTGGAGCACAAGATGGTCATCTCTACTTTTCCCGAGCCTCCCAAGGTGTGAGCATCCGTGCACACGTGCGAAGCTTGCATTGTGCGCAAGCACTGCCAGCCCTGCGCGATTCTCGCTGATGCCTGCTTAGTTTTTGATCCATCTTCATTCCGCACACAGCTGGCCCCTCGATGTCCAGGCCGTGCCAGTGCCAGGTACGGAGAAAGACGGGCACACTCCCATTTTCCGAAATGCCGCTGTTCCAGAGTTCACAACTCAGGTGAGGGTGGTGCGCGAACGCTGAGCATCCAATGGCACAGAGCTGCTGACTTTCGCGAATCTGACCGACCTCGCTCGCTGCTCAGGAATCCATGTATGATGTCTTCGCTGTGGGCAGGGATCGTGATCCTCAAGCCCCTTACCTCGGTATCCGTCCCTGGAATCCAGCCAAGAAGGACTTTGAGCGCAGATTCGAGTGGCTGACGTACGCCCAGGCGGAGGAGCTTCGCACTGCCGTTGGAAGCGCTCTCGGAAAGCTCGCCAAGGAGGGTCAGCTTGGACAGGGCGTACCCGACAAGCAGTGGACTTGCGGCGCTTGGATGCAGAATAGGCCTGGTGAGTGGGAAAGGGGAGCAGCAGCAGCAGCGACCGCTTTCGCTTTCGCTCGAACGCTTTTGCCCGCTCACTTACTTCCCTTTGGGCTGCGCCTTTGGATCGATGCAGAGTTCCAGATCTTGGAACACGCTGCTGCCGCCTACTCTCGCAGGACGGTATCCCTCTACGATTCTTACGATACAGAGACTGCGGTCTACGTCCTCGCACACTCTGAGGCTCGAGTAAGTTTACGCTTCCCCTATTTTCTTTGCACGCCCCGAGGCCTAATCTTGCTGACGTTTGGCTCGAATGACACTAGTGTGTCTTCACGACCACCTCACATGTCCCCACGCTCCTCGCTAGCGCGAGCGAGATACCCTTGGTCAAGCTCATTGTTACCCTCGACACTCCTGCGCCAGCTGCAAGCGCTCCTGGAGAGCTAGGTCGTGACCAACTGCTGGCCAAGTGGGCGGCTAGCAAAGGCGTCAACCTCACGAGCTGGGACAAGATTGTGGAGCTTGGAAAGGCAAACCTGGTGGCTCACACCCCTCCTCAGAGCAACGAGGAGCAAATCAGCTTCTGCTACACGAGCGGAACCACTGTGAGTCGGCTGTTGCCCTGATGTTGTATGGTCCGCTTTTTTTTCGCTGCAGGCTGAGCTATATGCCTTGATGATGATGATGCCTACAGGGCAAGCCCAAAGCTGCGATCGTGCTGCACAAGCAACTTGCGTACGCAGGTGCTGCTACTTCGCTCTACTGGTCAAAGCCTCAAAAGATGATCTCCTACCTGCCTTTGGCTCACATCTACGAGAGAATCCTTGAGGCACTCGTCACGCGCAATGGAGGAAGTATCGGATACTTCTCTGGCGATGTGCTACGCCTCACGGAAGATGCTCAGGTCCTCCAGCCTTCGTTCTTTCCTGGTGTGCCTCGCGTCTTCAACCGCATCGCCGCTCAAATCCAAGCACAAGCAGATGGCGGAGGTCTCAAAGGTGGGTGGAAGCGCAGCGCAGGACGACTCTGCGATGTGTGGCGGTCTCAGCTAAGACTTGCTGCGCTTCGCACCCGCAGGCAAACTCTTGACAGCTGCTTTGAACGCAAAGATTGCTCGACACGACCAGACGGGTGACGTGACTCATGCCTTCTACGACCGGATCGTCTTCCGCAAGGTGCGCGCCGTGTTGGGTGGCAAGGTCGAGCAGCTCGTCTCTGGATCGGCGCCCATTCGTCCAGATGTACTCAAGGTGCTTCGTGTGGCCTTGAGTGCAGACTTCCGCGAGGGTTACGGACAGACGGAGAATGCGGGGTCTTGCTTGCTCATGCACCCCGGAGACAAGGATCTGGGTACTTGCGGCCCACCCGTTCCTGGCCATGAAGTCCGCTTGCGCGACTGCCCCGAGTTGGGCTACACGACCAAGGACAAGCCGTTCGCTCGCGGCGAGATCCTGTCCCGCGGTCAGTCCGTCTTCCCAGGATACTTTAAGGACGACAAGAAGTCAAAAGAGACGCTGGACGAAGAGGGCTGGATGTACACTGGTGATGTGGGATTGATCGACGACAAGGGCAGAGTCAAGATCATTGATCGAGTCAAGAACTTGATCAAGCTGGCTCAGGGAGAGTACGTCGCTATTGAGCACGTCGAGGGCATCTTTAGCTCCTCGAAGCTTGCTGCTCAATTGTGGCTCTACGGAGATTCGACTGAGGGTGAGCGATGTTGAGACGAGGGACCAGGCACGCTGTCGAGCACGGTAGCGCTGACGCTGAGGCGGGTTTCCATATTCTGCACACCAGCACACCTGGTTGCGATTGCTGTGCCAGACCCTGAAGCGTTTGCTCCCTTCGCGTCCAAGATTACCGGAAAGCAGCTCTCTGCAGCCGACTTGCAAGGTCTGGAGCAAGCGTGCCAAGACCCGAAGGTCGTCGCCTCCTTCCTCAACGACCTGGTCACTGTGGGCAGGCGAAACAAGGTCAAGGGCTTCGAATTCCCGCGCGCTTTGAAGCTGCGCATGACCCCTTTCAGCATCGAGGAGGGCACACTGAGTGAGTGGTCTGGAGATCACGCTAGGAGCTGCATTTTTCGCTCGCTTGCTGACCAACTCGCTTTCGCCACGAACACCTAGCCCCTACGTTCAAGCTCAAGCGACCAGAGGCTAGAAAGATCTTGGAGGCTGACATCAAGGCTCTGTACTCCAAGCCGCCTGCGGACATTAGCGCTTCTAAGCTCTAGGGGCCACGGTCACCTCCAAACGTCTCTTTGTCTAGTGTTATTGTCAAGTGCCGACGACGGCGTCCGAGTAAATGTGAAGCGTGTGTCTGGTCATCGTGAGGTCGAGGCTTGATGCTGTGTTATCAGAGCGCGAAGGGTGAAAATACTGCGGGATGGGCCCTGACGGCTGCTTGTGACCTTGCCCGGGAGCTTTATTTCAGCGCCAAGGCTTGCGGGTGTCCTCTACCACGAACGCCATCAGCGCTCGATGTTGAATGATGATTTGTGACGGTCAAAATGGAACGAGCAATGTGCTGGGGCACATGAACCGCGCGCACCTCAAATAGGCAGCATGCGGATGCACGCGCAGTCACGACTTTCTTCCGCGCGGGAAGCGCGAAAAGTCGTTCCGTGACACGCATGCATGCAGATTCACGATTCGGCATCATCCTTTGTTTGCGAACACGACGTCCTGGATGGCTTTCGTGGGCGCTTTCATGTTCGCATGCTTTGCCTCACCCCTTGATCAGCTTTTCAGGATTCACACCCACGGTCCACACAAGAAGCACGGATACAGCGCTTGACATACAGAGCCCCAAAAATTTGTGGGGACGTAGCAGCCGGCCGGGGTTTTCTTGCAAACTTTTTGGCATTTCGTTTGCGCAATGGCGGGACCTACCGTCATGCAGGCAGCGCAGGGACAACATGGAGCTGCTGCTGCCAGCAACGATGCGCAGAGCGAACAAAGGAGCCTGATAGAGTTTGCTGCCAAGGCTGCAGAGACTTTTGCGTCTGCTTATTACGCCGCTACAGACTCTCCACAGAGGCTAGGTGTGAGTTTTAGGCCCGACAAAGTTTGGAGGACTTGCTCCCTCTTCGCGAAAATCGAAAGCCGCTCACAGGATTTGCTCCGGATTTGCCCCCCCCCCCCCCTCCCTCCTCTTCTTCCTTTGCACCCCACTTTGCGATCGACTTGCCTTGAACAGCTCATTCCTACTTTGTACTTGCCAAACTCGACGATTGTGTGGAATGGAACGCCCGTCAGTGGGAAGGACGAGTTGGTGCAGCTCTTGGCTGCCATGCCGGGGTCAAAGCACGAGTTGCAGGCTTTTGACGCGCACCCAGTTGGAGGAGGCACGGAGAATGGTGAGTAGGTGCAAGTTCGTTGGGCTCTCCAGCAGAGCCAGGCGCCGCTCTGACGGCTTTACCCGTCAGCTCCACGCTTGAGCTGAGCAAAGTGTGCTGCGTGTTAAAAGTCTGGGCACGTTTTGGAGGGCACAGCAAAGAGAGGGGGGAGAGAGGAGGAGAGGGGGGGGGGGGAGCATACATCCTCACGCATCAATGGTAACCCCAAGCAGCCTTTCGGAGGTATCGCCGAAGATCGTCCTCTTTGCTTTGGCATTCTGATTCACCAGAGCAGAGGGGCAATTTGTGCGTGCTCGTGGCGCATGAGCATGTCTGGCGTAGCTCAGCTACTCGGCAGCATGCTCGCGGCGCAGATCAAGAGCTGATCAGAACACGCTCGAGCGGTCGGCTTTCCCTAGACGCTGCTCGTTGTGCGTCTGGTGGGCGAGAGGCTGTGGAGGCGGGCGGGGGTCGCCTGTGGGCCGGTTTGACTCCCAGCACACTTCTCAAAGAGCTTCATTCAAGGGTTCATGACCGTAAAGATCAATTGGTCATCAGAGTAGTCTCGAAGCATACATTCTCGCGTCCTCAAAATCCCCGACACACGCTGACCATTGAATGCATCCAATGTTTCACCATCGATGCACCGGTACAGGCGTTCGTCGGGCACCCTCAGTGATGATCACAGTGACGGGCGTAGTGACGCATCACATTCCAGGATCAGCGTCTACCATGGCTCCCACAAACGCGCCCAAATCTGCGGGAGGATCGAGCATCAAAGACTTACCCTTGGAAGCCTTGCCGAGAACTTTCCATCAAAGCTTCCTCTTGACACCTCAACCCACACATGGCACCAACGCACCTGTCCCGGACGGAGGAGTCAATTGTGCGACAGGTGACGGAGTTTGGGCTGCTAGACTTTTCGTACAGGCGGACAACTTCAGATTCATTGGCTGAAGACGGCGTCTATGACCTCGACAAGAAGCGCCTTTTAGAAAGTTCGCCGCAGTGTTTCACCACTCAACCACAGTAAACAGAGTGGAGCGTTCGCTATCGCTCCGCTCGTCACAGCCTGCACATGAAGCATCGAAGTGCCCTTTGCGAGCCGACCTTTCCGACCTGACTCGTTGGATTCCTCAATCCTCGCATCAAATACATCGTCCCCTGTTCTGCAACGGTCCTCGAGCTGAGGATGTGCATCACTCGCGCACGTCCATATGACCGACACACGTCCAAATGACCGACACACTCATCAGGAGAAATTCCGCAGTCAAGCACAGCTGAACATTGCAAGCTGCCATCCCTTGCCCTCTTTCTCGCCAAGAATCCAAGCATACGCGCACAATCTGTCACAAGGTCCCTCCTCTATGGTCATCATCACGTCAGTCTTCCAAGGTCAAGAAGACTTGCAATATCAGTACACTCCGCATTCACCATGATACCCACACCTCCCGTTGTGCCCATCCCTGGACTAGCCCCCGCGCTTTCTTTCTGAGGCTGGGCTCGGCTCGATGCGATATGCGAGAGCACATTTACTCAAATGGAATTTTGAGCGAGGGCTTGACCTCCATAGCGCTGATGCGAGGTGTGTTTGAGGTGGTCTTGCAGACGAGTCGTGTGCGTGATCTGCAATCTGCGATCTGCGCTCAGAGTCACAGTGTGGTTGATCGAGCCGTCGGCAGTTACGAGCAAGAGGGGGAAAATGTCTCGCGGGCGCAGGCAGAGAGTGCACCGCCTCCGACGCACGCCTCGCTCGATCGAGATCGATGCGAGAAAATAGTTACGAGTCGTCGTGGATGGCCATGCGGCAGGGCAGGCACGCGGCAGCAGGCCTGTTCTCACCCCTCGAGGATCCGCTTGGGGGTCTGCATGATGAGGCCCAGGCTGATTGATGGCTGTGCAGAGATCGATGCACGGGTGCAGCGGTTCAAGAGCTTCGCGAATGCAAGCGTACGACTACTTGGAACGCGTGAAGAGGCAAAGGTTATCGGGGAGTCTCTTGTTCATCTGACCCAGCTCTGATGAGGGCTTGAAACTTGGTTTGTGATGATGGCTGTGATGTTGTTGGTGATTGTGGATGCAGAGCACCAGTCAGGTGATGGGCGATGAGCAAGGTGATCGAGGCTCGAAGGGTGAGCGGTGCCGCCTGCGCAGACAGGCAGGCAGCCTGGCAGCCAGCTAGCCAGGTACTGGCCAGCACGCATCACAGACGCGTTCGCGCAAAGCGACGTTCGTAGACGCGCTACCCCCCAATCGTGGACCAAACTGCCTATGATTCCGCGCTCGACACTCGACATTCGCTACACAAGACGCACGACTGCTCAAGGCCCGAGAGGCCACGTCGCTGCTATAGTGTCAGAGAGGTCGTCATTGTATCGTAAGGATGTGATTTGCGGTTCTTTTGCGCGCGCGGGTGCGGGTTTCGCGTGTGCGGTCGCATGTATGCATGCTGTGTGCATGCATGCATGGCGGCAAGCTACCGCACGACCGCGCACACAGCAAGGCCATTCAATGACGCCTCAGCCTGGCGCAGCAGCTAGAAGAGCGTGCGGTAGGCACGACTGACTGCATGGTGGAGAGGGTAGCGCGGCGAGCGCATTCAGATTGACGCTCAAGATTAGGCTGCTCGCGCCATCTGCCATCTAGCCTCGCTGCTGTTAACCTTTGCAACTTTGAGCCATAGCCATCTCGAATCACGAATGCGGATCTCGTCTGTCTTGTGCTTCACCACATCATCCGTACACATCGCGCTGTTCTTGCATTTCTTTCCTCTTGCGTCTTGACGAATCTGCTTTATCAAGACGACACGGGAGAAACGGCCCGTCACGCGAGCGATCTACACCGCCCATCCTCATCGGTGTCTTCATCTTCCGATCCGCTCTTCCTGATCCTCGGTCACATCTAGACTGTTCGCAACCATCACAATGTCGGCCGCAGCTGCCACCGGAGGCGCACCTCAAACGGTTCCTTGCGCATACAAGACCGGAAGAACGTTGGGTCAAGGCACCTATGCTGTGGTCAAGGAGGCAGTGCATATCAGTACGGGACAGTACTATGCTTGCAAAGTAATCAGCAAGAGGTTGATGGAAGGCAGGGAGCACATGGTCAGGAATGAGATCGCAGCGCTCAAAAAGGTATCACAGGTGAGTCATGAAGAAGAGGAGACGAACGAAAGTGGGAAAGGCGGGTGTGGCCTACATTGGCGCCAGGCCATTAGCCCAAAGAACTCGAGGCAACCAATCTACGGTAGCCACTGCTTTCGAATTGCGGAAAGCTGGAAGGCAGCGTCGCGTTCTTCCGCTTCGGATGCCAGATACAGCCACGGCTAGACGACTAGCCCTTCGTTTGAGCAGCCCTCCTTGGCTGCCCGTGTGCGTCGATGCCCGCCTCTTCAAGGAGCTTCGCGTGCATCCATATCGGCAAAGCTTGGAATGCCTGTGTCAACGCACTCGGCTTTGGCCATTCTTGCTGCAAAGGTGAGGCTTTGCTCACCCTCCGAGACTTCCTTCTCACAGGGCCATCGGTCTATCGTCACCCTCGTGGATTACTTTGAGACAATGAACAATCTGTATCTGGTGACAGACCTTTGCGTAGGAGGCGAATTATTTGACAGGATCTGCGAGCGTGGTAGCTACTACGAAAAGTGAGTCAGGACATTAGAGCGGCTCTTTTGGACCTCGATCTAAGCGTACACCTCTCCTGCGCTTGCTTGCCAAAGAGACGCTGCACACATCGTCAAGACGATTACCGAGGCCGTAGTCTATTTGCACAACCAAGGCATCGTTCACAGAGGTGAGATTGGCGGACCACGCGGTCGAAGGGTAAAGGCAGCCTTCTTACGCCTTGCCTTTGGCGCACAGATTTGAAGCCCGAGAACCTCTTGTTCCGCGACAAGAGCGAGGACTCTGACTTGTTGATCGCTGATTTTGGATTGTCTAGAGTGGTCGATGACGAAAAGATTACAGTCTTGTCCACCACTTGTGGTACACCTGGCTACATGGCTCCGGAAATCTTCAAAAAGACGTGAGTGCACGATGTTCGAGGTGAGGCTTCGATGACAAGGCTGATTACCAATTTGCTTGTCTTGATATTGAAGCGGACACGGCAAGCCTGTAGATATGTGGGCAATTGGCGTTATCACGTACTTCTTGCTCTGCGGCTACACGCCCTTTGATCGGGACAGCACAATGGAGGAGATGCAAGCCATCATCAACGCCGACTACTCCTTCGAGCCAGCAGTGTACTGGGCGGATGTGTCGTCCGAAGCTAGAGACTTCATCACCAAGCTCTTGACTATTGACCCTCAAGCTCGATTGACAGCCAAGCAGGCTTTGGAGCACCCTTGGCTCTCGGAGGGCATCGAAAGACCTGCAGAGGTTCAGAGAGACTTGTTGCCGGACATGAAGAAGGCTTTCAATGCCAAGCACAAGTTCAAGGCTGCTGTCAACGGTATCAGGTGAGTGCGCGATCGTTGGTGCAAAATCTGCGCGTCCTAGCAGCAGGCATTTGAAACGCTGGTCTGATTTCCCACTTCTCTGCCACGCCTCCCCCGCAGACTCATCAACAGGCTGCGGGCGGAAACGTCCGATGGCTCACCCGCACAAGCATCCGAAGTGGCCGATATTCGCAAAGGCATCGAGGAGGCCGAAGCGGTGCGTGCTCGCGGACGTATTCGGATCCTCTTGGGCGCTTGCCACTTTGAGGGGGTCGGCCCCCCGCAATCAGCTCACATTTGGCTCTCCTTTTCCCCTTTTGTTATCCTACGTCTGCCGCAGGAGGCGGCAAATATCAACCAGGTCTTTGCGCAGTGAGGCCCGCTCGAGCTCTCTTCCACCTCCAATTTTTTTTTTTTCCCATCCCGCCTTCCACTGGGTCACTGAAAAGCCACGACCGAGTTTCGGACTGACCTCGGTTCCTTTACGATCCGCCCTCGAGTCATGCGATGCGATGCGATGCAATGCTATCCCCTTGACCCTCTTTACATGTCTCTCACACGCTCAGCACTTCGCCTGCTGGGAAAGCGTTCGCAACGGATCAATCGGACTTTGCTTGGCAGTCGTGGAGAACGGCTCGATCGCATCGGCAGATCAAAATCACCCAGATCGCACACGAATCGCAAGTCGGCAAGACGTACCGTACCGCGTGTCCATTGGGGGGGGGGTCCCGCCGCGCGGAAATTAAGCAAAGAAGGGGCGGACGAGGGGGAGGGGGGGGGAGGACGTATCAATGTTTCTCATGCTGCTTCCTTCATCCATCACAGCTTTGAGGAGGATGAAGCAGCAGCATCCGCTTCTTTTTGTGCTTGATCGCGCAAGATTCTCCTGAGAATCTTGCCTGAAGGGGATTTGGGTACAGCTTCTACGATGACTGCACCTCCTCTAAGCCTCTTGTGGTTCGCCACCTTGCCATTCACCCAGCTCACAATCTCCTCTGCAAATGCTTTGGCTTTTTCTTGTTCCTTCCACATAGACGCCTCTTTGGGCACCACGTAAGCTCGGGGAAATTCCGTAGCTTGAGCTTTGGAGTAGACGCCGATACAGGCCGCATCGGCCACTTGCGGATGCTGTAGCAGCAAACCTTCCAACTCTGCAGGAGCTACCTGGAAACCCTTGTACTTGATCAGCTCCTTGACCCTATCTACAATGTAGAAATGATTATCCTTCAGAATGGCAACATCTCCCGTATGGAAGAAGCCGTCCTTGTCGATGCAATCTGCCGTCGCTTCGGGCCTATTCAAATAGCCTGAAGAGGAGGAGGGGAAATTGCCGGGAAGGCGACAGCAAGCATTGTGATTCAGCGATGTAGACGCGGAGTGCGTAGCGCAGACACGCGCGACGGCCTTGGGCGAGATGGGCACGTGGCACAAGCCTCACCTTTCATGATGGTTGGGCCTCTCAACCAGAGTTCGCCAGGCACGCCTTCTGTCCCTTGTTCGTGAGCCACATCTTTGCCCTCCTCCGTCACCAATCTAGCCTCTACACCAGCCAACAAGCGACCCGCGCTGCCCTTGTACTTGTGATAATCCTTTGTGGGTATCAGCGTTGCTGATGGCGATGTCTCCTGCGCGCCGTGCACATGGTTTGTGGGGGAGGTGAGGGGAAGGTGAGCGGGGCAATGATGAAAATTGGGTGCTAGAGGGGGGTTGCGAATGCTGGCTCATGGAGTCGACACGGCACAACTCACGGAGAGACCGTAGCCTTGTGATAGTTTGACTGATATCGATGACCAGCGGTCGCAGAAAAGGTGTGAGCATGGCAATCGAACAGCCTCGTGTGCGGATGACCGCTCATCAGACTTACTGTGCGGGCACCGTTTCTGCACCTCGTCTCCCAGCTCGGCGCTGAGAGGAGCTGCGCCGCAAAGGACCTTTGCCAGCGTGCTGATATCGTACTTTTCCACCACTGGCGATTTGGCGATGAGGACGAGCATGGGAGGTACGACGAAGCAGCACGTGACTTTGTACGTCTGGATAGCCTTCAAGAATTGCTCCAATTCAAACTTTGGCTGAACCACTGTTCTGATGCCAGCGTAGAGGGCATGGTGAAGAAACTTTGATAGGCCGAAGATGTGAAACATGGGCAGCACGGCTAGGTGCGTATCGCGAGAGTTGAAGTCCTCCCCAACGCCAATATCGATGGCGATGGTGACGGATGTCATGTTGAGGCTGTGCGTGTATGCATGTCATCGCAAGGGCGACGACGGTCGATGGATGGATGGATGGATGGATGGATGGATGTGCGCGCGCGCGCGCGAGAGCGAAGGAGCAATTTATCAAGATATGGCGTCTGGATGAGTCGGAATCGATCGGAGAAATCACGAATGCGAGGCAAAGCTTGACGATGATGCGGTTCTATCCAGCGACGAGACTCCCCCCCACACCCCTTCCCCTCTTGGCGGGCTGCCACCCCACCGGACCATCTCCGCCATTTGCTCCCGCGTCTGGACAGACTCACTGGGTCAATTGTACGCCTTTGGGCATCCCGCTGGTTCCGGAGCTGTAAGCCACAAAGGCTTCGGTGTCCTTGGGATCTGCCACGTGATGCGTTTGCAGTTCCTGCTCGCCCATCAAGCTCCTCACATCCTTTTCGCCATTCTCGCCCCTCGCCAGCTCATCCGTCTCATCCACCAACCACAGCGTTTGATGATCACCCCTCCTTTCGGGCACTTGAGCCAGCTGCAGACCTTCCCTGGCCACGTGAGCTACGGCGGGATGCGCAAAAACATACTTTACACCTGCATCTTTTACGGGATGAACAAATTCTTGACCGGAATAGATGGGGTTCAGAGGTACGATGGTGATGCCGGCGCACAGCGCTGCCAGCACGACGATGGGATAAGTGGTGCTGTTGGGAGAGAAGAGGGCCACTCGATCACCTGCTTGAAGATACAAAACGTTTTTGAATGCCCACGCTAGTCGACGGGAAGATTGGAAGAGATCAGCGCGCGTCAAGGTTTTGCCATCGCTGGCTCGCACAAAGGCTACGTTGGAGGAGGGAATATTGTAGGGATTGGTCAGGAGGAAATCGAAAATGTTGCCTGGACGACCCTGGGCGGATGGAGCGTCGCCGTAGATGGACTTGACTACCTGCATGATGGTGCGCGGGCGCGTGTATGTGTGAAGCTTGGCGTGTCGAGCGCAGAGATGATCAACGTCCGTCGCAAAAGGGAAGGTGGAATGACGGGATCGGTGTAGTCACGAGTCTGACTGTATGCCAGTGGTGGTGGTGGTGGCGGTGGTGGCGGCGGCAGCAGCAGTAGCAGCAGGATGAAGCGCAACGTACATCGTTTACCCCGCTTGCTTCATCTCGCTCTTGGCCGATCGAGCGACATTGATAGCAGCAGCGCCTGCACGCATGGCATGGCATGGCATGCCGCATGCCTCAAATTTGGCACATGACCGCCGGTCGCCTAGCTTCACCTGCTGCACCATGCACCCACCATGCACCCGCCCGACACCCCACCCACCCACTCTCTCCATCTGCCATGGACGCCCATCCCAGCTCCGGTACCGCCTGCTGCAAGGCATCGCATCGCATCAAGCATGGCATGCCATGCCAGCAGCCAGCGACCACGAGTCACGAGTCCTTATGCCCTGTCCAATTCCACTCAAACTCCTTGATTTATCTTTAATTGCCGCAAGCAAAGGACGGCGAATCGCACCTGCGCTCCTGCGCTCCTCATCACGACTTCGAAGCCATCCATCCATGCATGCAATGCATGCGGTGCTGTCCCTTCTTGGTCTTCGCCTCGATCCCTACGCAGGTCAGCTTGTACGCAGGTCAGCTTCATCATCCGCCTGGCAGCAGCGGAAGCAGCAGCAGCGCCTTTCTCCACAATCCATCACGGGTAATGACTACACGGACGCAGCATCTACACATGCCGAAGAGGAACAGCTATAGTCGTGAGTCGTGAGTATGGCCAGCCATGCATGCAGCCCGCTCCCCATATTCAGCAGCGTGCGACCTGACATGACAGACAGCAGCTATATAATAGCATGAAGCAGCAGCAGCAGCAGCAGCAGCAGCATCGCAGCAGCCGCGCAACCTAAAACGCAGGACGGACTTCGATCGGCACTCGGCTCGCTTTGATTGCCGCGTCCAAAGCCACACACATCATGCAAGCGCGCGTTGTCGGAGGTGCATACTCAAGACTGTCTCAGCTAGCGCGTCCCACTGAAGTGACGTGAAAGAGTGTCACGTGTATGCCTCACCGCTCAACAATCAAGAATCGAGGATCAAATCCTGTCCTCCATGCGTGCATGCCTTTACGATCATTGGTGGTGAGGTGAGCTGCTCATTGCTCCTTTCTTTCCCACCACAGTCCGCGCAGCGCAGATCAGATCATCAACAGGGCTAATAATCCGAGCTGTGCCCATCACATTTCCACCTTTGCGTGCTCTCACTCTCAACAAGCATCCAATCCTTCAGCCTTTCGTGATCCATTCGACAATCACAATGTCGAACAACGAAGCAGGTCCAAGTTCGCCCAATCGACATTCTGTCGACCTACTAGCCGCGCCGCATGCGCAGGACGACTTGATCGATGCGGGCACGGATAAGCAAGCGGATGCGAGGTCAGTGTTCAAGAAGCGAGGCGGCGGCAAGAGGAGTGTGGGCGTCAGAATGCGTGGGATGCAAGATGAAGAGAGGGGAGCAGACGAGAATGAAATGATGGGTGAGGATGCGCAACGATCTGAACTTGAGCAGAGCACAAAAGAAGCCGAGTGAGTGAGGCACGAGGTTGTAGGATCAGAAGGCTGGGTGCGCATACAAGCCTCATGCGCTCCGCCTTTTCCCCCCACCAAAGTCTGTCGATTCGAGATCTGTTGGCTTTGCGCGCGCTTGGAAAGAAACCTGCAGGCATTGCTCTGGACAAGCTAAATGTGGGCGAAAGGAAGAAGAAAAAGAAAGCGGAGGGAGGAGCCAAGAAAGCGGAGACAGAGGAAGATAGATGGGCGGAGCAGATGCGTAGGGGCGGATTGGTCGCCAAGGATATGAAGAGTGGCGGAGGAGGTGGCGGTGCAGAAAGGTGCGTGAATGAGACTCGTGCTCTTGCAGGCTTGATTGCGTCGGGCACACTGGATTGACGCTGAATTGCTGAACACGGAACATTGCATAGCGATGATGAGGATGCCCAAGGAAATCGAAAGCTGGTAAGATCCAACAAGTTCTCCGGAGAGACTGGAACAGTGGATGTGGATGCGCACATGTTGGCCTACATTGAGAAGGAGATGGCCGCTCGAAAAGCAGCCGCCGCGGCGACATCTGCATCCAAAGCTAGCGATGGTCCTTCTTCGCAGCTACCGACGGATCCTCGAGATGTGGTTCGAGCTTTGAACAACCCCGAAGATGAATTGTATAGGATTGCGGAAAAGTATAGATCGTTGCAGGAACAGGTCTCGAAAGTGCCGGACAAGGAGGAGTCGGAACAGGGACTCAGTGCGGCTTTGCTGAGTAGCGTGCCAGAGGTGGATCTGGGGATGGAGTGAGTTTCGAATTTGCTTAAAGGACGTTGATCGTGCTATCTGTCGATGAGGACAGTGCAATGCTCACCCCTTCTGATCACGCTCAGTAATCGACTCAAGAATATCGCGGATACGGAACAAGCGAAGCGGGCGATGAATGAAGCGAGAGCCAATCGGGGCGCTCGAAGAGAAGAAGACGAGTTGCTGGCCGCATCGCGTTGTGAGTTCCGTCGAAGGACGGCACGATCCCAGATCCGTGGATTTTCTGGGGTCCATCGAGGCCTATTCCCTAACATTCAGCATGTTGCTCCTGCACGGGTGCAAATTCCCCCACAGTCTTTCGACCTAAACAGCATGCCCAGTCGGATGCGGACGCTATGCGAGCTGCAAAGCAAGATGCGGAAGTACGTAGAGGAGGAGCTGCAATCTTTCCAGAGGGACACATCAGCGCGCCTGGCGCTTCCGCTCCCGAACGAACAGGAGATGGCCAGAAGAGGAGAGAATTGGCTAGCGATCAGCTCGTCATGGAACGTTTCAAGGTGAATGCTCTTTTACTTTTCTGTTATGTTTTGTTGCTTTGTTCTTTCACGCGAGCGTTCTTCTGAGCTTTTAGACTGAACAGTCGCGCCTTGACCTTTTGCCTCTCCCTTCGATCAGAAACGACAAAGGAATCAGCTCAAACGATGAAAAGAAAAAAAAGATTCAAGTGTGGCATCGTTACACGACGTGCGGAATGTGATTGCAATGACAAACAGAAAGATGGTATGCGTGACCGGCGATGCGATGCTGGGAGGGGCGGAGCAGAGCGGGGCTTCCGCCTCAGAACACCTCGACGTGAAAGACGTATCTGATATAGGTGCCTTTGGCCCTATTCTCGACATTGAGCTGGTGCACTCGATCAGCAATCTGTCGACCGATGACAGGCGGCCCGCAAAAGAAGACGCCGACTTTTCTGTTCCTCTTGTCCGTGCCTGCTGGCCAAGCCTGGTTTCCAGCTTTGCAGAGATCCTCATCGAACTGATCCAAGATTCCCCCTTGACCCAATTCCGGTCTGCCAAACTCTGATCTGCTCCTTAGGCCTGTCAGTGCCGAGTATGGGTGAGATTTTGTGCGATGTCTATCCAAGAGCGCTCGAAAGACGAGGGTGGAGAGGGATTTGCGCTTGGCTGTGATGTGGGGATGAATGTTCAATTCCAACTCTCCGCTCGTGCGCGTCTGGTCTGCCAATCTGGAACAACGGTTGAGCAGTGTGGAAAGCCAAAGCAGCTGATCCTTGTCCCTGACGATCCAGTGAAAGTCTACCCTTCGATCAGGACCACTTTTTTGGCCTTCTTGAGCTTGATGGTGCGTCGAGGCGCGGGAGAGCGCCATTCCTTGAGCTTGAGCGGACAAACCCCTTTCGGCTTGCCCAACTTGTCGCTCGCTCCCGCTCCTAGAGTTTGGTCGACTCAAGCGGCTCGGGATTCTGCTCATGCTTCGCGAGATGCTCTGAAAGCTGCTTCGACGTCGGCTCAGCTGCCACGGATCGCCTTTGCTCGTCAACTCTTGTTCCAAGTGCAAAAGAATGGCGGAAAAGGGAGTCACGCCAATTCCTGCACCTATGATGATCGACTTTTGATACGTGTAGAAACGTTGCGCAGGAGCTCCAAATGGTCTGAGATGCCAGGGCAGTGATGGTCACCGTCAGCAAGCAGCGGTGCCAAGTGTGCGTGACACACAAACATATCACTTGTTCACTCACCCATCCAAGCCTACGCTGATATCCACCCCGTCTTTGGGCTCACGCTCTCCAGCTTCTGCTGCGATTTTGTCTGCGAGATCTGCCAACGCGCTGGTCCAGCTTCCTTCAAGCTTGATGTGAACTTGCAACTTGTCCTTGACCACACCAGAAATAGTAAAAGGGTGCCACTGCCATCTGGAAACGGCAGGGACCTGCAGCATGATGTACTGACCGGGCTGATAGTTCCAGCCCCTGCCGTTCGTCTTGGACATTGTCACCGAGACCGTGCCTTCATCTACTCGAGTGAGTCGAGCGGGGATTGGAATGAAGCCTCTGATTAAGCGCAATGACCTCTCGCAGAGGACCAACAGCACGGGAAAGACGAGCCAATAACCTAGCATCGGAGCTTGCAGCAGTCTGGCAGTACCGTGAGCAGCCAGAAGGCCAAACATGGGAAACATGAGCAAATGAGCTAGCTGGAACAGCTCGAAGGCCCGCTTGCGCACAGCCGGCATGCTCATCAAAGCGATGAGCCAGAAGATACCAAAGCTCGTCAATCCCGTCCATCCCGGCAAGCTCCTGACGTAATCGATGTAGCGACGTCTTTCGTCTCCCAGATAGGTCTGTAGCGCGTCCTGCGCTTCTGGATTTCTCCTCGAGCCGAAAATGAAGGATCCTGTGAGATGTCCGATGGCGTGCAAAGTGGCAAGTGAGAGCGAGAGGATCGACATGTAGATGTGGAAAGCTTGGTGAAGATCCGAGTCGATGAAGCGAGAAAGCCAGTAGAATCGCCGCAAGAGTGTCAAGAGCCAGCGAGACATGCTTAGAATCATGAAGAATAGGGAAGGGTAGAGAGCCCCTGCGGACGTCTTCGCCATGATGACTCCCCAACCCTGAACGAGCACCTCGTGGTCAGTCGTGGACAAAAAGGCACCGCGGTGGCCTGGCATACTCACAAGCGCAGCTCTAGCTTCGGCATTGGTCACATATTCCAGGCATTGCCATAGGCCAAAGGCGATCAGACATAGAGTGACGAAAGCCAAAAAGGCGTAACGAGGACCTTCTACGCTCCAATGCGCTCTCAGACTTCTGGTCCAGCTTAGCCGCCTGGACCATTCCTGATCTTTCCTCATCTCTTCGGCCTCGTCTGTGTGTTCTTGAGACGGCAAGTCCCAGGTGCTGACCAGCTTCTTGAAGTCCGCTTTGCTCACGCGATCTGCGTCTCTGGGCAAGAGCGAGTAGAGAAAGTCGTGCAGATCATTGCGATCTGCTTGTGCTCGCTTCTCTTGATCTGACGACGCGACGTTCTTGCCTCCACTGCCTGCTGTGCCTGCATTGTCGACCTTGGTCTGCTCGCTTTCCGTTCTCGAAGGAGGTGGAGCGGACTTTGTCTTGGCATGGCTTGCTCTGCCCAGTCGATTGGGATGCGTCAGATGATGCTCTTTTGGTGCGGGTACCAGCTCATCGTGAACTCTGAGAAATTGCGTTTCGAGCTCTTGAAAGGTGACGTAGCCATCCTTGGAGTGATCCAGCTCGTCAAACAGCTTCTCCAGCTCATCGTCTGAGAGCGGTCTCTTGGAAGGGTCCGGCATTTGATTGCGAATTTCCCTTCACCCTCAAACTCTCGCAGTCGTGAGTTGCAGGCGCGAGTTGTGAAGCTGCGAGCAAGCGAGGAGGAGCAGTGCGAGTGCGAGTGCGAGTGCGAATGATGCGGGTTGGGGCCCTTTCTTGAGGCGGGATGGACTAGCGTCAGCTTTCATAGGCTTATATAAGAGTCGCGATCGGGCAACTTGTTGTGAACACGGACCACACCGGCATCCCGACTTTGATTCGAATCACGAATGCGACTGCGTGCATGGCATGGCGGCATGGCAGGGCGGAAGCTACGGTAGCTGCTGATGCTGATATGCTGTTAGCGTCTCGCGGACGGACGTAAGTGGCTTGAGATTAGATCCTTTTCTTGGCGGTCGACAAATGTCCGCCAAGCGTGTGTCCATGTATACGTCCATGTACGTCCTATTCGTGACGGCAAGCAACGCCTACAGGTTCGTCATTTGTCAGCGATGATTCGTGACTGCTTGCTTCAGCAGACCTTCCGCCTCCTGAAGCAGATCGAAGCGGAGCATGACGTGCCCTATACAGTCGCACTCGCACTCGCACTCGCAGTCGCACTCGCACTCGCACTCAGCAGATGATACGCTCCGCCGGTATGACTATATACCACCTTATCGGCCTGATTGGTGACTTCAAACATAAACAACCCTGCTGCCCGCGATTATCACGAACACAGGCGAGGTGATGGTCGAGCGTGCCGCCTCTGTGCCGTGCCTGCTGAACACTACATATACTCGAAGCAAACGTGCCAGCTGCTGCATGCGTTAGTGTGAAACGAAACAGGCTCGGCTATGGAGCCGGCAGGAGTCACGAGTGTGATCGAGTGTGAGTGATCATATGACTGACGAAGCCTATAGCATCAGCCAGATTGTGTGTGGTGTGGCTTGCAGCAGCTTGCAGCAGCTTCCATGCCAAGCACTCAAGCAGCAATTGCTCGTGACTGCTGGATGTGTGACTTGAAGCGTCGCATGCGTACTCTGACTGCATGATCCCGCAATCACGCGTAAATCGTGATTTGTGAAGGAGGTACCAACGGTCCTGCATCATATGCATGCGTACGCTACAAACGCGCTGCCCAATTTTGACCGCCTTGAAGTGCAGGCTTTAATTGCTGCAGGTAAACCGATCGCCGTGCGCGTCACGTTTGCCAACACCTGACGACACGTGATCTTCTAGACGTCTCCTCGCGTTGCATAGGAGGATATGTATAGGGACGCTAGCCCTCGCTTACAGTTGCGATGCGTCGTACACTCTCACGATTGTGCCTAACGTAGGCTACGCACATCAACCTTTGATCCAAACTTTCACCTCGTGTGGTCACGTTCAGCGTCGGCACTCTCGCGCTGCAACGCATCCATTCGACACCGACTTTCCTCGGGCTACTTTCACTCTACTCAGCACATAGGGCCTTCACCCCGCAACACTTCGAATGACCTCCGCGCGACCCCGGCGACCCAAAAACTACTTCACGCATCCGCGCGCGCGCGCCCCTCATTCACAACACGCACCTTTCAGACTGGACCGACGGACACGAGTGCTTACCGTGCCCACCTTAAATTTTGCTCCCTATGAGCTCCTCGAGTGCGCAGCCGGCTTCGGCCACGCGATCAAAGAAAGGGGATGCTCCAACTGAGCCAACAGAGACAAAGTCAAGTGAGTAGGATGACATTTGCACCACAAACATGCACTTCTTAGCTGAGCGGGCATACGGTATTGAATCACTTGTAGTTGTCTTTGAATGGGTGAGCTCGTCTTGTTGCGAAGAAGCGACCTCGACTACCGCCTCCTTGACTGATCGTCGTCCCCTCCCAGCCGCTGTTTGGGCTCAAGCAGATGTTTGACGCGAGCAAAGCCGAGACCAAGTCCAAGGTGGTCAAGTCCGCGCCCTTCGGAGGAGGTCGATGGACAGTTTTGTTCTATGCTCAAAGCGGCTTGGATCAAGTGAGTGCAAGTCTTTCGCCTGCGCGGCCTCCGTACGCCCGCATACAGTCACTGATCAATGGAGCCGGTGACTAAAAGTGCTGTGCTGTCTACCTCAACGCAGAGCCTCTACCTCACGAGCGCGTTAGCCCTCTAGCAGCCAGTGCATCAGCACCTTTGGCAGAGAGCAGCATCAATGGCACTAACTACAGAGATGGAAGCAGTGCATCGAGAAACAAGAACAAGATCGCCCATGAAACGGACGAAAAGTGGATTCGTCAGGGCGTGTACAAGTTCACATTCGAGATGACCTCGTTGGACAGATCAGTCAAGCTGGGGACCAAAGGTACGACACCTAGCGCATTGCTTTTTTGGCAGGCGGTTCTAGAATTGACCCGAGCCTTTGGTCACCTCTTTGCGTGCAGAGGCGCATGATCATGCCTTCTCACACAAGACGAGTAATTGGGGGTAAGCGTCTGTCCAGTGATTTGATGGCGGTGTTTGGCAAACAGAGCTGAACTGGGACTATGCGTCCACGCCCCGCCCTCCACAGCTGGGCACAATTTGCAAAGCGAGATGCCGTATACTATACCTGCCCTGCGGTCAAGCAGACAGATGGTGTCCTCATTTCTGTGACGGTCACGGACAGTGCTCAGCGACCTTCAGCACGCGCACCAGAGAAGCATCATGTACCTCCCGTACTCATCTCGGCGATGGGATCTCTGCTTGACGACCCAGAGCACAGGTAGGTTTTGTGTCGTTCCTCTGCTCCATGCTCAGGCGCTGACTTTGCTTGCCGTCGACACGTAGCGACGTCGTCTTTCACTTACTTCAGCCTCCTTCACGAAATGGCCACAACGTACCTCCCAAAAAGATTTACGCGATCAAGAAGGTGCTCGCGCTCCGTAGCGAGTACTTTCGCGACATGTTCGAAAGTGGCTTCATAGAGGGAGAGACGGCCGAAGTCTCGGATGAAAGCGACGAGGAAATGGATCTGACGGTTGAGATTTCCCATGCTCCCAAAGTAGCGGTCACCACTGCCCCACCTCAGAGAGATGCTAGTTCAGCCTTGCAGCAAGCGAGTGGCTCTCGTAGTGGTGCGCGTTCTTCGGCACGCGAGTACGACGCAGCAACAGCCATTTCCTTGCAAGGGGACAACTCGAACGAAGGGGACGAGTCGTTCAAACGTGGTCCAGACGTGCTCCTCGAGGATTCGGATGAGGACATGGATGACGAAGAGGATCCTTGGGGGTCTCGAGCAGACTCGCCTACTTCGAGCGCGGATACCGCTGCAGCCGAGGACTCTCGCGCCGTCGGTAGCGAAGACGAAAACACGGACGAAGAGAATGGCTTTGAGGAAGACGACATCGTCAGCGTCGCCACTCGCGCCCCTCTACAGGCCTCTGATGGCAGCGGCGTGGGACTCAACGCATCTCAGGATGCCGCGAAAGATGCCGTGGACCATTCGGACGACGTAGAGGAGCCCGAGTCAGGACACTTCGCAGACCTTGCCGCCTCCGAGCGTGGACGAGAGCAGCATGACAGCGAAGCACAGAATCCCGGACGCTCTCACGTGCCTAGTCGGACATCTTCAGCGCGTGGTTCACCTCGGCCGTCACCACGCAAGGGCGTCACTCGTGATAGAAAGGAGTCCGTCAACCCCGTCACGTCGCCCCGTTCGAAGCGCCGTGCTTGTGCAAAGGCGCCAGCTCCGAATGGTCGCAAACGCCGCAAGGTGGTGAGTGAGAGCCCGGCAGGCATGAACGTGACTGTGAGAGCTCATAAGCACGGTCACATCTCGCGTCCTTCCATCCAGGTCGTCGGAGACTCGGCGTATTCCACCTTTAAAGCGCTGCTGTTCTTTTTGTACACAGATGCTGTTGAATTTGCCCCTCTCACCTCCTCCTTCCTCGTTGCTGAGGTGTCAGACGACACGTCTACCGACGGCAACCTTGTCCGCCCCGCAAGCTCTCTGTTCTTGCAAGAGATGAATCGCGCTCATCAGAGGTGAGTCTAGGGTCTCAAGATTTGCAACACGTGATGAGCATCGTGCTGACAACGCCTGGAGTGGCCGGTCAAGACGCCAAGCCGTGATCGACACGTACTGCGCCGAGCACCCCGACAAGCCCGCTCCTTGCTCTGCCAAAGCGATGTACAAGCTTGCTGACAAGCTCCAGCTTCCAGAGCTCAAGAAGCGCGCCGAAACTCACATAGCCAAAAGCCTCACTACGCAGGTCAGTGGCGCGTCTCCTGCCTCGTGGTTGGCATGCTTGCTGATTGCTGGTGCTCTACCGCAGAACATCGTGTGGGAAGCATTTTCTGGTTTCAATACTCGCTATCCTGATATCATGCACGTGAGTGTCGATGGGCTCCGCTTACCGGTGGATCCCGTGGCTCACCCAAGCATCACCTTCTGCAGATGGAAATCGACTTCTTGCTGAAGCATTGGAGCAGCGTCAAGAAGTCTACCGTCATGAAGACCATCTTTGCGCGCCACACCGCTCATCCCGGTCTCGCTTTTGGTGAGCTGACAGCGCTTCTCTGCTGCGCACACCGATCGAGGGTCAATGCTGACCATGTCGTGGCCACATTGACAGTCTGGCCATTGGTCTTAGAGCACCTCAGCGTCAGCCACGATGAAGATGCGGAAGATAAACAAAGCCCCGTCGCTTGAAGCGACGACGTTGCGCGTGACTTTTTGAGCACTCATCGTCAGCCCGGCGCACCGAGCGCCCCCTTCTTCATCCTCGTGCATGCGGCGGGCTAGTCAGGCTCTCGTGTGTCTTCGAATCGCACTGGCACAACTACCTGTAAAGCGGAGCTCGACTCTCGTGCTGATTCCCCTGAATCCCACAAGGGCAATTACCCCACACGCACAATACTGTACTCTTGACCCCGGCGTGCCGACCAGCCAAGCGCATGACTCGGGCGCGGTAGCTAGCACACGACATTTTTCTCTTTTCGTAACCACAATGTAATACTTGAAAAGAGTGCCCAGATACGACGTCTGCTTGAACAGCGCGAAGAGCAAGAGAGCAAGTGCGGCTGCAGGGATGGATTGGTCTTGGGGGTGGTGGTGGTGATGATGATGACGTTAGACATGAGGAGCAACGAGGGACAGGGTGGGGCCGCGATGCGACAAAAGGGGAGATGGAGCAGCAGCAAGCTGCGTAAGGCTAGTCGTCCTCGTCGCTGTCGCTCTCTGTAGCAGGTTCGCTTCCCGATCCAGAGTCTTCCTCCGAGTCTCCAAATTCGCTACCATCATCGTCGTCGGAGCTAGATTGGTAAATCTCCGCATCCGAAACCTCTTTTGAAAAGTCCGAGCCGCTTTGAGATTCGCTCCCATCCGAGCCATCATCTCCATCTTGCAAAAAGGACCAACCTCCATCTACGAAGAAATCGTACGGCGATTCCCTCACCGTCTTCATGATTTGTCCCCAATTCAAATTCACCATGCCTTCGGTGACGACCAGATCGACAGAGTCTAGCCATTCCTTGACCGAATCTAGACTCGCCATGGGCACGCTGCGAATGATCATAGGCGCTTGAGTAAAGTCTTTGAAGACGAACGCCATGTCGAACGAAGATGATGTGGATCCGCTCAGTGTCACTCTTTCCAAGTGCACGATTTCCACTTCCGAAATCTGCGGAAATGGGTTTGTGCAAGTGCATGTTAGCAATGCTGCAAGGAGGACAGCGGCGACGTCACACTCCTCCACTTACGGTAATGACGGTGAATGGTGGGTCGGTCAGGTGAATCAGACAATCCGTTGTGGGTTGGAGCAACACGTTGCTTCGGTGGCCCACACCATTGAAGCCAAGTTCTCTGAAGGGCGTGTCAATGCTGAGTCTACCTTCGCTGGCATCCGCAATCTTCTGAGCGAAAGACTTGAACTCTTTGTTGAGATGATGCCTCCTTCTCCTCTCTTCTTGCTCCAACTCGATCTCGTCTTCGTCACCACCTCTCCCCTTTCGCTTTCGCGTGCCGGTCTCGTCGAAATTGACGTCTGATGCTTCGCGGTAGAATTGCACATCCTGTGCGATGACCAGAGGCGAGACGATCAGCAAGACGAGTCGTGTAGAGAGGCCCGCGAACGTACCAGACTCACCTTGGTCTTCTTCTTGCCCACAATGATTGGAGCTTTCAAATGAATATGCACCAGGACGATGAGTTCCTTATCGCAAGGCTGAAAGAAGAGGTGCTTCATGTTGTTGAACAGAACATCTGTGGCGAGCAAGAAGAATTTCCCGTCAGTGGCCGAGATCATTTGGTGATCGCTGGCAAATCAGCATCCACCACTCACCAATTTGCAAATTGTTCCTCGCCGTGAAGCGCAGGCCATTTTGGTGAATCTCGACATCTCCAGGCAGACGCTTGCCCTCAAGAGCGGGTCGAGGGAAGACGTCGCGCAAGGCGGCTGTTCGGGTCTCTGCACGTTCCAAAAACGAGCGTCGACTTAGCATTCGTTGAGGGGCGCAAGGATACAAGGGCTAGGCAGCTGAACACTTACTGCTCAAAATCAGTTTGTCTTGCTCCACCACATCTGCCATTTCCTTCTTCTCCGTCTCCTTCTTGGTCTGAGCTTTTCTCAAGTCCGATATCTCGTGGAAGAGCTCGGTAAAATGGTGGGCGTTGTCCGACCTGAACGACATGCTCCTGATAAAGGTAGCGTCCGGATCTTCGAATGGCACATCTTCCTTTTTGCCCACAATTTGTCCGGGTGTGACAAAATTGAAGCGCAGATACGTATAGTCTCCCTCTTCGGATTTGGACACATTCTTGATCGTATTGATGTGATAGGGCACCGCGTAGCCGTAGATGGGCAGAAAGACCGTCTGCGCTCGCTGATCCACAAAAATCTATCGACCGCATGCAAGCACGTCAGGTCTCAAAATCGTCGTTTTCGTTGCAAGAGGACCAGCATGCCAAGCATATCAAACTCACCCTGAGATCTTTCGTCTTGGCTGGAAAGTTCCAATCGCGCTTGTAGGATTCGAACTTTTTGAAAGTCTTTCCAGTGTCCCCGTCAGCGCCGCCCGCATCCTCCGAATACTTGGCCAGGCCGTCTTCCTGAAGCTGTTCCGCCAGTTCTCTCTGGTGCTCCTTGATCTTGTTCGCAGTGCTAGCATCCAGCTCATTGGTCCTTCCCTTGCTTCTCAGAACTTTGCCTCCAGCCGTCACGTTTTGAGGCTGTTTCTTGGGGGACGACCCGTTAGAGTTGCCCGACTTGCTTTTGCTCTTCTCCTCTTCCTCGTCCTCTTCGTCCTGGTAGAAGACGCAGTCGGCTGCCGATCGAAGCTTGTCTGTCAAAATAGTAGCCGGCGCATCGCCCGAGTTGATGCGAATGGTATCAATGAGCAGCAAAGAGTAGGTCTGACCCTCGTGATTGGGATCGTCCAGCTTGTCCAGCCCAAGAGAGACGTTGAAAGTCGAGTCTTTAGGAATCTGCCTCGTGTTCTTGGCATTGAGATTGTACACGGGGTCCCTGAATTCGATGCCAATGGCAAAACCAATGCTCTTTACAAAGTGACCAGCCAGGTTTGCGTTTTTGTTGCTGATGAACTTGACAGCAGCGTCATAGACGTCTTTACAGGTTGCACCCGCCTTCAAGTGCTTCTCCACCAGCTCCGTCTGCAGCTCCAACAAGTGGGTCCAATGCTTCAACTGAGACTTGTGGGGATCCACCAACCAACTCCTCCCAACATTCGCGCAGTAGCTCTTGTACTTCATGCCCAAGCTGGCTAGGATGACGCCTCCTCCATTCGCGCCTTGAAGGGGTTTGTCGGTGGATTCTGCAGCAGTTCGCAGATCATACTCTCCGCCAGACTGCACGATGGGCGTGTAGCACCAGTCTGCCAATTCCATATCCACCCCGTCCAATCCACGAATCTTTTTCCAGAATGCCGCATTGTCGCTTTCCAACTGAGCCTCCACCTTATCGGCCAGCCTGGAATGAGTCACTCTTTTCTCCTCGTCCAGAATGCCGCTCATCTCCTCGACAAAGTACTTTGACATGACGCCACTGCTCAGCTTGGCAGCCGTGCGGATTGTCCTCTTATAACGGTGCGCCGCAGGCAAATCAGCGTGGGAGAGCAGCGTGCAAGGATTGACTCGCACCACTCACCAGCTCTTCCTCATCCTTCTGCACAAAAGCAGACGCTAGTGGAACAGCAACATCGAACAGCTCCACGTCCTGCGCCGCAGTCTCCCTCTCCACAACCCTATTCCACTCCTCTGCCACCTTTCCCAGAGGCTTGTCCTTGATGAGGGTGCCGATGGATTTCTGGTCACATGGCAGAAGCACTGACCCGGTCAGCGCGAGCCAGAAGAGCGGTGTTCTGCGAGCGTCTTGCGCACTCACCCCGTTGCCCTTGAGACGAGTCATGATGTCTTCCCAGATCTTGGCATTCTGAGAGTCATCCTTCGTCCTCTTGAACACCGTCACGTTCACGGATGAGGAGCCCAAGTTCTCCAAGTACTTGGCTGTGCAAAGGCAGCATAGGTCATGAGCATACGCCTCTTTGGAAGGGAGTCAAGGACGTCTGTGGCGTGTGACCCACTCTTGCTCGCGGACGTGGCGAATATGATGCCCTTCTGATCGAAAGCCACCATTGTCTGAGGAAATTCGTAGCCGAGCAGCCACGTCTTTAGAAACGAGCAAGACGGGAAGATAGCGGCGAAGCGCCGAGGTGAGCGAGTGATGTAATGTGCCAATCGCTCTCGCTGTTACCGATCTACTCACCACCAACGCCGTCGTCTTGCTGTATGCCACTTGCTCATCAGCAGCGCCCATGACAATAGCCACCGAGCCTACATCTTTGAAGGATTCATCCTGCGACGCTCCTCCCTTCGCGTTGCAGAGGGCAGAGGGCAGAAGAGGGGTTATTGTGAGCGCACGGGCCCAAGCAATCCACACCACTTCTTTACTTTCGTCCATCTGACTCACTTTGAATCTGCTTAGCAGCTGGGCCGCTCGCCTAGTAAAGGCGGCCTTGTCGATCTCAACCGCTTCCGACATGGCGAGGGCAAGGCAGCTCGCGGGATGCTCGATCGAGCCGTGGATCGATGGAAAGAGGACGCGTGCCTCTGGGATCTCTGCGCTACAAGCTTGTATCAGAGGCGCGCAAGGGGGTAAAAGGTGGCGATTGCTGAGCTGGGAGTTGGCTACGTCGGCTGAAGTGAGGATGCCAATCGTAGGTCATCCAGCGTGGTGTGGTGCTCTCGTACCCACACGAGTCGTCTAATCATCTCTGTCTTCGTGCATTCGTGAATGTGACAACCCTGTGACGTGCATCGCGACTTCTCACCCAAAGACGCGCTCATCAACGCGTGCCGGCGCAAGCGCGCGCGCGCGACTCAGATGCGCACGCTTTTTCTCGCGCGAGAGAGAGTGAGCAGAAAAGCTAGCCGCAAGTATTACTGTCACGTGACACAAGACTGCCGCGCTCTTTTTGCGAAGATGAGATGAGGTGAAAGCAAGTCACAAAGTGCTGAATGAGCGGGCTCCGACCAAAGAGCGAAATGACGAGAGGACGGCTTTGCTTGGCAGTGTCGCAGGTTGCAGCCACCGCCCGTCATCCTCCTCGTCTTCACTCGTGCCACCCGACCAGCGCATTCAGGGTTCTTTCAGCAGTCTCACCACACCTCTTTGGACGTTTGAGTGGTCGGGTGAGGCACGACCGCACATCAGAGCAGCGTCACTCAACGGGCCAGCCGCGTGCAAGCGAGTGGAGCGTCGCATTGCCTGCCTTGGCACCACCGCCATCTCTACCATGGCCTCTGCTTCTCGCAGAGCAGTCTCTTGCTGCTTAGGCCAAAGCCCAACGTGGCAAGTGCGAAGTGGCAGCTCAACCCTGCGTCTTGCGCGTCCATCCCCCAGCTGCACCGCTTCCTCATCCCTCCGTTCGTTGAGCACCACAGCCAAATGCAGCGCGGAGAGCAAGGACAAGGACAAGGACAAACAAAAGGAGGAAAAGGATAAAGACTCGAAGGACAAAGCTTCCAATAGAGACGAAGCTCAGAGGTTGATCGATGCTGGTAGAGCGGATACGGAATTGACATCAGGAGCAGCACCTCCCGTAAGACTACCTCCCCTTGCACGAACAGATCCCGAAACCTATGCTGCTCTCAGACCCGTTCCTCTGAGCACTGTTGCTGCTCTTGGAGCGCGGTTGCAGCTCCTATCTTCTACGCTGGACTTCGAAACGAGACGACGACGCATCAATTTGATTCTTCAAGCGTGCACTCATCCTTCATTTGTGGACCTTCAGAGGAGAATTTTGCGAGAGAAGACACCGCAGGAGGAAGAGTTGCAGCTTGATAATAGAGTGGGCATGGGCAAAGGATTGATGAGACCTTTGAAAGGAGACGCGGCGCTGGAAGATGCTCAGTACCTCCTCCCTCCTGCGCAAAAGGACAATCTTGAACTGTCGATCCTTGGCAACCATCTGCTCGGTCTGCTCAGCAGCGAGATCTTCCATCTGCGCTATCCACATCTGCCTGTGAGGGCGCTCAAGGCAGCAGTGGGTGCTTATGTGGGCCCAAACACCTTGTCCGACTTTGGCGGGCAATTGGGCATCAGCAGTGCGGAATTGTTGAAGTGGGACAGGGTTGGCTTGAAGAAATTAACGTTGCAGGAAATGCAACCGGGAACGCAAGCGGTGGACAGGAATCCTCGCAGGAGTCGCAGGGATGCGATTGATGCGCAAAAGGGCATTTCGACTCAGGATGTGCTTGTGCAAGCTACACGTGCTTTGATGGCCGTCGTGTTCCAAGAGATGGTGAGTCTCGCAACCTCTCAATGGAGCAGAGCGCTCCACACGCGATATCCTCGAGTCGCCTGCTGATCTCATTGCTCCCTGTGGTGTCATTTCTCCCTGTGTTGCTTCGCCATATGCAGGGTCTTCCCCATCTTCGACACCTAGTCCAGACTCAGTTGCTCACGCGCTCCCTGCCCATGTCGACCTTTCTCAAGTTTCGCGATCCCAAACGATTGCTGAGCATGACGTGCCGCAAATACGACTTGGAAGCTCCGGTATCCAGATTGATCGCCGAGACTGGAAGGTTGAGCCAGACGCCGGTCTTCATTGTGGGTGTTTGGAGCGGAGAGACAAAGCTGGGAGAGGGAACGGGTAGCGCTATCAGGATGGCCGAGTTCAGAGTGAGTGAAGGCCAATGCTACAGGCGATGGACATTTGGCGCATCCCCATGAGCGCTTTTCCTGACGCTCTACATTCACAGGCCGCGGAGGATGCGCTCAGAAGACTATACCTTGCTCAGCCATCTAGCAAACCAGATTTGCCTTCTCGCACGCTGGACTCGCATTTCCCATCCGCCAAGCTGCCTCCTTCGGTGTGGGAAGACGTGCAAGACGTGGCGAGCTCGAGCGATAGACCTTTTGTTCCTTCCAGGATCGGCAGGAGCGAGATCGTGTACGGGCAGAAAGCGTAGACGTGATAATGCTGGGCGCGTTGCGAGACTAGTGCTGGAGAGATTGGGCGGACATTGAACAGTACATGCGTTAATGGAATGAAGGCGTCGTGCAATATGCAATCAATCACACAGTTAACCGGCACCAATTTTAGGCGTCTTGATTTGATTTGTGACTTCTGGTACACCCTCTGGAGTCTCTTTCAGAATGTGCGTCTTCCCTCCACATCCGCACCGCATGTACTCCTTTCTTATCAAGCATTTTCAGCGGCAGCAGCAGCAGCAGCCTCTTTCTCCTGCTCCTTCCGCAAGCGTCGCTCTTCCCTCTTGACCAAAGCAGCCTCGTCCATCAGATGACCTTCCACATTGCCCAATCCAGCCTCCATCTTCAACCTCTTCAGATTGGACCTATGCTGTTTAGATCCCAAATGTTTCGTCCACTCTTCCACCCTGAACTTGCGGGGTGCGGACAAATCAACGGTACACACCGAACACTCCCGAAGCTCGTTGCGGTCCATGGGATTTTTGTGGACACGAGCCGAGGCGGCCGAAGATCCTGAGGGCGAGACTTCTAGTGGTGGCAGTTGCGTCGCTGCCGCACTACTGAGACTGCTCGGTTCCGGCAGCTTCTCGTCTCGAAGAAACGCTGTCAATTGCGCCGGCGAGAATCAGTGAATCAACTCGCAAGCCAAGCTAGGGCAAGCAGCACGACTCACCATTGACCAGCTCTATAGCCGGATCTCGCACACTCTCCTTCCATCGAGACAAGTCTGAACAACGGCGAGACGGGATCAGGATTCCAAGTCACATGTGACTAGTCATGACTGGGACTCACCCGAAGCGTCGAGCAGATAGAGCTCCACGTCGCACGGCTCAGCGCTTCCCTTTGCTTGCTGTAGCTTTTGATGAGCAATCCTAGCTTTCTGTAGCTCAGGAGCCAGCTTGTTGCGAATCCAGGCCGTCTGACTCTTGGCGTACTGTCGAGTACCTATCTGCATCTTCTCGATAGCGTGGGCAAAAAGGCGTTCGGCTTCTTTGTCCTTCGACGAACCACTCTCGCAGTGCGATAGATAGTCGGCAAATTCTTTGTAGCCTGTTGTCGCGTGTGCCAAGAGACGCTTCAGTTTAGCAGGCGAATATAGTGCGTGCCATCTATACTCACCGATGGCTTGGTATATACCGCAAGTGTAGTCGAAATCCATTGGTGTTGCCCCGGCTTGTGCCGATTGCACAGCGGCGATGCGTCTCAGGCTCTGTATCTCATCAAGTAGGCCACGCTGACGAAAGGCGTCGGGAGGCTCAGCACATAGTGCGCTCGCCAGTGTCAAGACATTCCAACTCACCTCGACCATCTTGTCTACGCGTTTTGCAAGACGCTCCTTGAGCCCTCCGGGTTCACTCCATACCCAAAGTATGAGCTTGCGACTTTTTGCTGCCGCACTCGGCTCTGGGCATTGTTCCGGTCGATTAATTGAGCTTGGCTCGGCTGCAGCCAGCGAGGTAATTACAGAAGACTTGTCCACTTTCTCTTGATCACGGATCCATTCGCTGTGTCGCTTGCCCGTTTCCATCAACACTCGTAGAGACCTCGATACTTTGCGATGATCGTTCCAGTGCCATCTTCGCGCCATGTCTGGATCCAAGGCATCCAGCAACTGCCAGAACGCTACGCGAGGGTAAGGTGGCAAGCGACCACCAGGTTTTACTGCTGCCAATGCATCCCACACTCGTCGTTGACCCTCGTCCAGCTTTGCAAGGATCTCGTCGAGGTCACTTTGGGCAGTGTGCGATAATGCAATTGGTCGTTCATCCTCCACTGCTCGCCAATCGTCGCTTTCCCTTTGAAGGGAGACGAGACGACCCGGGAAAAGCAGGTGCTGCACATAGTATGTCGTGCCACCTGCCACGATCGCAATCTTATTTCGTTTGTTCAGATCTTGTATCTACAGTGGGTATACTTGAAGCTAAGCGAGAGCTGTCATATATATTGCTGGTCTGCTCACTCACAATTGCATTCGCCTCCTTCACAAATTCGCCGATCGTATATTGTTGGCCGGGTTCAAGGAAATTCATGAGGTGATGCTTGACTCCTGCCATTTCGTCCAACGTGGCCTTATTCGTTATGACGTCCAGGCCGCGGTATATTTGCATGCTGTCTGAAGAGATGACTTCGGCTCCCGCTGCACGGCCTCCTTGCTCGACATCGGCGCGGAAGGCAACTTCCCGCGCTAATTCTACTGCAAGCTGAGATTTGCCGGTACCCGTTGAGCCGATCACCGCAACAATTTTTCCACTTGCGGCGCACCCAATAGTCTCGTTCGAATTGTTGCCATTGTGTGTACTGGCAGGCGCGGCTTTCGGCTTGCCCCTGCTTGAAGGAGATGCGCCCTGCGGTTGAGAGGCCACATCTCGAGAACGATAGTATCGATTACGGAATTCGTTTGCGTCTGCGTCTGCGCGTACACGACCTCCAGTAGAGTTCAGAGCCTCCTCTCTCTTACCTGCCTTCTTGTGCGCTCTAGGCGGCTCTGGGAATTCATGCCTGCCATCAAAAGAGCCGGCAGCGTTGCCCAATCGCTGAGCTGTCGGCAGGCGTTCCATCGTCACAAGTCTTCTGCCCCATCTCCCAAAGTCTTGCATGCTGTGAGCCACCAGTCGAAATGCCGGATGGGCTGGCAAAGATACAGACTGGTCATTCTTGCCGTCTTCCGAAAATACGGTGGGCAGCCAAAAGACCAGCCTGCCTCCTTCGGTAAGCAGCTTGGAAGATGTCTCAATTAAATCCTCTATCAGCTCGTCGAGGTGATACGGCATGGATGGCGGCACGTACGAGGCCTGCTCGTGCGTGTATCCCTTGCCGTCAGGCATCAGGATGGGTCCCTTTGCTTGTCTTGACACATCCCTTCTGCCTAGCTTCTTAGCACCCGCTCGCACTCCATACGGCGGGTCTGTGACGATCGCATCGAAGATTCCGGTCCCGATGCCTTTCCTTAGTGGGCTGTTTGTGATGTCTGCGGTCCAGAGGCCAACAAGATTTTGAGCCAGACCGTACTGCTGAGCAGCGGCATCTATGCCTGTTCGCGCGTTTGCTCCTCGTCCACCAAAAGCGCCGCCTTCCTGCATCGTTGGACCTTCCTTGCCCCTGATCATCCGCCCGTCGATATCGCTGCCGCATATCATAGCACCGAATTGCGCACAGGGATAGAGCAGCGATCCAGTCCCCACGAATGGGTCGTAGACAAGTTTGCTTGGCCCGGCCTGAGACGGTACAGACGACATGCGCATAGTCAGTCTTGCGCATCTACAAAAGCTTGCAGCAAGTGACACCTACGTACCTGGGCCATGTTGGCTTGAATGATCGCCATCTCCGTCTCCATGCTAGTGTTGCCGATGTAGCCCCGTGTCTTAAGACTCATTTTCTCAATCAGCTCCCTTCCTGTGGTCTCCGCCAGGGGTACTCTGTCTCCCACGTGAATAGCCCTCAGAGGCCCACAAGTAGTTCTGCCTACGGGTCCGGCATCGGGACTCTCGTACTCCTCAAACCAGCAGAGGTCCAGCACGGGCGCCTTGAGAGAAATTGGACCTGGCAGGTCCATCACCTGACCGATCCGCTGCACAGTGCTTTGCATCTCGCTCTGGTGGATGTGGCGATTGATGGCATTCAGTGAGACCTTCCACGAGCTGCCAATCTGACGATGTGGTGCGTAATAGGCCGATATTGATTGATCCGCTAGCCTCTCAAAGGCGACCCCGGCATCGAGGGCGCAGTACCACTGGCGGAAAGCAGCTCGGAGCGAAGACAATCTCGCTGAAATAGCATACACTGCCTCGTTGGAAGGCAAGTGGACTAACTGAAGAGCTCTCATGCTCTCCACTGACTCTATCCAGCGCGTGCTGGCGCCATTGAAACCAGATTCGTCGTCTATTGCGGCTAGATGCTGCTCCGGACCTGGTTGGACTACGTCGACGAGTGCGTTTGGGCCCCTGACGAACGCGTACGGAATTTTGAGAAGCTCCGTCACAGCTTCGAATTCGGCCATTCGAAAGCCGACATTTTTGACTGCAAAGACCAGCGTAAAGGCTGGCCCGATGTCTTCAGGTTTGATGCCAGGTCTGTTCGTTTGTCTGGTGTGAGAAGAGTCGAAGCGTCGTGGACTGGCTTGTACCATGGCCGACTACAGTCGCTCCCCGAAGGATACCTACCGAAGCGATGACACCGCGAGATCTGGACTGACCGCCACCAAGACTGATGACATGGGAGGCGAGAGCCCGTCGTGTGCAATTCGAGCTTTCGATGAAAGGAATACCACGCAGCTATAGGTACTCACCAATGCATGTGACTAGCAGCAGCATGACCAAAACCATCAAGAATCCTCAGTAATCACGAATCGTGAATCATCAAGCTACAGTCACGAGTCAAGAGTAGTCCCAAATTCAAAATTGTCGGGTCACGTGACAGTCTTGGCACGATTGACGGCTAGCAACGAAGGGCGGGGATATTGTAGTCTCGATTTCATTTTGACAGCGAGTTCGAATCAAAAGTTGTAAGACTGCGCAGCGGCCCGCGCGCGCATGACGCACGACGAAGGGAAACGTCACCGCAAGACGCGCATCCGCGATCGATCGACCTTGCGCTCGAGTTTGCCCTCGCTCCGGCTCGCGTGCCCCTTCTGCTTTTGCTCCTGACCACCACCGCAGCAATCGACTGGGCCCAGACCACCTCATCTTCGTGTGCGTGTTCCGAGGCCTGAAAGCTTTGACGACCCCCACTGCGGCTACAAGGACACAGCCGACCTTTTCCGATTCTCACCACGACCACAATAGGGAGCCTTATCGGCAAGTCGACGTAATGGTGAGAGTCGCACATCGTCCAGCTAGCTGATGGAGTATCTCAGCTCAGCAGTACGCTTACTTCTTCTTGCTCTGGTAGCCTCGACCAGTAGCATCAACGCCCCACTTGGTGTGGGCTGCGGGGCACTTCTTCACCCTGTTGGCGGGCCTGAGATATCTGCTCGGAACCATCACCTTTGCGACTAGTGGAGGCGGACTGAGCGCGTGGTACAGGATTGCCTACCTAGGCGCTATTGTCAGCTATGGAGTGGTAGTATATAAGAGCTTCGGGGTGAGTGAATATGCTAGGCTAGGAGAGGCAGAGAAATGCTGCTCGAGCTTCGGCCGCTCGTTTCGCCCGGATGCCCGCAAGTCGAGCCGCTAGCTGAGCGGCTCATACAGGCTCAGAGGTGTAGACTGGGTTGAACTGAAGCTTGGACCTGCCGCAGGCAGTCTTTCGGCCACGCACTGTCCAAACGCGAGCCTTCTGCTGACCTGTCCCTTGTTTTGGGCTGTCACACGTCAGGTACCGCAAGCCAACAAAGCATACATCCAACGCGCACTCATGGACGAGAATGTGCAGTACCTCTTTCTCGCGCTGTACTGGTGGTTCACTCAACCGATCTTCAGTGAGTACAGCGGCGCCTCTTGCTACTGCTTATTCCCTTCAGCGCTGCTCATGATTTGAGTGTCTCTCCCGTCCAGTCACCCTGGTCCCCTACACAACCTTCTCTCTCTTTCACGTCCTTACCTTCACGCGGACGACTGTGATTCCAATGGTGTTTCCCACATCTCCGGCTGCTTCAAGAGCAGAAGGCGCATCTGAACCAATTGGCTTCCCCACAAAAGTCAGCAAGATGATACAGGGCTGTAAGTGCCTTTCGATCTTGAAAACGTCTTTGGCCGATACAGGGCAGTGCTGACGCCGCGCGCAAATTCATGGTGATATCGAACAGGGGTCAAGCAGAATTACGACCCCGCCATGCGCTTCGTAGCCTACTCTGAAGTTCTCGTCTTCGCTCGTGTCACCTTTGGGGCCATCTTGCTTCGCAACAGTCTGCTGGCTCCGCTCTTCTACGCGCACTTCTGCAGGCTGCGTTTTTACATGAGCTCTTTCACCCGGGATGCTTTCCAGCACGTGTCCAGCGAGCTTGATAAGGCCACAGCAAATCCAAGCTGCCCGGAGCTTGTCCGCAGAGCTTACTTGATGGGAACTGACTTGGTGAGTGTCTGTGAAGCCTTGCATGGCACTAGGCGCCTGAGATGATCTGGAAAGGCAATCTGCTAATCAAGGTGCCCTTCTTGGTTCTCACAACAGATCTCGCGCTACGCCTCGACTGTTCTGAACTTGCAGAACCAGGCAGCACCAGCAGCTGGAGGGACACGTCCCGCGGCAGCTGGTGGTGCGACCGCACAGTGAACACTTCAGTCACCATACAAGCCGTGGATTTCGTCAGAGCGCATACATGCACTCGATCGAGTCTAGACCCTCGAGTCATCAGAGTCACAACAAGCCTGGCTCGGGCGATGTGCCTAGAGGAAAGAGTACACCTCGCTCGATTGCCTCCACGCTCTCACTTGGACTCCTGCAGAGCAAGCGGAAGTCTCCTTGCGAGCCGAACCTGTATCACTATGCCACCATTTTCAAAGCAAGGGTCGAACACAAAGTCAGGCATCGCTGTCTCGGCGCTTTCGAGCTTCTTTTCCTTTCAAAAAATGAAATCTTTCGTTCCCGCCTGTGACATGTCTGTTCCCAATCTGACGACGCGACTCCCCTTTCTAACCATCTTGACACCCTTAGATCCGCCATTGTGCGCACTTCCACATGGCGCAGTTTGGGCAAGCATTGCAACGACGCCATTACATTGCTCTAAAAGCTACCTCTGGCGACCTGCGGGAAGCGGTGAAGGGGTTGACGGCCTGCTTGAGCTTCTGTCCTTGAATTCTCGCACGATGATGCTGCAGTCCGTCCCGTCGCACAGGGCCTTGGAGACCTGTTTGATGTGATCCGGGAAGAAATTGACCCCTGAAGCTTTTTCGACGCTCTCGACTGGCACGATGAAGTTGCGGAGTGGAACTTCGTTTGGAATGATGGCGTTGGGAAGAACGAAAGCTCCGAGCAGCGTTGGGCCCCTTCCTGACACGATAGATGCTGTGAGATTGGTAGGTGATGGCACCGACGGGCTTGGATTTGAGGGAGCTGGCAAGGCTGCTGGAGCGCTCTGCGTCCGTGTCGGGACAGGCAAACCACTCGCCAGTATCACTTTGGCAAAGTGGGTGGGCACAGCAACGTTTGAAGGTTCTCCAATCACTTCGTAGGTTACCCGATACTTTCCATCAATATCCCTGCGTGGTAGGTACAGCGGCACCGTGAAGACGTACACGTCAGCGAACCTGCCAGTCAATCTCCTTGTAAAGTCTTCAAAATGAGCCCAATAATCGCGATTGAATCCTTCGCCGACTTGGGGAGCTATATTGGTCAAGTAGAAAGTCTCGTCCAATGCTGTCTGAGACGACTTAGCATCGGCTGCTGGGACCATGTGACCCCTGTCGTATCCTGATCTGAAGTAATCTGCCATGCGAGCACGGAACGGAAGAGGAATGCGAGGGTCTTCCTTGAACACCGAGCGCGACCGATCGGGAGAGCCGGCTGGTGGTGTTCCTGGTACGACGGGAGGGCGTTGAATGGACGTTGCGGTCAAGTGCTCTGCTGTCCAGCTGGGATGGCGCAGTCGCCGATCGTAAGCCGAGACGTAAGCAGCGTGGACTAGCAAATCTGAAGTGGGTGCTGCTCATAATCGCGCACAAAGAACGATCAACTTGTGCCCGCTCGTCTCTTTGCCTCTGCAGCTTTTCCTACTCACCACTGGCACCCCACCAACTTCGCCTAGCAAGCTGAAGCGCTGTGTCGGGCGATTTCGAAGCTGCTTCACTCGCCGCAATCGCAGAGACCATCGCCTTTTCCTTTCGCTGTGTTTCATTCCGTTGAATTGCGGAAGCTCCTGCTGCACCCAGAGCCACGCCGACGCCGAACACGCCTATTGGCAGAGCCAAGTGCGACATGACGAGCTTTTGAGGACCTTATGGACACGTGCACCTGTGAGGTCAGTCGTCATACCGGATAGACGCGCATTGGATGGAGGGAGGGTTGCCTTGGCTGATGTTCCCATCGTGAGAAACAGAAAGCTGATCTTGCGGGTGGACTGTTTTTTTGGTACCGGCGCGCGGACCGCCGGCCGAGAAAAGCCGTGCCCTGCGCAGCAAAGCACCTCGAAGCTGGTCGACGCGCGATCGAGCTACATCCCTTCACTCACAGTCGCATCTTGACTGCTCCTTCCACCCAACTTTGCATCCTCAGCAACATCCTCACCCCTTTCTCGACGCTATCTGTTAGGCGCACGGTTGGGAACGAGTCCCTTTCACTTGCTCTGCAGTCGGCAGCGGGACACTGCACTTCCTCGTCGTAGCCCAATCATCTCGAGGTGGAGGTGGCCGCACACAGCCAGTACCCCACACTTAGTAAGAGTGGGCTCTCGGCTCATTTGAAGACACGCCAAACGCTTATTGATACCCAGTAAGCTTGGGGCGTCATGGATGAAGAAGCGCTGAGGGCAATGATGCCCACGTCCTTTGGGCGCGCCAGCAAAGCCAAAGGAGGTAGTCTCTCGTCGAACGTGGGCTCAAAGGACCAGGACTCCGCCTCCGCCTCCGTGGTTCCTTCATTGGGACTCAAGTACGACACTCCCACTGCAGCAGGCATGCGTGAAGACGCTAATAGCGAGCGTCGCAGGCCCATTGGACCAGCCAAGAGACCTGCTACCTCTGACGACGATGACGACGATGATGACGATGACGATGGGCTGACTGTGGAGGAGAGGGCGGCGAATAGAGAATTAGATCGACGGCGGCAGGAAGCGGGAGATGATCAGGATGATGATAGTGACGAGGATGGTAGCGTCGACCTGGGACCCGAACCTGGTGATGGACAGGGCGGAAGTGGACAGATGCCGATTTCCGACTCCGTCGATCTGAGAGACCACTCAAAGGTGCGTTCCCCCTGACCGCATTCAGAGATCTTGCTTAAACGATGCATTCGATTTACTGACCAAGAGGATGCTTGTGGCTTCAGTAGACAGTCTCAGCTCTTGCTGTGGATCATGCAGGTGCCAGAGTAGCTACTGGCGGCTTCGATTACGACGTCAAACTTTGGGATTTCGGCGGCATGACGTCAGCATTCCGCCCGTTTAAGAGCTGGGAACCGGCAGGGACGTACTGGGTACACGATTTGGCGTGGTCAGCCAGCGGTGATCAATTACTGGTGGCAAGCGGAACACCCCAGCCGAAGCTCTTCGACCGAGATGGCAACTTGCTGTCAACCTTCAACAAGGGAGATATCTACATTCGGGACATGAAGAATACCAAGGGCCACGTTGCTGAAGTCACTTCTTGCGCTTGGCAGCCTCACCATCCTGGCACGTTTGCCACTGCCAGCGCAGATAGCTCGTTGAGATTATGGTCTGTGGAGGATCCAACTAAGCAACAGAAGGTCATCGTGGTCCGAAGCAAAGAGCGCGGCACCAGGACGAAGGTCACTTCCATGACTTTTAGCCACGACAGCAGGACCATTGCGGCAGGGTGTTTCGATGGAGCTTTGCACGTATGGGGCTCCAACACAAGTGCAGCTCGACCTGACAAGAGCATTGAAAATGCGCATGAAAGGAATAATGAGACCTCAAGCGTGGTTTTTTCGAGGGACAATCACACCTTGGCCACCAGAGGTGGGGACGACACTGTGAAGCTATGGGACTTGCGATCGTTCAGACGCCCACTGGCGACTAGAGATAACTTGCCAAACGATTACGGTCAAACCAGCGTCATTTTCAGCTTAGACGAAAGGACCATCCTGACTGGCACGTCTGTAGTGAGAGCGCAAGGCTCCGAAGAATTAATGAGAGCCAATGAAGCAGGCGAAGCCCCTCGAGTGGTCAAGGACGGCGCTATCGAGGTTATGTCTCGAGACGATCTTTCTCCAATCCAACGGATCTCTGTGGGGAAAGGCAACTCTGTTGTCCGGCTTCACTGGGCGTCTAAGATCAATCAGCTTCTGGCCTCCACGTCTTCCGGCGGCGTTTCGGTCTTCTACGACCCTCAAATTTCGAGCCGCGGCGCATTGTTGTGCGTCGGCAAGCGCGCGAAGACGCAGAGGGTGGTGGACAGCTACGCCGAGATGCCCATCATCACGCCTCTGGCGGGAGATGCAGTATCGCGAGGACAAGGAACGAGCCAAGCAGCGAAGAAGAGAAGGTTGGAGAAGATGAGGCAAGATTCTCAGGCGAGCAAAATGCCGGAAAGGCCCATGGCTGGGCCTGGTAAAGGAGGTAGGATCGGCGCTGCTGCGACGCAACATGTCGTGCAGAGTATCTGGACCGGCAATACCAGGACGGAGGATCCGAGAGAGGCTTTGCTCAAGTATGCGGATAAGGAGGAAGGGAAGGACAAACAGTGGACTGGAGCTTGGAGCAAGACTCAACCCAAGGCTATCTACGCTCAGGATGATGATGATGATGGAAGCAATGGACAGGATCAAGAGCGTCAAGGAAACGAGTAGCGTCTTTGTGAACTGCTTAAGACTCGAGAATCCATTATTCGGCAATGCCCTGCCAACCACACCGACGCTAGCTCAGACGCTGGTGTGTTGCCTGAGAGACACACAAAGCAACAGGCGATTACAAACTTGCGATAAATAAGGTCAAATGTCAGGTATATGTATTATTTGGCCGGAGGTGACGAAGAGAAGGATACTATCTACAAATGTACCACGGCAGGTGGGCTCAGGATCTCTTGCAAGGCTGTCCGCAGCCCTCATGCGTACGAGCCAGCGTACTGAGGTTGCGAGTAAGGGTGAGACTGATGCGCATATTTGTAAGCTTCGCCTGACTCCTTGACCACTTCGGTCTGCTTTGCGAGCGAGTTCAGAGCTGAGAGGAGCATCGTCGCATGATGAAGGGGTGCGTAAGCGTCAAGACGACTTGCTTGGGAGTATTGATCAATCATATACAGCTTACTCACCAAGCGCGTCGATGAACAACAGCAATTCTTGAAGGAGCATGAGGCCGACGGCGAACCCGATGTTGATGGCGTTCAGCTGTGCGTGTCAGGCGCTACGACTTCGTCAACAAATGCAGAAGGTACCGCGCGGCCAAGGAGGGAGGTCCTCTCACCTCTGAGCAGAAGTCCTCGGTATTCTTCTTGACACAATCGTCGTGAAACTCGTCCTTGTTCTTGACGACGGAGATGATGTGGATGATGCCCACCAGTCCTAGGGCCAAGCCTTTCAACAAGGCGATATGAGCCAAGAATTTCACCACTTTATTCTTCCTAGGAATGATGCCGACAAAGTAAGCTGCGACAAAGAGGACGATGAGAATGGCGAGCAAAGCGACTTGAAGACCGGCTAAAATCTTTCGAAAGGTTGATAGACCGTCTGAAAATTCTGCGAGCACGTAGGCGTCCCATGCTGCTTCTACTGCGGTGACCATCACCAGCAGAGGTGTGATGAGAAGGGCGATGGTTCGGGGCGATAGACCGCAGAAAGCGTCCTTCACGGGAAGGGTTCCCATGAGTCTTGCGCCAGCTTGCGACATTCTGGAGATGGGCTTTATGTCTGGTGGCCGCTGTTGGGGTGGATGGTGATGCTCTGAGCTGGATGCTATCGTGTGAGACTCAGTATTGTTGCAAGGTGTCGCGTTCGAGTAATATTACCGAGAGTCTTCGTGTCGAGGATATGGAGAGAACGAGCGGCACTTTGAGAGATCCAGCCTTTGTTCTTATATGCCTTTCGCAAGATCACCAATTCAACGCTGACTTTTGTCACACATTCGTGCCAGCATGGATCATTCAACTGACTCACCGTACGGTGGCCCAAAACCTTGTTCGTGTCGAGGTCACGTCCCGGCGGCTGTACCGAAACTCAGCAGCCTGACTGCTGGTTTATGCATCCATCGGTTGTAGCGCTTAGAGAGCGACCGGTGGGATTAGCGGGCAGTCCAGAATGGGCGGAGCATTACACCCTCCCTACCTGCGGTCAAGTGACATTCGTGCCTCATCAGGCATCCCATAATAATGCTGCTGCTGATGGCACAGCATATGCATGTGCACGCCCACGACGCCCATGGCATGATGCAGTTTGCAGGCTTCATGCATTAGCTATCATGCGCCCCGAGAATCAGGATCACCTTCTGCAAGCTCTAGACTTGTGCCGTGCCTTCTTTTTGCTCCGGCCGAACTTGATTTCATGCGTGCAAGGACCACGAGGTCGCACGTACACAGCTGCATATATATAGGGAATCCTATATTTTGGCTCATTATTGGAGCTTCGGCATAGCGGCACGGCGGGCATGCAATTGTGAATCGCGGGACCGAGTCTGGAGTCAGCTATACGTTTCATGTCTTTGTGAGCACCGCGCGTTTATATGATGAGAAAAGAACGAGATCCTTGCAGTTCAATTCGACGTCAGCGAGTAGCTCGGCCGACTGCTTCCGCTGAGAACTTTGGAACATCAGTCTGGAGAACTCGCAAGAACAATAAGGACTGGCGGGTCGCGAGGAATGATTTGCATTGCAAGGTGACTTCTTCGGAGTTGTACAAGGTGTTGAGGTCATGAACTGGACGATGCGTAAGAAAGGACCCCACTTTCATGGGTCAAAGATGAGCTCGCGACGGCGTGGGAGTTTGGGCTTCGAGCTGATTAATTGAGGCATCGAGGTCCCGAGGTTGCGCGCTGCATTGCCCATGATGATCGACTCCGAAACACCCTGGATCGAGTCCGTCTTGCCAAAGAGGGCAGCATCAAAGAGATGGTCAGTCGTCTTCTCAAAGCTTGCCAGCATGAGGACACTATCCTTCATCTTCGCTACGCCGAATCGAGTGATACCTAGCACCTCGCCCTTGTACGTCATGACATCTGCAAGAAGCATGACGTGTCTAGGATCGATATTCATGCCGTGGCTGGACATAGTATAGTTGATCTCTTCAAAGATGGACTTGCGTGCGGCCTCAATGCCGAGAACCATCTGCATCTCGTTGACGTGGTTGGTCGAGGTGTGAGTGCCAATGATGCCTTCGGTGGTCATCACGTCACGGAGACCGTAGCCTTCAACGAGGAGCTTGCGCTCGCCCTGATCGTCGCTAATGACTGCGCGCTGAGCTGTGTGGATGCCCTTGATGACGACCTTTGGAAGGACTCGCTTTAGCGCTTTGAGACGGTAGAACGTCTCCTCGCGATCATCGGCGGAGCCCAGATGGATACGAATACGGCTGCGCTGTGGGATCACAGAGACGCTCTGAAAGGGGTAGTGCATTGCATGAGAAGTGTGAGCGCCGCCCAAGCTTAGCACACTATTAGCCAGACGCACCTCCTCCTTGATCTTAAGCTTGGGAGCACGAATGATTGCCCACCGGACGTCGTCAAGCGTTACCTCCAACTGCAAGCGTCTGATCGCGTCCATATCGATGTGTACACCGAGATAAATGTAGTCACGAGCCCAAGCCTCTTCGATGACCGATGCCACCTGTAGAGCAACGTCCTCGTGAGCTCGCGGTAACTGGCGCGCATACTGCTGCGCAAGCTTGGTCCTCCACTCACATCACCTAGGTAAGTCTTCTCAATGCGGCCCTTGACAATCCGTGCGGAGGTTTCAGACTGGTTGTTGACCAAAGCCGCAGTGATGATCGGAGTATTGATGATCTTGGCAGCATTTATGATTTCCTTGATACGTGGTACACCCAGAGTGACGTTCATGGAGGCGACACCGGCAAAGTGGAACGTCTTGAGGGTCATTTGAGTACCGGGTTCACCGATCGACTGTGCACCAACGGCACCGACCGCAGAGCCTTTGCAAGAGAAGACAGACTGTCAGTCTACCCGCATGTGCCGTCAGGCAAGCAATAGATTGCTCACCGGGCTCAATCTTGGCCTTTGCGTATTTGGACAAGCACAAGTCCATAAACGCTTCCAAAGCCGTTTTGGTCACTTTCGTCTGATTGTCCACCGCCGCGATCGCGTATACGCTGGCACCCATTGTGAGGTCGGAATCCTCGTACTCTGGTTCTCTGATCAGAGCAGGGTACAAGCCGTGCGCTCCTCGAATAGCAGCTGCTTTCTCTGCGATGCCCCGCATGAAGGTCGCAACCTCGTCTTGATACAGCTTCGTCGTTTTGGCATATCTCTTCGAACTCAAATCTTTGTCGACCATCTCAGTGATCTCGTACGGTAGCAGTCCCGGGGCTGCTGGGTCCAAAGTGATGGCCTTGATGTGTCGCCAAGTGCGCAGATACTCGACTGGCAGCTTCTTGCCTTCTAACTCTGCCGGATCGAGTCCATCGTCTCCGTACTCGAATTGGACAATGCCGCCTACCGAGTTGCGTACAGACAAGTCGTAATGTGTTGAGAGATCTTCCAAGGCCTGATTGAGGTGGTATTTCAAATCCTTCAATGACATGCTTGCATTGATGCTGTGCGTTGAACACTCACCTTCATGAGACGTCGCGCCATGTATCCGGTTTCTGCTGTCTTAACGGCAGTGTCGACCAAACCTTCACGACCGGAAATAGCGTGAAACAGGAACTCGGTCGGTGTGAGACCAGAGAAAAAGCTGTTACGGACGAAACCCTTGCTTGGCGGATCTTTCGATTTTTTGGCGAAGTGCGGCAGCGAACGGTCCTGGAAGCCATTGGGAACACGTGAGCCGCTGATGATTTGTTGGCCCACGCATGCGACCATCTGGGCCACGTTGATCTTGGATCCTGTAGCATCGATGAGAAGTGGGGGTTAGCTTCCGCCTCATGGAGCGTACCAAAAATCTGCCGCACTTACCTTTTGAGCCGCAAACAGCCATGATGAGTGGTGCATTGTGGCGACTCAGTTCTGTCATGCAGATTTCACCTACATCGCTGCGCACACCACTGAGGACACCGGAGATCATGTTCTCTAGTGTCTGCTCCTGGTCACATCCCGGAAGATTGTCGAGCTTGCCCACCTTGGCCTTCTGGATGAGTGAGAGACACTCGGCGTAAGCAGCTTCTACTTTCGAGTCTTTCGTATTGCGCAGCTGCTCGCCGGGCATGACATCGTTGATGCCAAGAGAGAAGCCTTGTTGGGCAAGCCAACGAGCGCAAGTCTTGGCGAGCCGATTCATGGCGCTGATCGCAGCTTCGGTGCCGTAGTCTCGCAGAAGGACACCAAAGACGCTGTTCTTCTTGCCATCGCCGACGGTGCTCTTGTCCATCACACCGCACATGACCTCCGAATTGATGATGACGAGCCAGCCGTCATTTGGCGACATATCTCTGATGTGTCCATCTTTCGGCTTCTCGAAAGTCCGACATTGCGCCTCAAGGTTGACCAGATGTGGCGAGCTCTTATTCGGCCGAATCAGGCAGCCGAAGACTTGTTTACCGGTCCACAGGCAGTGCGGCTTGATGATCGCTGGAGGAGGTAGATCGATGTGCAAATCAGCGTCCGCGAAGTAGGAGCATATCTGCGAGAATTGTTTCCTGTCAAAGAATCGGTCTCGCCGCGAAATGAGGAACGAGGCTGTGATGAAATCCTGAATGGCGGCGATGATCGGCTCTCCATTGCGGGGAGTTACGAGATTGTGCTGCACGCCCATCAACTCCGTCGCCTCTGTCCGGGCTTCCTGCGTTTGCGGAACGTGCATGTTCATCTCATCACCGTCGAAGTCGGCATTGTAAGGATTGCAAGCACATTCGTTGAGCCTAAAGGTGCGCCAAGGACGGACTTTGACCCTGTGCGACATGATTGAGAGCTTATGAAGCGAAGGTTGCCGGTTGAACAGAACAATGTCGCCATCCTTGATGTGCCGTTCAACAATGTCGCCAATCTTCAGCGAAGCGACACATGCTCTTCGCGCACCCTCAGACCTCAGCATGCGCTTGAAGCCACTTTTGACATCAATGACAAAATTGGCGCCCGGATGCGTTTCTGAGCCTCGGAGGATAGCTTCTTTGAGCTCATCGATGTTGCCGGCGAATACTTTTTCCGGGAAGGTCAGAATTCTGGCCACCCGATCAGGGACTGCCACCTCGTTGATCTTCAGGTTCGGGTCTGGACTGATGACGGTACGCCCAGAGAAATCGACACGCTTCCCGGACAAATTACCACGGAACCGTCCAGTCTTGCCTTTGAGTCGTTGGCAGAACCCTCTGATAGGCTTTGCGTTTGCTGCCGCTGCAATCCCCGGCGTCTCTGAATTGATGTAGACAGCTATGCAGGTCTGCAAGGTGTCCCACTGCTCAATCAGATTCTGAGTCGTGGTGCCTTTGCCGCCAGGTTGAAGTCCAAGTTTAAGGACTTGATTGACAAATATGATGTCTCCAAGCTTGCCAGTCAGGTCGTCTTCGTTGGTCGCGCCTTCTTGCGCTACACTGGGACGAATGCAAACGGGTGGTACGCAAATGTACTGCCAGATGTATTCTTCAGGACGACCATACTCTGGTCGAAGACCCAGAAGCTCACAGTCCTGCCAATACGAGGAACATCAGTGAGGTGGTTGCCCCTCGCAACCTGCGAGCGTGACTTACCTCGCTTGAAATCCTTTTGAACAGCTCTAGCACCCGCAGAGGATTCAGGTCCTCTGCAGCCCTTTTTAAATGCGGTCGAACGTCTCCAGGGCCAGTGCCGCTCATCTCGACGTTGCTAGCAAAGGTCTTTTCGAAGGCTTGTCGCTCCGATTCAGTCTTCTTCTGGCGGTACTTTTCGTGTGTGATCTTCAAAGTACCGCTCTTTTTGACAACGCCATTTGTACTTCCGCATCTTGGGCAGTACAGCACCTTTCGCGCTGCGCTGTTCACCGCCTTGAAGGTAGTCGTACGCTGCAAATTCTCTAGCCCAGGGCGTCGGAAGGCTCTCAGGAACCTTCGCCTCATCTGCTCGTTCACGAGCACCGTTGCACAGTTCTAACCAACAGACATGCGTAAGTCCATTTCCTATCAGAGGTGAGAGGAGAGCAACTCACTTTGCATATACACTGCAAGATGGCTAGAACGTGCTTGAAAAAGCCGACGTGGAAGACTGGCAGCACGAGCCGAATGTAACCATAATGACCCACACAGTCCGCGTTCTTCAAACCACACGTCTGACACAATGAGTTTTTGTCGGATACACCCTGTGGAAGATGACGGAACCAAAACGAGACGGGTAAGCCATCCCTTTCAATTACGGAGGCCAAGACGCACAGCAACGCAGCTGATCTTGCTCCTCTCACCATGCGCCGATCTAGAGGTCCATTTTCAGCAGGAGTTCTCTCTGGCAAGCCTGTTGCGGACGCGATAGGGTTGTCCGTCACCGTATAAAGATCTTTCGTTAGGAGCTCTAGCTCGGATACGTTGACGATTTCTTGCGCCGAGAGCACACCAAATTGGATGTGCTTGATCCGCTTGGGCGCATCTTGAACGCTGCAAAGCAGAAGTGCAGGGTCAGCATCGCAGCGGCTGACGCTGTTCGTGTGTGGGCCGCTGACTCACACGAGCTCCTTCATCGCGCGTTGGCCCTGAGCGCAGCAGAGGGCGGTGGTAGATCACTGCTCCCGAGAACAGTCAAGCCTGTAGACAAGGTCTTTCAGAGCTGATATACAGTCCGAGTGAGAAGGCAAATGCCGCAGCGTCAGCGAGTGTAAGCCACCAGGCTGGGAGGGAGATAGCCGCTGCCTGATGCACGCATGCTACACGCCCCGTCAGGCTCCGTTCTCTTTGGCTGAGTCCCATCGGACTTCCCAGTGCAGCATCAGGCAAGGTGTGTTTGAAGCACCAGGCTATTTGTACATTGTCGCCAGCGCTCTGTTGCGTCCGTGCTTGACTCTATATACTGTATCTCATCCTATACTGGCACGACGACCTGCGAAGGTTTGAGAGTCACGCCGGGCAACTCACTTTTGAAGTTGCAGCACCACCTTCCTGGAGGACTAGTCTGCGCGAATGATCGCCGAGATTTGAACCAGAAGGCGGTCAGCGTGTTGCGCCGAAAGCGCGGTGCTGCTGTTGGGTATAGCGACATATATAGAGTATGATGAATCGCTCCTCGAAGCCTGCGTCTCGTTGCCGCTTTTGACGGCGACATTCACGATTCGTGGATTGTGACTTGCGCTTCTCTACTCACGACTATACGAGTCGTAGCTCTCGTACGAGAAGCAGGCGGCGGCGAAGTGCACAGTCTATAGCGCATCACGCGCGCGCACCAGAAAAGCGTAGCCCATGCGCGCTGCGCGTCTAAGCGTCACAGCACCGTTGAACAGCTTGCGTGCACCCACCTAGGAGACGCCTGCATGCTTCGTGCCGACCTTCAGCGGTCAAGGGGCTCTCCATCTGTTTCCGAACCACACTCAATAGTCCTCGTCGTCAACCTACATCCGTCCACTTTGCCCCTCGAACCTCGAACTTCGACAAGCCTGCACGAGCCCGCTTATTCGCGGGCAGCGTTCAGACCATCCACGTGTCACTGGCTCAAGCCTCGCGCAGCTCCTCCATCACTACAATCTCGTTCTCTGGATCCAACCTCGACGTCGGCCGCTTCGTTGAGCTTGTCGTCGGCCGACATGGCAGCGCACTGATACATTCAGTCCGGTACGGCTTGAGTCTCGCTGCTTCCAGCTTTGCCTGCTTGTGGCTTGCTGGGAGCCCCGACCATGAGTGCTGCGTCTTCCAGCAGCATGTCGCGGCAGGCGAGCGACGCGACGATAGGCGAGAGCGCAAGCACACCTAAGCGAGCTCCCTTAACAAAGCGCGCATCAGAGCGCACATCATCGAAAAGCTCCTTACCCGAAAATGCCATCAGCCAAGCAACACCGCAGCTGCGCAGACTAGCATCGGCGAGACCCAATGCTGCCTCGGTCTTGATGCGAGAGGTCAAGGACAGCACAACTGAGGATTTCGATGTCACGCCTCGAAAGTCATCCACTTCGTCGACACCATCTACCGGGAGCTCGCAAGGCACAAGTGGCAAGCAGGGCACGCGACAAACAGTGCGTCCGAGCCTGCCGTCTCGAGGCTCGACAACGTCTGCGTCGTCTAGCGGATCCGCTCGCGATCCAAAGAATGTAAGCAGTGCTTCTGGCATCTCGAGGCACGCCCGCGAGCTTTCTCAGGTAGGTGCTCTGAAGCTCGAGTCCTCGCACGTATGCAGTCTGTGAAGTCTGTGACATGTGGGCTGACGATCAGACATGCTTTCACGCCGCATGCACAGTCATCCTCCAACGGATCGAGCCCTGTGCTCAAGCATCGCGCTTCCACAAACACCATCCGAAAGGGCTCTGATAGCAGAAGCAACTCTCGGACTGCCACTTATCATCCCCACGACAGCCTGTCCGATGCCAGAGACACGAAGATACAGCGCCAAGCCGAGCCGGGCTCACTGCGTGACACGGGCGGAACGCACACTGAACGCTTGCGGCGCAGTGAAATGCGACAACGAGAGCTCGAGCAGATGAGATCAGAGTCACGATTAGGGAGGAGAACTGATGAAAATAGGGAAGATGAAGAAGAAGACGATGCGTCTGGCTCGGACGTCGATCGACTCAGTCAGACTGTGCGGCCCCACGATGTTCACGCGAGTCCAGGGCGAGCAGGCGAGACTTCGCGCAAGGCTGCTGCGCGAAAGGGTGGGGAAAGCAGCACCGCGACAGACACCTCGGGCACGGAAGGGGCTGGCAGCTCTGTCAACGGGCGGAGCCAGCGAAGAAGAAAGAAGAGTTCTGCCGCCAGCGCTTCCAGCAAGGGGGCTTCGCGCTCTGGTCGTCAGTCAAACGAGCCACATGAGAGGCCCGCAACCTCCACGGGCCATACAGTGCGGACGAGTGTGGACTTGGAAGGGTCAAGACACTACATGAGCCCGCGGCTAGGCTCTGTAAGCTCAGGGGACGGACTGCCGCGGAGCCAGCACGCTTTCCCACCAAGCTCGACAGCGGCGAGAAGGTCCGCCGGACGCGCTGCCCTGCCAAGCGAATTTCGAGCTGATAACACTTCATCTTTTAGTAGGCGCTCAAGCGTGTCATCCCGCTTTCGGAGCAATTCGCTCGCCAGCGTAGAGGACACTGGCGAGCCTGAAGGTGACACATCTGGTGAACGCAGAATCATGGACGGCAGCCAGCTCCGACATCCTAGCTCTGCAGATGCCTCGGGCATCTCACGTAGCTCGCGCCGCCGCTACGTGTCGGATGCGAGCTCCGATATTCCTACGGGCGACTATTCCGGAAGGGCCGGAACTCAAAGTAGTCGCCTTTCTGTCGATTCGTCCTCTGCCTCCAGACACCTCGGGCGTGGATGGCCTGCATCCGCCCAAGCGGACATTGAAATGGGCAGAAGCGATGGTTCGGCGCAAACGCAAGGCAGAGACTTGCCAGACCAAAGCCTCTCTCCAAGCGAAATGGCACGCCAACGGAGAATCTCTACGTCCAGCTCCATCTCTCAAAGGTCTTCAGGTGGAGCTTCCGACCTGCTGCGTTCTGTCTCTAGAGCCAGCGTCCGTCGAGCGCAAGGCACGGACGTGTTCGACGCGTCTGGAATGCCTCCCATGCCTCACAACAACAGGAGTCCGAGCTCCAACGAAAGAGACCGAGCCTTGCGTGTCCGTGAAGAGCAATTTCGTCAGCTCGGATTCGGCGCCGCAGGCTCGCTCGACCGTACAAGCCCAGAACAGGTGAGTGTGGACCATGTAGAGCGCTAATGTGGCCAAATAAAAGCTCATCGTGACGTGCCGTCAAAGTCCCGCCCCCTTTCGCGCACTTCAAGTCGTGCTTCTGCTCGTCCCAGTTCTAGATCGGGCTACATGTCTCGAGAGCTGCAAGGATTTTCGCGAGCTGCGTACACTGAACCGAGGAGGCGTGCCGCCAACCACGAGAGAGCAGCAACATTCGCAGAACCTGGCCAGATGCAAGAGGCTCCTTTTCGCCACCCGTCGCTCGATATGAGTACTCGACCACCTCGGACGCCAGATTTCAACTCTAACGGGACCATTGGACGGACCCGAGACGTTCAATCCGCCATTTTGCCAACCACCGACAGATTTTTTTCTGGCGACGTTAGCTCTTCACGCAGCGCATCAACTACGTGGCGAAGCCCATCAGGGTCATCGCACGAGCAGAATCTGTCCAGCGCTTATTCGATGTTTGAGCGCTATTTTTCTGGCAGCTCATCGAGTTCCGCGGCGGCCATCGCACGCTATCCCGAGTCCACGACTTTAGTGCTGAGTCTCAGGCAGGTCACGGATACTGCCGCGTGTATAAACGCGGAGCTCGAAGTTCTTAGGGATGCTGCTCTTCAAGCTCACATCGATGCTGAGAGGGGAGGTGGTAGTACAGCGCTTATGTCTGCGGCACAGTCTTTCTCACTCCTGGAGCAAGGCCTGAGACAGCTTCGTGCAAAGAGCGATGAGCAAGTCAGAAGTCTCACAGACAGCCTGGTATACTTCGCCCGGACAGAAAGGGAGAGAGATGCTGTTCGTAAGCTGGCAAGTGAGAATGGAAGCGTTGGTCGACCTGGCTCTAGGATCTCTAGCCTTGGGACCGGAGGAAGCCCATTGCGGCCCGATCGAGCCTCGGCGGCCCAACCAGGCAGGATCTTTCATACTAGTTCACATGGATCTGGTCTCGAGGTGCCTCCAAGTGCGCACAGCGACGACAGAAGCGAGCATTCCTCAGCGAGCGGAACCATAGATTCGCTGCAGATGCAGCGCGTCCGATCTCATCGACGCCATGCAACTGAATTGGCCTCCCCAAATTCACCGAGCTTCGCGCCATCTCCGACACTGGCTGGGGCGCGCCCCAGTCAAGGCGCTACATCCCGCGCTCTCGTCACGTCACCTTTGGAAAGCCAGGCAGGCACTCGCTTACAGGATCGTTTTGCGTCGATCCGCGATCGCTCTGGACATGGTCGCGCCGCCTCTGAGGCTTCGAACTTTCTTGACGACTCGCCCCGCGCCCTCGAGCGTGCTCGGAGGGAAAGAGAGAGGAGCAACGCCACAGTCACTGCTGAGTCTTCGCGCCCTCCTCTTGTCCCCACCGGTCTTTCCCCGCGACGATCCCGATTGAGCTTCCCCGCGGTCAACAGCACGAACGCTGCTGTGGACTTTGGCCCTGCTCGAGGTGACAGCAACAGGCCGTCTGTGCTGTATCGAGGCGATCAGGTGCCCTCCATGTCTCCGTCAGGGTCTAGGGGCTTTGAATTTCCCGACACTTCGCTTGTCAACTCTCGCCAGATCGCCAGCGATCCGAGCAGCTTGGCCGACCAGTCCTTGAGCCGTAGGAACACCGTTGATGGGCTACGCGGAACACTCAACGGGCCTGAGTCGCCATCAGCGAGGCGTCTCACATCGGCAGACGAAGGGACGTCGCGCGACTTCATCTTGAGCAGCTCCTCTCGTCCGAGCGACGAGTTGTCGTTAAACACAGATCAGTATGTCGACGGCGCAATATCGCCTGTGGCATCACGCCAGCAACTGAGAAGCGATAGTCCCGACGACAGGCGAGCGTCGGGCGCCTTCTCGCGTCTGCCAGCGAGCTCTACCCCTAGAACTGCCCACAACTCGATGATGAGGCTCGCTGCCTCACTAGGCAGATCCAACGGCAGTGCTGTCAACACCAGAAGATTATCGAGGGACTTGTCTCAGCGATGACCCGGACACCTTGCGCGTTCATTTGGGAGGGAAAGCAGGCTTTCCTCTTCGATAGTTCCATGAACAGATCGTAATACACCTTGGTCCCTATTCGACCTGTGGAGATACGCTTGTAACCCACGACGTGCTCGCCGACTAGACCTAATGACCACGAATGTATCATAAATTCCTTCCTCGACCGTCAAAAGGGAGGCATGAACAGCGGCACCCACGGTCGTCGTCTGACGCGACGGTCGGCGCACAGGCCACGACAACACCAGGCCCAATCTTGTGGATCACCGACGCGCACTCGCGCAGTCTGATTGATCCAAGAGGAACCTTCGGCTAAGGAAGGCAGACCACTCATGACTGCGAATATGCACAGGTAAACGCTCGAACCTTACTTCCGCTAATCGATCATGCGAGGGCGTGGCCGCATTTGCCCGCAATATAGTTGCACAGAACCACGCGGCCCATGCATCGGCATTGAAGCTTGCACATGAAGCAGCCACACACGCGATGCCGGCGAGTGCATGGAGCGGCCCGTTCGAGCTCGAAGTACATGCAGCACGCGCCGGCCGAGAGCATCAGGCCCTGAACGCGTACCCCTCTCGGTATACCGCTATACCGCCATTCGACCTATAGCTACCTTGTATCCGGCGCATGTTGCTCGCCTCAAACGCGATTTGCTTCGAGAAATGCTGTGCCATGGCGAAGGATCGGGATTGCTCGTGGAGAATAGATGATCACGCTCAGGGCCTGCTTCTGTTGCTGATCGATGCGGGAGGTATGGGATCATATGCGAATTGCGCCAGCGGCGGCGGACCGCGTGGTCGGAGGGAGCCTTGGCCGCTTCCGCGGGGTCCCCTTGCAGACTTTGATTGGTGCGTAGACGGCGAGCAGACGAGTCACACTCAATCTACGCGACATTAGTCTGGAAGGTGGAAGGAAAGGAGTGTGCGTTCTGCTCTGCGTCTCTTCGCAGCACCGAGTGCCTATGCTGGGCGCTGCGGTGGAGTGCGTACGACTGCCGTGGCTCGACAGCGAACTATGCCAATTTCCCCTGGATTAGCCTCTATAAAGCGACTTGGTGGGTCTGCGATCCTGGGATGACCTCTACCTAGCAATTCCCTTGGCCCCCTAATCCACTTCTTCCCCATTTTCAACAGCTGCAATGGTTCGCTTGACCGAGGCAGGTCTCCTCTGCTTGAGCATCGCGTCGATAGCCTGCCTTGCGCGCGCCTTGCCTACCTCTCGGGAAGAGGAGCCGCACCTCAGCGCGCTTAGCAGCGGCAGCAGCAGCAGCAGCAGCAGCAGCTCCGACTCCAGCTCAGATACGGGAATTGGAAATGATGTAGAGGTGCACACTCGTTTGCAAGGCACCTTTGTAGGAACTTTCAACAAGACGACGGGTCAAGATCAATTTTATGGCATTCCCTACGCGACTCCACCTCTGGGCCAGCTGCGTTTTCAGCAGACGCGGCCTCTCGAAGCGTACAAAGGCGATGAACAGCGGACGGCAAAGCAATTTGGCAACCTCTGCATCCAGACGAACAATGAAACGTTCAGAGGCAGAGTCAACTTTTCTGAAGATTGTTTGTACCTCAACATTCAACGACCCGCTGTCCGCAAGGTCGGCAAAAAGCTCCCCGTCTTGGTCTTCATTCACGGTGGATCCTGGAAAGATGGCGGCAGTTCCGCGGTGAGACTGACCCTTTGCTCAGCACTATTTTCCGCGGTCACTGAGCTAACGCAAAAGAGGTGCTGTGATCCCTCGCAGGTCAACTACGACCCCGCAAACTTGATCCAGCACTCGCTCAAGCTGGGCGAGCCTATCATCCACGTGGCCATGAACTTTCGTCTCGGTGTGTTCGGCAATCTCCTAGGGCCCGGTGTGTCTGCTGCAGACAAAGAAGGAAGCGCTGCTCTGAACGCAGCCTACTACGATCAACGAGAAGCCCTTCGATGGATTCAAAAGAACATCGAATATTTTGGAGGAGATCGTGATCGGGTCACTATCTGGGGTCAATCCTCCGGCGCCAACGGTGTAGCAGCTCAATTGCTAGCAGACGAAGGCGACGTTGGCAAGGATTGCAAAGGCTGCTTCCACAACGCCTTTTTGGAGAGCGGCTCTCAAGCCACAGCGCCCAGACTGAGCCCGACGTCGACCGAAGCCACACAAGCTTACGGCGCTTTGTTGAAGATGCTCGGCTGTGCCATGGCAGATGTCAATTCTGCAGATAGTGTGGACTGCCTCAGGAGAGTCGACGCTGCTAGCCTTGAGCAAGCTGCTATCGCGGTCAGCGGTGGAGGTGCGGTGAGTGTGGTGTCCCTATCGATGACGCCCATACACGATACTGACGCCATCAGCCTTGCCAAATTTGCGCAGCTCTTTGTTCCAGTTTTGGATCGCAAGTTTGTATCTGAGCTGCCATCGTCGCAGCTAGCCCATGGCAAATTCGCAAAGGTTCCAATCATCAGTGGAGACGTTCTGGATGAAGGAACGCTCTTTGCTAGTTTGAATCTGAAGGGCAACACAAACACCACCACTTTTCTTGCTGGGATTGCAAATTTGCACAAGGTACAAGATGAAGCTGTGCTGAAACAGATCGCAGAGCTGTATCCCGACGAGCCCAAAGTTGGGAGTCCATTCAGACCAGAATTGGTGGGAGCGTCGCCGGACGACAGGTTCTTTGGTCCTGCTCATCAGTGGAAGAGAACATCTGCAGCAGAGGGCGACTTGCTCTTCCAAGCAGGTCGCCGTCAGCAAATCCAAGCGGCCAGCAAATCAGGCGTTGCGGTCTACAGCTACCTCTTTTCTCTGCCATCCCCTACATACGTTCTGCCCGGCCCTCAGACCGGCCCCTTTTTGGGAATTCCGCACGGTTCGGACATTCCGTTCCTGTACAGCAATACGCCCAAAGCCGCACCTCCATCCTCCTCCGCAGCTCTGGTCAAGTACGCACCTCAAAAGGATCTCGATCGACAATCCGACATTTTCTCTTCCGCCCTCGTCCATTTCGCTCATACAGGAGACCCCAACGGCAAAAACCTACTTGGTCGAGCTCCCGAATGGCCTCGATACGACGCGCAGTCTAAGCGATTGCTGCAGGTGCAAGGCACATACAACACGACGATCATCGAGGACACTTATAGAGAACAGGAAATTGGTTTTATCCTTGACAATGCCCCAGCTTTCCATATCTAGGCGCCCTCGTCGACGTTCACGAGGGCTTATCTGACACGGTTCCCACAAAGTCCTCCATGCACGGGTGATAAAAGTCTTGACTGTAGCTGTTGCTCTAATGATGCCTCCTCCATGCTAATGTTGTGCTACAAATTGACGTCATTCCGAATCAGAGTGCAGATGAAATATGAAAAGGGCACCTGCACACATAAACCTCGTCATGATGTACAAGCTGCGACAGATGCCGGACCAGCATCAACTCAGGCTGACAGATCTCTGGCGAGAGAGCAGTACGTGTCGAAGTCTGGCCTCTGACGCCCTTTTCCCGAGGGCTTGCTCGAGATCTAGCCGATCCAAATTTCCAGACGGGCTAGCTCTCGCAGCATCGGAGCTGTTTGTCGCACTAAAATCTTGATGAGCTGCTCCGTCCATCGACGAGCCAGAGGATAGCTGAGGCTCGTGGAATTTGGCAGACTCCGATGGGACCAGCGGAGGCCATGTCACGCTCGTCTCGTCGTGCAGTCCCGCTGAGGCGCTTAAACGCACCGCTGACGCATCTCCAGAACTCCCGCGCGATGGCTGACCGAGGTCGACGGGGCCCTTGTCCCGCCAAGATTGCAGCCCGAGGGCTCTTTCCCTCATGAGCCTCTTGAGAAGCATCTCACGACGCGCGCCAATGTCGTGCTTTGAAAGATTGCGCGGCGCTTCCTTCGAGTGAAGTTCGACGAGCAACGCCGCCTGCCGCTCATCCACGTCGACATCCGGAACCGGTTGGCGCGAAGAACTCGATGGTGCTTTGCGCATAATCGTCTGACTGTTCGCTTGTCTGGAGCTCTCTGGCATGCAGACATCCCATGCGAGGAGCTCCTTGAACATTGTCGGCGGCGGGTCTGTACTGGAGCATCGTCTCAACGCGCCTTCACGAGAATGCGTTCTGCACCGCGATTGCACGAAGGGAGGTTCATGTTCCATGCCCAACGTGCAGCAGGCTGCTTCGTCTTCAGGATCCACTCTCCGCCTTTTGCCCTTGATATCGCCGCTTGTCAAGTGCTGTGTATCACCGAGAAAGCCACCATCCGTTGCGCGCAGCACGACGGGCAAAGGATGAAGTAGAACCTTGCCGACCTGGCATGTGCGCTTGTCGACTCGGAGCTCAGAAAGTCCACATACGACGCCAGCAAGAGCGTACCTAACCACCACATCGTACTTGGCGACATCCCTGGCCGATCTCATAAATGCGTTGGTCTCATGAAGGAAATGCTGTGCCCTCTGCATGCCCAAAAACTCGCTCAACAGCCTGATCGCCTCGTCCGACTTTGCCGGTACGGAGCAAAGAATGGCGAGAGTGTACGTGCACAAGAATGAATGATCTGCACTTGTAGTACCTCGATCCAGACTTGCTGAAGGGGCCGAGTGAAGCGATTTGGACCCGCGACCAGAGCCAAAGCTGAGACCCGTCATCGGCAGAGCTTGAAATTCTCGCTCCAACCAGGCGCGCAACCGTCTCTGATGGTTCCCACTCTCGTTGATCTGCGATGGAGATGGAGGAGGACCAAAGGCGCTCTTCTTGTTGGCGCCCATGTGCTGCAGCACAAAGACGTGTATTTGAATTTAGCAAGCGAGTCTTGCTTACAACACCCTTCCTCGTCGCATCCGCGAAAGGACGGCGGCGTGATCAACTTACCAGTGCCCAAACATTCATCTCATACACGTTCTTGCGCCTCTCAATGCCGCGCTCCAAGATGCTCTCGGGAGTTTGACTGGTTCCTCCCCAGGACTGCTGTGCGAGCCTTCTTCTGCGCTGCACGGGCGGTGGTCTGACGCTGCTCACGCTATATCTCGACACACTGGCAGGTGCACGCAGCCGAGGAGGTCTTGCTCTCTCCTCTTCATCTTGTTGCTTGACGAAGAACCAGTATCTGGAATACTCTTCAGCTCCTCGAATGTCGTACAGGACATATGGACCAATCTCTCGCGTGCATAGGGGACACTTGGCGGAATGCTGATGCGCCTCGTCGTCCGAACGACTCTTGCTGCTCGTTGTTGCTTGCCACTTGATGATGCAGCCCAAGCAGAAGAGACTGTGAGCGCAGCGAGGCAGAACAATCCTTTGCCTCTGCCATGCTGCTTCTGCCTCGTGAGCATCTTCACGTCCTACAAGTAATCGCCCGTCGATGCGATCCGCGCTCGATATGTTTGCGATGCGTGGATCCGCACCAGCCAACGCCGGATTTTGTGGAAGAAGATTGAGCGACTCAAAGAGGTGATGCCCATGACGAAGATCTTCGAGACAGATCAAGCACGTAGGAGAGTCAGATTTAGATCGTGGTGAAGCAGCGTCACATTCCTTGGATGGGTGAGAGTGAGAATGCACAGGACCAGAGAGCGCGCTGCTGGACGCATTTGGTGGCGACATGTTCATGAGCTGGTCGACGAGAGGTTCGACTCCTTCAGCCGCTGCTGCGGAACTCGTCGAAGACTGTTCTCCAGCTCGCGGGCAGATGACATTGTCGCAAGCCTCGTACCGACAAGCCTTGCTGCCCATCGTCTTCGCTGATGGTGAGCGAGCAGCCTGCGTACTTGCGGCCGCTTCACCTCCGCATGCCTCTCGATGGTCTTGTAGTTACTGGCGCAACGACTATCGATGGTGCTTCGATATGCAGTCGTAATTTGGAGACCATTTAGCCTCTGTCCTGTGACGCTGCCCAAGTGGGCGTGCCAACAGCTTTCAGTTCAACGCTGGCAGCAGATTTGAGCGAGGCCGTCAGTCGGTGGAGTCACGAGTGTGAGTCAACAGAGAAGCGCGGCTGATCATTTACATGCGCACGCAACTTTGTGGCGATGATAGCGCGGAGTCACTCACCGCACATGCAGGCAGCTATCCATGAATCGTGAATGAAGTCGATCAAGAGCTGCTGCTGCATGCACGATGGGCGAATCATGTGGCCGCACGTGCAGGGATGACGAATCGTCCGCGAGGAACAATTCATGGATTTGAATTCTTGATTTAAACATTCGTGATTCAATAGGAACTGTGGATTTTGAGAGCTCGATCCAATCAATCAGGAACTCAAAATGTCAACCTCAATTGAAGGCGTTCATGCAGCACCAGCAGCACCAGCAGCAAATCACAAGCACAAATGAAGAATGCTTACACCAAAAATCAATTCAGCAGGTACTGAGTTCGGTCATAGCGATCGACCAAAAAGCTCGCTTACCGGTGCCTACCTATCCAACCTTGGAATCAAGAATCGCTGGCACGTGCCTGACTGGCCAGGTTTTCTAACGTTGGTGGTGCGCCAAAGCCTGCGCAGAACGGAGATCAACAACACAACAGTCGCCATGTGCGCACCGTCATTCGCCAATCACGCATTCTTGATTCACGATTCACGAGTTGGATGCTCCATTCGGATGGGTTTGTGCATCGCATGCGCTGTCCAGCACCGCGTAGCGCGCCCAGTGCCTCACACATGCAACTCCCGCTTGCACGACGACCTTGATTTCTAAACGCTGCACAACAGCTACGCACGACTTGTTCACAGCTAGCTCGCCGCTCGTACACACACACACATCCCCTTACATCAATCTACTCGCGTCACCTTCCACATCTTCGGTGACTCACACCCTTATACTGCGCTACCATGTTCTGACACCCCATCACTTCCTCGACATCCGCATCTCACCCTTCCACTTTCTGCCCTCGCGTGGGCTTTGCTTTGGCCTGCCCATACTGCGCCATCGCTGTGCCCCTGAGCAACGCGCACGCGACGAGACCATCAAGCATACTACAGTCTCAGTGGCGACAGCTGTCTGAACCGCACATCATCTACTTTATACACGATCCATCCCGCTGCGATCTCCAGTGCTGCCTGGGGCATTTCTTCGTTACTCCTACATCGCCAACACGGGCAAATACTAGGCTGAGCTGAGGTGCCATCCGGCGTCGTACAGCTTGGAGGCGCCAGCCCGAGAGCTCTGGTGCAATCTGAGGCTGCGCAGGCATGACAACAACCCAAGACGCAGCCCAGCTGGAGCTGGGCTCCCACAATCGCAGCGTGGTGCCAGAGTATGCCGTGGTGGATGAAGAGTCAGGAGAGCATGCGCTAGCAGGCACCACTCCATCTCCTCCTTCCAGCTCCGAGAATGGACAGGATGCAAAGGAAGTCTTTGCCCAGACTGCTGCTACTCCTGCCGCCGCCGCTCCCAAGACGCAGACCACGACGCTCCGCAAAAGAGCCAGAAGCTTTTCCAATAGCGTCAATGTTCCAAACTTTCTGAGACCTTCCAAGTCCAAGTTCGGCGGTAAGATTACGCGTTTCACCAGCAAACACCTCAACTTTTACGTGAGTTGGGAGCAGACGCTGGCCAAGCTGTGCCACCCTCTGCCAGCCTGCGATGGAGTTCTGCAGCTGTGCGAGTGCTGACGCTCATCACACACCCTCTCACAGCGCATTCACGTAACCTTCTTCGTCCTCACGCCTCTCATCGCTTCTGCCATCTTCTACGCCGCTAATCAAGATGTTCACATCAAGTACATTGATGCTCTATTCCTCTGCGTCAGCGCCATCACAGTCACTGGTCTGACGACGATCAACATCAGCACGGCGACAGGCTTCCAACAAGCTATCCTGTTCCTGCTGATGTGCGTGGGCAATGTCGTCGCTGTTAGCGTGACGATGGTATGGACCCGAAGGCGCTTCTTTCGCAGAAGATTCGAGGATCTGGTAGCGAAGAATGCGGCTGCGAGAAAGAAGGTCCGCGATGTCGAGGAGGCGGACAAACGTGAGGGGGGACGAATGCATCGTTTGCGCCGCATGATGAAGGGCGGGGCAAACGATAGCGACGGGTCGAGACAGAGCACGGATGAGAGCGGGCATGCTCCGGAACCGCGAAAACACTCGACCAAACGCAAGGGGCCGCTCACTTCGGACATGATTAGAAGAACGGATCAGCCTGCAGTACTCGTCAACCCGATGGGCATGCCATCCACTGCACACCCTCGCTCAGGCTCGGAAGAGCGCGTGGCATCTCGTCCGTCCGTCGCAACAGAGGCACCTCGAGGCATCCTGGCACCGATGGACGAGACACCGGCTGTCGGGCCCTCGGCGGGCCCTACAGGTAGCGTGCGCATCGCTGAGCCAAATCGCTTCTTGCGTGGCTTGCCGGTGCACGACAGCCCCGTGGAGCAGACAGAGACCGCATTTCCAAGCAGCGCTCCCGCTCGACGCACAACCTTTTCTGGAGGCAGCGATCCGCCCTTGGGCGGCGCGAATCAGAGCGATCCACCCGCACAAGCTCCTCACACTGCCGACCCGTTCCGCGCACGTTTTGACAGTACTGCAGACCAGCGCTCTCGTCGCTTGTCTGATCCACCCACTCAGCATCATATGCGCCGAGGATCGGACGGCGCTCTGGCGGCGGGTGGCCTGAGACCACCGGCATTCAACTTCCCTCGGAGTCAAACTGTAGAGTTTGCCGAGCCTCCACCGAGGATGACCCCGGCGGAGAGGTCCAGCACTGGCGTTGCGGGACGAGATGGTCTTCGCCATCGCAACACAAATCTTGACTTCGAGCGCAGTGAGTAGCTTGCCGTGTTCATTGATTCGCAAGAATGGCTGCTGACGATTGATTGCCGCCAAAAGCGCCAACAGCGTACTCGGCGCGCTCGCACACTCGCAGGAGTGCCACGGGCGTCACGCTGACGCGAACTCCTACCACATCCAAGGAGCGTGGCTTTGGAGGGTTCCCTACCCCTGTCGAGCTTGCTGGCATGGCCCTGAAACGCATGGCTCCTAAACTGAATCGCCAGTTTACGCGCAGCATGACCATGCCACGCACATCGACTTTTGCTTCCACACACTCCGGCGGAGCGGATACGACCAATGGCCGAAGTGCGCCTTACCTAAGCTTCGACGCTACGGTCAGTCGGAACTCCCGCTTCTTGGAGCTCAGCGAGCATCAGCGCGAGGAGCTGGGGGGCATCGAGTACAGAGCTATCGACATGCTCTGCACTCTGGTCCCAGCCTACTGGTTGTTCGTCGTCTTTCTCTTCATCGTGATGGTCGCGCCTTGGCTGGCATCTCGAAGCGCTGCGGCAAAGTTCTACCAGGTCAGGGAGACGCAAGCGCCGCACGAACCGGATTCCACATGGTTTTGGTTTTTCAATGTGGTCTCTGCATTTAGCAATACGGGCATGTCTCTTATCGACACGAGCATGATCAACATGGCCGATCAGTACTTCATGCTGATCCCTCTCGGGACCCTCATCCTTGCCGGCAATACTGGCTTTCCAATCCTCTTTCGATTCATGATTTGGTTCCTCTCACGGATCGTACCGTCCACGGGTCGCACTTACGAAACTCTCCGATTCCTCCTGGATCACCCTCGAAGATGCTTTGTCTATCTCTTTCCGTCTGCCCAGACTTGGTTCCTTCTGTTTGTCCTGGTCGTCCTCAAGTGAGTCACTCATCGCACATCGCACGCAATGCGCCGCAGACGCAAGACTAATTCGGACTGCCCCGTGACTCAGCTGCACCGATTGGGTGGCATTCCTCGTACTCGATCTTGGCAATCCAATCATCAAGGCGATCCCTGTTGGACAGCGAGGTGAGTGCAGATGAAACTTCAAGGATAAGTACACGCCGTACTGAAGGCATTTTCCGTCATCGCCGCGACCGTTGCAGTGTTCGATGGTCTCTTTCAATCCATCGCCGTGCGTGCTGCCGGTTTTCAAGTCGTCAGCCTGCTTTCGCTAGCTCCCTCGGTCCAATACCTGTACGTAGTCATGATGTACATTTCGGCCTATCCCATCGCAATGTCGGTGCGCAACACAAACGTGTACGAGGAGCGCGCTCTCGGCGTTTACGAGGACGACCAGACCTCCGAATTTGGTGACGAGGAGCCTACGACGGGTGGCGCGCGTGTTTGGGGTACATACCTCGCTGCGCACGCTCGAAGACAACTCGCCTTCGACATGTGGTGGCTTGGATTCTCTATCTGGCTCGTTTGCATCATCGAGAGGACTCAAATCGAGGACAGCAACACCAATGGATGGTTCACCATCTTTTCCTGCCTCTTTGAGCTCACCAGCGCTTATGGAACGGTCGGTCTAAGCACAGGCACTCCTGTCGACAACTTTAGCCTTTCGGGACGTTTCCGCACCCTTTCCAAATTGGTCGTCTGCGCCGTTATGCTCAGAGGCAGGCACCGCGGACTTCCAGTCGCCATCGATCGAGCCGTGCTGCTACCTGGAGAGATTGAGGAGGAAGACAACAACCCATTGTACAGCGGTAGCCAGGATGATCCGATGCAGATGCGAAGCGGCACTGGGAGTCTGCGAATGCACCCGTCCATCCCAGTCACCCGCTCGTACACTCAGAATAGCGTGGGAGGACATCTGAGCAAGGGCATGGATGAAAAGCAGGGTGTGCTGCCGGGCAGCGATGGCCCGCACGAGGATTTGGGATCGGCTGGTTCGCAGTATGCTACGTATCAGGACCAAGGCTACGGCCTTGCTCCCACTTTGGCCCCAATCAACGAGACGCCTACGCCCACCGCGCCGGCGCTGAGCAGGGAGGCGAGCAACCAAGCGGATCAGCGTCAGTCTGCAATCGAAGCAAGCACTTCGGCCGCGGGTAGCGACAACAGCAGCAGCGCTGCTCTTGCTCGTCAAAAGAGTCCCGAGTATCAGAGTCTGAGCCAGGACGAACAGGATTCACAAGACGAGCAGATTGGTCGTCAATTGGCTAGAGCACCCGATCCTCAAGAAGCAGAGACTCCGGCAGGTGCTGTCAAAGCTTCTTACGAGCGAGCAGAGGTCATCGAGAAGATGAGCAGTGGAAGCTCGGCTTCTACTCCTTCGGCGTCGCAGCTGGAGAATAAGCCGAAGGGTGAATAACATTGATCAGGAAGCGGGGGCGCCGAGATCCTTTTGCGTGTGTGTGCTCGACACATTGCGCGACCTGCCTTGGACCCCCCTCTTCCTATAATCACCAACTTTGTCGTAAATTATTTCAGCAGCCCATTTCGTTCTCCCTCCTCCCCAGACGGTTTGTGTTACGAACACGAGTCATTCCGTACATGACTCACGACCAGCCTTGACCCCCCCACTTTCGTGACGCAATGCCATCCATGCTCACCTTGTCATGCTTTCTGTGACGTGCTGTGACTGCATGAGTTGACAGCGCGTACAGATGAACGCTAACGAGAATCAGAAGAAGTGAGACGATGCTGGCATTCGGATCATATGACGTGTGTGTAGGCCTCGTCTTTCTCATGGTTGCTCTGAATGGTGGGATGTGCACAATTGCTGCTCATTCCCCAACGCTAAAACACGTGGACCATCCATGGAACTCCAGAAATTTCTGGACGCGCGCAGCAAGTCGAGAGCAAGTCCATTGAGGCTCTAAAGGACGAACTTGGCGATGCCCGCGACTTTATCCTGTCCTGTCCTCTTCTACCAACGCTGCAACAATCCGACAAAAGAGATCATTGAACCTTGCTATATGAAGCTGTCATTGCATTGCGTGCTGTCTGCATCGACTGATGATCGCCGTAGAGGCGCCTTCTTTCTCCTCGCCGCGTCCAACGCCTTGCTCACGGTATCCCCCCCCCCCCCCCACACCCCCTCCCTTCTTTGAAATCCGCACCTCAAGGTCTCACCACGCTTGGCCTGCCTGGATGCTCATTCGTAGATGTCGCAAGAAAGAATAAAGGGCGTGGATAGACCGGAAAGGAAGAGCTTGTTCCTCGTAGCGTCGTGCACGACCATAGTGAGAGCCGGCGCCACACTCCCATCATCCTCGAACTTTTTCTCCACCTTCCACTTCTGTCCAAACAATGCATCTTTCCCATCATTCAAGCTCAATTTCCACCCCGTCGATGGAGCTTTGGCGGCGGCAGCAGCAGCAGCATCGCTGCTTTTGATCGCTCCAAATTCGTTCATGTAGTGCACGGATTGAAGAGCCTTGGTCAGGCCAGCGGCCCAAATGGAACCTTTGCTGTCCGTCGAAAGATTGTCCACCGACATGCCCACCTTGACCGAATCGCCCAGCACCAAAGATCCGTCCGCTTGCAACTCGAAGGATTTGAAAAGCCCATCAGCGCTAGATGCTACCCAGTACTGATCTTGCGCTGTGCCTCTCGTGATTCCGTTTGCAAAGGTGAGCGGAGAGTAGGCCTCTTTGCATCCTCTGCGCGCATTGCAATATCCAATGTTGGACAGCGGCACAAAGGGATTCAAGAGGCGCAAAGGCGAAGCCTTGTCGATGCCGTGATCGTTTGTGAACAAGAAGCTGTTGGAAGATGTCGCTACGACCGAGTTGGGCGTGGTGATGATCTCTTCGTCAAAGTAAGTCTTGACGTATTGCGCCTCACGTCCTCCAAGATTCGAAGTGAAATGCTCAATGGTGGAGTTGGCTCCCACCTTGTTCGCATCCAGTTCGATTCCTCCTTCGCCCAGAGGTGGTCGGTGATTGATCATAAAAATGTCCAGCCTTGGCGCAACATCTGCACTCTGCTCGCCCACATGAATGTCGAATCCATGTACATTGATCTCTGCTTGTCCATGATTGCCCGCCGACGCAAAGTCGACCAGCGACACTTTTCGAGTCGTGCCGGCATTCGTGTCGTATATCGCCAGATAGTCGTTGCGCGGCCGTTCTTTCACTTCGCGCTTGTTGTTGCTGTGCAAGGGGGTCGTCAGGCGAATCCTCGGCCAAAGGTGAGCCCCAGGACTAAGGCTGCGATCCCGACCTTGCGCGAATGAAGCCACACTCACGCGGGTGTCCAATAACTCCTCTTGACAGGATCCGAGCAGGCGGCGTAAAGCAAGCCGCTTGGCTCGTGCAACCACGTGTCTGCTCATCCAGCAATTGTGGAACAGCGTGAATGACGTAATCCAGTGGATTTTCCAAAGCGGAAACGAGATTTGTGTGTGTGAGAAGGAGGATTTCAATCAGCCTCTCCATCTTTACATTTATTGCAGCGCCGCAAAGAATTGAACTCGTGACTCACGCTCGCAAGCTTGCAGAGCTGTCGATGACGTCATCGGCATCAATAGCGCGGAGCGTTGCAGGGAAAGGGCAAGGTAAGCCATGAACGATGAGCGAGAGCAGAGAGAGCGGAAATGGAAAGCCCATATGTGTAGCTCGTCCACCTGCTTGCTCGCTCGCTCGCTCGCTCGCTCGCTGTCTCACCATCAATCTTTCGACATCTTGCATTATTCACACTCTCCACTTGTCGTTTGATGATTCCCAAGTTGGCCAGCAAAGGGCTCAAGACGAGTTGAAAGCCGATTGCAAAGATGAGAGTCAACAGGCCCAAAATGGGTAGCAGCATCTTTGGGGGGGGCGAATGCGTGCTTGCGCGTTGCTAGTGATAAATGACGCAGCGATGGGACAGGTGTTTCAGCAAAAGAGGCAAGTGCATGCAGGCTTGAGATGATGACGATGGTGGTGGTGGTGCGGAATCAAGCGAGTGATTTCACATTCAGTCACCCAAAGTGAATACTCAGTGTTACAACAGCGTCTTCATTTCTCCACGATCCACGAAGCCGAGTGCGTTAACTCGTTAGTGCACATACCTGCATAATGTGCCTCTTGCTTCACCGCTGTCAGCCACACGATCAGCCATGCAGGCCCCCCATCACATATACCGTATATGGCGCGCGCGTCGATCGAGATGTGGCGGGCGATGCGCTTGATTCAAATGAACGCAACTCGGGTCATCCATCCATTCAAGATTCATCCACCCGTTTATGACCATCAAGCTCCATCTCGTGCAATCAAACAAAGATGCGCGATCGGACGATCAGCATTGAATCCGGTCACGCGCGCAGCCCCAGCCGTCCCGTTCGACCTACGCCCTCAGCAGGAGTTGAGTCAAGAGTGGAGGCGCATTGGATGTCTTCTATAGACGATTCATATGAGCTGAATAGTCGCCTTACGGTACACAATTCGCATCAAGACAGGAATATTGCGATGCCGAATCGGAAATGTGAATCAAATGCTGCGTAGAAAGGTGAGGAGACGTGAAATGAATCACAATGTGAATGGTCCGTGCGTCATCGCGCCCGCTCTGTCGCTTCGCTTCGCTTGTGCATGAGTGGCGCTTTTCTGTGCTGCTGCTGCATCGGCGGGGTTCGCGGGTCAGCATGTGGTGCGCGTTTGATTGTGATTGCGGCGTACCTGTGTTGTCGAAGTGGTCGCGAGTCGCGAGTCACGAGTTACGATCGAGTGCTGTGGTGAGTTTGAGTGAAGAGCTTAGCTGCCTTACCACGTCGCCCGCCTTCGTGAGCGCGGGCGCTTGCAAGCCGAATCGTAAATCGTGAATCTTGAATACGATGGACGGATATCCACGCACCGCTTTGACTCTTGACTCAAGACTCACCACTGTGACCACACATAGCTGCTCGCCAATCTGAATTCAGACTTGTGATTCATGATTGTGAATGCCAATCACTCATAGCTGCGAGGTTCACTCCGCTCGCTTCCACCGAGCTCATCGGAGACCCCCGACCCTCCCCTCTCTCCCCCCCCACCCACCCTCGGCTTCGTAGAACAGTCGATCGAGCCCACAAAGCGCTTGATCGCAAAGCACAGCACAGCACAGCACAGCACAGCAGCGACGATGATTGCCTTCGTTCCCTCATCCGTTCGCTCTTACCTTCGTCTAGATGCTCCGCCAGACGTTGGGCGTCTCTTGGAAGCCTACGACGTAGCTCGCTACCTCGCCACATTCAACAGCGCAGCTGAAGTGTTTGGACTCTTGAGCGTTTCGGACGTGAGGAGAGCGCTGATCAAGAGGCCGCAAAGGGTTGATTTGTTGATCCGTCTCTTGATCGCTCATCTCGAAGCGCTTGTGCACGATGAACACTTTTGTCCCAGACCTGTTGCAGCCGCCAAGAATGCGACCAGCGGCGGACCTCTTGGCTGGATGGGTGCGGGTGCGGGTGCGGGTGCGACAAGAGGAGCAGCAGGCGCCCATGATGGTGATGGGAGCGCGGCGCAGAGGCGGGACAGGCACAAGGAATGTTTGAATTGCTTGAGGATATTGACGAGAATCATTCCCGTCATCTTGGAGGGAGATCACGATCCCACTTGCAACGCTTCAGCAGAGGGGGAAGGCAACGGCGATGGCGCTGGCGATGGCGATGGCAACATCAATCCCAATCCCAACCTCAACACCCAATCCACATCGGAAGGCGAGGCTAACAATTCGACGCGCGCCAGCCTCAATACTGATGAATTTCAGAAAAGGCTCTTTTTCAGCAAGTTGAGAGCGGATGAGTTGCCTCCGCTAGGCGAAGTCTTGACACCCAGAAGTCATCAATCGTCGCACAACGCGTCATCCGCAACAGCCCAAGGGCAGTCCAGCGAAGATCAGTTCGTCATCGATGATGATGAGGAAGAGGAGGAGCAGGAGGAGAGAGGGCAGGATGAAGATGCAACAACTGCAACGACGAACATCGCCAATGGCAGTGCAGAGCAAGATCCGCTGAGCGCACACGCTGCCAAAGTGCAAGCTTCAAAGCAGAACAGAGACAACAGCTCGGCACGCGATGTCGATGACGATGAACGGAAAGACGCAACGGAACCCTCGCTGATCGAACGATTCCTAAGCGTCGTCATCGATTTGCTCTTCTACTCCGGCTTCACCATTCCTTGGACGCCCGAACAGCTTAGTCTTCCTCACGACACGCCCCCGAGGGAGTCTCGCGTGCACTACGCGATCTGGGAACAGGGAGTTGGCAGTTCCATTGAGCTAGCAGGAGCTACTCGAGCGCACGAATCTGCTCGCGTCGAGCTGATGAGGTTGTTGCTGGTCCTGCTCAGCAGATCCATCTACGTCTCTGCTGCGAATCAGGCCGACCTGTTTGATGCTGCTTTGGAGTACACTTCTTGCAAGCTGGACAGGAGCGTCGTGCTGCCTTTGCTCTGCAGCTTGCTCAATACCGCGGTCAAGCACGCTACAGACTCGGGTTGGCTAGGTGGTCTTGGCAGTCTGGCAGCCATTCCTGGAGGCCTTGTCAAGGACAGACTGAGCGGCACAGCGGGCGTGCAGGAAAATCGAGCTGCCTTGGTCGGGCTTTGTCTTCAAACTTTGGACGTCATCCTTGGCTACGTCCCCAACATCAAAGACGCGCCCAACAGCTCTGCCTCGAATTCTCAATCGCATCAAAGACCTTCTCTGACAGCTCACTCCTCCACGAGCTCCATCACCTCCACATCATCTGATGGTCCCAAGAACGCATCGCAAGCTCAAGCATCGCTCATCAATGCTTTTCGCTTCTACCTTTCCAAGATGCATCGACACTCCGACTTTGTGCTGCTAAGTGCTGGCATGTTCGAGATGCTGAGCGCAAAGATCAACTCGATGGGCATCCTGCCTTTGGCTTCCGCGGCCGCACCAGCCCTCACCACGGGCTCCGCAGGAGACACGGGTCCAGGCGCGCACATGCCCGAAGCGCTGCTGCTCCTATGGCGACTAATGACTCTGAATCCTCGTTTCAGACTCTTTCTCCTGGATGATCCGGTTCGAGCGCCTCTATTGCTGTCTCGACTGCTTTTCCATGCATTGCACAACAAGGATTCAGCAGCTCAGCAAGGATTGGTTCGATTGTGCGTCTTTGTCCTGCAAGACATCAGTTCCACGCCTGCTTTTGCTGCTCATATCAGTGCTGCGGGATCAGCGAACAGGGCCAAGATACCTGGTGGGCATAAGTGGGGCATCACTGCTGGCGGATCCAACGCGGGAGGCGGAGCGGGTGGAGATGGTGCTGGATCAGCAGCAGACGTTTTGATACAGGCGACTTACTCGCTCATGGCTACGACCAAGGGCAGTCTGTCAACGCTATACGCCCCTCTGGTCATCAGCCTGGCCAACACTGCTCCGGCATGGACGAACATTACCGTGCTTAGCTCCCAACGTCTGGTCGGCCTCCTCAGCAGCTTCTCTGCCCCGAGCTTCTTGCTCGCAGACGAATCGCACCCCCGGCTCGTCTTTTTCTTGCTGGAAACCATCAATGGCGTCATTCATCACCACCCCAAACAGAATGCGAACCTCATCTATGCCTTGCTGCGAAATCACAAGAGCGTCTACAGGCTCGTCACGTTTACGCTGCGCAAGGGAGTTGCGGAGATCAGAAGGAACAGAACGCGGGCGGGTAGCGCCTTTGCGAATATTGGCGCAAGTATTGGTCAGCTTCCTGTCACACCGAATTCGGGCACTACGACTCCTGTGCCCTCGCACAGTCCAAGCGCGCCGTTCTTGAGCCCTCGACCTCTGGGAGCGGATGCAAAGGACCCTTTAGATGCTGCTGCTCCTACCGCCACTGCTGCGACAGTCACAGCTCCAACGGCCTCCAACGCCCCGCCTGGCGACGAAGAAAAGGCGAGGATGTTGCAGAGGGACGAGGAGGAATCAAGTCGACTCGCACAGCTTACACTCGACGAAGGCGTCGCGCAGTCAGGAGGTTTGCGCTCTGAGAAGGCGCGAGGCAAGATGAGAGAGCAAGAGAGCATCGGCTTGCAGGAAGACACGGGGACGGGCGTATCGTCAAACGCGTCCGCTCCGTACGCTTCGTCCGAATTGCCAGCGACGCCCGACGAGGCAGAGGTCTGGGCAGCATCCTTGACCGATGCCGAACTGCAACTGGCAGCGGAAAATATCGGCAGGAATGGCTTTGTGCCTACCCAGCCTTGGATCGCATCGTGGCAAAAGGGCCTCCCATTGGATTCTCTGCAGATCCTCCTTGGAGAAGTGCTGCCTAAGCTCAACGAGTTGGTCAAGAGCGATCAGATACGTGGCAAGTCCGACGCAGACTCTAGGGTCTGCGCATGGATTCGAGAAGTGGACTTGGATCGCGTATTGCCTCAGAAAACGCCAGTGTGTGAGTAAGATTGATGGGAATAGCGGCTGTGCTTCTCGACGATCTCCTTGAGCCTGACCATCAACCCTTTCCGCTTTCTCCTTGGACGGTCTGGGATGTTTACAGATTTGCGGCCTTTCAAATGGAACGAGCAAGCTAGGATATGGATTCTTTCTTATTTGTGGGGTCTGGTGTATGTCTCTGCCCAATTGCCATAGTGAGAAGCACCTTTCTCGAACCTGCTGCCAATTCCTCTCCGCGCGCGCGCAAGGTTATTGATTCTCAACCCTGCTCTTGGGTTACAGTGGCATCTACACTGGCACATCTGCACGCTTGTTCCAGCTCCGCACGCCCAATAGGCGCACGGCGCAAGCAGCAAGCACAACGAACCGCACCGCGAGTCCGAGTACCAGGGGTGGCGCTGGCGCTAGCGCTTGACGAGTGCGCCAAGCATCGTCTCTTCCATCCCTAATTCAGCTTCACAGGCATCTAGGGCGCTGATTGTAAGAGGCCCCGCCAGTCTTCTCTTCAGCGGTTGTACACTCATGCACGCCCTCGCACTCCGACTTCTGAATACAACCCGTAGACATGATGCAGGATGCTATGACCAGTGCGGCCAGTGCGGCTTCTTTGACCCTCTACAGAAGCAGGTCGAATTTCGGTACGCCTACTGCAAACGGTAAACGGTGTACGTCGGTCTGGACACCACGTTCCGTGACGTCACTTTGTCATGGTTGCGCTTGGTTCGTCGGATCCGCTCTCCACAATCCCCACAGCAGTGTCAAGTGTGCTAGCCAAAGCACGGCCGAGCTACTTGGCGTGGAGGGAAAGATGTTCCACGACCTTTCGATGAGGAAGGGAAGTGCGAGCCTGTGCCAGCGTAATCAAGTGCAGAGAACTGCAATCAGCCCCGGCGACGCTCGACGCCAGTGGAAGGGCAGCGCATCGCGCATGGACGCACCTGATGCCTAGAGGTAGACCTTTCTTTCCAAAGTCGATTTTCGCTGCCGCGGCCCAACACATCAAAGGAATGTGCTGTGCGTACCAGGAGTAGAACTGGTAGTGCAGCGATCGCGCAAAGGTCATGCCAATCAGATTTGCTGTGAAGATTGAAAATATCATGACTTGAGATGGCAAAGAGAGTTGGATCAGTTGCAGAGGTGACCATTGCGGGAGATATTGGAACCAATACTCACAGCGAGCGCTTGGATCTCCACTGCCCGGCGGCCCGTGCCACCGCTTCAAGACCCACGAGACACCCTCGTCTCCGACTCTCGTCCACCGCGTGGTGATCCAGAGCAGCAATAAGCCTGCATGCGCGAACAAGAGCACCCTCGAAGTCCAGGCGGATTGAAACTGCTCGATGGCCAGAAATCGAAGGTGGACCGTCCACTTGTACAAGAAAGCCCTTGAAAAGTCGAAGGCTCCGGCAAAGTACGCGTGTGGATGCTCGAGGATGAATGGAAGACCCAACAGGACCTGCACCAGAAGCGCCAGAAATCCGAGTCTCAGTGATTGTAGCATGCCCACTCCTCGGAACAGAATGACTCCGAGGGCAGGCATGGTCAGAAGTACGCTCATTTTGACCCCCAAAGCCAACCTAGGCAGCAGCAAGAAACAGTGGGAGCGTCAGATGTGCGCAAGAAGGAAGGCCGACGTAATCTTGCGCTCGCGCGACCAACTCACGACCAAAGCGTCGTCGCAGCTGTCCAGCGCCTCCTTATCAAGAAGACCATCGAAGCGTGCAGCAGTAAACTGGTCCAGCAGTCATTGAACATCCTGAGGACATAGATCGAATGAAGCCGTTTCGATACTATCAATGCTGGCAGCAGGATGCTTGGCGAGCCGGCCGACCTGTAGAGGGACATGACCAATGCTTGATTGAGGAGATAGAGCGCCCCATATAGAGCTTGAGCTGGCATCAGCTTGGCGCCGGCATGCGTAAGTCGCACCAGAGGAGCGTGGAGGTACAGGTGCAAGGCCGGGTACCTGAAGGCAGGATGAATTGTCGAGTTTTAACCGCATGCCGTCTGCCCATCGCATCTCGGGGTCGCCCTCGGAAGGGCGCGCATACACACTGCATGGGCATTCATTCGCGAACTCACACGCATGGCCCGCTCGCTCCTCGTAATCGGCTGTAATCGCGCTCCCCTTTCAGCATTCCTTGCGCTTGCTCGAGATATGTGGTGAAGTCGATTTCCGTGTCTGAAAAGGTAGTGTAAGCATCGACCGGCGTGATTCGATTGCCCGTCGCAGCTTCATCACTCACACGGCACTCGTTTGATGATGATGAGCGTCATGACTGCATCCGCCGCCAAGGTCATGATCGCTACGCCGAGGAAAGCAAGCAGCGGTGGCGCATCCTCCAAGAAGGCGGTGTAGGTTGTGCGCCTGACCCAGACCATGTAGGGTTCTTCTTCGTCCTTGGTTTTCTTTGCAGGCGCTTTATACAGCGGGTAGGCGCCCAGCTCGCTGCTCTTCCTGCCCTGACCGCTCATGGACGAAGCGATAGAGTCTGGAAGAGCGCCATCCCTGCTCGATTGCGCCAAGTCGCCACGACGTCTTGTACGTAGCCGGACTCCTCCAGAGGGATCGGAGATCGCCTGAGCCCAAGCCGTGCTGGTCATCCTCGGCGGTCCAAGTTTGTGTTTTGGAAGCGCACACGCTGCCCGTGGTTGATCGCAGAGTCTCCTGACTTCTCGCTTGAGCTAGGCGCCTGGCCAGACGAGATGCGATGTCTTGACCAATTCTCGCTTCTTTCCTCCCTTGTGTGAAAGCATGAGAGAGCTGGGTGGGGTCGAGTCCTCACGCGTCCACGGCAGCTAGACCAAACGACGACTGACCGAACGATGCGTCGGGGTCGCAGAGCAAAGTCCAGTCAGAGTCCAGAGTACAAGCCAGGCCCGCGGCACATACGGTTCGCATAGAAAGAGATGCCCGAGCGCGGTGCTTCACACAGCGCGGCATGCTGTGGAGGCACGTTGCACGCTGAACGCCGCGCATATAGTCATACTCGTGACTACTCATGAGTCACGAGTCGCGTGCATGGAAGTTGTTGAGTCTTCAGTGCGAGGGGGGGGGGGTCTCTCGTGCGAAAGGCTGTTAAATTGGCGCGCAAGTCGCGGTGCGCGTCACGCGCGTCGCGTCGGACGTGTTGGAAACGCAAGCGCGCGCGTACACTCACGACTGTATGCTCGACTGTTGGTCGAGTCAACTGTCCAGGCCGTTTGCCTCACTTAGCTGGTCTTCCATGTCAACGCCACCATCAGCATCTTGATAGTCGCCGCAGCCAAGCCATACCACAGCTCCATCGACCAGTCAAACCCGATCGCAAGCTCGATCTGCCCCCTCTCCTTCGTGGCGCGGAGCACACGGCTCGCCATCAACGAGATGGAGCTGCCACCTTCCACTGCCGCTGCAGCTCGTGTCGGTGTCAATATTCAGGTGGCGCATTCGCATGGTCTAACGCGAGTCAAGTATGCGCCTAGTGGAAGCAAAGTGAGGTACGTAAGCAAAGTAAACAAAAAGCTGATCCTTCAGCAGCGCGTGTGCTTACCACCGGCGCTTTCTGCCTTGCGGTGCTCCCAGCTGGCTGTTCACAGGTGGTGACGAAGGTACGGTGCGACTGCTACCCACAGATCCCAGATCAGGTGCAGAAGCCTTGGCCATCGACGACGCCACGGCCCCAATCAATTGGATCGATGCGGATGCCGACTATCTCGTAGCCGCCGCAGCAGATGGAGCAGTGCGCATATATCAACACAACGTCTCTCTTTCGGAAGATGGCGCGGCAGCGACCGATCTAGTAGGCATCCTCACCCGCACAGGACTTCCCGCTCGATGCGCTGCCTTAGAGCGACACGTTCTGCCGACTAAAACCCCGCGAGTCGCTTGCTTGAGCGATGACCTCGTCATCAAAGTGGTCGATTCTGGTGCCCCTCAACGCGTGCAGCTCCTCGCCAAACACTCTCGTCCGCCCAAAGCTGCTGCTTGGTCTCCCGTCGAGCCTCTGCTAATCACCACCGATTGCGACGGGGTGGCTTGCATCTGGGACATGCAGGGCGCCGAGCCGGTCCACGTCAAAGCGATGGAGAGAATCTTAGCTCAGGCTCGGCCAGAGTCAGAGTACAGCTCCGAGCCCGTGTGGCATCCTAGTGGCAACTCTTTCGTACTGCCAAGCAAGACGCACGAAGTTGTCATGGTCGAGAAGCCGTCTTGGAATGTCTCGACAAGCTTCTCTGCTCCAGCTCGTGACCAATTGCCGCCGGGAGTTGAATCGCCAAGCGGTCAGATCAGCGCCTTGTCCTTCTCGCCGAATGGCAGGTATCTGGCCGTAGCTACCGCCAGCGCGCATGTCACCGTTTGGGAAACGGCAACGCGCAAGCCTCTTCGACAGAGATCAGCCTACGCCCTCGTCACAGGCATCAGCTGGCATCCCGAAGCTGATGCTCTCGCGTGGACAGATGCGCAAGGTCAACTATCGCGCTGGTGGGAAGTAGTGGGGTCAGCGAACGCGAATCCGTTTGAGCTGCTGGACTACCAGCATAGGTCTACGGAGCAGACGCTCAAAGAGCGGGTCCGCCAGCAACAAGTCACTGAGGACATAGATGCGCTCTTCGATGGCGCAGGCCTATCCGACGAAGATGAGGAGACAGAAGCAATGCTCGACAAAGAAGAACGTAGGCCGCGAACGCGCGAGCGGCAAATGCGCGCCGGTGGAGAAGTCAATGACGATCTGAACGATTTCGTAGTAGATGACGATGGCGGCGGCACTGGCTATGGTGCTGCCACCGATCGACGTTCGAGAACTCAGAGGACCACAGGCCTAACCCAGCGACACGTCGGCAGGTCTCACTCTAGTCTGATTTCGTCGACTAAGATGCAGTCCGCTTTCCAACCTACCTCGACCGACCTGCGTGGACAGCGGAGATACTTCGCTTACAGCTGCCTGGGTTCTCTTGTGGGTACAGACCAAGGCGATCACCAGACGATAGCATTTGAGTCAAGTGACGCTGGCTCAAGACGGAATTGGCGATTTGCGGATCACTTCGGATACAACATGGCATCACTCGGGGGGTCTGGTGCCCTATTCGCGTGTCCCGAGCGGCACGCGAATCATAACGATGATCATGAAGACGAGGATGACGCAGAGTCTGGGCACCCCAGTAGCATCTTTTTCAAGCCATTCGAAGCATCAGGAGCCCGCACTACGCTCGCCACAGAGTGGACCGTCAACTTGCCGAGAGGAGAAGAAGCGGTCGCGATCGCGATGGCCGGCAAAGCCCCGCGCCCGAATGCAGATTCAAGAGCCGCAGACGCCATGACGATCTCTAGCGCCATCGTCGCAACATCGGCTGGCTACTTGCGCTTTTTTAGTGCATCTGGCTTCCAACGATACTTGTGGGCCCTTGGCTCACCGGTGGTATCAATGGCAGCGGGAACCCACTCAGCAATGATAGTTCACCGAGGAGCGACTTCGTGCGCCTTGGAAGGCTTTCAGAACTTGAGCTACACCCTCATCAATTTACTCACCTTCAGCATTCAGCAACAAGGCGTCTTACCGCTTGCCAAAGACGCCACTCTGCGCTGGGTTGGTCTGAATGACGCGGATGTGCCGGCCTTCTTTGACAGTCGTGGAGTGCTTTACTTACTGGATCGGAGCCACGCACCTCATGGTCAAGCGCGTTGGGTGCCTTGCCTCGACACCAAGAACATTCAAGCTCAACAGGCCTCCAAGACAGACTCAAGTCTTGCTCCTCGTTTACATTACTGGCCGGTCGGCCTCACCTCTCACAAGTTGCTGGCCATCATTCTAAAGGGCGCCCACTCGACACCGGACCCATCTGCCTCGTCACGTCCACTCCTTCAAGATCTCGATCTTCATTTCCCTTTAGCTGCGGGCGAAGGTCCGGCTGCAGCTCTCGAGCAAGAGCATGCTCGAAATGCGTTCCTCGCCGATTCCATTCGATCCGCCAGACGCGCTCGTGCACTTGAGCTCGAGCTTGACGAAGACGAAGAGCCCGATGACGACGATTCGCCTGATCCCTGGGTACTGCAACACAATGCAGATAAAGCGCTGCTGCAGCTCATTCAGCTCGCATGCAAAGCAGACCGACACGCCAGAGCACTGGACGCAGCCATGGAATTGCACTCTGAGAAGACTCTCGATGCCGCCGTTCAGATCGCCACTTTCTTCCATCAACCTGGCCTTGCGGATCGCATGGAAAACTTGCGGGGTTGGGTGAGAGGAAGAAGAGAGCGTGACGAGAGACGTGGATCTGCAGCGGTGGTACTTGCCCCTCAACCTCCGACTGCACTGCAAAGCGGCAATGGACTCCACGGCATCAACGACGCTGATGATACCATGACGTCCAAGGCTTTGACCGCAAAGGCAGCGCGCAAAGCTTTGACGACTTCTTGGACGCCGCAGGCTCGGAGATCGCACGGTGGCTCTGATCGGGGGTCGGGCGTACTGAGTACCTCTGCTGCCATCGCTTCTTCTCCAATCACTGTCGACTCTCAAGCGCGCAGCACTGCAGTTGCGTGGCCAGAGTCGAGTCGCTCCGAAGAAGTCGTCGCTGCCGAAAACGGCATGTTTGAGCGAGGTGACCGCGACTCGATGTTGGATAAGGAAAATCTATTTCACGACGTCGAGGACGTGGAACTGCATCAGAGGCCTGACAAGCGCAAAGCGACAGCATCACATGATGTCGAGGAAGGCGATGTGCCTCCATCTCGGAGCAAGCTGAATTGTGAGTATCGTGACTCGCTGCATCAGACTCAGCAAATTCATAGCTGACGCTATCATACTCTAGCCGGCAACCCTTTCGTGCGCGCAGCAACTCGAAACCCCTTCGCGCGAAATCCAGGCATGACGCGGGACCGTAGCATGCACAAGAGCTCATCGTTCTTTGATCGTGTCGATGCGTCCCTGGACGCTCAGCATGACGCTACTGTGCCTGTCTCGCGGCTCAGCAGCGATAGGCGCAGCGGAAGTGGCTCAAGCAAATCGCGTCAAAGCACACTCTTTGGCCTCGGCGCTCCAAAGGCATCGGGACCTGGCCCAAAACCTGTCGCCTCCAAAGAAGCGCCAACACTCACGCCTAATTTTGGGCAGCACGCTAGCAGCGGCAACGAGGACTCTCAGGCAACAGACGAAAGCCTAGCCCGCACTCTTGCTCCTTTCAATGATGAGGACTCTCAAAATCATCATTTGCCCTCTCTGGAAGAGACTCAGTATCCCGATCCTGACGCGGATGAAGAAACGCAAATGGTCGATGCCTCGGGACGTCAAAGCGATGGGCAGCCTCGCGCAGCAGATGCCCCGGACGGAGAGGATGACAGCAACATGATGACCCTCGACGAAGCCCGTCGCGCACAAGCCAGTGCGCACATTTTCTCTCCCGTGTAACTCAGACAGCATTTATTTCTGTCTGTTCTCAACGCAAACGCTTTGACACATGCATTGTTGAACAGTGATATGCTAGACGAAATTCTGGTCTGATGCACATCAATCGTTGAAGCGCTTCGTAATGGCAGATTATCCGGATCAACACCTTCTGCGCTCACGTCTCCGACGACCATCCCGGCTGCTGTAGCTGCTGCTCCTTTGCTTGAAGTGCGCAACCGGGGAGTAATCACCAAATCTCGCACCTGTCCTTGGCGGCCCTGGCCATGGGGTCTTTACCTGCTTTGCAACCCCATGCGTCGGCGAAGCTCTCGATGTTTGCAAGAGCCGCGTTGACGCGGTAGATCGTGGGCGAGTGGGGATCTGTTCTGAGACGGCGGACCAGCTCTCCTTGCCTGATGTTGCGCGCCCATCCAATGGCATAAGCCAAGTAGAAAAGCTGTTCCCTAGTGTAAGAGAGTCCAGGCAACAGAGGGTTCTTTTCCTGTGCACCTTGTCGCGACAGGCTGTCTCTCCAGGCCCTCCACGACTGTGCTAGGCCGCCGGCGTCTCCTATGTCTTCTCCAATGGTGAAGCGTGAGCGTAGGTGAAGTTCTCCACCTTTGCCATCAGGAATAGTTTGATTGCCATACCAGTCGATCAAGCAGTCTCTACGCTTGTTAAAAGCTTGGGCGGTTTCCGGGGTCCACCAGTCTTTGAGGGCGCCGCGCTTGTCGAACAGCCGGCCGTCCGGATCGAATGCGTGAGAGAGCTCGTGACCAGCTACGCTGCCGAACGCACCGTACTGAAGGTAGTCCGGCCAACGCCAGCTGAAGTAAGCAGGTTGCAGAATGCCAGCAGGGAACACAATTTCATTTCCTCCGGGATTGTAATAGGCGTTAACTTCTGCGGGGAACATATCCCATCGCTGTTCGTCGAGCTTCTTGCCTGCTTGGGCCCAATCTCGGCGCACGCCCCGGACTTGACTTCGCCACACATTTCCCAAATACTCCCCGGGCTTAATATCCAAGTCAGCGTAGAAAGCCTCCATTGCGATGGCATTCGTCGTGTTGGGCGAAGTGGGCCAGCCAACTTTAACTTTGACAGCATCTGCCTTTGCCTCCGCCTTGCGTCTCGTCTTGGGATCCAACCAGTCCAACTCTGGAAGTCGTGATTTGAAGGCTTTGATGATGTCATCAATGATCGATTCGGCCTTGTCCTTGGACTGCTGCGGGAACGAGTCTCTGACGAAATACCGCCCGGCGAGAAAGCCCAGCACTGAGTTGAGTGACTCCTGGCAGAATGCTGAGCGATCCTCCACCGCGTCGTTGTCTACTCCCTTTGATCTGCGGTCGAGAGCATCGATTGATCGCCGAAGAGGAACCGACGGACCGAGGGCCAAGCCCAGCGTACGCAGGACTGTCCACACGAGGTATGCTTCGAGAACATCATCACGTGTGCGACTAACGAGGTTGTCCAACTTTTGAACGTACTTTGGCGAGATAGAGATAATTTCCTTGGGAGTATTGACGCCGATGAGCTTGAAATATTTGGGCAGGTCAATGCTGGTCAAATCGTAAGAGAGCTTTGCAACAGTGATGGGATTATACGTTCCGAGCGGATCTGCCTGTTCCTCGCCGTCTGGCGTGATGGCTGCCAAGGATGCCTCGAGTTCCACCACATCTTTAGAAAGGGAATCGAAGCTCCGCTTACCTCTCCCCGATTTTTGGGGCACACTCAGCATCTCTGCTCCCTTGTCAGCCCATCGCTGCTCTTCCTTATGCAATTCAGTAAAAGCGGTCTTGACCGTGTTCACGTAGAAGTCTATTTCCTCTTTGTCCAGGTAGTAGTCCTTGTCAGCCAGACCAAGACCGTCGGGAGAGAGGTAGGGAGTGCCTAGAGTTGGATCTTTGACGCGCTCCCCGTCGATCATCCAGCTGAAGAAAGGCGTGAACCCTGTGCAGAGAGAGAGGAGCAGAGGCGAGCGTGACTATGAGCCATCGTACGCGCCCTGCTAGGCGGCGTGCCTCTGTTGCTACTCACCATGCGCGTGAGACCAGGCAAGGGCGTCGGTGAGCAGCTTCTGCCTGGCACCTGCAGGCGGCATTGGCTGTGGACGTTCTGTAGGTGGATGAGGTACGGGTGATCTTCCGGGGGGCTGATTGGGCGGCACAGGACCACTCTCCGAGCTGTCAATGATAGCCGCATGCTTTGCAAAGCGTTGGCGAATTTGTTGCACCAGCTTTACCACTGGTCGTGCACCGACCTCGTTCTGCGCCTGGCGGTCCATACAAGAGGTGTAGAAATCTTTAAGCTTGCCTAAGTTGCGCTGATCGGCTTTGTCAGCTTCGCCCAGGCTCGAACCTGCCTCCAGGAGCGTCGCGTGGGCCTGCTGACCACTCGGAGCCTCGTCCAGAAGCTTCTGAATCACTTTGGCGTTCTCAGCAGCGATATTCTGTGCGATCCCAAAGAGTCCAGCGTCTGGTGGGATGGGGTGCTCTTCTCTCCAGCCTCCAGTAGCAAAGCCATAAAAGTCATGACAGGGGTCGACAGAGACGTCGATTGCGTGCAGGACGTCTGAAGCGGTTCGAACGCAGTCCGCGGTGATGCAAGCCACCTCCTTCGAGCCTCCACCCGGACTGGGGTTGCCGACTCCCGTATGGTCGTCTGAGGCGCGGTGTCCAAAGAAAAGGCCGGCAAAGATCGAGGCCAATAGCAGCAGCGCCACGGAAAGGAAGAGCAGAAACCGCTCGAGGGGACGGAGACTTTCTGGTTCAGCAAGCGGAGCGAAGACCGCACGCAATTGACGCCTGGTCCTTGAAGCCAAGGTTTGACCCTGGCTTTCGCCGTCTAGAAGTGGCCTGCGCTCGTCCACCGCTGAAGACATTGTGTGTGGACTATTCCAATGTAAGCGCTGTGACAATGCCGCTACACTAAGCGCTTCAGGCTTGACAGGGATGATGGAGGGTCAAAGGGGAACAGTAGCCGTACGTCGGCAGGTGACGCTGCACACACAGGTGCATGCGAAGCACACCAAGGCTCTGCACGTCTTTTGCGGTCCGTGCGTACTATGCCACGTGTCAACTGCATATATGCACCATTCCCGCTCTGCGCGGGCAAGGTTCGAGCACGCCTGCACGTGACTCGCGTCGCGTCCATGTCGCCTGCCTGCAACAAGTCCCTGCAAGTACTGACCCATGATCGTCCTGCTGATCTGGGCGTCGTTTCGATCATGGATCGGTACTTGCTGAGATGCTGGGTTACGATGAGGATCACCTACTTGCACGCAATGACCAGCGCACCAAAAAGCGGGTCAGACAGGAACCGCATTGTCGCCTTAGTGCTTGGGGACGCCGCTAGCCGCCTCGCTCCTGAATGTCACATCCGCGCCCGTAGGGGACGCGATCCGGATGATGGTAGTACGCGCGCATGCACGCGTCCCGCCTGTCTTAGTTCCGCGCGCGCTGGCGCGCATCATGCAGCACTACTACCATCATCCCCACCGCGTCCCCCGCGAGCGGAGGTGTGACATTCGTCGCGAGCGCTCACGGCACCCAGACA